CCAAAGGTATCGCTGCTCTCATCTCTCGGGCTGTCATATTGGTCCTTGGCCCATGTACCTAGGTAGCTCAGTATACCTCATTACTCCGTACTTGCTCTCTCTCTAGACCTATTTCAGAGGTGCTTAATTCCTCCGTGAGGTAACTCATAACGCTCGGTGTTCGTCTCCCTGAGATTATACTCCGTATGTCGCGATGAGAAAAGTCACAATCTTGCAATGAGAAAGAATCTTCACAATCACGAGACTCACCGAGTACGAGGACGAGGTTTTCCATGTTGGAATATAGCCTGTGTAAAGAGACAATACATCACATGTTGAGAACTCGTATGACAATCAAATTACCTGCATCTGGGGGTTGCCACTCCGTCCGACACGAGTAGGATCAGATTGAACCTTTGGTGTGGTGGTGGGATGAGAGCCTAGCCACTGGAGGAACTCTGTCGGATGATTTGTGGAACACGTCTCTGGACTGTCGAGTCCGTGGGACTCATTTCACATGCGCAGAGAGATTCGCCAGAGGTATATCTGTACTAGAGAGACAGAAATTAGCAGCGTGACTGAGAATGCCGCTTTCTGGAAACCCACTGACACACTCTCGCGTTGGACCTCACATTGATTTGCCTCTACAATGCCAGCTCTCCACGAACATTCGGGCCTTCCCGATCCACGAACTTGACCGGACGACTTTCCAGGACGGTACGAATACACTCCCTACCGATAGTCAAGGGACATATGGAGATCGAGGGTGTGCCCAGCCTTTGAACGATTTCACTCTCGAGACTATTTTAAAATGCTTCGGGTAAGTCCTTGCCTGCCATTCTGAGCCCAGAGACCTACATTATCCACCTCCCCTGGCCCAACACGACCGCAGGCTCATAGATGAAAGATCGGCAATGTCTCTTGACTCTTCCGGGATCTCCATGTATTGCCTCCACCCAAATCAGCGTAGCTCCGTTGACGAATGCTAGTCCGGCGCACCCCCAAAAGCACCTGCACTTTGCGTGACTGGGAAAGATGTGTCACGCCACGATGTTTCCAGTGCCGGCATGGTCACCAAGTACTGTAGCTAGTGTTTAGCGACAAGAGTATATTGATCATTATTGGCGACTCTGGGTCGCCGGACCGAGAGAAAAGCCTCCTGGACCTGCAACCAAACCGGTGTCCCTTGAGGAATGGTCCATTTCAACTGATTCAGCATATCGGTGTCATGATTCGGAGCGCGTCCTCGCCTTTGTCAATTCTTTATGCTAAGCTCTATAGGTAATCTACCGTCTGAAGAAGAGAAGAGGGACTCATCTTACCCAGACCTGTAGGTGGGAGAACGTTCGCCCGAGACTTCATTGCGGCGATTGATGTCTCAGCTACGGTCTGCGAGACGCAGGCTGAAATCTGGGGCAAATTCGCTTCTATGTAGCCAGACATCGATGTCCCCCCAAACCGGGAAGAGATTTTTGGGCTCTCCGTAACAAGTTCATCAGAGTACACTACACCGAGACTGACTCGACTTCTGCGCGCTGGCAGTCTTATATAGCCTGGGCCGTATTCTCCACCGTTAATTTTGTTTCTCCATCGTATTGACGTAACGATTCTCTTGCTATACGAGCGTCGTCTAGCAGAACACGTTTGATTTCCTCGGAGCGCGGAATGAAGCGCGCTTTGAATGGTTCAGGGCGCATATTCTCACTCTTGGTGTATGCAAAGATATCCAATTTGACTTCATTGCCCTATGGTACGATTAGTAAAGATATCAGTCGGGGAATAGCCAACGTACCTCCTCGTCTAGGCCAGGTTTGATATCAAAGGCCCAAAGGAGACGTGCAATGGTGATGAAGAGGCCTTGTTCGGCAAGAGGTTGACCGCTACACTGGCGTCGTCCCCATCCGAAGGCATTATGTCCTTGCTTGTTTGGGTACGGTCGCTCAAGCCCATTTAGGAATCTCTCCGGTCGAAAGGCGTCAGGTTCAGGGAACTCGCGGGGATTGCGGTGTATAGCCCAGACATTTCCGGTAATGGAGGTGTCCTTGGGAATGAAATAGCCCTTGTACTCGTCATCCTGTACGGTACCAGTCAGCTATTGAGGAGCTGGGACCTAAAGGAGGGGTTCAACCTACCTGGATCGGAGCGTGAGGAATACCACCTAAGATGGTAACTGTACGCCAGCGTAAAACCTCACTCACGAGTGCCTTCACGTATGGAAGAGAAGTCTCGTCTGACCAGTCAGGGCTCCTTTCTTGCCCGACGACACTGTCAATCTCCTCCTGGGCGCGCTGCTGCACGTCGCGGAAGACGCACATGGCGAGGACGAAGCTAAGTGTTGAACTGCTTGTGGTGTCGACCCCACCGCCAATCAAATTGGCTGTCATGGCTGCGACTTCTTCATCGCGAAGGCCCATCTGTTCTTGGTCTCGTAGGAGTCGCTTGGCAAAATTGTCTGCCTTTGATTCTGTGGCCTCCTTCGACAACGCGTAAAAGTATCGTTGAAATTTTTTTGCACTCTCCAAGATCTTGGAAGGTAGAGGATAGACCCATCGGGGTAAAGTAAATAGTGCCGGGATAGCTTCCATGATGAAAAGGCCTGGGATGATGTAGTCGACACCCTCCATGAATCCAAGAGCGGCTTGAGCAACGTAGTCGTTGACGCGATCGATACGCCGGCCCCAACCGATCACTGAAACAGTCGAACACGAGTATCGCTCAATGGCCATGACCATATCGTAGGGCTTTTCGTAGAGGTCGCGTGCAAGCACTTTCGACTCGTCGCTCTGGAACGAACGATAGTTGCGAACAGCTTGTGATCCGACTGCCGTATGCTATTCGAAGTTGTCAGTCTCTTTGCTATTGTCCGTACTGTGAAGGGGCCTTACCATTATCCTCCGATGAAGTCGCCAGCGATCGCCATAGACCAAGTTCACTTGATTAGAATCGGATTGATTGAGGCAGTCACCCATAACCACCATACGTGCGCGTGAAGAATAGATGGCTGCCCGCTTATCGAGCAGATCCGATATCGACCAGATGTCGTTGCACACGATAATAGGACGATGGCCATTCCAGATGGTTGTCATCGGGTTGCCGTAATATTCCGCCCATTGCTCAAAGTGAATCCAGGGTTTTATCTTAGGGATGGCGAAGAAGTTTCCGACCAGTGGCAGAGGAAACGGCCCTGGAGGCATTCGCTGGCGCAGGCGGAGTATACGTACATAGTCGAGTAGTACCCAGAATACAGGAAAGCCGACGATGCAGCACAGGAGTACCACAGGGACTTGAATACGCAGCCAAGTCTCCTGATCCTGGCCCGGAACGCCCATCAATTCTCGTATACCCATGTTGTGATTAGTTACGATCCGCCCTTGTCAACTATGTCTGTTGGCGGCGAACATCATGGACTTGTCGTTTGATAGATATTTGGTTTCTGAACAGAGAAGGTGCCGCACCTTCTCCACTCCATGATTGATGCATCCACGTCGCACAGATCCCACTTCGCAAAATCAACCTTGCCCCGCCACCTTCTTCTCTAAGGAGGCCCCATAATGTGAACTTAGGAGTCGTTAGGAGACGGATGTGCACAGGGGGTTCAACATCTACTGCTTGACAAATCTCGACTGGAGTGTAAAGACGTGTCCCAAGAGCTGCCAGACGAAGCAGAACCTGGCATGTTAGACGGGTGCAGAGAGTATCGGGGAGATATGCAGACGCGATGAACGCCCAAGAAGCGACAGGTTCTGTCTCTACAACCCGGAAGACCAAGTTTTGGTCGACTCGCGATGAGAATAGCACTATCGCCAGTTCCCAAAGCTTCTCCGTGCTCACAGCTACGAGGTGCTGCTGCTTCTTGAATCAAAGTCGAATGTTTAGTCGTGCTGGCCTCGTTTCTGGGGTGTGGCCCTTTGCATGATTCATGAGACGTGCAAGAAACAGCCAAAACTCTTGTCGTTGACGAAGAATAAGCGAGACTGAGCAACCATTCATTGGTGGTTGCCCCTTTCCAAAACGCGAACGTCGGGTTGGTGGTTCAGTCACGTGTCAGCCAAATCACGGGCTCGAAGAGTCTTGGCATTCTTTATTGCCCCACTGCCTCATATGTAGCATTCGCCTGCTTTTCGTTTTTCGTTTTTCATTGCATACTTCATACAGTAGATCATAGATGACTCAATGCACTCGTCACATTTCTGTCCATCACTCCCGTCAATTCGTATATCATGTCTACGCCAGGTCGAAGTTGAGGCGATAGTGGTGGGCGTAAAGCGGCCTTTGATGAACGGAAGCTGCTTTTACCTGCTTTGCGATCGAGATCAGGATGATGGAAGTCCATGGTGAATCTCATCAGGCGCTCGTCTCAAGGCATGGTTTGCGTACGGCCTCCGTTTTCCTTGGCCGGCTATTCTTCAATCACCGTCCGCGACTTGTCGGGTTCCACTGGTGCCCGAGGCTCTCCATGGCTTGAGAAAGTCAATTCAATGATGAGCCTAACAAATTCATGGGGCCTACAATAGTATGAGATGGGACGAGACACGATTCAGCAGTATTCGAATAGCGGGTACGGAGTATCGCAAGGCTCCCACGGATTTGCGGGGAACTCCATAATCCGAGCTCGTTGCCAACGGGTATTTCCCAGTAAGTACTCCGTATTATTGCGGTCAATGATATGGAACTGCAATGCTTTTCCTAACTTCCTGCCAAATCCAATGACTTACCTTACGCCCCAAGGCTTTTGAAAGTGGAAGGACTCGGACATAATTAATGCCCGAGTGAAAGCTTGCCATTTACTTGCCCAGAGGCCCAGTGCCCGTGCTCCAGTGCCCCAGTGCTCTCTGCCTCAGAGTTTAGAGCGTAGCGCGGGGCTGACCTGGCCAGACTCCTTTGCCCCAGCTCCACAGAGGCTCCTCGTCAGCTATATAGCGCCCTCAAGGCAAGAAAATCTGGGAGGCCCCAGAAGCATCCTTCCTCTCCCCCTGGACCGTCTCACAACCGTGGTCAGAGTCACCACCTTATCTAGCACAATGCTCACCAAGTCCGAAATGACGGAGATCGGGCAGGCCGAACACAGAGATCTTGAACATAACCACGAAGTTGACAAGCGACATGTGCCACTGGATCTGGATGATCCACACCGTGCAGCACTCGAGGACAATCCTGAGCATGCAGAAAAACTGACATGGACCACGCTGCTCGCTGTCATCGTAAATTTCGAGCCTCCTTCAATGTGGTATCCTTGCTAACTATCCATCAAGTCCTTGTCATTCAGCTACGTCTGCCCTATCTCTTGCGGCTTTGTCCTTGTGACCGGCATCCTCGTACCACTTGGTGTGGAACTTGGTGACACCGAAAACATTTCCTGGATTGTTGGCGGTTGGTCCATTGCATCATCCATCAGCTTCTCCGTGGCCGGATCCATCTCCGATATTTTCGGAAGACGGTGGACCATCGTTTGCGGTGAAGTGCTGTCTATTATCGGGTCGATTGTAGCCTGCACGTCTTCAACAACGCTGACTGTGGCGGCTGGGTCCACGGTCATTGGCTTTGGCTGTGGTATAGTCTTCGTTTCTTATGCTGGTATCCAAGAGCTGGTGCCCAACAAGTGGCGCGGGCTTCTTGGTCTCACGGAATGTGCCATGACTATCCCATGGGCTATTGCTGGCGTCTTGATCGCCAATGCTTTGCAATCAAACACTGCCGCTGGCTGGCGATGGTGCTACTACATCGGTATCATTTTCGGCGTCCTCAGCACGGCAGGAACTATTGTCTTCTATTTCCCACCGTCACGGCCACAGTACGATTTTGACAAGACGAGATGGCAGGAGATCAAGGAGATCGACTACATTGGCTTCCTACTCTACACGGCCGGCTTGACTATCCTGCTCATTGGTCTAACCTGGGCAGGTAGCGCCAATCATCCGTGGACGTCTGCCTCGACTATTGCACCCATTGTCGTCGGATTTGTTACTCTTATCGCCTGCTTTGTGTACGACTTCACCGTGCCTACACGTCCATTCTTCCCTCTGGAGTTATTTCGAGAGATTCGTGGTTTTACTGTTCTCCTTGTGGTTGTCTTTGTGGCCGGTCAGTTAGATCTCCCATTCAATAACAGCTCCAGTGCTAACTTTTTGTCTCTAGGCGTGGTGTTCTACTCCATGGCAGGCCTCCTCCCGCAGGGATCGCTATATATGTTTACGCCCGATTCTATCCAGATCGGTATCATCGCCCTACCCAACGGCATTTCTCAGTTCCTTTTTGGAGGCGTCGCAACCATTCTCATGGGGAAGGTCGGCCATTTAAAGCTGCAGGTCATCGTGATGCTCATGATACAGACTGCCGCGACTGGCGCCTATGCTGGCGTCATACCAGGCAATCGAGCGGGCTGGTCGGCACTGCAATTCCTTGGCCAAGGTGCTTTTGCGCTCATCACTCTCCTGTGCTACGTCATCGCAGGTCTCAACGTTCCTCTCCGCCATCTCGGCGTGGCCTCAGGCTTGATCGGAACCTTTCGTAGCGCAGGTGGTAGCGTGGGCAACGCCGTTTTCAACACCATTTTGAATGGTCTAATCAAGGAACAGATCCCAGCTCGCCTAGCTCAGGTCGTCGAGGAGAACTCCATGCCAGCAGACACTCTGGCCACGCTTATTCCCGCGACCATGCAAAACGCCCTGGGCATTCCAAATTCTTTCGCCAAGGTGCCTGGAATCACTCCCCAAGTCGAGGCTATGGCTGCCACTGCGTTCAAGGAGGCATATGCATTCGCCTTCTCAAGAGTATTTTACGCAAGCATTCCGTTTGGATGCCTGGCGATCATCGCCGCTCTATTCATTTTGGATCCTTCGAAATACCTTACAAACCACACAGCCGTGAAGATGGAGCGCGAGGGTATGGCAGGCCGCAAGACAGTCAGTACTTAAAAGAAAGGATACTTTCACCCAAGACTCGCCGATGAGGTGCCTGGTCTGTGAATGTGTAGGTTTAATGTGATATGGATTTGTCTACGAGAGAATGTCTGAGTTAGCAAATGCGTTTGCAAACTTGCAGGTAGCCATATATAGGTGCCATGTTTACCAGTAGTAGAATTCCATAATCCTCCTTTGTGGCCTTCTTTTGAAGTGTCCATGGCATTACCCTTGGCTTCTTGGAACCCCCCTCCAGTCGAAAGATCCTCTTGCTTGTATCCAGATAGCCTGGTGGCTTTTGTTTATCAGCTCGCTTTCCGCTTTACATACTGCTTTCTGGCGACGTCGTCAGTGGAATCATATGACATTTTACGCGCCAAGACTTGTAAAGACTGCGTCGAGGCGTATCTACCTGACACAACTCGAATGCCCTTCTTCGGCCGGAAATTGTGCTATTACGAGGTACTCAGGTATGACCCGGTACACTCCTCGAACCGTAACAAGGTCAGACTCCAACACATTGCTGACAATTAACCGAAAGGCCTAACAACTTTACGATAACAGAACTTTGATGTGCTCCGTTACGGAGTAGCGAGCTAATCAGATAACGACAGCGACCAAAGATTGGTACCACTAGACTGAAAAATGGCACTGGCTTGGTAGAAGAATAAATACCTGATGAACTAATCGCCATCACGCGCATCATGAGGCAGATATCGTTACCGCTCGAACATCTTGCCAAGTGGTCACAATTCAATGGTGTGCAGTTGTTCGATGTCGCCATTGATCCTCACATCATAGAAGAAAAAACCGGTGTTGACAAAGGAGGAGGATTGCTGGCCCAAGCAGATCATGCAGAGACAGAACCTCTGTTGGTGGTTCCTTTGGATCTTGTCTTGTCCAAAGACGCAGTATCGGAAGCCGCAAAGGCCGATCAAAATCTTCGCGAACTGATCGAGGCCGCTTCATCTTTATTTCAGGTGGGTTCCAGAGGCGCCGGACCCCCCTCGTCATCTTATCGTTTGGTATATGTGGTAGTTTATATTCCCTATGTTTACAGCAGACTGACTTTATGCACGTCCAACCATTTTATAGTATCCTCGTACCGCAGTGTTGTTGTTTCTTCTTTACCAGATGACGATCAACAGTCCAGACAACAACAACGACGACGACGATGATAATCATACATTGTTAAGAGTCAACAACCCCTTTGCAGATTATGTCAAGTTTCTACCAAAGGAGTACCCATTGCCTACCTTTTACTCACAGGGGGAAAGGGACTTGTTGGTCGGCACTTCTCTGGCCGATGCGCTCGGCCAAAAACTGGCGAGCCTGGAAAAGGAGTTTGACGGCCTAAAGGCGGCCACGGAGCACATCCCCTGGTGCCAACGATTCTGGTGGGACGACATCACTGGCTGCCTGGACATCGGAGATTGGAAGCTGGCCGATGCCATGTACAGGTCTCGGGCCCTGGATCTGCCGCGAGGAGCTAGTGTGGGCATGGTCCCTGTCGTCGACATGGCGAACCATGCCTCCATCGATCATTACAATGCACGATTCGAGGTCGACGAGGGTACAGGGTCGGTGTTGCTCGTGGTGCAAGACGAAAAGTCGATCGAGGCCGGGGAAGAGGTCACCATCATGTACGGGGCAGGAGGGGCCTGCGAGATGATCTTTTCCTACGGGTTCCTGGAGGAACGGGCGGACAGTGCGCGTGAGATGTTCCTCAGCTTGTCCATCCCCGCCGATGACCCATTGAGGCTGGCAAAGATCCGGTTCGCCCAGCAAGAGGCGGCGCCCGGGGTGAGGATCTACGTGGACGGAGACGACAAGGTGCGCTGGGACAGTACTTTCGTCTGGTGGGCATGTGTCAATCAGGAAGACGGCCTCGATTTTCGGGTCGAGCAGACCGTCGACGGAGACATGGACCTCAAGGCCACATGGAAGAATGGCGACCTGGCCGCTCACGAGTTGCGAGCCGCTCTGTTGGATGACGATCGTCTCCGAGATGTGTTCGTCCTTCGTGCCACCGTGATGGTTCAACAACGGGTCGAGGAGCAAGGGATGCGCCTGGCAGCAAGCGAAGAGGAATATGACCAGGTACTGGCCAACGACGATCAGATCAGACCATGGGTCTACAAGACGATCGGAAGACTTCGGAAACTGGAACTTGACCTGTTGACGAGAGCCTTCCAAACACTGGAACAAGAGGTAAGCTTGTTGTCGACCAGGATAAGCCTTGTAGGGTAGGGGCCCTTGCTACTCCGTACAGGCGTTACTAACACCTGCATATGTATAGAAGCTTCGACTCCTCGAATCGACCGTCGTGCGTGCTTACCTGCGGCAGGGGGCCGACGGCTCAGAAGGAGATTACCCAGAAGATTTCTCTTGAGAGGTGTACATAAATGGAGAAAATGCATTAATCTAGTAGGCTTATGCACACCGACTGGCTAACATCACGAGAGAGGACTTTTGACTCGTCCCCAAGGTGGTATGAGCCCCAGAGATGGCAGAAAGTTTGTTCTGCTCTACACCGGGGGCTGGAAAAAGGTCAAACAAAAAAGACACGAGGCCAACCACTGTACAGCTATTCACGGCAAAGAACTTCCTTTCTACGAGTAGTTTGACACCAAGTGGTGTTTTGGCTCAACACGAGACCCCACCTTCAGCTCGAGCTAGTAGGACTCGTATGCCAGATGTGCTTCTTGTTTTTTCATAGTCACGGAGGGATCGTCTTTAAGTGACGTTTCCGTTCGTCCATGGCGGCCGCAGGCACAAAGCAAGCCGGAAATGATACCCCCGTAGTCTACGGGCCAGCCGGTCTGGTACTGTAAAATTGTACTTGATCTCATTCCAAGGAAGACTTTTTTAACATGATGAGATGAAGACATTGTCGTTTCTTGTCAATATTACATCAACAGCTTGTTAAATCTTTCGCTTGTCGGAATATCTTTGATTCATCATAACGGTTCCACAGACATCGATGATCGCACCCCAAAGGTGTAGGCGAGAGGTACAAGTCTTTTGCAGGGGTGATGTAATCTGAAAGACAAGAAGAGTTCAAGAGGATCTAACTATTAGAGGATCATGGAACATCACTACTATGATGGAGGATCAAAGACGAGGGGTCTAGAACTTGCCCCCGGCCATTGCTCGGGTTAATGGAATGCCGGTGTAGAAAGCCGGAGACAAAGCTCCCCGTAGCGCTGATAGGTGGTGTGGTGGCACGACGCCATCCTTGGGGGGAGCTCCGAGTACTTGTTCACCATCGCGTCGTTAGTGGGAGTTCGATTTCGAGGGTTTGCCGTCAAGGCTAACAACTCTGAAGACTTATCCATGATGATCCCTTTTTGCTGCTAGGTGTTTTGTCTCATTGGATTTTTTTCCGGGGAAATGGGAAGCATGATCAGATTGGAGGCTGGATGGTCATTCCGGGGGGGAGATGGAGGAGAGAGAGGAGCTTTGCTGAGATACAAAGTCAGAGATCCATTAAGTCCAGCCGTATACCTACTACGAGTACGGAGTGCCGCAGGTCCTTTGTATGATGAATGGATCAGCAGTGACAAGTTCGACAGGGTTCTTTTCCGGAGGGCACACAGCAAAGCAAATGATAACGAGTCGATTGAGACGCCCAGACGATTTAGCGTCTTGTTGGATTCTTCTGGCATTCTCAGCTTCCGCCGGCAGCCGTAAGAGTGTAAAATGGCGATGCGGCTTAATTGGGAACAGACTCGAGAGGACCCCTGTAAGTCGTAAACCTCCTCGTACCTCCATGCCCCGAACTGCGTCTCCAGGCCCCCGTTGTAGTGCCCCAGGAAGTCATCCCAGGTTTGCGTGTGGTGTCTATACTTCTGCCACACCCTTCATCCCATCTCAACGCACGACTATCCTTGCCTCTTTTCCTCAACACCTCCCCTGACAACTAAACCCCAGGTCTTGTGCGTTGCCCCTCGTTGGCCCAAACCACTCACCATTCCGTATTCGAGAAATATCCAGACGAAAAACTTTCGTGGCGTCGAAAGTAGCCCTCCAATAACCATCCCATCTGGCCCTGCTTCCGTCCCGACCAACTTAAGAACATCGTTCCACCGTCGAGCATTCGCATGTTGTCATAACACTCGCATCTCGCCCCCCCTTCTTGTGTTCCCGGGTTCTTTTACATCTTGATCCTATCTGACGAGGAACGACACACTTGTTGGACTCACCTTTGTCTCAAAACTTGACCATCGCTCTCAAGGACCAACTGCTTGACTGGCCCCTACACACCATCACCGCCGTCATTATTCAAATACATACACGTCTATGTGTCTGCTATTGAAGCACAATCAGCATTAAGGAGATATTCACACAACCCTTGGCATCATGCCCGGCATTCTGCCGATGAAGATGATCCGGGTGGGCAGCGCAGCACAAAGTCGGATCGCCCAGGCGTGCGACAGGTGCAGGAGCAAGAAGATCAGGTGCGATGGGGTCAGACCTTGCTGTACCCAATGCGCCAACGTCGGTTTCGAATGCAAGACCAGCGACAAACTCAGTCGGAGAGCCTTCCCACGCGGTTACACAGAGTCCCTGGAAGATCGTGTCCGGGGACTAGAAGCTGAGGTGCGGGAGTTGAAGTCTCTGTTGGACGAGAAGGACGAAAAGATCGACATGCTGTCGCGCATACACAGTTTCTCTCCTCCGGCGCGAAAGTGCTCGGACTCTCTGTCGCCGTCCCAGGTGGTGGAGGTGAAGGCTGAAGTCGAGTCGGCCAGGGAAGAAGTCTTGCACGTCGAAATCCCGGCGCCGGTACACTCCAAGGCGACATCGACCGGATCAACCACCACGGCTTCTTTCATCGAGGCTTTTGATCACAAAGTACAAGAAGCTGGCCGACAAACTCCTGGAGTATCTTCTTCCGCTCTCCAGAAGGCTGTACAACCTGTCCGCCAGGGCCTTGCATCTGGACCCAAGATCCCGCCGAGAATTCTCTCTGATCAGTATATCAGTATGTTCTCGTCAATTCCCTCACATTGAGTGAGCTAGCACTGACATGACCCAGATCTTTTCTTCCAAGAGTGGCAGCCTCTGCTTCCCGTACTCCACCGTCCGACCTTCTTGCGTGTGTACGAGCAGTATGTTTCCAACCCTGATTCAGGCAACTGGCAGAACAACAAACAGTCACTGGCCCAGTTGTACTTGATCTTTGAAATCTCTGCCCTGTCCAACATCACTACGTCCAAAAAGAATGCACCATCTTTCGAGAGCCATTGGCGCAAGGCTTTGTATTCGACCTCTTCCACGGCATCGGTTTCTACTCTACAATGCCACGTCCTTGCTCAGATTTGTTATTTGTTGCGGGCCGATTCGACTCATCTTCTGCGACATCGAGGCATTGCGGTGACCATGTGCCATGAACTGGGTCTCCACCAGGGCCACAAATATCATAGTCTGTCACCTCTTGAGTCCGAGACGAGAAAGAAGGTCTTTTGGTGTCAATACGTTCTGGACAAGTAAGGAATCTTTGTCAAGCATTTTGTACGGCGCTAACTATTGTTCTAGATTTACCTCTGCAACCACAGGTACTCCCATGCTCTTGAGGGACGACGATATCTCGGCTGAACTCCCTGCCGAAGTGGATGATGAGAACCTCAGCACCCAAGGTTTCTCACCTACTTTGCCAGGAGAGGTCACCAAGATTTCCAGTGCTCTTGCCCTCTTCCGTGTCACCAGAATCTTGTCAAAGGCGTTGGACAATCTCTATCCAGCCAAAGCTACCTATCAACTCTCATTGAACAAGCTGCACGCTTTGTCGGACGAGCTTGATCAGTGGTCGGAAGAATTACCTGAGCACCTTCGTTTGCGATTCATCAACGACAAGCCTGCGACACACTTGGTTAGTGACAGGTCGCCGTTGCTTGTGAGTATCCTTCCTTCCGTCGTAGTGACTCTCCTGACGATTCCACGCAGTCTATCGCATACTTTTACACACGTAGCCTGATTCACCGGCCCCTCCTCTGCCACAGCTCTGGAAGTTCGGCGTCGGCCGCCAATATCGTTCTTGCTGCAGCTGGCAAACACATTCTCCAGATCATGGATCTTTTGATCGAACGACGTATGAGCTACACTTTGCCTCTCAACAAGATCGATCTGCTTTTGAACTCTGGCCTTGCGATCCTGTGGCAATCTCTCGATCTGGAAGAAGACAGTAAACTGGTCAAGGACAATCAGAAGTCGCTGAATTATCTGACCACGATGATCCAGAACGAGAGCCCGATTGTTGCATCCGAATTCCAGAAGATGGCCACCACCTTTGTCACACTCGATGCACGACCTGCCTTGTCACCCAAGAGCATGAGTCCTGACACCACCGCCCAGAGACCATCGGCCGCCAGGAGTGCCGTCTCTGACCCCAATAAGTCCAAGTCGACTCGGAAGCAACTCCAAGCCATCGCTTCGAAATGGTCCAGCTTCAACAACAACAACACCAAGACGACTCGAGACGAGGAGGAGTGTGGACGTCGTGCCACCGTACCTCAAACCACGCCGGCACCTCAAATGCAACAACCACACCGGGCTGCCAGCACCACCAGTTTATCTTCGACACGATCGGCACCTGCCGTGGCAGCTGCGGCTGTAGCTTCGGTTGCTCCACACGCACTGGCTCCCTGCAGGAGTGTCGACGACCCGATGATGATCAACCTGGATTATCTGCCGATCGGGGACGACTTTGGTGGTGACTCTCAGACTCGAACGTCGTCCAGCACGATGCTTCCACCCAAGCAACAACAACAGCAGCAACAGACCACAGCGGCAGCCATCATGCCATCGGACGCGAGCTGGGATCACTTGTTGAACAACTTTGACAACAACAACGGCTGCGGATTGTACCCCGACATGAACGCCAATGGTCTTTACCAAGTCCCCAGCAACGAATGGACCACCGATGCCTGGAACCTGACGGGCATGGAATTTGCCTCCAAGGCTCCTGTCCCACAGAGTTTGTTGAGTTTCTCCGAGGAATCTCTCACCAGTGGCGACGATTTCTTGTTTAGTGCCCCTCCGAGCAACAATGGATCGGCGGCGGCCACCGGGGAAGCCATCGATCTCACCGAGCATTACGGAGGAATCACCATTCCCGTGGATGACGAATTTGATGTACATGAGATTGAAGCTTGAGCACGGGAGTACGATGGAATAATGGATAATGGGATGATGGGATGATGGGATTTTTGACCAGAAACTTCTTGTCTTTTTTTACTGTTGGCTCTTTCTTTTTTGCTTTCACAGGGGGGCCAGGGGGCTTAGGATGTCAGTCATCAGCAAGAGATACCCAAGAAAAAAAGGTGTTTTGTATAGGGATTTGTGACAAAGTGATACCAAGGCTGAAGTTGAAGGAGAAGAAAGACTTCTAGTGTGGCCAAATTCAGGACGCATGATCGATCATACGCAGTACAAAAGGATATTTACCTAGGTACCAACCCACCTACATAGGTACTTTGTGCGTTTTTACCTTGTACTTTGCTTTGTCTATTCAGTACAGCCGAATGAACAAGTACTACACTACCTGAGGCCTACTTGACTAGTACCTGTACTTGCACTCCAACTCCGCAGTGTAAGCAACGGGAAGAGTCGCGGTGCTTCTGACTTTGTGCCTCCACCGTCGCTAGGATGTCATCTCACGTGATCGGGAAACTTTCCTATCCGGGGTGGTCGGGACATAAACAACCGACTTATTCACGAGAGGGATCGACTTGCATCGCTGCCCGGCCGTGACAAGCATGAACCGTCTTGGACTTTTCACTTCGAAACTTGTCCTTGGATATCGATCAACCTTCAGGAACCCCGTATCCTCCGGAACGACCCCTCAGCCTCCTTGAGAACATGCCCTGGTGAAACCTGCGACAGAAAAAGGAGAATAACCACGCCTGGAGAAGTGCCTCCGGACTGGACAACACAACAAGGATGCTTGGATAGACAAGACGATGAGCAAACGACTCAGAGATGCTGAGTTGATGGGAGAAGACATCATTGACACTTACCTCTCGGAAGAGCCGCTGTGCGAGTCGAACCACCCGACAGAGAGTGATGAACCGAAACTGCGACGCTTTGTCGTCGATGGCCGAGAGAGTCTTCAACGGCCACGCCTGATAGGCAAGGGATTGCACGGCGTCGCGATACTGGCAACCATCAAAGGAGACGAATACGTTTTGAAAGTTGTGAGTTCAGATCATGATTTGTGCTGCGTATTATTATCATCATTATCATTATTTTCCACTCCTGGGCTGGCTGACACGTAGGGATTTCGAAAAAAAAAACAGTTCAAGCATTGGAAACAACCCGGCCCGGTCTATTATAGATACGATGATGCCATCCTCCTCTCACCGCTCGCGTGTGAAAGCAGAGCCTACGCTCGACTCGATTCTCGCAATGAGAATGATGGAATTTGGGCCGCTCAGTGCTATGGATGGATGAGACTCTCGGATCCTCAATTCCAGGAGCTTGGAAACGTTGTTGATGTTAATAAACATGACCTGAGCCGGTGGGTTGTCGTTAAAGAATACATTCCATCTCCGACACTGCCCTGCGATCTTCCGGAGATCTTCGCGAATTTCGAAATCCCGAAACGAGCACGAATAGTGCCCCGGGACGCTCGACTCGACAACTACAGAGGGTCAAAGATTGTCGACCTTTCGAGCGCTCTGACGGAGCCGTCTCCGCGATGGACAAAGTTCAAGTTTGAGCTTTTCTACGGGAACACCACCTTTGGTATCTTTCAATGGTTCAAGGGAGTCGAACATGCCTACGAGCCTCCTCCTCGGCATCGCGACAATCACCTTCTCACTAGGCCTTTGCCTTTATGATTCGAACCCTGGGAGCTCGAGCCAGAACCAGCCGCCGCCGCCCCAAGGGCTTCACCAGGTGGTCGCTGTACAATGCTTTCTCGAGGCATTGCGGAAGTGATGTTGTAACGCTGCATGGTGTGATAAGTGAGCCCCCAGTGAGCCCTCAGTGAATGATAACAGCCCGCGTCTTCGAAGTGCAATTGACCTATAAACATCCCCCATGAATTCACGCAGACCTGTGGTTTCAGGCAGAAACCGATGCCATTGTTGAAGACGAAACTGGAAATGCCGAAAACGGTCTAGTGTGATTCTCGACAAATCGATGTCGTCATAATTTCGACATGATGTTTTTCGCGACCGATGGCACTTCTTTGTTTTTCCTCCATACGCGCCCCCATCATCATCAATGCGTCAAAACCGTCGAGTCCTCACATCACACAGAAAGGTCTCTGGGGTCTGGGGTTTTGACGAGTGCCAATGACGAGAGGTGGAAATAAAACTCAAATCACGAACGACAATGACAATGCCAATTGACAAGGAAGTCTTCATCTCTACCTAGTACTCTCCTCCCTCTCTCTCTCTCACTCTACTCGTAAAGTCCCAAGTCGTGTGAGATCTCGCCTTTTCTTTTTACATCCCATCACACTCGTACGGGTATTGCGTATCGAATCGATCATTACCCAAGTAGTAAATTTGATACGCTCCTCACGACGGCAGCACGATTCGGTCAACACCACGGGCCACACATACACAGGATGTCACCACGCCTGCTTTCCATCTCCTCGTCCACCGTCTTGCGCTCCTGGACACGGTCAAATAAAACGACGCCGCCCGTCATTCGTCCTTCTCGTTCCTCGTACACCTCGACGACGTCCTTGCGAGCCAAAGCGCCCGACAGCACACCGGGTTGGGAAGGTCGACCGATAGAAGACCACGCCGTCCACAGGTCCCCTCACGACCCCCAGGCCGAGGGGGCGAAACAAGGCATGAAGGACCACGAGGAACTCAAGGAGGGGAGCCAGGCCATCTCGAGGCGCGACGAGGATCAGTCGAACAAAAAGGCCAAACGGGACCACCCCGAAGCGCCGGAACCGGTGATTGGGATGAACGAGGAGAGGGGGTCGGTGAGTTTACTATAGATTTATAACCCACGGAACCCTACCGATCAACCCCCTTCACACACACGCATGTACACCACTAACATGATCATCACAGAAGGGACACTGACGGAATACCATTACTGTAACTATCCGACAGAGGAGAGTGAGAGAAAAGCGCTCCTCAGACGACCAAGCAACGATATCGTCAAGGGCGTTTGCTGCATTTCGGACTTCGACATGAGTTATCACGAGTACGGGTTACTTTCCATACACAGGCATGTACATGGGCATTGTCAACGAATCAAAATCGATCAAGCTGATTTCTTGTCGTTCATGGTACTCTATAGATATGTATACATTCCGCATGTTCCTTGTATTGTCCCACATTTGCCCCCGGGTCCGTCATATTCATTCGGGCAGCATTACATTGTCTCTCCTTTTTTATATCCTGTAGGGTATCTTGTCATCTGTACGTATCATCTCACCTCGTCTTGCCTGGTCTCATCTCGATCCATCTAGTCCGGACGCCGCCCAAAACATGTCTCAACAGCCATCCATCACCTTCCCACATGAAACGAAAGAATGTCATTCTTTCCCACACTCACCACTTGATCTTCGGCAACTCTTCTCCCACCGTCTCCCTCGATAAAAGCAATCGGTGCATCTCCCATGACTTTCCTCGCCACGTCAGCCACCGTGCTCCCCTTTTTCACCAGCACACAGTCCCTAAACACCACCGTCGATCCGGCCGTCCCGGAACCATACGTGTGGATGTTCTTGACCGGAAACACGGGCACGAGACCTAGTAGTGTAGCCGCCCTCGTCAGAACCTGAACCACACCGGTACTCCCAAACCGATAGAGCACCATGTCTTTCAAGTTTTCGATCCTCGTCTTGAGTTTATCGTCCATCTCTTTGAGGCCACCACCGTCCTGATCTCCCTGTTCTATCAAATCTTCCCTCGTGTCCAGGTACTCCGCACCGGGCGTGTACTTGATGTAGCCTTGCTTGGCGAGCCGGCGCAGGAAAACCTCGCTGATGGCACTGCACAGCACGATGCTCTCGGCCGGCTGTTGTTTCGCGATCTTGGCGATGTTCCGGTCCGCGTCGGGGTGATCGATCTTGTTGAGTGCGAGGACCGTGGGGAATTTCTCGTCGGTAAACGCATTGACGACTCTCGAGATCGTCTCGTCGGACCACTCCTCCAAGGGAGTCTTGAGACCGAGTTTGTCCAGGCACCGCGCCACGACCGCGCTCGTACTCCCGTAGCCCGAGAACTGGTTCTGGAGCGTCTCGACCGCCGTCGACTTGACCGCCACGTGCCGCCGTCTGATGCTGCCCCATTTTTCCATCAGGTTGCCCTGGATCCAGCGCACAATCTCTCCGCGCAACCACTCGACGTCGACACTCGGGTCGTAGCCCCGCGTGGCTTTTCCTTCTGCGTCGGTCGTGCCGGAGACGTCGACGACGTGGATCAACGCATCGGCGTGACGGAGGTCGTCGAGGAATTTGTTGCCCAGCCCTTTACCTTCGTGCGCACCCGGCACGAGACCGGCGACGTCGAGAAGTTCGATCGGCACCGAACGCTTCCCGTCTATGCAGGAGCCGTAGTTGGGACGACACCGCGCAGATAGGCCATGCCGTTGACATGCGCAGTCAACTTGGAGGTAACCCACGGCGCGCTGGGGGTCGATGGTGGTGAATCTAGGGGAGGAGAATCAGAAAAGATCGAGGGGGGTCCATAAGGTAGTCGATGAAGCGGAGGAGGGGAGGCCCTTACGGAAAATTGCCTGTATAGTATTCATATCAGCCTCAAGGTCTCTTTTTATTTTGTCGTCTCTCGTCTCTTTTTTCCTGCTTGCGCTGCAGGATAGACTTTTTTTTTGCTCAACATCGCGGACTAGGTAGGCTGGGTTGGGTGTGTGTGTTATGGGTTCTGAACTGACCGACTTTCGAAGATGCATCTGTCAAGCTTGAGATCTGTGAGTTTCTTGCTTCATTCTCAATCTAGTCCGTGGTGTTTGCGCACCTGATTAATGTGGTGGATTTGCCAGAACTTGGTTTTCCCACCAGGCCGATCAAAGGGTCTCGGGGCATTTTTGGATAGTTGGGCGTCAAGAGAGACGAGGGGAAAGGATTCGAGGGGAGCGCAGTATGCTCGGCCGCTTACCGGCCCCCAGGGTCTGTTCGAGACAATAGTTTTCTGAAGGTATTTGAAGACAGCAAAAATGCCTTGCGCTCTCAGAAAGTTGAGGCTGCGGAGAAAACGGAATCGGGGAATTCAAATGACGTGCAATGTTCATCCGACGCCATGAGATCCTGCAACGACAACGACCATTTCATACTCTCATGTTACTATATCAACATGGAGACTTATCCAGACTTTGATTTTCTATTCCCTCTATGGCTAGTATTACTAGATATGGAGATGCACTGCAGTGTGCAACAATTAAAAAACCATCATACTCCATCACATCATCGAAAACCCTCGTCATGTGTGGTGACCACTTTAACAATCCGCAATGGAACCATTCATTCCATAAGATTCTCTGTTCAGACGTACTCAGAATCCGATTCTCTAATCTCAAGGAATGAAAGGATTGTTGTTGTTGTTGTTGTAGTTGCAGGATATCGAGTTGATCGTTCTGGCGACTTTAGCCGTTGCACTGTTGGCTCCGCAAAACCGATTTAGGGGACTTTTGCAAAGCTCACGGCCGACTATCTTGAGCCTAGGGTCTCTCTCCAGCTTGCACTCTCGTTCTGTCGATTTGAGTGTGATGCATCTCACAAGGATCTGATAAAGCGTCTGCCGAATTCTGCCGGAGTGCTTATAACATCCTGGAAGGAAATTGCGCGAGCCATCCACTCTTCAACATCGCTGGTGAAGACATTCATGTGATTGAAGTCGTGAACACGGAACCCTCCAATGACTAGGTATCCTGTCAGAAAGAACAGCGGACAAAAGGGTCTCTGACTTACCAATACCACAGACCCATGCTTTTTTGTTTCCACCATCGTAAACACACACCATCCCTCCAGAACGTCCGTGCCAAGCAGTATGGTCGATGTATTCCTGATGAGGCTCCAGTTTGAGCCCATGTTCATCAGGATTTTCTCTGAATTTTCCAAATGCTACTGTTCGCCGCGATGGCTTGAGCTCCTCAAGACTTGGTGGTCGATCTTCTGTGTAGCCCTGTGGCAAGTTAGCCTCCTCATGACTGCTAGCAGAGATTCATACATGAGCCAGCACGATGTCGGACTGCTTCTCTGAGGATTGACGTTGGAAAAAGTCCGACCAGGTGTCGTTGAACTCCTCTTGATTGACGGAGATGTTGTAACCCACCGACCAGCAAAGCTGCGTCTTTCTCAGTTCCGCTCGCGAATGTTCAGCCGTAAATACCATCTGGGACGGATCGACCACTGGATTCCAATGATCAGTGCGGGGTCGCTCCAGGATATGGAAAACTGCGATATCCTGATCAACAAGGACAGCTGAGAGGCGGATCTTGAAACGGTTTCGCAAGGCTGCTGTCGCTACTTTGAATTAGTCCACAGGAGAGTTTTAGCATTGGTAGCTAGGAACTCACGGGTTGTGATCTCTCGAACCTGCAGAGCTTCGTTCACACCATTCATTCCTGAATGAAACATTCGAGCTGCATCCATGAACCCTTGCTCGGTCTCAGGCCAAGTGACGAAATGGGCACAAGTGATGATAGTGTCTCGGCCTAGTCGGAAACCAGAAACCCGAGAGGCATGAGGCTGGCCGGGAATACCGATTCGCAGGGCGACAGCTGCAAGACTCGTCTTCATGAGGGATGGCAGTTGCTAGCACTCGTTAGTCTTCCACAGAAGGATGCTGACACTGGCTAAAATGTACCTCGTAATCACCGGACAGGAAGTTGTCTTGGATCTTTCTTATCTCAGGGCTGTCCACCGCAAAGAAGGCATTGTCTTCGAGAATGTGCAATTGACATAACGAACCAGATCCTGTATCATTGCTTGTGAATCCACTGAATCGGAAAGGCTTAGGTGATATTGACGGAGACGTGACGTCCTGGACATCCTCATCCTTCGTGTTTGGTGGGGGTGTGGTTGGTAGCTTGCATTCCGCCTTTTTTAGCATGATAGCGTGTTGCTCTTCAGACATACCGTAAAGCGGACCTTCCACTAACGGGGGCCAGACAAAAAGTGCAGACAAGTAGTTCAAGTAGTTGCGATTGCTCGGCGCGTTCTGCGTTGAAGAGGACTGTTGGCTAACATGAGAGGAGTCATGACTATATGAGGATTCTGTATGTGATTCCGATTGTGAAGACGCGCTATCCATGTTGACCGTAGGTTTGCTTGCCATTGCTGCAACTCAAACCTCACCACCACAGATGTTGGAAGACTGATTCTCGGTGGGTCTGACGTGAAACGGCAGCCTGCAGAATGTGATCCGTTCGCAGAAGAGAGAACGCTGAGTGCAGCTGAAGGGATTAAGAAGAACAAAAGCTCATCTCTTACCTTGACATTAAGATTTATGCTCATTTTGGGTAGGCAAGCCATGATGAGACGTGAATGGAGACGGCTCGCTCTGCTGCACTTGCTTGTTGTGCAGTGGTGAGCCTCACGCGTGCACCAAGCGGTCGCGTTGGGGAGCAGAGCTTTATCACTGTGACACAACCAGCTTCACCTGTGTCACCCACCAAAATTTTTGAACAGAGAAAATGTCGGACAGTGTCACATAATAGTGACAGGTCAGAAGATCTGCAAAGGTCTCTCGCACACTGAGTGAACCGGATACTCCCTGCTCCGTACTGTATATGGATTTGCGATTAGCTGACGAACAACAACGTGCTAGAATGATTGTTTGTAGATCGTATCCTACGCCTCAATAATAGGCCTCGGCGGTGTTGGGCGGGGTTCAAGTGCGTCCAGAAGTACAAACCCTTGAGCGGCGACAAAGACCAATGCTTACCTAAGGAGAATCAAATACCTGCGGAGAATGTCACCAGATACTCACGCCGCGAAACTTTCCTACCAACACTTCTCACACACTCTTGCATGTATCAATCATAGAATAGATGATCACTGGTTACCAAGCAAGCGACCATGGCTTCCAATGAGCCTAGACGAGATGGACGCTTGGACGAACAGACATCTTCGCTGAACGGTAACAAGGCGCATGCAATTCCAAAGTTGGTCCCTCGATCCCAAGGAAAACCCTCCAGAACAGGAGCGCCGTCAGAAGCTGCCCCAGAGACACCTGAACTTCCTCTTCCTCCTCAACTTGACTCTGTACAATTCAAGACTCCCGTTAAACGCATTCTATCCCCGACAGACCACAAAAAATTCCTCGCCTCTCCTACCTACACCCTCATCCAGTCATGGATATTTACCCTGGCAGACTGTGTCAAAGGCCGTAACAACTCGACGTTGGATATTACAAAACTCTCCACACAGATCCGACAACTGGACGCGGTTCTCGATGCCATCAAGACTCTCATCGAACGCTATCCTCCACTTGATACCGGTTCTAGATTTGGCAACCCTGTCTTCCGAGACCTACACAAGGCCATAGTAAGAGATGTGGAATCACTGCACACAGAAGAGCTGGGTCTGCACGAAGAGGCTGCCATACAGGAGATTTCGGTCTATTTTATCAACTCTTTCGGATCAGAAGAGCGACTAGATTACGGTTCTGGACATGAATTGAACTTTATGATGTGGCTGCTGTGCTTGTATCAGTTGGGTTTTGTTCCGCGTGACGATTTCCCTGCGATTGTTATGCACACATTCACCCAGTACCTCGATCTGATGCGGAAAATCCAGAGCACATACTACCTAGAGCCAGCTGGAAGCCATGGGGTCTGGGGTCTGGACGACTATCAATTCTTACCGTTCCTGTTTGGGGCCAGTCAGTTGATCGGGCATCCGTACATCACCCCGAAATCCATACACAACAATGTCGTGTTGGATGAGGAAGGCGACAAGTATATCTATCTCAACCAGGTCCGATGGGTCGATAGCGTCAAGACGGTCAAGGGACTCCGTTGGCACAGTCCAATGCTGGACGATATCTCTGGCGCCAAAAGTTGGCAAAAGGTCGAAGATGGCATGAGAAAGATGTTTATCAAGGAAGTGCTGGGCAAACTGCCTATCATGCAACATTTCCTCTTCGGTGGCTTGATTCCAGGGACGGACGACATGGGTCACTTGGACCTGGAGACCCTTCGCTTACAAGAAGAAAGGATGAAACATGTTAAGGAAAAGGGCCACGAACCTGATTATTGGGGCGATTGCTGTGGCATCAAGGTGCCGAGTACGGTAGCAGCAGGAGAAGAGATGCGAAAACGAATGGGCACCTTTGGTGCACTGCGCCCGATACCATTCGACTAGCATGAGGTGCTTGGATGTTGTGCAAGCCAAACATTGTGTGTAGCTCAGCAAATGATACCAATTTACCCAGACGCGCAAAGCAAGGCGTCGACGCGGAGTGGCAGCCCTGAAATGCACAGCTGTGTTGGTTTGGAGTGAACGACAAATCAATGGGCAACACAGAGGACAACAGGGTGGAGAATTGATGCCCTTCGGTGCGTGGCATGGTTCGCGGCGTGGGAGAGGACGAAAGATCCTCCTCGTACCAAGTCAAATTGCGGCTAGTTTCATGTATTTCACCGGCTCAGCTTAAGGAGGCGGAGAGTCTATTGATGCCTTTCCGGACAGCTACCTGTGGATTGACAACTACAGACGTGATCATTGGACATGCAAATCGCGTGACAGCGATCAAGATACGAACATGTGTGCGAGTTGAGGGAATTCGAATCCTTCAGGCCGCCTAACAGCCCTTCAACACCACCCTTGGTTCTCGGTAGGTTGTATTTAGTGACAAGTTGATCAATGGAGCCAGAAGCAGAGTCTGCCTATCAAAGAAGTCACAGATGCAATGCCTGAGGTACGCTGTAAATGAAACGAGGCACCTATGCATAAGGTAGCATGCTTTCAGCCTTGCCGGCTTTACGAGAACGAGCATGAGTACGAGTGAATGCATTCTTGCCCCTCCTTTGCCCAACCATAGATTCCTCGTGAGACCTTTTTCTTCCCTGCCCCTTCACTTTCTCTCACTCTCTCTTCACCTGAAAGTGGTACCAAGGTTACAACCGCGAGGACTTGAATTGGCATTGGGTGTGAATCACGCGTCAGTCTCTTCCGTCACTGATTCGTTCGCCTCGTTCCCTCTTTGCATCCTCCTTCCTCTCACACTCTCTCTACCTTGCATACCGACTTGTGCGTGTGAGAACACTGACAGCACTTCGAACACCATAAGAATCCTACTATCGTCAACCACTCAATCACGAATCGACATGGCAAAGAAATCCGGCAACAAGCCAATCCGGCGCCATGGACTTCCAAAAGCCCCGATCATCTACATCAACGACCCAGTTGAAGGCATGCCTCATGCTCGCTACATCCGCGACCTGATCCCAGACAGCATCCTTGCTTTCGGACCTCCTAGCGACAGAGACACTCTGACGAAAAGCCTCCCCGTCTCACTTGAGAAGCTCCAGAAGAAGCTCAAAATCAATGACCGTGTTCTCATTGTCGCAGACAACCGTCTTGACGATGAGACTGATGTCAAGATCGAGACGGCCAAGGAATTCCACAAGCACGCCATCAAGTATGGTTGTAACTTTGCCAGTATCGACTTGTACTTTGGTGGTCTTGCGTCCGAAGTCAAGTTGACGTCCTGGAACAGCAATCACCTCAACGTCTGCATCAGCAATATCCCTGTCAAGGACATTTCGGAGAAAGTGTTTCGCTGGCTTTGTACGTTTACGGTCGACAATGCTCCCTTTTCAAGGTTGTGACCGTGGTGACTGACTCTTGTGGCTTCTTCCAGTCAAGGCGTTTACCGCCCACGAGACCTTGCACCTCATCCCAGACTCCGAGATGACCAAGATCGACAAGAAGTCCTTCCCTGATTACGAGTACTGCCCTATTAGTGATAGCCATCATCATGGAAAGGATGCGAAGATTCAATTCGTCGCAGTGGTCACATCTCGCCCCGAAGTGGTTGGTGACAGACTTCAATGGAGTGTCGCTGACAAGACTGGTACTGTACGTATATTTCTATTCCCTCCCTCCTTCATGGCTTCTCTCTAACCGTTTATCGTTCTATCGGGTCTAGGCCAATTTCTACTTCCAACACCGCGGTCCCAACAGCCAATACACCTGGAACTGGGTCCAGAAGCTCCAAGTCGGTGATCGCAAAGTCCTCCCTCGTATGCCCATGGTCAAGGTCAAAGAACGCAAGAGGGTCCGTGTGGCCAAGGCACCCTTCCGAGCCGTCGGCTACGCCTTTCAAGGAGTCGGTGTCGCAGTCTCTGGCGTCGCACGTGGCCTCGAGAAGATTGGCGAAATTGGCAAGATGGGCAAGAGCGCCGAATGGGTCCCCGAGGCCGATGTCCTTGACGGCAAGAAAGTAGGCTGGGAAAAGAAGGAAAAGGAATTGGAGAAGAGAGTCAAGATGGAGCAGGCGGAGAAGAAGGTCGAGTACAAGGTGTTCAATGAGAAAGGAGAGAAGACTTGGAAGGACGATGATAGTGTCGCGAGCACGACAAAGGCCAGCGAGACTATTGGAGTCAGCATCGAGAAGGATTATGATGACGAGAGTGTCCCGAGCACCACGACAAAGGACCGTGAGATTGTCGTTGATGTCATCATTGAGAAGGAGTTTTGTTGAGCGTGACGAGACAGAAGGGAAAGACAATCAAAGACCATGTGGATGTGTGTTGATTGACAAGAAGTGAAGGCCTATGACCACACCACACTTCTCTCTATCTGATGGGGTCTCTCTGCAACGGCTGGGTTGAGGTGAGGCAGAAAGGTCATTATTGCCCAATGACAGATTTACAGTTGATGGTGCTTCAAGGTTACTTACTGCAAGGGGGAGAGAGCGGTAATTATGTTGTTGATGATGATGATGATGATGATGACGACGATGATTTTATGCGAAGGTTTTGAAGAAAGGGAGATTCGAAGAAAGACATCTCGACAGAATCCTTTTTTCTACTCGACTTGTGCTGTTGTATTTGATGAGATAACGATTCAAACAACTTTGACTATTGAGCTTTATTCATTCTTGGTGTGTGTGTGTGTATGTGTGTGTGTCTCTCTCTCTTTTGAGGGCGAAGTCTACTTAGGTACGTAAGGTATGATTGCACGGACATATGCATGTATGTAGTATGTATGCCTTCACAAGGAGATGCAGGTAGAAAAGGCGACCAACATTTCCGCCTATCTTTTCTCTCTTTTCTTCCTCTTGTTCTCTCCTTTCTCTCTGTGGCCCTCCCAAAGATTTCTCGAATGGCTGGGCTGGTGGAGAGGGTTTGAGGGAATGGCATACCGCAGTTTGCCTACTGTAGCTGCAGGTGTGTGTGTACGCACTCTTGCGTATTGCACATTTTTGCCTTGCATCTTCATTGTTTGCCTTGCATTAGGTAGACCACAAAAGTACTGTACAGTGTGTGCTCGAGTCGGCATCATTACGCCTTGTTTGTTCTAGATGAGGTACGTACTTATCATGTCCTCCGTAAGGGAGTGAAACATTATCCTGCAGCCACACCAGTGATGGTCATGTCAAAATGAAAGGCCAATGCAAGGCCAAAAAAAAGAAAGCAGGGCCGAAATCAGGCGTACACCAAAATCGGAAATTCCACAAGCCAGAATCCAACCAACGCCCAATGCCTAAAGCAAGGCGTTTCAAAAAGAGAGAGAGTCATAACGTACGGAACATCAAATCTGCCCCGAAGGATTGAGTCGTACTCGTGTTTCATATGACGGATAACCCACCATTTACGCCTTGGTGTGGTGTTGGTCAGAAATGAGACACCGTGACACGAGGCAGACACGAGGCAGCACAGTTGGAAATTTTCCTTGACAGAAAGATGTATGGTTTGAGCGCGCGCGCGCGAGAGAGAGATAGCTGGCGCTCCAATGGCAAAGCCGGGCGCAAAAAGATACGATCAAAAACAAAAATAGCAAGGCGAATGTAAGGCTTTCTTTTGCAACCAGCCTCGGGAACGGGAAAGCAAAGAGAGAAAAAAGGCAACGTACATGCTCCGTAGCGGTAACACAGCCATTGAGTTAGATACCTATCTACCTACTGTACAGAGTACGGAATAGATACAGAGGTACGGACTATCACATAGACCCTACTCTTACATTACGCACAAGGCTGCATGTACCAATAATGAAGCAAGCCATATGTCTGTAACAAGGCTACAAGTCATGTGATAACAGAGGTATTACTCTCGCTGTGACTATTGTCGAAGAACTTATCATATCATAAATAATATAATCTGTATCCTTGGTGTGTCCGCTCTCTTAAATATCCCTCCTCGACCCCATTATTCTCAACCAGAGCTTCAGAAGATCAGTCCCAGCCTCTATGAATTGGTGGCATAGGTAAAGCAAACACACTCCCATCACCTTGTATGACCAGAGATGTTCCAGCGACTCTACAGTCAAAATGTCCCACGATATTCTCGCCCATCAAGCAAGCTTCTCGGTTCTGAAGGGGAATATCCTTGTATACGCCATCAAACGAGAGGGCCTGGATGGCCACCGACGTCGTAGCACCATCGAGTGCATCTCTGCCGGGGATGAAGGCGAAACCAGCAATGCCTAATGAACCGAAAACCAGAACGACGCCGCCAACGAAAATCGTCTGGTACAGTAACCCCAGTCCGGCTGCCGTGACGGCCCGGCCTGCACCGACAAGGACCATCCTCAGTGTTGTTATGCCGAAGGACAATTGTGACCCTCCAGCAACAGCCAGGACTATCGACGTGGCCAGCAGGGCGACGTCGGCAACGACGCGCAAGGGGTCAGCTCTACCCCCCGGGCCAATGTCGACCGCGACCTCATTGGTATCCGGAAGATTTCTCCAGAGGTGCGAGTTCTTGACGATCTCCCAATGGTCATCCCAGGGATCGTGCAAGTAGAGATACGTTCTGGCGCTGCCGGAGCTTATGGTGAAGAATTTCCACGCGTCCACCGCCCAGCAATCGGTCCCGCCGTCAATCTCCGTCTCGAAGACGCCGAAAGGGACGCTGTGGTTGACCTGCATTGCCGGGAGGGTCGTCGTTCCGCCGTACAAGCTGAAGCGGTGCGCGGCGAGATTGTCGATGCCCGTCAAGCCTTTGAACAACTGGAGGTAGGCGAGATATTCCGACGGCAGCTCTTTCTCGTCGTACTTGGCTCGGAGAGTGGTGTTGGATTGAGCCCAAGTTTTGTAATAGTACTCGAGGTCCCTCGGGTTGAAGAGGCCTTTCATGCAGTTCGGTGTGTATTGCATGTCAACGACGGCCGGATTTGGAGAGAGATTGATAATCAGCAAAGGTACCTGCAACCCGGCCAAGCAGGCCGGAACACAAGCGAGAAAAAGTAAGACAGTCTTCATGGTGCCGACCACGCAGTCTCCGAGTCACACACCAACCAGGCAGGGCCGAGAATGTGGTAGAGCGACGCGTGCCCCCTGGACATGCCTTATAACCCTCAGGCGGCCGAGGGTTTGTTGACAAGGGCAGACTACTCGTGGTAGTCCTGCGCGCCGGGTCATGGCTCCAGCGCTGCTCTGCTCGAGGGATGGAGAGTTTACATTCACCGTGGCAACGAACTCCCTTCATCAGTTCCCATTCATGACATTAGCCTTCCAGTCAAGAGACAGCCTTCTTTTTGTGTTTTTATTGCTCGGAGCCAGCAGGTTGGACCGCCGACCAGTCAGTCCTCTGTACTGTTTGCCCAGCCCTCAAGCTACCGAATATGGACCACCGGACCGCGGAGTGGCCCTGAGAGTCCAGATCCCTGGTCGCCAACCAGCATCCCCGCGAACCATTTCGAGATCCGTGCCTGGTTTTATTTTGAAACTTTATCTGAGCCTGTTTCCAAACCAGCCAGTCTCATCGCTGCGATCCAAGATAAAGTTAATCTCAAGGTTCGGACGCCGGGATCATCTGGTCCGTGGAGGGAGCACAGAGTGCAGTTTACGGTGGTTGGCAGGGTAGAAGACCATGCCGCCAGGCTCACTGGCCATGAGAGAATACGAAATGGGCACAGAGTGTGTGCTGGACAGCAATATCTTCGAGCCTCGGGGAAAACCCCTCTCCCGCCTCCACTCGACCACCCTCACCACAGACCTCGCGCCTATCTGTGTCCTCCAGTACATTGCCAATGTCTCCCACACACCTAGATATTGCAGTCAGATTTTCGGAAATCCCATTTCCCTGCCATCCTTATTTCCCGCCATCCTTTTCGACGACAGGGCAATCCAGGGGGAGGAATCATGTCTATATATTCGGCTTGCCATCTTCAGTTTTGGTGTTGGTGCCAGTCATCTAAACATACTCCAATATTATTCTCCTGACCACACAAGAACAAACATCTGATTCTGTCGCTGCTCAGAAAATGGCCCGATTCCCCAGACTCTTTGGCGCTGCCGCACTCATGAACCTTACACTGCTTGCCCACTGCCGCCCACTCACTGACAGTGCCCCCGTGAACTCTTCTGCTCCTTCATGGGCGGAGTGGTCTGAACCTCGAGCGACATCTTCCTATACGAGTAGACCATCATCATCCACTTCCAACATTCCCATCCCCAATCCCAATCCCAATCCCACCGTCAATCCCTCCAATGGATCGTGTACTTCGTACAACAGCACCCCAGCCTACACCAACACCCCCGAGACGTTGGATGACGCGTTCACGATCGAATACTTTCCAGATTATGACTTCACCTCCAACAGCCCTGAACCGGAAGACCCGTCTCTTCCCGACCCAGACGGAAAACTGATGGAGCGAATGGCCGAAGACGAAGCCGATCTTCCAGCGTACCTCAGATTCGTCAACGGCACATCGTCCTCGGACAAGCTAGTGACGAACGTCGATGATGTTCTCCAGAACGCGGGAATGACGTCGTCGAACAGTGCCATCGCAGGCGCCCTCCTCTACTCTTTGAACGGGGCCGTGACTGCGACTTCGGGGACGTCGCCGACATTCACGTCCACGAAAAACGTGACCGTCTCCGAGCGAGACATGACCGTGTTCCTGGAGTCCTGTCTCCTCGATTACGACTCGTGCGTGTTCTGGGACGCCGACACGATGGAGGTCGTGGACGCCACCATGGCCATGGCCGGGACCGATCTTTGGGAGACGCGGGACGAGAATCAGAGTGTCTGGCCCGTCATCGCCCAGTGGGTGCTGGAGTTCGGCGTGGACATCCTGGTCGGGGATCGCCCGACCACCAATGACATGGTCATCCCGATGAGATTCGCACCGGGCGGTGTGATGTTGGCGGCCTCTGGGCCAGTCACGGTCCCTTCGGTGGGCAGTTCTTGAAGGAAATCAACAGTAATACGGCCATTGCCGCGTTCTCGGAAAGGCGCCTCCGCATGGAGAGCCGTTGTATTAGTAGAAATCACCCAATCACACATGTAGCGTGTATAGAGATGAATGTTTATGAATCATGGACCAAAGCTTTCAATGACCTTGACAAAGTAAATGCGATCATCACCGTTGTGGCGGCGGGATTGTATGGTTGGTTCGACTAGACGGGACAGAGCTGCTTCGGACGAGACACGCCTGAAACAAGTGAATAGGTGAATAGCCCCCTTTGGATGACACCCTTGGTGACGTTGAATTCTGATGTGTGGTCGTCGGATGGATGTGCGTGACGCCGAGATGCGGCTGGCATTGACACTGGGCTCGCTTGAACGGCGCAAAACCATAGCAACCCACTAACCAAAGACTTGGGGCATCGAAAGGGAAAAGATATAATGAGAGACGACCACGTGGAAAGGGAACATGTATAATGACAAGAAACTATAGTTCTGGAAAGGGAACATGTCTGACGCCGTAAAACTCCTAGGACAAACATCACAACACGTCTCAAGCACGTCGGTATCCCACCAGGTGAATTCCCCGATCGTACCTCTCACATCCAGGCCGTGCGACCCAACTCGAGGCCCGGTAGTTTCGTTGATCGGTCAAACAGATCTTGTTGTCGGACTGCAGCGCCCAATAGACGATGTCGTAGTCGCAGGTGTCCAGGTCAGGCCTGTAGTACGACCTCAGTCCGCCGGCGGCGCCCTTCATGCCGCCCAGTGCGTACTTGCACCAGTTGTTCTTGACGGGGTCGCCGACCCCGAACACGGGCAGGTTGAAGAGGCACATGGGCAAACTCCCCGTGAGGATCTGATCCGCCGTGGCCTTGGTCTGCATGGGGGGGTAGAAGTTGCCCTGTCGTGGCTGATCGTCGGCAAACGGATCCCCCAGGGCGTTCTGGCACGCCACCGACGCCGCGTAGACGTCCCCGATGTTGAAGTTGTACCCTGCGGACTTGAGCAGATCGTCTTTGAAATTGTTCAGTCCCGCCGAGTTCTGTTCGAACCACGTCTTCTTTTGCACGAAGCAAGTGTCGGAGGACCCCGGGAACATGGTGACCCGCAGGATGTCGCCGAACGGGTTCCACGTCAGGTCGTTGACGACCTGGGCCTCGCCTTCGTTCAGCATGGGCCGGCGGGCCATTCGAAATTCATATTGTCCCCCGATGTCTGCGCACTGGTACCACCCGTCGTTGGCGAGCCAGCCTTTGGACTTGGCCGACTTGGCCGCGCTCTCGCAAGCGCTTGAGCTGGAGACGCGCTGGGTCCAGAAATAGATCTGGGGGTGAAAGAATCGTCAGCAAAGGCTCATGTTTCGGTGTAACGGACGTGGAACGAAACTCACCGCCTGGTTCTGTATCACCTGCATGAAAACCATGGCATTGAAAAACGCCTTGACCTTCGGGATGGTGACCGAGTCTGGCTCCTTGTTCGCGTTGATCTTGGCCCATTCTCCGCCCAGGAGGATGCTCTTCATCCCGGCCACGGCCACGGGGCCATTGGTGGTTTGGTATTCCGTGGCGGCCCAGTAGAGAATGTTCTTTTCAAACGCCACCAGGTGCGTCAGTGGGTAACTCTCAAAGTCGGAAAAGACACGAGCATCAAAGAAATCCCAAGACGAGATGGTAGAAGGCGCAACTCCGGGGTTGAGTCCTTTCATGGCTATCACGGCCTTGCTGTTGCTGGGTTAGGTTCTGTTGCAGCGGTAGCAAAAGGATTTGGGCACTCACGCTGCCTGATCAACCAGCTTTGCAGACTTTTCCACCCCTTTGTTCACATCGTCGACCCAGCTTTTGACGGGCTGCGTTTCCAATGCTGACACACGGTCCAGAATGTCCGCGATGACATTGTCGGAGGCACGCTTGTCGTGGGTTGATGCTCTAGGATAACGGCGGCGAAATACATCCGCATCGTCCTCTTCGCGCTTGCTCAAGGATTTGGTGGCCGTGTAGATATTGCTCAATAGAGTAACTGCCGGGGCCAAAGTCGGGGCAAAGACACTGACGGCAGCCAACGCGGGAAGGATTATGTCAAAAATGCTGGTCGCTTTGGGAGGGTCACTTTGCAGAAACACTCGGTGCGCGGTTTGGATGTTGATTTGAGAATTCGATACCGCTTGGTTGACGATCTAGGGACAACAAATCAGCTCTGACGAAGGATGAGTCGAAGGAATTACTGACCTGGAAAGCCTGTCTGTTGCCCGACTGCCACACCTTCATGACTTGACGGACAAAGGCAGCCCTGTAAGCATCGTCTTTGCTGATGTATGAATATCTCTTGCTGTCGTCGACGGGTGAGACATTGCACGATTCGTACAAGCTTTCGCAGAGGACCAGGTTCTCTTCTCCCTGGCAGCATCATTCGACGTTAGCGGAAAGGAGTCTGGAAGAACACAACACGAATCGAGTCTTACCGTTGAAAGCCAAAAGTCGCGAAAGAAGTGTGTGCTGTCCATGAGTCGCGTTCCAGGCTGTCGAGGAATGGGCACTCTTTGCACATATCTAATCAGCCAATTGTCCATGTCGTTATCGACCCATTGTTCCTGGGTGATTTCGCCGCTGAAATTGCCAGGGCCGCTTTGCCGTTTGACAAACCTCAAGGGCTGATCCGTGTCGTTATCAGGAAATCCAGCAATTGCTAAGGCCTCTTCACTGGTGATGAATGCAATAGCTTCTGCGCTGAGAGGCGGGACACCTTCATCCGGGTTCCAGTCGTCGCTGGTGCTATTCTGCCATCCGTTGTTTGTGTTGTTTTGCCATCCATTGGTACCAGTTCCAGTCCAGCCACCGCCTTGATACGCTCCGCCGGGATGGCTTTGATCTGATCCGCCAGCATTTCCACCTGTATCACCAGGTGAGCCGCCTGACGAACCACCCGACCAACCGTCAGATGAACCACCGAGTGAGCCCCCAGATGAACCACCAGATGAACCACCAGACGAACCACCAGATGAGCCAGAGCTGCCGTCATCCCAGTCTGGGCCGTTGGAAGATCCGTTGGGCGTCCAGTTTGAGGTAGAAGGCTGCCCACTGTGTCCACTGGAGCCGGTCACACTCCACTCGGCGTCGTTCGGGTTTCCCTTCGAACCACCGTTATGGGTGCCTGGACCATATCCCGTCCAGTCACCCCACGCGTGAGGACTGTCGGCAGTTTGAGTCGTGCAGAGTGTGGTCGTGCTTCGAGTCGTGGAACGAAACTTGGTCGTGGTCGTGGTGATTGTGGTGGCATTGTTGTCAGTAGAATTCCACGCTTCCCAGCCTGCAAACGAAGGGTCCCGCGGAATCTTGTGCGGGCCCGCAAGACATTCTCGAGGCGTCAGCGACAACAGCAGCGCCAGCAGAGCGAGCTTGTGGCAAGGAGTGGACATGTTGGCCACGTTTCAGAATCGCACGAGGCAAGCCAAAGAAGACCCCGATGAAGCATCCCTGCCGGCTCCATGTCCGTGTATTGGGAGCCATTCACGTCTTTTATGTTCGGCGTACCTGTTGGGCCGTGACCAAGGCAATCAATCCCGACGTAAAGCATCGCGGTGTGTTCAATCTCTCGCGACACTACACATGCACCGGACATGAGAATATAAGAGGAAGACAGTGTGGTCAACGTCAATGAGACGCCGCCGGCGAGTTTGGTGTAGATTAGCAGAGTCTGTGCGTTACCATCACTTCAGAACCGTCACCAGTGGCCTCCCTCAGCTTTCTCAGCCTCGTAGCGTGTGAAGCATGTCAGGCACGCCTTGAAAATGGGGAGCACACGGAAAAAGCCGCTCTCAAAAGGGGAAGCTCGACTATCTCAGGGTCTGGATGGCCCACGGTTATACTTTTGTTCATTTACCCCTTTTTTGAAGGTGGAGAATTTACTTGTGCCTTTCATTCATGATGAACTGACAGCTTTCTAATAGCTGCTCACGGATACGGAGAGGCCTCGGTACAATGTGATGAGCGGATACATATCACTGAAGTACAGATAGCCCCCAGTGTCATTCGCTATAGCCGATTGATTCGCGAAACACTCACGACTGAGATACGAATCCTTGAGTCGTTATTGCAGTCCTTCTTTGTGTCTCGGTGCTCGTCATTCTCACTGTCCTTAAGAATGTCTCTTGACGTACTGGCATTTTGTCCGTGTCACGCACTCGCCTCAGCGCCTTTCCAACTGGGTTTAGCTCCGAGACTCGCCTGCGCTCCCACACTTTTACAGTACTCGCGCAGCCCTCATCCTCCACCCATCTAGTTCTAGTTCTAGTTCTAGTTCCTCGTGTGAATCATTTCCGTCAATGAGACTCCTGTTGTGAGATCCTGATAGTCGGTTATCATTTAATTTAGACTTGGGTATTGATACCAAGGAATAGCAATTGAGGGTTACTTCGGTGATATATATACATATATATACCTGGTGCTTGGGTGCGATCCAGATTTGAGGGAGTCGCTAGCCCTTCCAATTGATCAAGAGATGACGACCTCGGGACGATTTATATCATCGCATGGCAATCTTGTCTAGCAGCGGACAAGAAAGCAGTATCATCTGCGCATATGCCTTCCCCTTCACCTCATCATCGACATCGACATCGTTGGAGGGTGTCTTCGATCTACGTGCGCCACATCCAGCGCTGGGGCCCGAGCAACGACAACGGGCAATTCGTGCCTTTGTCGCCGTTATCGAGGCGTGCGAACCCCTTCAGAAACACAAGCCGTACAAGCATGTGACGCTGGTCCGACTCACCTACGAATATGCGCGCTCCGAGACGTCAAGAGACAATTTCCTACATTTCTTCTTCGAACACACCCAGATACCTATGGATGATTCGCTGTCTCGATCGGTTCCGACTGTCGACTACGAACCACAATTGATTGCCTTTGCCGAAACCCTGTTTGAAAACTTCTTCTTACCCTGTAAGGTCCTCTCAAAACATCTGATAAACTCAGTAAAAGACTAATGTATTATTTTGTGCGAGCTTCCACGAGAAAAACTCCCCAGCCTTCGCCAGCAGCGCTCTCTGATCTCCAAAGCGCGCAGAACTTGACTGGAACCACCCGGAGACTCGCAAACTTGAGAAGAGATTGTCTCATACGCGACCGTCATCGGTGCGTTATATCACGTTCGTTCGATCGGAAGGAAGCAGCCAGACGCGTTACTCAGGATGGGACCGGAGAAGCGTGCGATGATGAGGGGATCCTGTTGGGAGAGACAGGCAATACAATTGCAACATTAGAAGTGGCACATATCATTCCTCATTCATTGATGAATGTTTCAGTAGGCGAACAGAATCTGGTAAGTTTAATAACTTCTATTGGGGTTTATCTTTTAGAGAAGCTTTAAATGCCCGACTTAACTAATCTACCTGGGCAGAACGAGTCTAAGAAAGTCGCTCTCGCAATTCTTAACATGTTCGACGACGGGGTGATTTATCTGTTAGAAGGTGACGACATTGATCGAACACGCAACGCGATCACTCTGACTATGGAATTCCATCATCTGTTCGGCTGTTTCGAAGTCTATTTCGAGCCATATGGTGGTCAGGCTCATACATATCGAATCGACTCTGTACACGAGGATTTCATGCGTCCTTCGATTCTTCCTATCTCGAACCGCACCCTATTCTTGACTGACAACCGAACGATTGATCCCCCTTCTCCACGACTGCTTGCTATCCACGCGGCCATTGCACATATACTCTACTTGAGTGCTGCTGGCCAGTATATTAACGATATACTTGACGACCTTGACCAGGGAGAGATCTCGGCGGATGGATCAACTCCGTTAGGCCAATTCACTGCTTTGCGGGTGTATGGCTGGTGGGATGGACGAATTCATGCCTATTGATTATAATGCAGTCCTGCATGTGTTTAAGGAATGAATGTAGAATGGGTAGGAGAAAACTCGTCGCTCGTTAGACTCCCGCGGCGATACATGATGGAGGGGTTTCCTGACCGTCCCGTCTTGATATGCTTGTGAGGAATGCGAGCGATCGTGTCATAGAGTTCCTCACATTCGGAAGAACAGTGATATACATTGTCGTCATCTCATAATGAATATGCCCAAGTACCTACGCGTGGGCAGAACTTCTCCGGTATGGCTTCTGAGATCCGGCGGAAGTTCTGTTCAAAGATACTCGTTTACTCAGACCCGAATGACTTTGATCTCGTACTATACTCTCAGCGACATTTTAACATACTGGCAGCTATTGAGTGGTGGAGGTCAACACATGAAATGTGTATTCTAACCTTCGGGCTCATTGTCTATCGCGCTGGTAATGGTGGTTCTGCACGACTGCGAAGGATGTCCAAGGATAACCGAAAGCTCCAATCATGACTCCTGCGAGATACAGGAGTTGCTCACTATCTCCCCTAATGCCAGTGTGTCGGTAAATTTCGATCTCAAGCTTCTCCTCTGCCGTTTCACCGGGCACATCCTCCATGAATGAATTAGGAATTGTAGTCGATCCTAGCAGTCCAGGCACACCTAATGCGACATGCTCTTGCTCCTTTTGTCACGAGAGACAATCGTCGAATGCTTTTCTTGTTATCGATCTATTTGGGTCCCTCGCAACCATATGATGGCCTTTGAAAGTCTCGTTATAGGCTGATGAGCCCTTGTCATGGCATTCCACCCGTAGAAGGACCGTCGGCGGGTTTCGAAGAGGAGAGGGGAGACTGTACTCCATCGTTCGCCAAAGTCCACAGGATATTGACCGCTGCACTCGCACATGCCGATGGCAGCTATAGTAGGGTATGGCGGCAGGATGAAGGTGGAAAACACAACATCCGTGCTTGAGAACCCTTAGGCGCTTGCATATTGATGGATATACAGTGGATGCGTGGTTCGCACCTTCACGGTCCGTAGCTGCGAGGTTAACAACTTCGCGCTGCGTCCTTTGGATCGCGGGGTATCAACAACAAAAACCGCCCTCGAACTTCCATTCGCCCATTGAGGAAGTTCTAGCGATGAGTATGACGCACTAGGCAACTCTCCCGAAGAACAAGGCTGCGGATATCGTATCACATGACTTACAGCCTTGTGCGATCAGTTTGACGAGCACCGAGACAGTAATCAGTACAATAATAACTACGGACTTATTAGTCTCTCAGCGGTGTGCGTTTTGCAAAGATATCTCTATAGCGAATGACGATTGGGGAGCACTCCAGTGTTAAGTACCAAGTATAGCCTTGTGCGTAATGTAGAGGTGAGATTGCGTAATACCTATCGCGTAGGGGAGGCGGCTTCAACAATCTATTCAGGTAGGGCGCGCATCACGCCTTCAAAGGCTACCAACGCCATGGCGTTGGCAGGGAATGCCCTCAGGAAACAAGGTACAAAACCTCTCCAGTATCCCTTCCACCCAGACTCCCTGTACACGGTGACGGCAGCATCCCTCCAGCGCCTGAATCGAGGTGTGCCGTCATTCAACTTTCCTCCCAAAGGATCTGTCATGATCCGCTGCTTGACGACATCGGACGGATACGACGTAAGCCAGAAGATCTGAGCAGACAAACCACCTGCCCAGAAATTGATAGAAGGCGTTGATAAAGACGTATGTTTCCTGAACATGTTTGAGAATACCTCGTAGGAACTCCACCAGCAAAAGAAGAAGGACCGAAACAGCAAGGTTGCGAACAAGCCATGATACAAGCCACGGATCCCATGAGTCTTCAGAATCTTCCTGGTGCAATCAATCGGACCTTTGTATAGCCGATCCTTCTTCTGCGCGGCATATTGTATCTGCAGCCGAGCCTTGACGTGTTCGACCGGGGCGGCGATGAAGGAGACCGTAGAGCCTGCCATGATGCCCGCAATCCCGTGTCCAAAAGCTGGCAATTTCTCACTTGCCAACTCCGCAGCGGATTTCCCAGGCCGAAAAGATGGATTTGAAAAGACTTTTTCGTGCAGCATCCTTCTGTACAGGGTCAAGCTGCCCAGCATGACAGAGTCCATGGCCATCCATCCCAACAGCGGAGGGGTGGCACCTTTGTATAATCCCTGAGGTCCCTCCTTTTTGATCGTCTGCACCAGGCAATCCCATGGACCCCTGAAATGTGACTTCTCCGAGGTCTGCAGGCGTACTTTGATCGTGTCGAAAGGATGGCCGACAGACAGTTTGGCAATGCCACTGAAAATACCCGCGACGAAGCCCTTGTAAGCGCTCAGGAATGATCTGTCCTTTGACTCCGGAACAGCGACATGATGCGAAGGGTTCGTCCGATGACTGGGGAGCGTGTCGCCAGGATCATCTCGAGGACTGCACTCGTCGTCAGTCCATTGCAGTCAAGGTCGGGGTCTTTGGATTCTTTTGTCGACGCTCACCTACCTAGTCAGCTTGATGGACATATTCGATCCATTCGGGAAACACGATCAACTACCGAGCCAGCCACTGCGACGACCTTGTCTTAGGCATCAGTACAGCTACCCACGAAGGAAGAAAACCACGGCTGCGACAAAATATACTATATTACTTTTATCGACTCCGATCCCGCGGCACAGCTTTTACTAGTCAGAGCCGCAGTCCAGCGACCGGGCACCATCTAGGCTCCCCGATAGGCCAAACCTCTCAGGACACCTACTGTACAAGGGTCATGACGTGGATGATTTGGTGAACAGCTCCGGGCTCTGGGGTCCTTAACTTTTACTTATCGGGACCAAGACCACCACCAAAACTCGGACACCCATAGAGTACTAAGCACCAAAAAAAAGGTTCCCTTTGGACACCGCTAGACTCGGTCCAGGTCCAGGTCCAGGTCCTCTGTTTAAATCAATGGCACCGGATTGCGCCATGTAGCTTACATCTTCCATGCTGGGCAATCTTTGCTCAGCTACAACCAAGTTGCTTGATATATATATCTCACTCAAAAATTTACTCGAAACAATCTTACATTGACTGGTCAGCGATCGCAGTGACCCGGGATAAGGTACGCGATGAACGGCGTAAACGGCACATGCCCGGCGGCCCACGACCAGCCGAAGAAAGTTTGGACGACACTCATTACCAACACCAAATACCTCTCTGGACTTCTCACGCTTGACTACTCTTTGAAGAAGTCTGGTTCGAAATATCCTCTCATTGCGCTATACACTGATACATTTCCAGCCGAGGGACTCGAAGCCCTAAATCAACGCAACATCCCCGCGAAACATATTCCCTATCTTCTGCCGTCGGTGCCCAAAGAATATGCAAACGATCCACGCTTCTACGACTGTTGGAGTAAGCTCACTCCGTTCAGTCTCGTCGAGTATGAAAGAGTCGTACAATTGGACAGTGATATGATGGTGCTCAGGAACATGGACGAGCTGATGGACCTGGAACTGGATCCTCCGCAGATGGAAGGAGAAGGGAAGAGAGTATACGCTGCCAGCCACGCTTGCGCATGCAATCCTCTGAAAAAGCCACACTATCCCCAGCACTGGGTCCCGGCCAACTGTGGTTTCACTTCCCAGCACGGCACCCCAGACGATGCGCAGGTGAATGGACCACCCCCTACTGCTGGCATAGGATGCCCCAATGGAGGACTGGTCGTCTGCAATCCCAGCCAGGGTGTCTATGACAAGATTCTTGATGCCATGAAGAACGGAGATCTCACCAGCTCGTACGATTTTGCAGACCAGAGCTTGCTGGGAGACCGTTTCTACGGCAGATGGGTGGGACTACCCTACACCTACAATGCATTGAAAACATTGCGGTGGCCAGGCGTTCATGACGCCATATGGCGGGACGACCAGGTCAAGAACATACACTACATTCTCAGTCCCAAGCCCTGGGATGAGACGCCTGAGGAGACCGAGGACGAGACGCATCGCTGGTGGCAGAAGACCAATAACGAGAGACTGCGGGCTGAGAAGGCGAGTGACATTGAGGACGGCTTCTGATGACTTTTCAATCACGGCATATAGCCGGCAGTGAGAGCCGGCAAGAGCAATCTATATATTTGGCATCGGAATGGCATCGGACATAGAAGGATATCAATATAGAGGCATTTTCTTGAATATCCACGCTATATAATTTCTTCGTCTCAAGTTAATGCCCATGTCGGTAAATCTCCATCTCCCATATCATGATCACCTTCTGATTCTTGTGTCCGCGGGCAATTTTCCATCATGTGGCCAGTTCAAATCGAAACGAGGCTTACTGTGACGACAAGACGATCCAATCACCACCCTAAGGTCAGAGGTAGTCAGCGTATCTTGCTGCTAGCTGTTGTTATAGTGATGGTGTGAGAAACCACCGCATACACTGTGACAAATGTTGCAGGTATGACTTCTATCCTCAATCGGGGAATCTCGTGGGATGTGTGCATCAAGCCTGGCCGTCGCAATACTCGAGCATTGACTCTTGGTTGCAACGACACGTTTGCCCGGAGAATTGAGTGTTATTCAAGTCCATCTCTTCGAATCCCAATGCCCAACAACGTTACACACGTAACACAACATCATTGGAGAGGACACGCGACGGCGGGAGGCAGGAAGCTGGATCGGCCGTCGAAAAAGGTGGTCGAGACTCTCGCCATTGACTCTTATCTCTTTGTGTTCACAATCGCCTAGTGCCCAAGCTGGCGACGCTTTTGAAGAACCAGAGGGGTGTCTGCATCTTCCGGAGGAACATGAGTTCACATCCAATGCACTACAGCAACCTCAGCTGACAATTGTTTCGTGGTCTCACTAGGACGCTGCATTTCGAAGTCCAAGGGCGAGATGTAAGAGTGGCCGCTCGATCCGTGAGAGCCTATTGCAACAAACGGGCCATACAGTTCAGGATGCAGTTGGCCATCGTTGCAGGAAGCCGACGCCTGAAGGCTGTTCGAGTCGTTGTACTCGGTGGTGCAACGGGCATTAGCTGGAACAAATTGCAGCAATGGAAATGCATCAAATGTTGTAGAGTTCCTCCCACCGTAGCCGAAGCGTGGCTGCTCGTCTGTATCCGTCGTTTGGGCACATTCGATCCCGATGGCATCCCACTCCCTAGATGCTCCTCCGCCAACAGCGTCGTCTCCCAAACGGCACGAGATCACAAATTCAACCGACCAGTTCCGGCACTCACCTATCAGACGACGGCATCGTCAGCAATATAAACAACTCCCAATCCAATGGCTCGGTGCAACGTGGAATAACTCGATTTTACGAATGATGACTGCTGAGGCTATCGAGGCCGGCGGTCCACGCCTGCAAGACCACTGCAACAACGTCTCTTGCAACTGGCCTTCCTCTCCTGCACGGTGTCCCAATTCGACGCCCCAAGATCAGCACTGCCACCCAATGTCAGTTACAGTGTCAGTGGGGCGGAAACAGGCAAAAGCATGAAGCTGGTGATGGAAGAGGCAACAGAACTGCGAGCCACTCGATACCCAGGGAATGCTCCCAACAGGCAAACCACAAGGCGACCTGGGGCGCCACTTAGAGCGTGAAACAACCTGTGACAGGGCGAGATGAGAGGGAAGACCCCGGCTCCAGCCAGTCACCTCTGGCCTCCAGCCGACGACCTCTCACACCGAGCCATTTCCCCTGCTTTCACGGGCGTGAAGGTCCGCCCTCCCGCGAAACAGGGTGCCTGCATTGGCCCACACGCCAGCGACGATTGTTACTATTTCACGCCAACTTATGCACCTCGAGTGACGGTTTCCCAAGCCTAGAAGTGCAACCGTCTATTCGAGCCATGCGTCCTCCTCGCATATGTCGACCTGGTGCCATGTCAATCTGAGGCGAGATGGGTAAGAATCTGCATGATGCATCTGGATGGATTCCCCCCTCCCTCTGAAGAAACGAGTTTGTCCTTTCCGTTGTTGATCTACCAAGCCCTCTTTCATCACTCTGTCCAGGGCATGGGCAAATATCCCAGCTCTCGCCATCACCGCAGCACTCCCTCCCATCACGTTTCCATCACTCCACGAGCGTTTACACAACAGATCACACGGATTCTCTTTTCGACTTTTCTCTCTGTCCCTTTTACTGTGCACCTGTCAATCCTATGCATGTTCCCTTCGCTGGCGTGAGACAAAAATCTGCCATCCATGAAGTGTTATAACGTGCTGTAGCGAAACGGGCCGGGTCTCGAATGTACCTCGACGTCACTTTTGAGAAGCATAGAGACCCTTTTTGCGTGACTGTTTTGTGTCTTGTGTCCTGCTCCTGCATCAGTGTACATGAACCACTACATTCACCGCTTCGTCCGTACCTGGTTTCTCAAAGCACTACTGCCAGCCACATATGTGAGCCAACGTCACCTTGCACATCACCACACTTGGTCCAGTTTCAGACACAGCATTAAGAACCAACTACTCCGTACGGGGTAAACACTTCTATTTTCTTTGCTACGCGACACATACACAAGCATCAAAGCATTGATCCGTCGATCCGTCAAATCGTCAAAGACAGGAGAATATATCAGGCTCATCTCACGGTCATACACTTTCATCACAGATCATGTGCGTGCGCACAAAAACCACGTACGGGTGTGGGTGTGAATTCAAGACTACCAACGAATGCAATGACCCACGCTGCTCACACCTGGAGAGGTGGAAATTTCCCAGGGACGGGGATTGCAAAATTTGCAAGGAAGGCGGCCAGGCCGTCACTCGCGGGCGAGAAGGTAAAGGTCGATATGCCCAGGAGATGAACCGGAGGTATCCAGGACGAGAACCATCATGTGACCCGGCACCACAAGACGTCGGTGGTGGAATCAGCCCATGGGCATCACCATTGAAACGAGAAAAGGAATGGCACAGCCCTTCGAGGAAGATGGCCGACGACGCCTGGTTGCAAGAACATGCCGAGAGGAACAACGACCTCCAATCTCTCCGAGAGTCCATGTCCCCCCATTCTGAGTCCGACCGAGTCTCCACCGCCATCTTGTCGCCGTCGAGTCGCGGCCGCCGAGTGTACGAGATCGAAGAAGATGACCGCTACACCGTCGATCGCGACGCAGACTTCGACTACCGCCACCGTCGGCAGCAGCCTGCCCCGAGATCTTTGCAGATAGAGATCAGAAGTATACACAACGACCCACCTCGAAGAAGTAGTCGTCAAGCCTCACGTCATCGACAACAACACAGGCACGACAGCCAGGAGAGCTTTCAAAGCGTGCACAGCGGCCATTCTTCAAGTCGAAGATACAAACCGGCGCCGACCTCGTACACGACGCACGATGTTTACGAAACTCAAGACTCGGGTTACGGCTCTTATGGGTCGAGAACCTCACACCGTGGCTTCGAGATTGCAGAAACCGAACCATACACGTACTCTTCCGCACCTCGCGTCATGACAATCAAGGCGCCGTCGTCGACATATCAGACCGGCTATGGCATTCCTCCACCCCCTCACGCTTCTCATCCTCATCCTCATCCCCAAGGCATCAACGTGGTCACGAGAACTCCCATGTACGCTTACTCGGTTCCAAGGTACTAGGGCACTACGATAGCGGCCGATGAACAATGTTCAAGGTTGTTTACGAATTGGCGTTTTTTCCGACTCGGGACACGATCCGTCTCGCTTTGTCTACCTAGGTATCTACGATGGGTTGGGTGGTAAGGAGGAGCACGACATCCGTATGACAATTCCTTTGGTTTTTATTTCTCAGGGGTGGGCGACAACGCCAGCGAGAAAGAGAATTCTACCTTGTTTCTTCTTGTTCCAGTCAAGATATACATATCTCAGCTATTATGGCCATGGCAACGGACTATGTAACTGACGAACCGACCCTGATCCAGGCGCATACATAGGCAACAGGTTTTATTTTTTCGTTGGATGGAAAGGGGTTTGACGAACATGATGCTTTTCAGGGGGGTTTCCTTATCGTCAGATCGGGTGAAGTAACATCACGAGGCTCGGTTGTCTACCTAGGTATCACGAGGGATATGTCAGGTATCTTGGTACGTACGTACTTGAAGTGGACAGTGGGGAGGGAAGCTGTGAGGCTCTGTGTGCGTGCGTGCTTTTTTTCTGTATGCTATTACGGAGTACTACTCAGTGGAAGGAGGATGGTTCATCTTGGGGTCCTACCTAGGTATCAATGGGTGATGAATGTTGATTTTTACTTTCTTCCTCTTTTACAGCACTTGAACAAATTGACAAGTCCTTCTCTTCATCGAATTCCGTGGGGGGACAAGTCTGTAAATTATGTGATACAGTTCTACTGATGCTTCTGAAGCCTTGTTGAGATATTGATCAAGTGAATACATGTGTATCGGGTTCCAGCCTCGTCACGTGGCGCCAAGAATATCTAGAGATCTCAATTTTATCGATCTTCACATGGAAATGAAGCATTTACCATACCCATTGTCAACGTCTCGTTATGGTCTCGTCAAGCATGGCTGGGCTTGCAAACGCCAGTCTGCGTAGTCTCAGCAATGCTGATGGCTCTGCCACGTACAGCGCTCCAAATAACGGTTACAAAATCGTGGCCGGCGTCAATTATCCCGTGGAGGTGCCATTTCGAAGTGACGAGATTCCTGAGTCTACCTTCATTGAGGTTAATCTTCGGCCACATAACGGTGTGAGTCTGATCAAGGAGCGACATGTCGAGGAACTTGTCAAGCGGACTCTTGGTACCATTGTCCTCGCCAAGGAGACTCCTCGAACCATGCTCCAACTCACTCTTCAAGTGGTGAGTGTTGAGATCGACGAAAGCTTGCCGGGAGGCATCAAAGGCGGTGGACAAGGTGAGACTTATCTCGATGTCCTCGCTTCAGCAATCAACGCCGCCGTCCTCGGGTGTCTCGACGCAGCCGTGCAGATGAGAGGGGTGGCCGGAGCAATTCTCGTTGGCATCGACTCGGATGGAGAAGCCACCGTCAGCCCCGGGGTTCTGCAGCGGAAAAAGTGTACCAGTCTGCACGTCTTTGCCTTCGGCAGCGACGGCAAGACGTTGCTGATGGAGAGTGAGGGCAGATTCGGCTTAGAGGATTTCCAGAAGGCGGACCAAGTTGCCAGGGTAGCGGTTCTGGGATCTGATCACGGCACCAATGCAGTCGATATCAACAAACGGGACGGAGATGTTGCCATGAATGGACGTGACACGAATGGAGACTCGCCTGTCTGCGTGCTGGACGTGGTGAGGAAAGCTATGGAAGGCCGGGTGATTAAGGACGAGAGCTGGCGACAGTAGCCTTGATATGGCAGTCCTGTGTGAAAAGTGAGACGGTCACGGAGCGGGCGGTTACAAACTGCCAAACAGTGGTGAGGAAAGTCGAGTGGGGAGGGCGAGGCTGCCAACATTCTAGGCGGTTCCAGGGGGCCGATAGGCGATAAGCACACGAATCCCACTGTGGCAGCAACCGGCACCTCACCAGATCTGGGCGCGGTTGGGGGCGCTCTTTGGTTGATCTCTATCCACTGCAAGCCCCCACGTGCCTGTCTCAGTGTCTTGCCGACACGCTCCTGGTTGTGACATGACCTTCCAGAGCCTGTCTCCATGCCCGCACTGCCAGGGAGTACGAGTAACACAGAGGGACTCGATCCTGCCTCCTGAGCCATCAACCATATTTATATGCTTGCCGATCGACCACCTCTGGCCTGGCTCCTTCCCAAAAGAAACAAAATAAAAACCACCATCCAACAACCAGCAGGCTTTCTGGACCATTTTCCGATTTTTCCATTCTTCTAATTCACAAGAGCTGGGTCTCTTCTTCATTTCATTTCAGTAGCATAGGGCTATACTTGGTGTTCGAGCCGGTCCGAGCCACCAGCGCCAAAGAAGTTCACAGAAGGCCGACGAATCTCACTCGAATCACATTACTCGGGACAGCAGCAGCCGTCATCTCAGGGATCTACCTAGGTATCTTAACTCCGAGGCAGACCGTCGGCTACGAGTCGAGGAGGGTGAGGGTGACTTGGGTGTGCTGATAGGCATTGGTGCGCTTCTTCCGGGCGTGCTACGACTTACCCAGGGCCCCCGCCAATTGTTGACCTGTGCGGTGCATAAACCGCCGACTCGGGCATCCCCCATCCATCCTCCGTTTCCGTTGTACCCCCCCTGCAGGCTGCAGGGCTTCCCACATCCAACGTTTCGCACCTACTCAACATGACAAACGCTACCATCATTGACGACGCTCACTGCTCCACACTTTCCTCTCCCACTACCTCCGAAGCCACTAGTACCAGCAATTTCTCTCCGCCAACACCTGCGATTGATAACCCGGACCATGCCCTGCATCATGGCATGGTCTCCTTCAACTCCAAGGCCTCCGTGGGTGACTCGATACTTCACCAATATGCACACCATCTAGGCTCACTCCATGCGGATGACGAAACGCATGCCGTCCACCACCACGTCAGCGAACGTGATACCGCCGCTGATGACGAGACGGTCTTGAACACCGTCCTCAACCTTGCAAACAATCCGCCGAGCCATTTTGTCCGACCATCATACCTCGCCCATCATCCTACCGCTCCTGTACCGAAGCCTCTCTCCCTCCCCAAGTCCTCTATAAGCCACCGCAAGAACACAAAGTCAATAGATATACCCAGACAAACAATCATGAAGGCATTGGTCCCACGAGGGCCCGTCACAGGTCCCACGACTGCTCCGCTGGCGGTGAACGCCTTTGGAAATACAACCGGCGGAAGAGACGCTGAAGAACAGAACATGGCAGCAGCGGCATTCTCTCCCTGCACAACCGCTACATTGTCTGCCATGCAGCCGAGCGCATTCTCTGGCTGTTCGCCAACTTCGACGAGTTTCCTGCGGTCACCGTGTTTCTTCCACCAGCGATTTGACGGAATAGTGGACGTTCAAAAAGTACTGGATGAGATTGCGGAAGACGACTATTCACATTCGAGACTCATGCAGACGGCTATCGGGGTGCGAGAGGTGTCAAAGCAACTCCAACGGAAGCCGCTGAAGCGTGCTGTACGCAACGTTATGATCGTTACCAAGGCGCGCGACAACAGCTTAGTGTTTCTCACTCGAGAGCTGGCCGAATGGCTACTTTCAACCCCTCGATACGGCAGCGATGTGGGCGTCAATGTATACGTGGATGCCAAACTCCGACACTCCAAACGGTTCGATGCTCCGGGTTTACTCAAGAAGGAGCCCAGGTTCGAGCAGATGCTCAACTATTGGACGCCTGATCTGTGTTGGTCATATCCAGAAACGTTCGACCTGGTCCTCACCCTAGGCGGCGACGGAACCGTTCTTTTCACATCATGGCTATTTCAAAGGGTTGTGCCGCCCGTGCTATCTTTCTCACTGGGCAGCTTGGGGTTCCTGACGAACTTTGAGTTCGACAAGTACAAGGAGCACCTCGATCGTGTGATGGGTGATTCTGGCATGCGGGTCAACCTCAGGATGCGTTTTACCTGCACAGTATGGAGAGCCGATCGATCACCCGGAGCTGAGAAAGGTGCCGTTGAGGAAGGAGAGCAGTTTGAGGTCCTGAATGAGCTGGTCATTGACAGGGGTCCTTCTGCATATGTCTCAAACTTGGAGCTCTATGGCGACGACGAACTCTTGACTATTGTTCAAGCCGACGGATGCATCTTCTCGACGCCAACGGGGTCGACAGCTTATTCTCTATCGGCCGGAGGCTCCCTTATTCATCCGTCGATCCCTGCCATCCTGCTGACCCCAATATGTCCACACACCCTCTCTTTCCGACCCATGGTCCTCTCAGACACTCTTCTGCTGCGGATAGCCGTGCCCAACAAGTCTCGTTCTTCCGCCTACTGTTCTTTCGATGGTAAGGGCCGCGTGGAGCTCAAGCGGGGCGATTATGTGACTTTGGAAGCGTCTCAGTATCCCTTCCCCACCGTGATGACCGGTAACAACGAATGGGTGGAAAGCGTACAAAGAGCTTTGAGGTGGAACGTCAGAGGAGCTGTTCAGAAAGGCTGGGAGGAAGGAGATGACGAGGACAATGACCAGGTGGAGGAGAAATGGGATATTGACATGGACCCCAGCGCTGCCGGTGGTACTGACAGCGGCATTGGTCCAAGTGAGGATGGTGATCATGTCGCCAGCCCTCTTCCCAGACAAATGAGTCTGCTGAACATGTGAAGGAACGTCAAATGCTTAGAACAGACCACTCGATGATGTCTGAATATTGTTACAATTATCTTTTCGACGTCGCGACATGAGCGATAAAGAGCATTTTTATGAGCGTTGAGAAATCATATTCATTGGGGACCGGTAAGCCTTGTCCCTATTGCTACCACCTATTGTATTCCTTCACATAATTGTTTCATTCCTTGTCTGCATTTGCATTCACCTGTTCGTTCCTGGGGCGGTGAACACGGATATCGTGAATGCACAATACGAGGCTGAGAGGGGGTTCTCGCCCTATTGGAGGACTGCACTGACGCCTGCAGAGGATTTCTTTGGTACCGAGTCAAGTTTGACCGCCCTGGTGAAGGTGAAGCGGAAATCAGGGTTCGCGTTTCTCTCAACCTCGTTCTCTCACTTCCTGAACTCTCACTCACTCTCTTTCTTTTGGATATTCTCTCATCGCAACAGAAGTCATTACATCCGCCAGCTTTCGTCGCAATAGACGTTCCAAAAGTCCTTTTTACAAGTCTCGAAAACCTTTTTTAACCTTCTTCTCCTCAATAAATTCTTGTCACCATGTCTTCTCCCTCTGCCGCTGCCGCTGCTGCCTCTGCCACCTCTCCTCGCTCTTCTCACTCTGCAAGCAGAGTGAACCCTTTTGTCAACCCCGAAACGGGGGTCCTCTATGGCCTCGAAGAAGGCGAGGACCAATCTGTCGACGACGAGGTCGACAACCTTTCTCCTCTCGACCGCCCTCTCACACTCGAGGGGGTGACCCTTCTCACCCAAGATGAGGAGGGCCCTCTCGACACCGTGGAGGGTGTCAACACTTCCCCCCCTGTCGCCTCTACCACCGCCACCCGCCATGCCTCGATGGAGGGGGAGAAGACGTGGTCGTTTGCCGCTCTGCCGCCTGCCGCTGGCAATGAGGCTGCCGAAGGAGTTGTTGCTGGTGCTGGTTCTGCTGGTGACGTCGCTGCTGGCATTGTTCTTCCCCCGGGTCCCGTCGCCGCCAACGACGACGACGACGACAACGAGGCCATCCTGGATGGTCTCGTTGCAGATTTTCAAGAACGATTGGCCAGGGCCTTGGTAGAGCCTCGGCACCGATTGGGAGGGGAGAAGGAGGAGGAGGGAGAAGGAGAAGAGGAAGAAGACGACGACAACGACAACGACGACGAAGAGGACGCAGATGATGGGGGGTGGCACGCCCCGGACGACTACATGTCGGATGGGGAGGAAGAAGAGGAAGGAGAGGATGAGGGTGCCACCCCCTTCGTCTGGGAAGACCTCCCTGCGACCGCCGCGGTGGAACGCTTGCGAACCGGGTTCGAGGCGTTGGCGGCCGTACGGGAGGAGATCGACGCCCTTGATGTCGCCGTCGCCGCCGCCGCCGACAACAACGACAACGACGACAACAACAACGAGGGCCCCCGGCGACAGGGTCCAGGACGTGGTACCCCTGCAGCCGTGAGGGCTCGCTCTGGTCTCCTCCTCGCCGAGGAGGGGCTCACCGCGGCCTTCCGGATGCAGTTGGACACCACCGACTGGCTCTGGGGTGCTCTCGAGGCGGCCCATCAAGGGCGGGAGATGGAGGAGGGCAGGACACGAGCCCTCGCCACGCAACTGGGCCAGGCCCGTTTCGACACTGTCGCCGCCCAGGCGGAGGCGGCTCAACTTCGGTTCGAGCTGGCCGCCGCCCGGCGTCAGTTGGAGGACGCGGGTCGGGACCCATGAGCGTCGGGCGTTGGGTCGGTCGTTGTCGCGTGCCAGGGGGAGTCTGAGAGGGTGGGTTGGTGGTTGAGAGATTGGCTGGAAGGCGGTTGTTGTTGTTGGTGCACGGAAGGGGGTTGTCGTTGGGGGGTGTTGGTGGCGCTAGTCGTCGGGCGTTGGGTTGGGTTTTCCTTGGGTCTTCCTTTTTTTGGTTCTTGTTCGAGTCTCGGGAGGTTGGTTGGTCGGTCGGCCCCTTGGCCCCTCGGGATGGCATGAGTTATGCACCGAGGGGGCCAAATTGTGAGATGTACATAGAGAATTTTCTTCCACAAACGAAAAGAGCTTGGCTTTTGTTTAGGTGGTGGTCAATGAGGACAAGGAGACACTGACACTGATACTGACACAGTGCACACATCACAGAGGACAACCACCAAAACGTCGACACATACGTTCCAGGAGACGTGTTGTTCTTGGTCGTGACAACAATAACAACAAACATTTGTGAAGATAACAGCAAGACGGTTTTGAAACAGAAAAAAAATGCGGAATGCTCACAAGAACCCACGTCGGTATAAGGTTCGGACTACAAACGACAGTATTGAATGAATACGGATACCTCGAGAGGCTACGTCGATCAATCAGGTCCCGAGATTGACGCCGAGAGCTTGATATGTCTCCGCGAGGTCAGAAACAGTCCAATGACGTGTGGACGAGCGGGTCTCTTTGCGCGCTGACAAGGCTTTGTGAAGCAAGGAGGTGTGTTTGGACGAGAAGAGAGAGAAAAAAGTGACTCCGCCAAAAGACAAGGTGGATCAATCAATAATCCAGAATGCTACAGATATGCAAGGGGGGAAAGTTGACAATGGGTGATGATGACAACAAGAAGAGAAGGAATGTGAGAAGTGATTGAGTAGAATCAAGAGGAGGAGGAGAATTTGACAATGAACGAGAACGAGCACGAACACAAACACGGGCTCAAACACGAACAAGGTGTTGGAAGGAGGAAGGAGTCAGCATGGCATCATCATCATCCTGAGTATTGGTTTCCAGACATGGAATCGTTCAAAGGATAGTGACAAGGAAACGAGAATGAAAGAACACCATGGAGTATGGTTTGTCACAAGCGTGTACTGACAGCAGTCTGTTGCAGTCGACAAAAAAAGGGCGTCCGGTTGATTATCACCAGGGCAGAAAAGGAGAATCATATGCATTTCGTCGAGTACTAGAAAAGTATCAAATTGAATGTTTTCCGGCGGAAGAGAGACGTAATGTTCTTCTCTGACCTCTTGCGTAACTTCGTTTTCACTATTCGTTAACATCATCATCATCAGGTACATGTGCTACCGGCACCAGCCCAAGTCATGGTTGATCCGGGCTCTCAGAAACAGCAAAAAGTAGCCGGAGGGGCTTGTAGACCTGGTATGACCACCAGAATGGCATTGGGTCGTGGGTCTCATAAATGTCGTCCTGCCAGAACACCAAGTGTTTCAGAAGAGAGAGCCAATTCCTCAAAACATCCGCAGATGTACACGTGGATTTCAAACTCAGGAAATTTGACAAAGGTACATATCCGAGTTTCAGCAAGTCTCGGCCAAAACAGTAGATAGGGGCCGCCAGCGAATCCGGCGTAATAATGATAATTTCAGGGGCCGAGAAATCCTGTAGGCCTTGGAGGAGTGTGGATGAGCTATTCTGGGTATCCAGAATCATCATACTCTTCTCATCCACATCGTCGGAAAGAAGGGATAAGTACGCGCGACACAATGATTCGGTGGCGATGGCCCCTCGAAAAGACAACATACTGGCCAGAGATTCGATTGAGGTGCCGAGAACCAGAATGTTTTGCACCACTCCGCCATCTGTGAATTGCTCGTCGACGCAAAAGTCGAATCCGACGTGGGATGTGAAATCGTCGCCCTGGTGATTTGCGAAAGTCTGCAAGCTGCGAAGAAACGACCGGGCCAGTGCGGCTTTGGGGTCGATTGGTTCGAGGTAATCCTGACTTCTCCTTCTGGTTGCCGAGAAGGCTGTGACGCGGCCTCGAACGATGACCGCAAAGGCCGAATACCTGGGCAGCCCGTCCGTAATCTGCTCGAGTCTCCAAAGCTCCGAGCTGGTTCTTTTTATGGGGACGAGTGATATGGTGTGGTAGGTCTGACTCAGCGTCCGGCGAGGCAGAAGCGTCCTCACGGAGCTGACTTCGACTCCTGCTGATTGTCCGTGTTCAGAACTGTAGAGCATGTACCGTTTTGTACCGCCGCGCGACTTGCTCAGCACCTGGTGGACCTCATCCCGGGATTTGACGCTGTGCATTTCGGGAACCGCCAGATCCATACTTTTCAACCAGGCCAAGAAGGTGGTTCGGGACGCGAAATGAGGCATGTCGTCCATGCGAAGGGCGAAACAGCGACAGCTCGTCGTCTTCTCGATGACTGTTCGAGCGTGGCCTTCCACAGTTGGTTCCACACCGGGGGTGCAGTTGATCCATATGTCGACATTATCTTGCTCGATGATGTAGTTGAGAGTCCTGATGTATGCCAGAGCTCGTCGCTGTTCTGGCACGGGGCGCAAGCGATAGAAACGGGTCAAGGCTTTGGAAAATCGGACATGGATTGGAATGCACATTGGTTCGTAGTCGAGGCCGACCACTTTGTGCCCATTTTGGTGAAATGCTCTGGCGAGCCGTAGTCCTTGCGCCGTATTGATGCCACTCAGCAAGACCGTCTTTACAGGTGGATTGTTTGTCTTGGTGGATCGTTTCACGAAGATCCATCGCCCGGACAGGAAGATGTAAACGTAGTTCATGAACAACAAGGTTGTCGACACTGGGAGAAAAAGAGTCGCTAAAGCCACAAAGACGAGCGATCGGAGGCTTACGGTCGGTTGTAACTTCTCAAGTCGAGACTTGATGCTCGTCAAATCGCTGCGAATCGTTTTCAGCTCCATCATGGCGAAGGTAGCCTGGGAGCGGCGTCGAGTCTCAGAAGCGCTAGCAAGGAGGAAGGCGTCGACATCGAATAGCAGATGGTTGGACTGCCCTATACTCCGTACACTTGGATTTTAAGACCCTTAGAGAGACTTTGGCCTTGAACGAATTGACTGTATGTATTCGTTAGAATCATCAACGACTACAAGGGTCACACTCATGACGTTGGAACCGGACAAGTCTGGCATTAGGACTTCGTCAGACACCGGTACGTAGATATGGAAAAGGCAGCATCGCCAGCAATGCACAGGGCAAACTGGCAGTCTGACAGGGCTCAGCACGGATATACGGGAGACATCAGCAGCAATACCTGTATCTACACCCGGAGACTAGCATTTAAGCTTGTTTAATAGGGCTCGCTAATCGGGTTCGGGGGGCCAATAGTGTCATGATCTACCGCCCGAAAGGCTTGAGAAAGCATCATGGCCAGCTGAAGAAATTGCAAACATGAGGACGAGAAGCTGGACCGACTTGGCTGGTCATGGCATGACGTGTACGTCAATTGATTGTTGTCCTGTCCAACCGTCCATGGCCCAAGATTTCTAATTTTCACCTGCGCTTCCCGTTGACCTTCACATCGTCGTCCTTTATCCATTCTCGCCCGTGCGGCTACGACTGTGTGTTGACTACGCTTTCACATCCATCCAGCATTAGTACCGTCAGTATCTCATCGACTGGAGCGATCGCGTCTGGGCAGATACCAGACAAGACGCATTGTCTCTCATCAACATGGCGCATCAAGGACAAGCCGCCGATTACTACAACAATCAGCAACAACAGTACGGATATCAACAGCCTGGCTATCAACAATACGCTCCGCCCCCAGGGCCTCCCCAAGGCTACCAATCATACCCTCCCCCGAATGCCCATCCTCAGAACCACCAACAACAATATCAACCTCCCCAACAGCCACCGCCTCAGCAGCAACAGCAAAAGTACGACCAGCCTCCGACGAACGGCGTACAGTTCAACGCTCCTCAAGATGAAAAGCAGACATTTCAAGACACTTTCAAGATTCAAAAGCCCAAATACAATGACGTCTGGGCAGCTTTACTGGTGGGTCAAGACCTTTTACACAAACATGAAAGAATCTCAGGCTGACGATGATCTATAGCTGATTGCGACCTTTTGCGGATTCGTGGCAGTCTCAGGACTTACACTCTATCGATACTCGAAATACCATCGCTTCAATGGTGGAGGCATCTATGGCTCCAGCAATGATTTTTCTCTCAACACGAACACCATTATTCTTTTCGCATTCGTCCTTGCCGTGGGCTTCGTCGTCAGCTGGGCATATTTCCTTGCCGCTCGAGCCTTCACGAAACAGTTTGTCTGGCTTACTGGCATCCTCAACTGTGTCATGGCAGTCGGAACCGCCGTATACTATTTGTATCGGCATCTGTGGGGAGCTGGCATTATATTTGCCATTTTCGCCGTCTTCGCCATCATCTGTTTCATCAGCTGGATCCCACGCATTCCTTTCGCGGTGTGCATGCTCCAGCAGGGCATGGACATCGCTCGGATGAAGCGTGTCCACGTATTCATGGTCAGCCTCATTGGTGGTATCGTGAGTGTTGCCTTCGCTGCATGGTTTTCGGTCACGCTGGTCGCCATCTACGTGTCATACGAGCCTAGCAACCCCGGCGCAAACCCGAATCCATCTTGCGCTGATGGCGGTTGTTCCAGTGGGAAAGTCATCGGCCTTGTCGTTTTTGTGACGTTCGCAGGATACTGGATCTCAGAGTTCCTCAAAAATCTCATTCACACTGTGGTTGCTGGTGTTTACGGAAGCTGGTATTTCTGTGCCGGAAAGCCTGGTGGGATTCCAAAGGGCGCCACCATGGGCGCTTTCAGACGAGCATCAACCTATTCCTTCGGCTCGATTTCATTTGGCAGTTTGATAGTGGCAATCATCAACATGCTTCGACAAGCTTGCAGCATCGCCCAGCAGCAGGAGGCGACGGACGGTAACATCATCGGCACCATCATGTTTTGCATTCTCGGCTGCATGATTAACATCCTCAACTGGCTGGTCGAGTTCATCAACAGATACGCCTTCTCCCACATCGCCCTGTACGGCAAGGCCTATATCCCAGCGGCCAAAGACACGTGGAAGATGATGAAAGACCGTGGAATTGATGCATTGGTCAACGATTGTCTTGTCGGGCCAGTCCTAACTATGGGTTCCATCTTCGTGGCATATCTATGTGCGCTCTTGGCTTATCTCTATCTCGAGTTCACCAAGCCTGCTTACAACGATGGCCGGACGTTCACGCCCGTTATCATGGCCTTTGCCTTCCTCATCGGACTGCAGATTTGCCAGACCTTCATGACCCCGATCGGATCAGGAGTCGACACTATTTTCGTTGCGATGGCTTGGGATCCGCAAGTGGCAATGACGGATCATCCAGAATTTTACCAGCGCTTGGTGCATGTCTACCCACGAGTGCAGGATGTTATTCACGTTTGAACAGTTCGGATTTCACATGACGATCGCTGGATCATCGTTACGCTGTATTTCGGAATGCAGTCACTTGCGGCATCTATTGTTATTCCCAGTCCAACAAGGAGGAGCCTTCAGAGGCAGTCTTATCTAGTCATCCGGCATTCGAGCCGACTTTGCCTAGGAGAATTAATCCTTTTTGCCTATACTCGCGTATCAGAATCATTCCAACATGTCAAGCGATATCTCTTCTACTGCATTAGAACGAACTAACACGCCACAGCTCTTCGGTTATATGTTTTGCCATGCACGGCGTGCTGGAACCATACACTTATCTTCTTGGCCTTCCCAAAGTGGCAGCTCGTCAACCGTGTCTATCAATCACCATCCATGACGACTGGCACAGACAGGGGTCATGTAGTGACTATCAATGCAACTCCATGTTGCCCACCAATATTGTCGATCTTTCACAATCTCCCCCCTCAGTCTAATCCATGTCAGTCTTTCTCATGAGCCAACATATTTTGACTTCAATGGGTGCATTCGGCAGTGTGAAGCGGTCTTCTCCTTTGGAAGTCAACTGTGTACCCAATTCGACCTTCTCAATTCGGACGTGATTGTCGCGATACCACCAGCCCCTCTAACAAGTCGCGGTACCTTAGGCCGGCTGATATGGCGGTCGCCTATGCTGGCGATGTTGCCGTCGAAAGACTATAAATATCTTTGAGAAGTCCGCTGAATGATTTTAGACGAACACCCCCTTCAACTCAACTCGCATTGTCTGTCGCTCACGGTTTCAACATAATTCACAGACTCGGGCCATGGACATCAACACGGAGAAAGCACTGCCCAAGGGGGTAGACCCGGAAAAGACCCCGGAAGAAGTCGATAGAAGCGGCAGTGTTGCAACTGATGCCTCTCTTGACCAGGCCCTGAACCAGCTTGATATTTCGTCCAAAGACGCAGATGAAGCATTCCTGTACCTGAAAGACCATCCCAATGCGGATGCGGTGCGTCAAGAGGCCATCGCAATACTGGCAGACCCGAAGGCGACGAAGCGACTCGTCCGCAAGATCGATTTCCAGATTGTCCCATGTATGATTGCGGTGTACTTTCTTCAATACTTGTGAGTGAACATGTCCACACGTGTCTCTGTCTCACGTGGACACTGTTGACGGACTGCCACAATAGGGACAAGACCACGATCTCGTATACCGCCGTGATGGGACTCCGTGAAGACACTCACCTACACGGTCAGGATTATTCCAACATTGCAATGATGTTTGTAAGTCTTTGCTTCGCCTCGCGATGGTTGCATGTTTTATTTTTTGAGACCGTAGCATTGACCATTCATTGGCTTTTTGCAGTACGTTGGGTTCCTCGCGGCCGAGTTCCCGACCCAGTATTTGGCACAGCGCCTCAGTCGGCTGGGCAAGTATCTCGGCGCCAATGTCATGCTATGGGGTGTCGTGCTGGCCTCGATGGCCGCGTGCACGTCTTATGCCGGCCTGATGATCACCAGAGTCCTTCTCGGCATCTTTGAGGCTCCCGTGGCACCGATCTTGGTCCTGATCATCGCCATGTGGTACAAAAAGGGCGAGCAAGGCCGACGGGTCAGCTACTTTTACGTCTGCAACTCGGTCACTCAAATATTTGGAAGCGGTGTCGCCTACGGTGCCAGCTTCTCCAAGTCCAGTTTTGCCAGCTGGCGTATCTTTTTCTTGATCATTGGGCTGATGACCATCTTGCTGGGCCTTTTCGTCTTTATGTTCCTGCCCGACTCTCCGGTCAAGGCCGTTCGTTTCACCGACGCCGAAAAGATTGCGGCGCTGTTGCGGGTCAAGGAGAACCAGTCGGGCACACAGAATGCGACCCTCAAAAAGGCGCAGGTCATTGAGTCATTGAAGGATGTCCGGGTGTGGCTCGTTTTCATATCGGTCCTTCTGACATCGATTCCTAACGGTGAGTTTTCGATATCCCACCCCACGAGTTCGCTCCAGAACCACATGCACACATTGTTTTTGTGTGACCGAGTCGGGCTCACAATCCAACCGATTTTTTTGGTCGTCGGGCTTTTCCTTTTACTGACGTCGGACCAAAAAGGCGGCTTGTCCAACTTCTCTTCGATCCTCCTTACCACGTTCGGTTACAGTAGCCAACAGGCGCTGATCCTGAACATGCCGTCCGGCGCGGTTGGGATATTCGTCGTCCTGCTTTCCGGGTACCTGTCCGACCGATGGAACGACCGGTCACTGGTCATGCTGATTTGTCTCATTCCGACCATCGTCGCGGCAGGTATGATGTACGGACTGGATCCGGACGGGATCCCCAAAAGCAAAGGCGCCTTGTTGTTTGCTTCGTACCTCAGTGGGACCTTTGGTGCGGCGTTTATGCTCCTCCTCGCGTGGAACGCCAGCAACATCGCCGGGCACAGCAAGAAGGTCACCTGTAACGCCTTGACACTTGTCGGCTTCTGCACCGGCAATATCTTGGGCACGCAGACCTTCCAACAGAGTGAGGCACCCGGATACAAGAGTGGGAAGATTGCCATCGTGGCCTGTTTGTCAGCACAAGTGCTTGTGTGTTTTGTGCTGAGGTACTGCAACGACCGACTGAACAAGAAGAACCAGCAGATCCTGGCGGGTATGAGCGAGGAAGAGAAAGCATTGGCGCGTGAGAAGCTGGCGTACAGCGACGAGACCGATTTACGCAATCCCTTTTTCGTGTACACTCACTGAAGAAGAAAACATCCGCAGCGTGTGTACGTACGTGTACGTGTACGCTCACCCTTGGGCCTAGATGGGATAAAAAATGGTCGTTGATGGGACGGACACTTTCTACTGTACACGTACGTCTACGCAACTGGTGGCCTTACAGCCTTGGGTCCTGGGGGGACTCGTATTCCATACCTAGGTACTCCGTACTATTGTAGGTGATGCCCGCTAAGCCACCACCAAGTGGTGACAGCGCAGCCATTCCCCAAATACGACAAGGAAAAGGCGACGGTCTCGTAGCTGAATATATATGATGATCTGGAGGTATACGAACTCGAATCTCTTCGTACGAAATACCAAGAACAGTACGGAGTACGGAGTAGCTGATTAGTAAATGGCTCGGCAACGAGATGGGTCTCATTTGGTTGTACAGGTGGCGTTCGCGTACGTACGGAGGTACGTGAGCAAATAACCCAGGTAGGACTCCGTAGGTATACGAGCACTAAAGTATGTAAAGTCAGCAGAGGGGTTTGGGATCTCAAGAACTTGACCATGCAGATCGAAACTAAATAAGTAGTTTCGTAAAGCAACGTCAAGTTTCTGCCATCTCTCTTGTAATCGTCGCTGTCGTTGATCTTGTATCTCTAAGCTCTACCATACTTCGTTCATGTCAAGAAACGATGTGACACGCACGCCTAAACTCAACTGACTGTGCGGATCTCACTTTGCTTCCCACTCGTCGGCTTTCATCTGGCTGATCCCCGGACGGCGAGTTCTATGTAGGCTGAGCTGTCATCGATCAAACTGCGCCCCGAATTTGCGAGCTCGGAGTATCCGTTTTTGCCATCCGGAAGCAGCTTCACTGTTATGATCAAGGGGGGGCGTAAAAGGGATTTTACGAGGTTACCAGGATCGGATCACCGGGGATGTCTCCCAGGTACGATGGTTTGAAGCCCTGGAGCGTGCCTTTAATCAATTGTTGTATGGTTCTGGCCCCTGACCACACTCTTAAACGTCTGAGCCACCAAATCGAATCAATTCCGGCTTACTCCAGCGATTCCCAAACTTGACGTGCATTGTTATGAGATCACTCGGTCAAATGCCCCCGGACCCATTGAAATTGACATCGCATGTCAGATTCCTAACGGGCGGATAGCCACGGAGTGTCCATACACCGTTAAACGTATCATTCGCAAGCTTTGCAAAGTGAGTGAGCTCTACAGACGTACTTTCTGGGACTATGACCACACTCGTCGGTGACAGGGTTACTTACGGAGTACCTCTGTCACTCTTAGCGTACAAGCCCTGGAGGATCATTTTGTACGAGTTGTCACTGTGAGATGTGCAGATCTGAGACTTCCGGATCTCATTTGCCTCAGGACAATTCAAGCCAGAGTTTCAAAATCAAGGCAAAGCGTCTTCCCCAACCAGTCGGGTCCATCGATTCGATGACTCCAAGGCAACTCCTAAGAACGGGCCCAATTGAGTCATACAACTCACTCCTCTCGCCTTCGCGTTCAACGCGACCAGAAGAGACGGTCAAAGGAGGAGGAGGCGGTGGTCACATGCTCCCAACCAAGGCTGTCGCCGCCACCGCCACCACCACACAGCAACGCACCATCACCATGTCACTTCCCACTCATACCATTCAGGATGCGACACGCCCAGACAACAAAACGTGGTACGCATGCACGTCGACCTGATCAAGTTTGGTTGGGTTCCCACTTGCGGGTTGATCAGGCGCCAGTCATGGCTCCTTCGTCTTCTGTTTGGCCCATCTCCAGCATTCGGACCCTCGAGCAGGCCACAAGATCCAAAATTATATACAAGTACTGTACATCGCTAGTGCACTCGACCCGTGAACGTGACTGGTCTCGGCTTGGAGCCTCCCTCCCTCTCTCTCTCTCTCCTCTCCTTCCTGTATCTGATCTTTCCTTGATTTGTCTCTCGAGCATTGGGTGGGCGCATGATCCCGGGCCCCCAATGATTCAAAAGATCTTTTGCTTTTCTGGGATCTTTTCTCGCTAAAGGTATCTACTCGGACCTATTACACGACTCGACTCGAATACTTGGTGAGTCGATGCTTTCTCAGGCACACAGCCTTAGACTAAAGCACTGCATTGAGAGTTGACAGGCAACGCTACCCGCTTCAGCCTCCCTCCTTCTCAAGCCCCATCACATTGATCCCTGGCTCACTACATATACTACAATCACCCATTGATTGTACGGTTTCATTGCCTCCTTCCGCCCCGAGAATAACCTGACCCGTACCTGCTTTGTCTATTCCGCCATTGGCCCTTACGGGTCTCATTGAGAAAGAAGAAGAAGGAAACCGCCACCTTTCATGGGTACGAACATGACCATGAACCGGGCTTTTCCGCCATCACCACCTAGTGACCCAGATTTGTTATCATCAATCACAACACCACCACCACCACCAACGACAACAACAGCAACAACAACAACATCATCATCATCATCATCATCATCATCATCATCATCATCATCATCATCATCATCATCATCATCATCATCATCATCATCATCATCATCATCATCAAACCGCCCAATAGCTCCCAACCTGCCTCAGCTTGCCCAACCTGGCATCACCGACAGCAGCCCGATCTTGGCCGCGGCACAAGCCGCTGCAATGAATACACCAACAGCAAGGGCAGCAGCAGCAGCAACAGCAATACGTAAAGCGCGGATACCTCCTCGAAACGACGCCGGAGCGCTGTACTGCGAACACCCCGAGTGTCATGGTTTCGAACTCACATTCAGAAGAATGTGTGAATGGCACAAGCACATGGACCGGCATGAGAGACCGTACAAGTGTTTTGCATACGGATGCGAACTTACCCCGGGCTTCACATACTCTGGCGGTCTGTTGAGACATCAGCGAGAGGTGCACAAGATGAACATGTCCGCGAAGCAACCTCTATTTTGTCCCTTTCCCAGTTGCAACCGCAACCGGGACAGCGAGAATGGCTTCACCAGGAGAGAAAACCTGGAGGAGCATAAGAGGAGGAGACACATGTCTGAGTTGCTGGAAGAGGTAGCTCCGAAGGAATCCCCTAAGTCATCCTACTCTCCTGGTCCGCCAACAGCCACAGCTGCTGTCACCCCGATGAGGAGAAGACGAGAAGAGGAGGTGTTGCCCTCACCATCGTCATCAACATCATCGTCGTCGGCAGCAGCAGGAGCAGGAGCAACAGCAGTGGCAGTAGTATCATCATCATTGGCACGGCTGCATCGAACGTCTGCACCTGCGCTGAAACGACGACGTGCGGATACGTCGACCACGACCACGACCACGACCACGGACGACCCTCAACGTGTACAGCACCTGTTGTATCAATCGGGTTTGAATGAGCATCAACTCATTCATCTTCTCCAATGTCGGCTGCGCGAAAGGGAAGACATGATTCGTGCCCAGGCAGCAGAGCTCTGCCGATACCAGAGCCTTTTCCACTCCCTGCCACATCAGGCGGTCTACGGTGTCGGTGGTGAACAACCGACTCAGGTTCCACAACAGTTGCCTGGAGGTGCAGACAGTACGGCATTCGCGAGGGTGGCGGATACGAAAGAACCCCGAGTTTGAGACGGGATTGGAGTGTGTCATGTGCAGAGTCGAATGCGGGATTTCTTTGACTGTTTTCTTTCTTACTTCTTATTTCTTTTCAGCGGCTACTTTCCCTGGCTGGAACGGGGGGTTACGGTACGGAAAGCAAGGGGAAACGGGATAGTTGAAGCTGACTACCCGGATACCTCGGACGTGTACTACAACGGACGTCCTCTCTTCTCATAAACTCATTTTCATTATCACGGCCGATTACGGGGTTATTGGGTTCTACATCGGTGTTTGGAAGATTATTGCGTTTCATCATCACTCCTCCACGATTTTTCCATATGTGAGTACGGAGTATGGAATGTATGTATGAATATTGTTGTTGTTTGCTGTTGTTATTGGTCTTTTGTCTGGTTGTTGTTGTTGTTGTTGTTGTTGTTGTTGTTGTTGTCACCGCTCATGGAAGAATGTCAAGGATCAAGGCATAGGATGCCACTCCCCTTTTTGTCCTTTTTTCCTACAAAACAAAATATGAACTACACGAGAAGAGTCTACGCGGGTGGTATGGGTTATGGGATACAGGTTTGGACTGATTGGATAACAAGACAAGCGAATGAACTTGTGGGGGGGAAACGAGGCGAGGCTTGAAGAGTAACGGAGTTGTAACCGAAGATGGAAGACCGAGAAAGATCAAGAATCGAGACAGGCAGAAGTTCGTGTACGAGGACAATCGTATACGGATGCCTGTTTGGATGTCGCCACTCATTTTGATACACACCAACCCCCCCTTGAGGAAGCAAGTATGTCACATGGCATTGCTGCCTGTCTCTTGGCTTTTTTGTTTCCTTTCTTGTTGAGGGTGGTTTGGGTATGTTTACGAGTACAAGGTGGCTACGTGTCTACGTCCGTCCAGGGAGAGGAGTCACAAACCAGTGGGAGTAGGACTAGGATGGTTGGCTATTACTCTGGGATTTTGATATGGTGGCCTTGTGTTTTTAGGACGGCTGGATGGGATTGATTCCGAGGAGTTTGATGACGAACAAGACACAGAGATGAAGATTACGGCCGCGGAACACACTTGGGTATCTTTTCAACTGTACGTTATATGGGCGAGGGGTAAATTGACAATGGTGTTTTGGCGATGGCGGAGACGGGACTGACCTATACACTCCTTTTTTTTGAAATAAAAAACACAACTCTCCTTACGGTCTATGAGTTCAAAAAAACAAAAAACATTTTAGGAGGTGGTTCATTTGCGAATCGCCTCAAATTGGATTTCTAGTTTTGTCCTTCTACGTGATTCTTTTTCGCCTCTTTGGAACTCGGTTCGTACTCGTGTGAGGGTCGTTGCTGCGGCGGATGCGGCGGCGGCGACGGATGTGTACGGGAGTCAGACCGAGTACGTGTTCGCCACTTGTCGCGACAAAAGAAGTGTTGCCTAGAGTACGAATATTCTGTACATGTCCGTACGTACACGAACAATTGAATCGAGGCAAACGGATTCCATCGCTTCTGCCTTGGGGGGGGATGGTTGGACCATTGTCGCCTCTTGCCTTTGTGTCCGCATCATTGTTTGGCCGACCGGGTAATCAGTACGGAGGAGTATTTTCAATCCCGTCGAGAATATCGTCATGTGACCCTACCTGGCTACGGGGGGAGTGTAAAGTAGGGCTACTGATGCATTGCAGTCATGTGACAGCCCTTGTACGGAGGAGTACAGACACGAACCCAAGCTACGGACTTTACGGGGGAGTACTCGAAACTTGGTTACGCTTCCAAGTCAGCCTTGCCGATTTCTTCACACAGCCTTGGTCCAATTATTCCATCTACCTACTCCGTACCATTCACCGTTTCCTTTCCCCCCCCCTTTCTTTCCTGAACCTCATCTCACGGGGCTACGGTCACGTACGACGTACTTTAACCGGTAGTACGGACAAGACATCCCAAAAACCAATACCTACTCAACCATGTACGGGGGGGTAAACTTTGTAGAACTCGTTCTCTCCTCATTATCTCAAGGAATTACCACTGCTGACTCGTAGAGCTTTGTTATGGAAATAACTTCTTTCTCATCCCTGCGTCTCTCTCTCTCTCTTGTGTGCGTGTGCGTGTGTGTTTTATTATTGAATATCCGTCATATCAATCATGCATCTTGATTTTACCGGCCACTTCAGGAAAAGTCTTCAAAAACACACCACCGACACTCCAATTGTCATAATCCGTCACATGTTCGACGAACCTCGGAGTCAAGACCCTCGCTCCGGTGACCGGACTCTGTTGCACCGCGGCGTCCATGTCGTGATGCCAATTCACACTCCAATTACACTTGATCAAGGGGGTGAGCCAATCTCTCAATCGATGGATGGCGGCGTCTCGTACAGGAGCACTAAGATCCCCGCCCAAAAAGAAAAAGGAGAGTCAGTAATCAAACATGTCAAGTCGACACTCTCAATCAAAACTTTCCATAGGACAAGACAGATTCTCGATGATAAAAAACTTACAGTGGTATAGTCTCGATAGCACCAATATGTGGAATCATACATTGTGATGGTGTCGGTTTCACCATGTCTGGGACTTTGTGATAATTCTCGGTTGTCGATACTAATAGCCACTGTTGTCATCGTCAGCAATGATTTCAAAAACGAACGAAGGAAGAAGAAAGAAATTCATCGTTGATTTCAACCTCACCCCCTTCCAGAGACACAACAAAACTCACCCTCATCAAAAAGGTCAACATGTAAGCGGACCCCAACCTGGCATACACCTCCGTCTCATAACTTCGAGACACTTCACAAGCCCAAGAGGCACAATCAAACTTGTCCAGGTCGGTACGACTCCGAAAGAACAAATCGACAGGGACTTCGTCACCGGCACCCAAGACATCCGACAATGGTACTCCCGAGCCCAACATCTCTCGGGCGCCTTGCAGGTAGTGAGTGTAGGTCCGACTCATGTACGAATCGTCCGGGACGATCAACGGCAACACAAGGTGTCGAGGGATCCGAAGTCGCGTCGACTGATGATTTTCCCTCGCCACACTCAAGTCCCATCGATTCGGAGGCGCCGGGTCTGACATTTTTGTCGACGTCTCGACGAGTTCGAGGTAGGGTGCGTGAGGCGAAGGGTGGGCGACGGTAGAAAACATGGGGATATCGCTGTCGACGTGTGCCGGTTGAGGGAAAGATGGTCGTCGCATCATAAAAGGTTGTTGCTGTGGATGGAGGATATTTGGGTCAGGCCTCTTTGACGAAGGCCCGACTTCGGAAAAGCGACGCGTGTGCCGTGCTTCGACCGATTTTACCTGAGAGGAGGACTTCAGTGAGTATGTATGATTGTCACACATGCGATACAACACTGTGCTCGAATCCACAGGAGACGCCGTTTAAGATTGGCTGACATGACCATGGCAATATGCTTAAAAATGGGTAAAAGTGGAAACTTACCTCTGCCTTGCTGCTCTCGGGGAACGTTGTCGTCGTCGTTGGTGATCTCAATTGTAAAGCAGGGTGCCAAAGGGATCGCTCTGCCAGTCCGGCCGAACTAGAGGTGGATGTGACTCTCTCCAGTAAGCTTTTGGTCGATGTCGTCGACCATGGCGACGAAGAACTCGCCTCCAGGGGTGTTGAGGATATGAGGCGACGCAACATTTCTTCGCCTTCGGATATGCTGCACGTCTTCAAAGCCATTAACAATGACCCAATTTCTGGCGACTCGGGTCTCGTCTTCAGTCTTTCCGTCACAGGGGGAATCGACTGCGGCGGTTCGATTTTCAAAACACCATTCATCATCTCCTCTTGCTTGATCGGTTGAATTGGAGCCGGAGCCGTCGATCCTCCATCGACGCTCATCGCGTCAGGCCCGACTCCGTCGTCTACTGTGGACGGATTCGCAACGTCGTCCTGCGAGACCATGGTATGATCAGAGCCCGGATCATCACTTTCTCCTCGCAGGTACTGCTGAAGCGCGGTTGTGGCATTTTGGTTGCTGAGGTTACTCTGTATGATCTCGGACAGGATATCCAGACGAGGCGATGGCCCTTCTCGAACCGCGTCCATCAACTGGTAGAATGTCTCCTGGTACGACTTGGACTCGTCGATGGTGCGCTGAAGAGCCGCTCGACGCCGCATGTCGAGAGAAAGGTCAATCACACATTCCGTCCCCATGTTCTCGCACAAGTTGCACGGTGGCGGTCCTCCGGTGCATTTGGTCTTGCGTTTCTTGCAAGCCTCACACGCCGCCGAGATCCTTCCGCTCGTCTGTTTCTTCTTGCTGCTGGGTGCCGGCTTGGGAGGTAAAGCATCCTTGGCCGGCTTGATGGGCCTTGCTCTCGGCGGCGATGGCATGGTGTTGTAGGCTTCAATGGAACCTGATGCGGGCAAATCATCATTGTCATCTGGGATCTTCCATTCCTAAGTACCCTCGAATCATCGAAGGAACCAATATGGGCCCGTGTCTCTTGTCTCGATGTGGTCTTGATTTATTTGTCAATCCAAGTATCGATCAGCCTGACGCCGAACTCGTATCACTGGTGAGTAGTAAGTAGCGGATCAGCCTTGGAATTGAAACAGTACGAGCGAGTAGATACTAAGCCAGTACTCGGTACGATAATATTACCAATAAAAAGGGGCGAGGTCGACTCTGCTGTTTGAAAGATACTCCGGACGAGTACGGAGTATGTTGGGGAAGATCTTATTTTGAGAAACCCGGAACAGAATGCCACGAGTCCTCGCACCCACGCAATAGTCGGTCGAGCTTACCAAGAGAGAGCCGCTTCTTGGACGGGTTTTGGAACCTTTCCCTTAAGAGTTCAAACCCGTCAGGTAGGCATACTCAAGCCTTTCGGACCACAAGGGCGGGTAGAACCCTGCATATACCCTGGTCGGAAGACCCAGTACTGTAGAGGAGCGAGGAATTCAAACTCCATAGCTGTTGATTGGTCAAAACTCGAATCTCACCCCCCGCCATGTCCTTTGCCCAACTTTCTTACCTTTGAGAGTTGCCCTCTTTGGTTCAGCGCCACGACCCAGAGAAGGCCGGGCCTTGGGGTTCAGCAGCGGGCATCGTAACCGATCGATCCATCATTGCCAGATGCGAGGCTAGAAAGTCAATGGACGAAAGCAAATGCCAACTAGAGACAGCTGTCGGTTAACGCCTGTACTTTCATCTAGCAGGTCGGGGTTATCAGCCCTGTGAGTGGATGAGACGGAAGCCGGGATCTTTGTTGCCAGGATCTATTACCCGGTGCTGAACGATACCTAGCCATGAGTACGGAGTACATCACGTACGGGTCAAGGGGAGTCAGTAGTGAACGATCCCGGAAATTCTAACTTGAGCATTGTTCCTTCATCGATTCCAGAGCATGTCAGTGCAATCTCTGGTACGAGTCCGAGGTAGCACAAGCACATATTCTGCTTGTCACGTACCGAGTAAATCTGGTTCAGACGGGGGTCTAGGGGCTACGGCCGCCCTCCACGTACGAACAGGGTGAGAGCTCTCAGCTCGTTAGACAACTCGTAGCGACTAGTGGACCATCGAATACGAGTAACGGAAATGATTTCGCCCGCGCAAGAGGAGGACAGGCAGGAGTTCTTCCCCCCTGTTTGCTAACACTGGCTGATACGGAGGGCTGTTCGCTTTTGTTGTCGGTTGTACTCCGTAGTGTATCAGCGATCGACGGCTGGAGGTCACTTTCACCAGTACTCGTTGCCTTAGGCACTAACTGAGTTGAATGTCCGTCGACAACCTTTGTTGAAAGTTGTCTACTGACGAGTTCTTTGTACCCCGATCTGCTTCTGTCTTCTTAAAGGTTAGGTTCTCGACAATGCACCTGCACCTGCACGCGCACACTTGCAAATTAGCTTTTCTTCATTCCTCACCAACGGTCTTGCTTTGCATGGACTGATCCGGAAGACTCTGAAAAGTCGAACGTGGCTCACTTGTCCATTTTTGCAACTCAGTTGACCTTCGTCTGTCCACGTCAAATGAAGATGACACCGATATGGTTTGAGAGTGTGGTAGAAACAATGTGAACTCTCTTTACAAGAATTTGAACGCCCACCCTGGTCATCCCCATACGGATGTGCCAGGATCCATCATACCATACAATTCACCCCATTCATGTCCAGACGTGCCTTGCGCAAAAATGTCCCTCATGGACGGTGACAACAGCAGGAAGGCCCCTATTTCTCATGGATTCTTGACAGCAGCACGGCGAGACGGGTCGCCGCACTTAGAATTTGTGCCTCTTTTCATATTACTCGTACGAAACTTTTCCCGGCGTGCCAAAGACTCATTCTACCCGTTCCACACGTCCCAAACTTGGGCGAGTAGGTGACTCGACCATCGTCTTTCCATGACGAAATTGAAGTCGCGTATCTTCCCCGCCAGCCCGAAAGATGCCATGATCTGGGTCGGATCTTGCTCCTTTCGGGTCGGTGGGGCACGGGTTTTGACTAGCAAAACCGTATCTTCGGGTGGATTGTGAACAGCGTTCGTATGAAGAGAAATTCAACTCTACCTTCAGTTGTAGATCTGCATCAACTAGACAGTTTCAAGGGAAAGCCATCAATCTGCAGTTGAGAATCTTGATAGACCCTGTTCCGGGTCATCTGTCGATTAGAGGCAAGACTATGACGGGGAATCATCGTGGAGCCAAAGGTTTCGGGAACCCTGGCAAATCATCTGGCCTTGCTGATACCAGATATCCATTCCCCTGTCTTCTCTGTACTGGTGGACTATTTTAATATCGATGACGATGACGATGATATTGAAGTATAGTGATAGAAAGTATTGTCATCTTTGATTTTGGGTCACCATTGAATTCCAAGCCGGCCAGGTGTGACGGGCGTTCGAACAGTCCTGTCTTAGAGAACGTTATTTTCCCAAAGACCGGGAAGTGGCTGACGGGCTCTACCACCGTCCTAATGCGGTAAATGTAGGAAGATAGGCTTTCGTTCGCGGGCCAATCTGAGTTGGATGGTGACATTCGTGGCCTGGACTACACTGGATATGGTGTAGAAACAGGATGGGTGTCAAGATGCCGTTCATCATGCATCTATACACGACCAGCCGTTGCCACAATCCTTGGCTGTGTGCTTTAGAACCCGAAGCGACCTGGCGAGTATAACCCGGCTTTTGAAGTAGATTGATTTTATCTCTAGCCTGGACCTTGAACTTGAATTGTTTCCATGGTCTGGAGAATTGTCGAGATTGATCGAACATGTAGTTCACATATAAGCACCGCATGCACCACAGAGAAAGGAAACGCCTTAGAGATAAGTCGACGGTTGGAGTCGAAGCCGGATACGATTCTTGTATGACGGAAACATAGGTGCAGAGGCGCAGAATTCCCAATATGTGACGGGGAAGCGACAAGGGTTGATTCACAACCCGATGGCCACCGGTCCTTAACGAGATGGGATCTGGCCGAGCGTAAGGATAGCAAGAATCTGAAGACTTTGTGTCGCAATCACGCGCATGATCTCAAACAGGCATTCGAAAAGGGGGATCCAACAGCTCATCAGAACGGTACAGCTTGTAGTCGCATGGTCTAGAATCTCATCGACTATGAGAAGGGGTGTTCCAGCCTTTCCGAGGAAGCTACTCAGTGGAGGCGGTAAGACGGACGAGTAAGAATGGTACCATAGCGCAAGACCTGACCTTGGCGGGATGGTCTTTGAAACTGTGGTGTGCAGACCGACTCGGATGAACGGGGACAACTGAAAGTCCAAGTCTCAGATTTCTTTCGTGTCGGACAGACATGACCCACGATACTCTGTAGCTCGACTGCTTACCATTGCATGACCTATTGGCTGTGGGGGGGGTAAATTCTATTGTATCAGTTCCTCCATCGACGCGAGTGGCGTGGCCCAGAACATCCTTATGTGGCAGGTTAGTAGGGACGCGAAGATCGGGCCTGCTGACCGCAACATGCTTCCAGTGCCTGTTGTGGGACTACCCCTTTCTGAGACCGACGACTGGTTCTTCGGATCTGCTTACCTTCGTTGATGGGCAATTCCGAACGCTCCCTGATGAAAATGTTGCCTTACAGGATTGGCTGCACCTGACTAGAAGCTCGACATATCGAGCTTCGCACACATAATTAATGAACATCATGTTTACAGAGTCTGGTGATGATATCCTTCGCGGTTCATTGATTTTGAAAGGAATTCTGACTCGAACCAAAGAGTGGCCGCAGGATTCAATCATTCAAGAAGCCCGGGACCGTATCGGATGGTGTTTCAGGCTCGATGATGAGACGTGTTTTCCTTCGTCGCCAGATCCCGGAGGCATTGCCACTGTAGGACCACCACTGCCGTAGCGAACCGGTCATCTTCTCTTTGAGTGCATGCTGTAGCGGTTCAATCTGCATGTCGGCCATTTCAAGCTCCTGAAGCTCGCCCTCCATGGTCAAAAACAGCACCGTGTGAGCTATCAATTCCCACGACATCTCAAATTCGTTCCATGGGTCATTGATATCCATGTGGCCGCCGGCCGCTTCGACTTCGTCACGGAATATGGTGGTTTCGGGGTCTGGGCATAATTTCAAGAAGAGTCGCTCGAGACGCTTCATTCTCCGGATACAGTGAAGAACTTCTTCCGTATGACTGGAAAAGGGGAAAATGGCGATGAAATCAAAATGTGTGAGATTTGCGAACAGCGTGCCAGCGGCTACGGAACAATTATAGCACAGGGCGGTCATCAGGGAAGGTGTCCGACGCGAGAAGAACTCGTAGGTCGTGTAGGCTAGCAGGCTGGAGCCTTCATTGACGGTCATACTCGTCCAGTTCTCTGAGGTCAGGAAATCAGGGTTGGTCTCGTAGTCGATCTGATGATGGGTAGATCTCACTGATCGGCGGAGTTGGAGGATTTGCAAAGGCATATCGAAGGCCCAGGCATCATTCGTCCAAGAATGCATTCCGACAAGTCCATTCAGTACTTCTGGTCGTCCGGTGACGGTGATTTTTCTGACAGTAGGCAATGCATTAAGCATGTGAGACCACCAGGGTGGTTGAACATGGTTGTATTGCGTGGTCAGGTAGACATGGAGGCCTAAGACTTTGGAATCAAGGCCTTTCGAGCGCAGAAATGTGAGGAAGCGGATGAAATCATTAGGAGAAATGCTGATGTGTTCGAAAAGGAAGGGTAAGACGAGCTTGCGAAGGAACCGACAGGTCAAGGTCAGGCTTTTGAGGGGAGCGTCCTTGTAGTCAAGTCCATCGTGACAATAGTGTCTTTGTTCTGCTTTGAGAGACAAACGGTGTGGAGGTGCCCTGTGTTGAGGGGCTTTGGGCTTGCATAGGATGGAAGCATTCAATGGATCTCCTTTATCGACGAAGAAGACCATGCGTCTGAGAATCTCGGTTGGAAGACCGAGTAAGGTGATCGGATCGTGGCTTCTGGGGATGGTTGTTGCCTGTTGCTGAACGGGTGAGTCCCCCTCCATCGCGGTCTGATGACAGTCAGACGATGGGTTGAACGTTACTATTTTTCTCATTAAGACATATGATGCTCGTGCTCGTAGTTTTGAGATCCAGGATTCGCAAGGTGATACACGTGACGAGAGACCCTCCATACCCATTTTGGATGCAGTGAGGGGTAACGCGTTGTCATCGCAGCTTCTGCGCTATGTCAGTAGCGTCGATGATCTTCATCTTTTCCCTCTATCGTACTAGTAATCATTCGGCCACAAAAACATTCTCATCATTGTTCAACATCATGGATCAAAACGACCAGTACGCCGTACCTGATTTCGGACTAGTTGCTCGAGAGATTCAGAAATGCGCACACCTGCCGGCGGTTACCCAAAGTGTAGCTATTCTCGACGCTCTCAACGATATCAAAACAGGTATCCAAGGTCTCAGTCACCGTGTTGACGGACTAAGTAACCGTGTCGACGAACTGAACCATCGTGTGGATGGATTGTCACAAAGAATCGATCGAATTGATCATCGCCTTGATAGAATTGATCAGCGCCTAGATTCGCAGTACAGTTTCCCATCTCTTGGTCTTTTCTTCCTTTCTCTCTGACTAGCATTAGGGATTACAACAATATTGCACGCCTTCAAAATGCTAAAAAGACCTCTCTCAGCGCGCCACTTGTTCACCTTCATAATCGATTCAACCAACCGATTCCGAACTTTCCCGCGACCATCGCTAATATCGACAGACTTAGAGGAGACGAGCTGAACAGGATTCTTGAGGCCTTGGGATCAAATGTCGAAGGAACAGTTGCCGAAAAGAAAACAGCACTTCGAATTGCTCTGGGCGTGTATATCGTCTAGGACTACACATTCCGATGGACGAGACGCGTCACCTAGTCATGAAGCCATCCTACCAGCAAGGCTTTTGCGTCATGGGCAGGCCCTATTGATGACATGATGGCTTCCTTTGAAGAATAATGAGATCCACGAACTAATGAGATGCACGGAGTAAGGGCGATGGGTATGACGCGCACCCACCTCTGCATTACGCACAAGGCTCCCCCTTATCAACGGAGTTACCCCCAATTGTAATTCTTTTGTATCAATATGAGTCCAATGGTAACCGACAGGAGCCAAGTAAGTCGAGAGACGTTCTTAAGAATATTGAGAATGACGAGCACCGAGACACTAATAAAGACGGTAATAATGACTATTAATAAAGTATTACAATTAGGGGTAACTCGGTGAGAAGTATAGCCTTGTGCGTAATGCAGAGGTGGTTATGCGTAATACCTATCGCCATCATGGGCCGGCTGGCCTTATCGATGACACGATGGGGCTTCTTTTGGAGAATTGAGATACACGGAGTAAAGTGTGGAGTTGAGAAGTTGATGGGCTGGACGCCGCACAATTTGAATAGCGGGGTAAACAAAGCAGTCTGTTCGCAGTTTGAAACCTCTCAGTAGGTAATACTAGAAATTCGGTCTTGTCCCATTCTTCGTCCAAGTCTTCCAAGTTCTTCTGAACAAAAGCAGAAAACATCCATCTCGAAAGAGGAAAACAAAGGACAACCATGCCTGCCTCACTGCACCGTAACCCTCCCTTTCGTGCCGAGCACCTTGGCTCGCTCCTCCGGACGGACAAGCTCCTCGACGCTCGCCACGCGTGGGAGGCGGGCAAGGGAAGTGCCGAGGCCCTGCAAAAGATCGAAGACCAGGACGTCAAGGACATCGTGAAGGCGCAGCTCGACCTGGGCTACCACGCCATCACCGACGGCGAGTACCGCCGGCACATGTTCTGGGGTTCCTTCTGGCCCGGGCTGGAGGGCATGAAGGAGATCGACGAGCCCGACCCGGAGCTCTTCCGCATGTACATCCCCGACATCGCGGCCTTCACCGAGGCAGGGTACAAGCCGGGCGAGACGGTCCTGTGCACGGGCAAGATCAAGCACAAGGGGAGCACGTACACGGCGCAGTTCGACTACCTCAAGAGCCTGGTGCCCGAGGGCAAGTGGAAGGACCTCAAGTTGACCCTGGCCGCCCCGAACTGGTACCACCTGCGGTACAAGGAGGGCAAGGCGTACCCGAAGGACGTCTACAAGAACGACGACGAATACTTTGCGGACGTGGCCAAGGCCTATCAAGACGAACTGAAGATTCTGTACGACCACGGATTGAGAAATGTCCAATTCGACGATCCAAACTTGGCTTGTACGTGGAAAAAGCATCAATCTGAACGTGGTGGAAAAGGGTTGGGGAGACACATGCTAACATGATACATGGGACCGCGACAGATTTCTGCTCCGAAGCCATGATAGAGGGTTGGAACAAGGACCCCCTCAACACCTACTCGACCGACGACCTCTTGGTGAAGTACATTGACCTCTACAACGCCTGCGTCTCCGAGATCCCTTCCGACATGCACGTGGGTGTCCATCTGTGCCGGGGCAACTTTGTCAACTCTCGACACTTTAGCGAGGGCGGGTACGACCGGATCGCGACCATGCTGTTCCAGAAACTCAACATGCACACGTACTACCTGGAATACGACACGCCCCGGGCCGGAGGGTTCGAACCGCTCCAGTACCTGCCCAAGAACAAGAACGTCATCCTCGGCGTGGTGACGAGCAAGTTCCCCAAGATGGAGGACGAAGGCGAGATGGTGGCCCGGGTCAAGGAGGCCGCCAAGTGGATCGCGAAGGGGACCGGCGAGAGTGAAAAGGAGGCCCTCAACCGCTGCGGTGTGAGCCCCCAGTGCGGCTTCGCCAGCCACTCCAGCGGGAACGCCGTCAAGCACGACGACATGATCGCCAAGTTGAAGCTCGTGAGGAGCATCGCCGACAAGATCTGGCCGGGTGAGCCATGAGAACAACGATGACGATGACGATGACGACGACGGCGGCGGCGGCGGCGCGCTGTCTTGTCTGGACCTTTGGTTTTTATCAACAAAAGTAAATTGTTTCAAATTCACGAAAATGAAAAACTGCATATATATACCCATGGAAGAATTCAACACTGAGGGGGGGAGAATGGGTGAAACCCGAGGCACCTTTACGAAATGTTGTTGGGTGGGAACTGCACTCAACGTGCAAATTTATGAGATGAATACATATTACATATACCCCGAGATCAAATTGATCCTATAACCAGCGTCAAGTCATGATGTTGCATTTGACGTATCAAAGATAGACACATCCTGATCATCTTGATATGACACCTGTCTATGTGAAGGACGGAACCTCCAACGACGCCTCTGTCATTTGCTTACTGATTGTGGTTCAACTCGTACCAAAATGATCATTTTCCTTCCTCACCAGCCTCTTCCATTGTTTCCTTTTGGCCGAGGCCTCCCTCTCTATGCGCTGCTTCTTCTTGCGCTCATACACGGCTCTTACAGTCCTCTTTGTCGCATCCTTTCCCTCCTCGAAATTTGCCCTGGCCAGACGCACGACATTGTCAATCTGCTCGGGTGTGTAGATGAAGTTCCATGTACTCATGTATTCGCTCGTGTCGGGGTCGACGCCCGCCACCTTGTCATTCGGCAGCAAGGGGAAATACACAACGGCAATGCCAGCTTCCGGATGCATGAGGTGGAAGGTGCTGTCGTCCGTACTGTCCCACGCTAGACGTTTGGATGGTGGTGGTTCTTGGTCGGACGTACGTTCTGACTTGGTCCCAACCCAGACGTTGCAGGCGCCGAGCTCGGTGGCAGTTGCGTCGGCCTCTTTGCCCGTCGTAGGGCTCTCGGGAACATCTCCCCCGCTCTCTTTCTTGTTCTTGGCTTGTGTCTTGTTCTCTTGAATCTCAACTCTCTCCTGGCGGTCCTCTTCTCTGGCTGCTGCGAGTTTGGTGGCGGCCTCTTGCGACGAACTCGCTTGTGCCTTGGCGAGTGCTTCGGCGTTCTCCTTGGGTTTGCTCATGGTACTCGGCCAGCCAGCGCCAACCGGCCATCCTTTGATGCCTCGCTGTTTGGCGTAACCGTCGACAACAGACAGCCAGTTTTCTTTTTGGATGTCCGCCGAAGCATCGAAAGCGATGAGAATATCGACGTCTCGTCCTGGTCGTAGGAGGGGGTATATTGGAAGGTTATTGCTCATTCCTGCATCCATGAGTTGAAGATGGTCACTCTTGAAGACGGATTCGGGACAAGTAGACGGTAACTTATCCTTCATGCCAAAAACATAGTTGGGGACAGTGGCTGGTTCGATGGGATGTATCTTGATCAAGTCGTCGTTCTTCTCCTCTATCAGGCCGTCTAGGCCTCCGAATCCGACTATGCCGGCCATCGCGGGCTTGATCTCTTTGTAATAATGCGAAAGTGTCGCGCAAAATGCGGATCCCCAGATACCAAGGAGAAGACTTTGCCGGATTTCTGGCAAGGCAATACCTGTGTCCAGGATCTGATTTCTCCCTTCATTGAAAGGCCGACCCAAACTCCAAGTGGGAATACCAGCTCCAAACTCTTCGCACCAGATCTCCCAGGGATGCATTTCTATCCACTGAAACCAAGCTTCTTTTCGAGCTTTTTCCTGTAATGTCTGTTTCAAAGCTAGATTATCTTTGGCTTGTTCTCTTTCTTCCTCATCTACGGGTATTTCGTGTCTAACTGCAGTATAGATAGGCATTGGGTATTGGCCATGTTCGAGGTACGCCCGCTGATTTGAGAGCTTCAAGTCGTAGTCGTGTACGTCAAGATCACCATGAGGGATCATAAGGCGAGCTGCAAGAAGTAGACTGTAAATGTCGACCAGGCCAAACGATGCGCCGGGATCGCCCTTGAGCTTTTCGACGAAGCCACTGAGGATGTATTTGTTTGTGGGGGCGCTCGTGACAAGTTTCAAAGCTGGCGGAGGAAATGCGATATGTGTGCCTAACCTTGACTTTAGGTGCTTTAGTATGGCTCTGTGGTCTTGCTTCCCAAGAGACGAATAGAACAGGGTTTGTAGCCAGCAACTACCACTGACACCAGCGGTGTAAGTCACACAATCAAACAGGCCCACCTCTTGGGCGGATAGATAGCTGCTCGTCCCTGCAACCATTGCACGCAGACCACCGCCACTACCACACATGGCGATAGTTGGTACATCGTCAGGGTGTATGTCCTTCTCGTTGATATCCAAGTACTTAGCTAACGCTTTCACGACGTGTTGTTTCCTCTTGCGACGAAAGTCAAGTTCATCTTTGCCGAGAGTATCGCCCACCCGTACGGTTGCGTTCCATAGTATCTCAGGGTTGATTGATGGATCATGCGCCTCTTGCCAAATCTCATCAGCCAATGAGCCCGGCAGCATTGACAATTCAGCTTGTAACTTCTGAATAGCGTCCGGGAGGCCTTTTGCCCAGGTCGGAATGACAAAATCAGTAATCTTGTCGCCCAAAGCACTCCATTCTATCCCTGTGATTCCTTCTCTAACATTGTTGAAGTTCCGGGAGAAGGCAGACCAAGAGTTGTGGTCATCGTCTTCAAAGCCGGGAGCGTATTGGTCTTGATCATTAGTCTTCCCAATGACTTCGGCGTCTCCTCGTTTCGTTGCATTTTTAGGGTCTTCGTGAGGAAAATGGCTTTGAATACGCTGGCCATATGCGACTAGGTGGGCATCGTGGGGAAGGCCTGGTCGAGGAGCGCTGTCGAGTTTGGCGACACATGTTCGTCGAGTTGCGCAATGGCATCCAGCGTACGTTGCAGCTGCAAGAGCAGTGTAGCGAAAGTGGCGGGAACTCAAGATCCTCGCAGCGCTCATAGCTACGAGAGCGCTGGAGCTATGTTGCTCTAACAAATATCAACTTCCATGCTAAAAGAAAGAGACAAGCTTGTCGCCGCCTGTTTCGCAGTGCGTCTTCGATAGCCTTTTTTTTTGTTGAGCGTCAATATGACGTCGCGGAATCATCCGACCGCAGGCGGTTCCTGACTAAGCCAGGAATGGACTAGACTGACTGGGCATCTTCGAGGTGTGAAACACGTTCGTAAGAGATACGGACTGTAGGAAGCACTTTGTATGAATTTATAACACTCATTATCCATATTCTTGATCCCTTCGTGCCTCATATCTTTATACTTCTCCTCGCTTTTTCATGTCCTCACTATAGGTGCTTATCGACATCCGTATTTCACGGCGTCTCGCGTGGCGACCGCTGACACGGACGCCTGAATCTATGCCACCCCCCTCTTCATCTTGATGTGAGGCTTGTTCACATCCGCATCTCAGGATATCAAGACTTTTTGGTGATTATTGGCTTCTTAGACAGTCAGCATGGTCGCGCAAAGGAATGCTGCTTTCGCGGAAGAGAGCGCAGAAGTGGAAGTCCTGCTTGCTTCCCTGGGCAAAACGAAAGACCTCACCAAGAAAATCGCCGCAAGTCTGGCTCGACTAGATGCCAGTGGACAGATTGTCAACGATGCAATCGGACCTATATACGGCAATACTAAACAGCTTCAGGTTACGAGCCGAAATATCGATAGAGTTAATGAAGCCATCGAGAAACTTCGCCAACCTCTAGATGCCCGTGGTCGGGAGGAAAACATCATCCGACAAGGTCCGAAGAGTGCTGGACTGCCACAGTATCTGGCAGCACTGAAGCGAGTCGACAAGGCATTAACTGATCTCAACTCTTCGGGATTACGGTCGAACCAACAAGCGATTTCAGAGTTTCATAATTTACTGCTGACGGGCGTCAACCAGCTGAACGACTTGTATCGGAAGATGTTACAAGAAGATGCCAACAGTATCGAACCTCTTCATTTCATCACGAAGCAAATTCCATTTCCATCAGTAGCTCAGGACAAGGCGCAGACCCTGGGTCAGATATCCATGGCCATTGCCTCGGCGGGAGCACATTCAGCCAGGCTGGGACAACGCGATGACGATGTCGCAGCCCGCATGTACGCGGAGATTCGAGGAGACTATATAAACAATAGTCTTCAAAACCTGTCCATGGCTTCGATCAGCACCTCGAAGCGCCGCAACACTGACACAACGATCTATCGAGAAGGTTCAAGCGGCGTCGGAGCGTACGCCAAAGCTCTTGAGAGCATGTTTCTTGCCGAAGCTGAGAATACATCACGCATTTTCCGCAACGATGGTGGCCGCGTCTTTGGCATGACTTGCTCCAAGGCTCTATCCACTTTTGCCCGGACTCTATCCGAGCTGAACAGTTTCATCAAATCTCGCCTCCTAACAGACTGCTTCCTCGCCTACGAAATCCTCGATCTCGTCACACCCCTCAGCTACCGGCTGGACTCTCGAACAGGCCAGCTCCGTTCACAATTCGCCGACGCTCTCCGACCGCTCCGCGAAACAGCGCGGTCCTCGTTCAGTGACCTACTCACCCAGACCCGACGACAGGCAGAGACCGTATCCACCCTCCCACCTGACGGCAATACCATTACTCTCGTGTCCGAAAGTGCTAAGCGGCTACAAACCCTCGCAAACTTCGACCGCCCCTTACTCGTCCTGCTGTCATCCATCGGTGACGGGAACTGGAAGGGCCCTTCGTCCTCCGCGGGCCTCGCATCCCAGTCGAGCCTGAACCTGGAACTCACCCCGTCGGCCGAGAACCCCAACCTCCTGAGCCACTATCTCCTCGACCTCGTCGACACCCTTCTCGGGACACTCAACACGCGCTCCCAGACCATCCACCCCAAAAAGTCCATGCAGGGCATCTTCCAACTCAATTCCGCGGCCGTGCTCGCGCGCGCCGTTCAATCGTCCCCCGATCTTGCGCGGTACATCGGCATCAGCCCACACAATGAGCGCCTGGAGAAGTTCCGCAAGCGCGCGACCGAACTGTACATGACGTCGTGGCGCGAGGCGAGCATGCACCTCTTCGACACGATCCACACGTCCGGGTCGAGGCCCATGTCCGGTCAGGGGCCGGGCCAGGCCATCGACAGCACGAGCATCATCAAATCCCTCGGCAGCAAGGACAAGGACAAGATCAAGGAGAAGTTCAAGGTGTTCAACACGAGCTTCGACGAGCTCGTCGTCAGGCACAAGGGCCTGCACATGGAGAATGAGGTGCGGAGCTACATCAGTCGCGAGATCACCGCGTTGATCGAGCCTCTCTACGCCCGGTTCTGGGACCGATACCACGAGGTCGACAAGGGCAAGGGCAAGGTCGTCAAATACAGCAAGGGCGAGTTGAGCGGCATGTTGGCTACTTTATAGGTGGTGGTTGGAATGATTGGGATGGAGATGGGTATCTTTCTTTTTCTTTTTGGAAGATCTGTGCTTGGAAAACAACGGCGTAGGTACTATATGTTTGATAGCGAACCCCTGGTTGGTTTTATACGGAGTACGAAGACATCTATCAGCATCTTGGTAGCACGCCACAGAGTAGTTTTATTTGGATAGCAGCAAACGGTGATTTGGATAGCCATTACAACATCCTTGACTTCTTTATGATGGGAACTGGGTAGGTTTGTCTTGTAGGTACAAGTAGGTGGCATTCCCAAACTCCCCCGCGCGATGTAAACAAATCCTGTAGCGATTAACTGACCAGGAGAAACGTGAATGTTTGACCGTAATTTTCTGATACTCCGACGTACCCAGGTATGTAGTACGTACTCCGTACCCCGTACGTGTTTCCCAACTCTGTGCTTCTTCGTCTTCCAATGCAAAGCAGCAAAAAGGCTGTCCATACGTTATCGATACAAAAGCATCATTCCGTACTCGGGTACTTTTGCCCAAGGCACACGCGACGAACTTTTTCCAAAAAAAATGATGATTTTCTACATTGAATTGAGTTGAAAGAACAATTTTGAGAGGATAGTGGTAGTGATGATGGGATTCTGACCATGATGATTCCACCTTTGTCCGGAGATTCACTCGACGCGAACCCTGTATTCGCAAGGTTGTGGAAGTACGTGACAGAAGAGATTCTCGACCGAGACGGGTCCAGAAAGACCTTGAATCAGGAGAGGACCAAGGCTTGGAGAGAAGAAGTCGCGGAGAGGAGGAGGAGGAGGCGAAAAGACGAAGACGGAGAAGATGACGATGACGGACGTGTCAAGTCGAAGGAGGGATCTCGATTGCAATCATCCTACATTATCGGATTTGACGACGACGACGACATTGAGGAAGCAGAAACACCGTTCGGATACCGAGACGATGATGGAACGAAGAACCGGAAGAAACAGGACCCGAGTCTAGAAGAGGTATTACACAAGACGAGGGTGGAAAAGATGAGGATCCAAGTTTTGATGGATGTTTTGGTAAGTTTTTTGTGTGTTTCTGATTTTTGTTGAATCCTTCCTTCTTTTGAACCCTCCCACTGTTTTGATCCAAAAAGGAAAACGAGGATCATATTTTGTTCTGTTCTTGTTTGTGTTTCTATTCACTAACCATGAAAATTGGAAATTCGGTTGTAGAGAGATGTGGCATATTCTGCCGACAACACCTCCGCTCCCATTCCTGATTCCGGTACTGTTTCTGAAAAAGACACAACTCGAGGCGGAACGACGCATCCGCAACCACAGACGCATACACTATCCACCAACCAAAATGCAAACATGTGCATGAATACAACCACATTCAAGGACAATTTGCTAGTCATGACATCCTACTTGGACGTCGTGTTGTGGCAAGGGTCGAGAGATTCTGATGACGAAAAAGTACCGGTGCTATCACGAGCGGAGCAAGACTTGTTGGTTGAAGACGTGGAGGTCTTTGAACAAAACATACCCTTCGTAGCGAAGTTGGTAGGACAAAGACTGGTCGAGGTTGATCAAGGGTTAGGTGAGATGATTAGTTTGTCCAACACCACCGACACTCATACGAACGAACATGATCAAGATCAACGACACCAAACGAATCCGACTGAACCAAAAAAGACCCTCGTAGAGAGTCTACGCCAAAATCAAGACCGCTCGGCGTTTCTGCGGTCCTCAATCTCCCCACGCCTCTCGACCTTGTCCGAGACAATCACCCGTCTGACGTCTTTGCAGCGTGACCGGTTGGCCGACGAGATCCGGAAGCTCGAAGTGACCAAGCACGGAGTTGTATCTAGGCACGCACAATCCAAAACCCTCTTCCTTGTCACGGTCGCTCGCGCCATGGACCTCAAACTTCGACTTTTGTTGGTCGAAGTGCGCAAACGAGAACAAAACGGTGAAGCGACCAAAGCAAAAAAGGCCGTCACAAGAGAAAAACTGAGCCAGATTGAGCGAGAAGACTCCGAGGTCAGTAGGCGAATCGAAGAGTTGGAACGTCTGGTGGGCGAGTACGATTCCGTCGATGATGATGAGCACATCATTTCCGGTGGCGCCGGTGCCGGTGGAGGTAGTGTCATGACTAGACTTGGAAAACGTTACGGAGAGATTGAAAGGGAAATGGAAATGGTCAAGGCTGATGTCGAGAAATTACAACAGCGATCAAAAACGAAAACATGGTAAACTAAAGGCAACACAGAAAAAAAGGGGCACACCGCACATGAGATAGGTTCATGTTAGCATGGGGAGACGGAAATTTCAAGGATTCCCATACCCATCGATTGCTCTCTTGCTCTATGCTTTACTTCTGGACGAGGGTCACGACCCATCCCCCCCTTTCCCCTTCAGACCGGTATGACCGCCAGCCCGGCAGGGAAGCATCATAGACCTCGAGTTTAAAATTCAAAAGTACCTTGGATAGGGAAAGCAATCAAATCTATACCCTAGCATGCTCTATTCATTCACTATCAAATCATCATCACGTCTACCACCAGTAGAGCATTGTATGGCCATGGCATTTTTCATTCCTCCTCGACTTTCTTTTGTCATTATCGTCTTTCGTATCTCATAAAATCTCAGAATTCTAGTCCCAAAGAGAGCCCTTATGAATTCATCTTCAACTCTTTCATCAGCCAGAGACATATCAGGCACAATCAAAACTCAAGAGGTCTGGCGGGCCGTGGCCATATACGCTTGTACAAGCTCACGCCGACCGCGTCGAGAGGGTTGATCTTGCCATCGAACGTCGCCTTGAAATACCCATGCGTACCGAGAGGTTCCTTGATGAACCCCTGTCGGCCACGCTTCGTCCACAACGGCAGCGCGGCAAACCACAAGACGTCCTCGCGGTTGAAAAACATGTACCGCACAGTCACGAGTTTCTTGTGGATCTTGAAGGGATGACCTGTCAAGATGACTCGCTTGGCCACGACGCGTGAAGATGAAGGGGCGAGGGTCGTCGCCGAGCCGATCAGTCGTAACTGTTGTGTAGGCGAGACGACACCGCCGGGTGCTTCTGAAACAATACTCGAATCCACAAGGGCCGGCACAACATCGTCAGTGGTCGCCGCCGCCGCCGCTACTGCTGCTGTTGCTGCTTCACGACGGAAGACGAGTACAGGCACAGAACCCCATGTCAGAGGTCCCGTAAACGTAGCGATCGCCGTTCGACCTGGATGGAGGAACCGATCAAACTTGTGCACGTCGTTCGGTGTCTGTCCAGAAGCCGAGAAGATGGGATTGATGATCAACCTACGGTGGCCGATTTGGACGACGACTTCGTCCTTGGATTTCAAGGGGCCGTCAAAGTCCGAGTTGAGTGTAAAGTTGAGGTTGACGACCGCGTGTTTGTGTTCGTGGCGAAGAAGGGCAAACATCGAGGCCGGTGCCGGTGCCGATGCCAGTGACACGTGGACATTTCGAAGTTCAATCTCGACTTTCGTCCCCGCAAGCACTCCACCAGCCAGCGATTCTTTGAGGGCCGAATTCAAGGATTTTTTGTAGTCGGCAACTTGTAGCAGCCTTTTGTATTCGAATGGCTCATGAGCCGCATCTTCAGCATGGTTCCACTCACTCGTTCGTAGACTTTTGAGGCCACGGTATTTCGCCAGCCTTTCTCGAGCCAGCACATCTGGGTGAAGTTCGATCTCGTCAGGAAACTCGAGGTCTTCCTCTGCTTCCTTCTTTCGACCGGCTCTAAATTCTTCCAGCTGACGAGCTTCTTCCTCTTCATCTTGGTCCACATGCATCTCGGACTCTGGGTATTCAGACTGTCCCACTTCAGTCATGGCATCGCCATTCGCGATAGCCACGCCGTCTTCGGGACCCAAGGAATCTGCGGCATCCATAGCAACGTCGCCCTCGTTGTCATCCTCTCCCATGTCGGAGTCAGAATCGGAGACATCGTCCAGATACCACGCGGCCTGGTAAGTCGAGGTGCCCTTTGGAAGTTTCTTTGGTGGAGCGGGAATATGAGAGTTGTCGTCAGAGAAATAGTGGTGGTCGTCAAGTAGAACGCCCTTGTGCTCTGTCGTAGCAGCCGTACTGGCAACATCATGCATCTCTGCTTGTTCCGGTGCAAGCTCTGCCAATTCGTCTTGATCCGCAGTAGGTCTCCATTCCTTGACGGGCACATCTGCGTCCATTTCGTTCGCTTTTCGCTTCTGTCCTTGCTTAGGTACTTCTCTGATGACGTTGATCTGGAAATCTCCCCAGCCAGGAACATGGACCAGCCTGTCCGGGTTCAGACCCTTACCGCGGATTGTGCCACAGAGAGTGACTGCGGTGGTGTCGGCTCCGTCGCCAGCACTGGCCCAGTTCACATTTTCGACCAACATCCAACTCCTATCGTCTCTCCATCGGACTCCTCTCGTAGACGCAGTGCACATGCTCCGCACCAAGTTGGAGCAATCCGACTTGCTGTCGAGGCTTGACAACTTGTCTAATGCAGGGAAGTACCGCCCGATGGATATCTTCAGGTCTGTCATATGGCGAGACCTTTTTGCAGCAGGAACCTTGGCCTCTATATCCTTGACCACCGCAGTGACATTTGTGATGCCCTGACCCTCGAGCGCTCTCAAGAATGAATCCTCCTCTTCGCCAAACTCTTGTTCCGCGTCCAGAACGAAAACAACCCAGTCGGCCAGTTTGCAAACATCGAGGGCGTTGAGAAGGTCGAATGTGGCGGGTAAGTAAAGTAGGTTCCGACGAAATCTTTCAATCCGAACAGGAACGGTGCCACTGGAAACATCAGGGCCGGAGATGTCGACACCTTGATTGAGGGATTTGATGGTGGCATAGGAATCGATCATCCTTGACAACGGGACGATTGCAATATGTTTGGCAGCACCATCTGTGCCCTGGAAAATATGTTCTTCACCCTCTCTCTTTTCCTTGTGGTTCATGCGCATTTGTTTGGCTTGGTTGCGTCTGGTGAGTTTCGACATGGCTTGTTGATGAGGAGTCTTTCTCTGCCCTTTGTTGGCCCGATGACTTTCTACTTTGCCTAAGAATTGATCAGTAAGAATACCCAATATCGGTGAGTGACCATCCTACCTTTCGCCGCATCCTTCAGGGCACTCTTCGAGGCGTGACGGGATTTGTAAGGCTTGTGCTCTTGTTTCGTAGTGCTCCTGTGATGATGCACAGAAGTCATAGTTGGCGCCATAGTGGAATTGCCTCCAGAACCTCCAGCTTTGAATCTGAAAGGTAGAGACATGTCATGTACAACGCATTCGGAGGGGCTCGTTCTCTCTCCGCAGACTCAGAAAAATTATTTTGTTACCGCAGTGGAGTTTCCATCAGAGCCTTGGCAAGTTCAGCCTTGTACGGAGCAGTAGTAATACGGAGTACGAGTACTGGTAACCACCTCTCGCAGCAAGTTTCAGCAGTACTCGGTACTCCCCCCACCAGTTGCCCTTCAGTCACCTACGAAGACGAGTACTATGGCTACTTACTTAGTCTCCCTTGTTGCGCAAAAATCAAAAATAACTCGAGTTATTGTGCTCTGCATAGGGAATGCCTGCCTCTCTCGCCACTTCATACGGGGTTCTCCTTCGCAAGCGAATAAATGTACCAACCTCCATGCACCCTGAGACAATAAATGAGCGGGATGAATTCATCATGGAGCTAGCCCTATCCTTTAACGTCTTTTAGGGTCGTGAGTACTGCTTCTTGTAGGGTGATCGTGGTGTCTAAAAATTCGTCCTGCTCCAGCTGATTTTCTGTTTCAACAGAATGGATGAACTCTCTTGGATCCAGACACCAGCGTATGACGTTGGCAAAGCCCAAGCCTTCTGAATACTCAACCTCGGCCAAGACAGAGTCGCGTGGACCGTTCCCTTGCAGTTCAAGGAGGACACTTGCCGGCTCGAAAGACTTCTGGTGCAACACCAGACCGAAGATTCCTGGAACTATCTCCTTGAGTGGCTTCCACAGGGCAACTTCGAGCAGCACCATCCCCAAGGAATACAAGTCGAAACGTGGACGGTACTCATCCCGACTGTCCTGCTGCTGCTCCAGATCCACAGACATGGGGTGCCTGTAGAGCCTCGTATCTACGTCTTCGAGGAGCGCATCGGAAATATCGTGAGGGCCGATCTGGCGGGAGTAGCCATATCCAACGAGGAAGGGACCCTGAAATGACTGTACACTTGGCCATCGAGACTCGATGAAGTTGGTAAGCAGGATATTGCTGGACCTTATCTGTTTGTGAAGCCAGCCGGCGGTATGGAGCTGGAGGATGACTTTCGTCAGGGCGCAAGCGATCTGCCGTCGTGTCGTCGGATCCGCCTTCTTCAGACTGAGGTCTGATAGGACGGTATTCAGACTCACCACGTTTGGCAGCGCAGTTGGAGAGGACGGAGACTCATGATCAGTCGGCGGAGGCAAGCTGTAGATCAGGGCGATATTTCCGTCTTCCCAGTAAAAGCCCGAGCAGTGAAGGGAGTGGAGGGAAGGAGACCGAAGCTCGCTGAGGAGAAAAGCTAGGCTCTCGATCTGGTGACGTCGCCGTCCGTTCTCGATCTTGTTCGCTCGGTTCTCAATACGTCTTCTCTCGAGGAGTACCCAACACTTCGAGCCGTCTTTCTCGATCGCAATCTCCAAACCAGGCCCGACCCGTTCCCAGTCGGTGTTTGTTCTGTAGTCGGCAGATTTCTTCTTCAACATTTTCAATGCCTCGGCTCTTTTTCTCCTGATATCGACGGAGTTTTGGAAGCTTGCCTGTTGCTCCATTTCGATGCTTGTCGCGTCAACTCCTAGGGCAATTCGACTCGACTTGAGCTTCGAAAGTCGAGACGCTTCCGCAATCTCCCCCTGGCTGTCTGTACGAGCGTCCTGTGGGAAGTCAAGCTGCGAGAGGCATTCCAAGTCATCGGCATCTTTCGAGGTCTTGATCCCCGTCCGAATCATCGACGTCAAGGTCCCAAGAATGCGACTCTGGATTCCCAGATTTGTCATCTCCAGCAGACCACTGATCTGGACATGGATCTCCTGCACAAGCCTTGTCATGCTGTCTTTGTCGAACACTGCCCAACGAATCTTTTTTAGTGTACCGTTCCGCGAGTGAATTGTTTCGGCAACCATCGTGTCGAACTTTCGTTGCAGCCAAGACGGCAGACTGGGCCAACCTATATTGACTACTCGGGTCTCCACGTCTTCGTTGGTCTCCTCGACTATGAGATTATACCTTTTCTCAAACTTCTCTCCTCTTGGAAGAAGCGACTCGAGCTCCTGGATAATGGAATTTTTGACAGCTATTCCGGGATGGCCTTCCTGGCCTACTGCATTTTCGAGATTGGAGAACTCATGTTGCTCTTCCCACATAAAGAAGCGAAGGAATTCATATTCCATCTTTCGGCGGAGTTGATCAGCGTCATTTCCAAACCTCCACACCGATGACATGAGGATGAATCCCTGGTGAATTCTATGTATGGCGGAGTTCGCTAGCCCAATGGCCGCACTGACTTCGCCCAACACTGACATCTTGAACTGGCGTTGAAGTGGCTCAATGACATGAAACTCGACTTTCGCAAAGATTGAGCCGGCTTTTCAGCCTGATCCCTTCAGCTGAAAGGGCAATCAGCCACAATGCAGAATGGAGGGGTTGACCCACGTGATTGAGCGATCGGATGATATCAACCGTACATAAGTCAGGAATAAGTCCTGGGTGAAGGCTCCTGCTATCAGGACAGTTCATGAAGAGGTACAAGGGACCATGAATCCGTCTACACGACTTCAGGTTATTCCACGATCCTCAACAGTCCCAATCCGGCCAAACCTCTCCACCTTCATTGACTTGGCCCGTCATGCCACATTCCACGAAAATCAGAGTGCCTTACCACCACATGCTCGAGAAGCTCAAAGTATTGCCTCGTCTGTGACTATTGGTTCGGGCATTTCATACACCATCACAAGAAAAGACATTATTCCATGCCGGAACGACAGACTACCACCCGTGCACCAGCGAGGCGTCACCGTGAGCGCAAACCCCTCGCCGGCAGCGCAGCAATCTATGATAGCCCGAGTTATTTACAAGATACCCAAGGTTGATTTTTACGAGACAGGTGAAGCGATGCCCGAGTCTTACGAAGCATATGCTTCTGTTCTGCGAGATTTCTTGGTGCTTTCCCATGAATCGACTATCTTACACGAGAACCTGTTGACTCTGTTGGGATTGGCTTGGGGCAACATGCCAGGCGAACATCCATATATGATACCGGTTCCTATTGTTGAGTATGCCGACTTTGGATGCCTCGCAGATCTACAGAAATCAAAGAAGCTCTGCAATTCCCACAAGATGCGGTTACTCATGGATATGGCCACAGGACTTGAATTTCTTCACAGATGTGATATCGTACATGGTGATTTCAAGAGTGAGAATGTTCTCATATTCGCTCATGTCGACTCGCGGTATTGTGCTAAACTGACTGATTTTGGATCTGCGTTGCCTGGAGGTCAGGGAGTGTTTGACGTCTACAAGAATGGCACCGTACTCTGGGCAGCGCCTGAGATCCTGGAAGGAAATTCTGACACAGCGTGTCTTTCGGCTGCCGATGTCTTCTCATTTGGACTGACGCTCTGGCGAACAGCAATAGATGGGTTTGACCCCCTGAGCACATTCATGCTCTCCAGGAATGAAGCGGCCACAGGCATGCCTTCGGTTCGGACGCTGACCAAGCGCCCCTATGTAAATGCTGCTGCGAAGCTGTCAGCAGACAAGAAGCTGACCGAATTGGCATCTTCGGCTATCTGGATTCCAAAGCTAGAGCTCTTGCGTATCTTCGGGACAAGGACGAGCTGTGGCTGCGAGCAATCTCTTCGTGCAGGGGATGTTCAGAATCAGGATACTATAACCGAGGAGGCGTATTTCGCATGTCTCGACCGGATCTTGGGCCAAACACTGCACCCTTGTCCGAACGAGAGAAGTATTGAGTCCGCCAAGGTGGATCTAGAGACACTGTATGGCCGAGATCCCAAGTAAACGACATGCAACATTTCTGTTCAAGTTGTTCTGCAGCTCACCAACACAGGTCTTCCCTCAAAACTCGGGCACAATCTATCACATCAACCCGATCGTATGAATTATTGAAGTCCGGAGGGGTGTGTATTCTTCTACCGAGTTAACTCGATACTAACCAAGAAACAGTTCGTCATGTCGTTGATCGCTATGAGAGATATACAGGCTCACATTATGAACGATGTGTTCGGCCAGATTGTGAGGTTAAACGATGCGACTCGGCGCAGGCGCGGCTGGACTCCACGCCTTGAAAGTCTCCTGACTGCAGGCTTCATGAGCGGGATGGGCTCTGATCGCTTCTTCGACGCGAGAGAGGCCGTCCGTGCTTGCGATCGTGGTGCTAGAGCTGGCATTACAGGACTCCGTGCAATCATTTACCGCCTGGTGAATGTGGCAGGTGATCATTGCGGCGGCGGGATACTGTCGCTACTTAGATGGAGTGCTGAGCGTGGATCTATGGCAGCCATGGAAGACCTCAGAGACCTTGACCCAGAGATGGCAGAGAGTGCGGCAGCATTTCTCCGTAGGCATACCTGTGGGATTGGAGCAGACTTCTTCACCAAGATCATCGGACCATTTAACTATCCACAACTGTCGGATCGTTCCATCATCGAAGCCCATCTCCGGAGAACTGGACAGAAGGCATCTGAAATTATTCTCAACGCTCGAGGAGACACTTTGATCCACGCCGCCGCCTCAGGTGGAAGCACCGACGTTGTAGAGCTTCTGATAGGCCGCTATGATGTTCCCGTGAACCTGCGCAATCCGCACGGGGAAACACCACTCTTGTGTGCCTTGCGGTCAGGCCATGTCGATATTGTGAACTATCTGCTCGACTGGGCCGCCGATGCCAAGTTAACGTCGAAGAGGCAAGAGAATGTACTCCACTGGTTAATCTCGATACCCGACTCGGAACTGCCTGATCTTCTTGCAAGATTGATCACCAATGGAGCAGATATTCAAGATCCTGGGTGGGCCTTATCTTGCGACTACGCCGCTACTATGATCACAAACCGCTTTGATCGTTGGGACTGCCCTGGAGCAGGTGCGCCGTTGCATTGGGCAACCTCCCGCAAAAGAGCTGTGCTGGTCAAGTTATTGTTGGACCATGGGGCAAAGCACAATGATCGGGGCAGGATCGGCACGAACTCCACCCCGTTTGAGCAAGCAGCTTATTTTCACGACCATGAAATCTTGAGGATATACATTGATACAAAATATCCAAGACCCCGTGTGCCATGTTTCGACACTGGCCATGACTCGGTACTCCACAACCGGAGCGATGAGATACCTGGGGGGTCTTTGCTCATTGGCCTCTCCGCATTGATCCGTGAAGCCATCGACGGATCTGACCGCTTTCTGATGGCCGTAAGATGGGGAAAACAATACAAAGCACAGCTGCGTGAGACCTTGAAACTTCTAGGAGAAGAGCTTAGCTACCAGCAACTGGTCAAGGGAGTCGACAAGGCCGGGCGGTCCCCACTTCACTATGCTGCTTATTGTGGTTTCCACGAGGCAGCGGAGCATGTCTACGAGTTCATGGAAGGTGCTAGCATGATCGACACTCCATATGGACGAGGTGGAGGCATTACTCCCATCTTCGAGGCTATCAGGCGCGACAACAAGACCCTGTTTGACTTTTTCCTGGATAAAGGTGCCAGAATTGATATAAGAATCGACAGCCCCGGTATGCAAAGTCGATTTGACTGGTGTATCCTGCACGCAGTCGCCCAGGATTGTCATTTCAGCGGTCCTGAGCTTGCCAACAGACTGCTGGAGTTGGGATTGCCGCCCGACGGTTATGAGCCCGTCGGTGATCAGGAGCCCACGGAGACGCCACTCGCCGTGGCCATCGATAGCAACAACTTCAAGCTTGCCGATCTGCTGCGACAGAAAGGCGCAAATATCAATGCCCTTTCGCGATTCACCCTCTCCAGCCACATGAAGTTACAACATCCCATGACCATCCTCGGACGAATCATAGCAAGCAATCTTCGCGACTGGCGGTCTCGCCTAAAGTATCTACTACATCCGGAGACGGAGATGGGACATCCACCACCCCCGGATTTTCTCGTGGGACCCAGTCAAGGATGGACCGCACTACATGTCAGTGCCTTGGGCCTGCAGACTCGGGACCCCGAGTTTCGACGAGATCTTGATGCTGAGGTGTCCGCGAATATACTGACATACCTGTTGGAATTCTACGATCAACCCCGGCAAGTCAATGCACTAACCATCGATGCTGCCAGGACCACGGCCTTGCATATCGCGGTCCAGACCCACAATCTCGAGGCCGTCGTGTCGTTGCTAGACACCGGCGTCGTCGATTTACACATCCGGGCGCACGACGGCCGTTCTGTAATTGAGACGGCCACGATGTGTGTCGAAGAGGCTGCAGGACAGGCTCGGCAAGGAGACTTGAGCGATGCAGAGGATATCCTGGCGGCGTTGTTGGATTATGAGGATCAACGGCATTGAGACGGGGGGTGCGTCAGTGCAGCGTTTCTGGGCCCTCCACTGATCTCCCGGACCGGCCCCCCGACCCTGGAGTAATCCCACCCACCGCCATTTTTCTAACCAGTTTCACTGCGTCTTATCTTCTCCCGCACCACTGCAAACTCTTCTACCATGCAACCTCATGCACTATAAGTCAGGCCTGTCTACCATCCAGGAGTCAAGGAGACACTTACGTACGTAGTGTCCATATCGTAGCATCAAGTGACGCATTCCGTACCGTAATGCCTGCACAGATACATGTCCACTAGTTCCAATTGGTCAAGCAAGAGGACGACTTTAGTTTCCGTGTGCCGAATCAGGTCCCCAATCCAGCCAGGCACGAAGGGAGTGGCCATGTTCAGATTCCAATGTGAAGAACGCACCGATACTCCTTTGCCTCAAGCAACTCGACTATCCTCTAATGCTCAAGAAAGGTTGAATCTCGTGCAGGATTTCAGCTCGCCTCTCAAGACGCCTCCTCGACCATGGTCGCCTGTTGAGGCCGGGCGGACAGCGCCGTCAGGCTGAAGCCTAGGAAGTTGCATCAGGTCGAACCCTAGTGGGCGCCACAATATCGTACATGTACCATTCATGGGAAAGATGTCTCAGGTCTCGATGGTTCTGGGCTCTTCATTGATCTACTGAACCAATAGGCTACAATCCTCATTATTAAACATGTAGTAAGTGACGCGTCTTTCATACGTCGACAGCCTCACCACTTCGGGTCGCACACCATCTGCCTCGCAAAGACTATCGAACGCCACAAGCGATGTGATCCCTCAGATGCCCAATAAAAATGCCATCATGGCAAACAGCCCAATCCCAGTATCCATTGACGGCGCGGCGGCACGTTGGGTTCCGGCGTTCGACTGGGCGGTAGGTGTGGGTGTCTGGGTGTTTGGTGCGGTCGAGGCCGAGGCCGAGCTGGTGCCCGCCGCGGTGAAGCTTGTCGTACCGAACGTGTTTGTCGTGGTGGCCGAGTCACTCGACCCGGTCGAGTGAATGAACCCACTGGGCACCGGCAGTGTGCTTGCGTTCGTGCCCAAAGATGAGCACTCGGCGATCCCAGGAGTGTATATGCTCAACACGGAGGAAATGCAGCCCTGGTGGTGGTGGTGCCTCGGTCAATGGAGCCCCGACGACGAAGCAGGGCGCGATACTGACCATGGGGTAAGTCACTGTGCCATCGACCCGGGTGACGTTCACGCAGTTGTCGGTGCACTGCGCATTACCTGCGGTGGGAGAATCTTGATAGCACAGAGCGCCCTGATGGACTCCCGATCCTGGCGGGTAGCATGCGAGGCTGGGACTGATGTGAGAAAAATGCCACGCACGAGGCAGGTTCGTCGATTCTCTTCCTTTCTCAACTTACTCGTCGTTACAATTCCCAAAGACCGGGCAACCATCCAGACAGCGGATGATGATATCACTCGCAAGGCTTCCTGATCCTTCGCAGTAGAAGCCACCTCTGGCCGGACATGAGAATGTGATGTAGGGATCACCTGAGCAATTCGAGCTCAGAACCCCAAGACACCTGGGCTGGGTCAATGTGCGTTCGATCCGTTTGAAGTTGAACAATTTGTACTCACCAGGTCAGGAGAATAAGGCCTCGTAGGGTTGCGGTCTTCATGTCTGCTAAAGTCCTACCAAGTAGATTGAATCGTGAATCAGTGTAGAGGAGGAGGGTGGTGGCGTTTCATTTAAACAAACAACGAGAAGGCCGGACCCCCGAACCTTGCTTCAGCTGAAGTTGAGGCTGCAAAGCCGCATGGCTACTGAACCCTGCCTCGCTTAAGGAGTGCGCATCAAAATATTGTCTTGCCGCAGGTGGCGCACCCATTTCCATATCCGAAGGTGGTGTGCACTCGTGCCTGCTCGTCCTGTAGTCCTCCATCCATGTATACGTTTCTCTTCTGGCGAGGAACAAGGCATCTATCGAATGTGATCGGCTTTCCACAGGCAAGGACTCAGCCTAGAAATATGGCTCTTGAGAGGGCCGAGAGTGAACCTAATCGCGCCTCATCCATCGTCAATATTCCTGTTGAAGATGAAGTTCCGGCTCCGGATGCTATGCCAGTAGCTGGTGAGAAAACTCACTCTCTCATCATGAACAGAAACACCGTTCCACAAGACACGGAGCTATTCTCGTCGCCTCAGTTTCAGCAGACGCAGCCTCCGAGGGAGTCAGTTGCCCTTCTTCAAGAGTCGCGAACAGGCCATCCGGGGCCGGCAGCATTGCACTCCGCGAATGGGTTTGATATTCCAAGGTCATGGCGAGAGTTGGCAAAGATCATGCACGAGAAGCTTGGCTTCCTCACAATCGCCATCTTCTTGGTGGGACTTGTGGTTATTCTTGCCGTCATGAGCCTGTGGACATTTCTGTGGTTCGGCAACGGTCACAATAGTGCCTGGCAATGGATCATGGAGCACGACTCTCTCAAGGTCATCGTATCATCTACGGCCGAAGTAGCAAACAAGGTCGCAGTCCTGATGATAGGTTTCGAATGCTCTATGCTGATAGCATTGGCACTTGAGTGGTCCGACATCCGCTTCTCTGATATCGCAGCAGTATCGATTGGTCGTGCAGGAGGCGGTCAAGGTCTGAGCACCATGAAGAAGATCTCAAAACTCAGCCTGTCAGCCCAAGGCGTCAACTTGGTCTTTCTCATGACTGTGACGGCTGTTCTCCTTCTACAGATGCTCTCGGCCGCGACCCACACGGTGTTGCTAGCAGACATCTCGGTCGCGAAATTGCCCACCAGCAGAACCGACGAGACCTTCAACATAAGTTTCAATTACTACCCACAGACAATCAGCAACGAAGCAGGGTTCCCGAACCTGCTATACCGTTCTACGGCTTGGGGCTGGAAAGCACCTTCTTACCCTGCTTTTGCAGAGTATTCGGAAGATCCTTACCAGAAGAACGGCGTATCTGACACAGGGCTCACCTTGCGTGCATTTCTCCCTATCGCCGATCCCCTTGTGAGACAAAAGATAAGGAGCTATTCGGGCCGGGCGACTGTGCTTGACGCCAGAGTCACCTGCCAAATCCCTGATTTTGAAGATATCTCGGTCGAAGTCGAACAAGACAGCCTGTTGTTAAGTGGTTACGTGAAGGCAAGCCAGCCAACTCCACGCCTGGGAAACATGACGCTAGTTCCCACGCCCAAGAACAGGAGCGACATCACCGACTGGACCCGCAACGCCCCTGTTCCATTCATCTGCGTCGCGCCACTGGCCAACACGTCCACGTATGGAATGCCTGATCAATGGCGCACAGTGCTCTGCCAACTCACAGAAGCAGGCCGTTCGTCCACGGGCATTGCAGGAGGCCTCGTGAGCGAGTTCAAGGATTACTCATCTTGGCTTGCCGACTCGACGACATTCAACAACAGTTGGGATTTCGGAACGGCGTACCTGGTTTTCAATGTCACTTCTGGGCCTTCGTTCCTATGGGAGGACTTTTTCAATTATCAGAAGGTCCTGCCAGCACCTGTCGCAGCAGGAGAGACATCCAAGGAATGGAAGCTCTTCACCCTCGCCACAGACCTGTCGTTCGGGGCGACGCTTTGCTACTCAGCGTTGGACACGGCCGAAATACCTGTCGAAATTACGTCGGAACCGGAACGTAATGTTACTGAGCCCGCCCCGACCTTCAACTCTGGGTCCAAACGATACGAGTTCCAAGAACTTCGGAGGCAATACGGCCAGAGCGGACGCCAGAGCGGTTCCCATCCCAGTACCGGCCGGGATCTTGGTGATAGAGGTATTCTGACGCTGAAAAAGCAGTCTTGGATCGCCGGGAAGGGTGTTCAGCCACCGACCGAGCCCTTTCTGCGGTCTTTTGCCAATCTGGCCGGATCCGGGAGCAACGACGGAGGCAACGACCCATACTGGTCTGGTTTTCTCTGGAGTTCTTCACCACCGTACAGCTTGAATTTGTCGGATCACTATTGGACTGTTTTCTCGGCAACCTCTGCCGATTACCTGCAGCCAGACCCTCTGCACGTCTGGCTGTTCCAGGACATCATAGCGCACAGCGGCTCGGTGGCGTTCGCCCTACAGTCGCTGTTCACGTTGCTGGTGAGCATGGCTTACTATGACCAGTTGCCACAGTTCGACAAAGCCACCCGGGTGGAACAGTCTGTGTTTAAGTACACCAACCTGCCAACCCACCATCGAGGTTTGCTGATCGTGATGTGCGCCTTGACGGTTCATCTGTTCCTCGCGTACGGGGTGCTTGCCTGGTTCGTTCTTGGAACCAAATACACGCGACTGGGTCAGAAATGGCAAGCTATAGCCCAGGCCAATACTCCAGAAATAGCGCCATACCTGGCACAGGCGGTGACATTGTCGGACGAAGAATTTGACAAGTACGTAGAGGAGCAAGGTGGGCAGATGGTATTGCGTTCGCGAGTCAAGCTCGGACCGCTTGGAGAGTCTGGGAAGATTGGATTATATGTGTCCTGTGAGAGCCGAGACAGCTGAACCTGTTGGGTTATTCTTTTAGCTGTTGAAATCTGTCTGGAGCTGGAATCAGATCGCTCAGGGCCGGGCGAATAAATACTTAAAAGGCAATCTAAAGTTGCTGAAAGTTGCCAAAAGGTAGATGCTACGTAAAGAGTAAGTAGTCAATGATGTCTGAAATATATTGAACAATGGCGCTATATGAAAAGTGAGAAGAGGGTGTGAGCTTCTATTTACTTCACAGCGACCCTATTTCAGACAAATGCTCCGTTAAAGATGGGTTTACTTTGGTCTGTTCTTGCTGTTTCGGGCGCGATTCTCTTTGCTGCTTAGTCGAGGCCTTGGGGAGGACACACATAAATGACTTTGGTGTGACAGCTTCAGTGACTATCTTCTGGTTTTCCAACGGGGTTACACTGTCTCGTCGTGCTGTAGTTACTCAAAATAAGGGACCTTAAGCCCTCAAACTAGGCGACATGTGACATGGCATGAAAAGCGGACGATAGGGTATTCAGATTTGATCCTTAATGTAAGCTGCTTTGACACACTATTGTCCCTGTACGGAGTACATCAATCGAGTTCGGTTCCGTACTCACCGGGCTTCAGGCTGATAGCGAAACCACAAACTCCAAGCGAGGCTCGTTTACTTTTGTACTGTAGGTGTTCAAGTCCTGATGCGATACTATTTCCATTTTCATGAGAAAAGGAAAAGATAGAGTACAATTTTTACGCTTGACTAAGATACGGTACACACAGGCTCGGGGGGTCTCGCGTTAGACTATCGTGATCTCCCTTGCAGGGAGTGTCGAGCGCTGCAAGGTACATCGGTTCGGGATGTCAACTTCAGCGCGACCGACCCTGACAAACTCATCCTCTTTGTTTCCGCTTGGAACCAGCACCAACCCAGCTGTTCTCAGCCCATCCGGGTCAACCCTGTACATTATCAGCGGCAGGAACTTCGCCTCGACTTCCGCATCTGGATCGAGCCAGAGGCAGAGGTCGCCGTCTGTGTCATCTATATCGCACTCGCCCTTGAATTCTCTGCCCCGTTCGCCCTCCACGCACCTCAGAGCAAGCCGGGGGAACGGCATCTTGTCCATTGACAGAAGATGAACGCTCGTTTTGGAAGAACTGTCATTGATCATCTTTCGCCTCCACTTATCCTCATCCGTCAGTGTGTGAGGTGTGGCGCAAATGAGCAAGGAGAAGAGCTTCGCCCTGACGAACAGCTTTCCACTCTTGACTTCTCCGTAGGGAGCGCTCAAGCGCTGATGCTCGATTTCTACCCGTGTAATCTTGGTTCCGACAAGAGATGTATTTTCCCGGTAATCGCACCGGCCTCCAGGCAGAATTTCCCCACGGAAATAAAGCCGGATTCGCTTGTGGCACTGAAATATCCACGACCATGACGGCCCAGAAAAGCCCTCAGGATCGAAGTTGACTGCACCTGCTGGGATCGTCGTCCTTCTTGTGCCCGAAACCTCTGCAGACCACAAGAGTCCCAGCGCGAGGTCACTTTGCCACAATCCGGCTGCGTACTGATCGTTCGGTTTCATGTAGCCCGCAAAAGCTTGTGCGAGGCTAGAAAGGGCTGGGAGAACGTCGCTCTTCGTCTTCATATTTCGAGACGTGAATTCCTGAACCTGGGCATACCAGAGATCTAAATATGGGTTGCGCCCCGCGTCGGCTGAAGTGCTCGATCGACTAGGGTGGATATGCATCCTCAGCTGTCGATTATTGCCAAAGTTTTCATGTCGATATGGCGTCCTTTCTGAGCCCATGATATTATCGGGAGTCGCGGAGCAACAGAAGCAAAGCCAATAGATTCCCCTGGCACCATATTTGAGTATACGTCTCGATAACTGCTCTTCTTGCAAAACCCAAGCACGCATAGCCAGAGGGGCCTTGATCACCTCGTATTTGTCTATGGCATCCAGTCCCATTAGACTAACATAGTAACCTTTGTAGGGCGGGACATCAGGCGGCTCAAAGAGGCATAACGGATACGTCAACAGAGGGTTCCGTGGGTGGTATATTCCAACATCATCATTCGGTGCCCAAGCCGCTGCGAGCGTGAAAGTAGCGTTGCCGAAATATTGCGCCATTCGTTGCGATTCCATCGCCCAGTCGTCTTTGTCCCTCTGGATGATGCAGGTGTTGTCGATCCAGAGATATCGGACGTTAAATTTTCGAGCAATATCGACAGCATCCCTAAAGGTTCTTGGCCACGTTGCCAACTGTGGAAGTTGATAGGCGATAGGATTATTTGTCACTCGGTCATTCTTTGATCCAGTGTATCTAACCACGTCCAGAGGTTTCGTTGCCCCCCAGCAATGGCTGAGACAGATGTATTCACCAGTCTCACCGTCCACCGGCTCATAAAGGACAGGTTCCATACCTTCTTCCCTTACGTCAATTACTCGCTTCGGTAACGGGGGAACTGCAGTCGTCGAAAGATTGAGAGCGTCACAAACCGAATGGTTCGAAAGACAGTTGTTGTACCACAATTTGGCGAGCTCAATGGTGGCGCTGGACTGAGTGGAGTTGTCGACCTCAAGGAGCTGCTTAGACTCCCAGAGCTCGTACATACGGTAAGTCATCCGCGCGAACGCACCTTGATCGTTAGCACAGCGTTCTTCAAAAGCCAATACGCACCGCACGATACCTTCAGGAAGCTCAACTCTACGCAACATTCTGCAGAAATTACCCCAGAAGACGTAGAAATAGTCTTCCAAATCGAACCACATGCGGGAGGCGAAGTCAGCGCGGCGACTCGCAAAGACCCTCCATACGACAGGACACGTTTTGGAAATGCTGGAAGATTCGGAACCGTCAGCTCGGGCAAGCAGGGCCAGTGAAAGCGACGATTTTTCTCCTGCGGAAACAGGATCAATCGCGGCCCGCTCATCATCGCTCGATGGCTCGTCGAAGGCGAACCAGAGAGCAGCACAGAGGTAGCAACCAGCATCTTTAGAGCGGGCCAGATGTTGGAAGTCGGCGTGATGTATGTAGAACTTTTGCTCGACAGAGGAAATGCGGTACTTCCTGCATTCCTCAAAGACGACATTGTCAGGATTTTCCGCATAAGCACGGGCATCGGCGACCTCTTCGAACCATTCGAAACGAACATTTGAGCAGTTGCGACACAACATGATGATGAAATTGCCGAGAAGTTTGATTTGGACTGAGATCTCCCCTGGGTGCCTCGCGAATCAAAGTAGAAAGGAATCCAGTACTTGACTGGAAGTTGTCAGGCAACCAGTCATAAGCATTCAACAATTGTTCATGGGCCAAGAGCAAACATCTTCTGATCGTACTTCAACATGGGCTGATGTAGCGCAGCCTCATACAGAGTTCTCATGGAATGAAAGGGCCGTCATTGCAAGATCTCAAGTGGACACATTCGGCGGGTCTAGATGGTTGCAGTTTTGCGGAGCAAGGCCGTTTTAAGGAACTTTGCAAAGCACAATATTTTGTAGCCTCGTAGCCTTGCCGGAATGACATACGGAGTACAGCGGACTCATACCCTTACGGAGTATCTCAACAGCTTTATATATACCTACATGTACCTTATGTATCTAGAACTGAGTGTTTGTGGCATGGAAAAATCAAGATATCTTTGTGTATCATACTCGAACTTGCGTCCATTCGGGAAACTCCAGATCCTCCCTTACGATCGACATCATATTTCGGTCCTCGATGTAGTCTTTGAGTTGCAAAGACTCGAATTGACTTCGATTGCCGATGTACACACCTCTGTGTTGGATGAGACGGGCATATTCCATTGTTCGCCGAACAAACTCGGCATGATTCCCCGTCTTCAGATAATGTATCAGCATTAGTACATCAAACGCAGCCTGGCTCGTCGACGCAACAGTATGGGGTCTGAACCCGGCGAGGGCATCCCCAATAAGCACCACCTTGCCATGGTCGAAGGAGTTCTTTGGCGTAATGACATCCGTGATGCATTGGACGAATGGATTGCGCGTCTTCTCTACCATTTCGGACATCTGAGGAGGCAGTCGATCACGACCCCTTTTCTTGACCATCTCCCAAGCCTCGTCGCGCATCTGTCCTGGTGGGATGGTGAGTCTGCGACGTTTGCCGTCTTTGTCGGTCATGACTTCTTCCAATTCCTGCTCTCCTTCCGGGAAGTTTGTGTACCACACAAAGTTGAGCAGCCGTTTGCCCTCCTCCATGGCTCCATTTGTCCCCGGTATTGTATAGGTGAGATTCTGGATGCCTGGAGAATGAAAGAAGGTAAATCTTTCCACAAATGCTGCCTTGGCTTCTTCGGACGCCGCTTCCTCTGGGACCGTTCCTCGAATGACACAATACCCAGCATATTTACGTTCAATATCAGGGTACAAGATCTTTCGTATCGTCGAACTTGGCCCGTCAGCACCCACAAGCATATCACCTACCACGCTCTCTTTGCCGCCGCCGGCCTTGTCATATGACACTCTCACTTTATCACCCTCATAAGCAAAACCGGCCACGGTACATCCGTATCTATAGTCAATCTTGCCGTCGCCAGGTTGTGGGCCCGGGGCTTTACAGTAGTCGCTCTGTTGATGGTCGTAGTTTGCACGGAGCATGTAATAGCACAGGTCCCAGCTTGTCATCGTCTGCTTCATCACCTCTTCATGAACGACATCTCCTGACTTGTCCAGATACATCCTCTTTTGCGAGGCGACCGCCACAGCACGTTTGCACCGGTCATAGCGTTCGAAGAAGGCCAGGGTATCCCCGCCAGCGACAATGCCTGCGCCTTGGTTCTCGAGTAGGTTCGTCGGATTTCGCTCGAGGATGGTCGTGTCAAAGCCTTCCTGCTTTAGGGCGACACCAGCAAACAGGCCTCCGAGGGAGCCTCCCACGATAATGACGTGCTTCGTCTGTTGCTCCATCAAGGGTCCAGGTTATACTCGAGTCTTCAACTTGAGAACAAGCGGACATTCAAATCGAAGGGGTAATAGCCATGACTCCGAGGTTATCGATGACTGGGAGGAGGAAGAAGGTAATATCTCCCGCGGCCAAAACCCATCAATAAGCGAGCCTGCAGGTCTTGTGAGGGGGTCGTCAGTGACATCCATGTATCATCCTTCCATTACCCCGTTCGCTCAGACCGCTTCGGCCTCTGGAGGCTAGTGATTAGCTGGTTGGTAAAATGTCTTGATCCGGTAAGACCATGATCCAGAAGTCTCAAAGGATGGAAGCAGACAGTACATCTTTCAAGAGTGCGAGGCAACAGGAAACGATTGCGAATAATGAGAAGGTGAAGTTCAGGCTGGATGTTCAAAGTCCCTGCGACAAACCCCGTCCTTTAGCCTGAGGAGGCCCCGCCATAGTTCAATAGGCTAGCCTAGAAAGCCCACTACTCTACAGAAGACCCGCCTAGCTCCGGGTGTCTCAGGTGTGTATTGGCCTCGCTCTGTCCACCCTGCAAGGCACCTTTATCGGTTAGCCAGATCATTTGCACATCTGAGTGCTTATCCATACAGTCCTCCGTACACTTTATGAAAGGGTGATCTCTTAACTGTCTTGTTCGTGAACATTGTTTCTCCTCCATTTCAACCAGATATTCCTGGCCTGTCCGTCACTGTTCACCCATGGCGATGCTTCGGTAGTCCGTGTGTACCACTGCCTGCTGAGCCGCGTTCAAAACCTCGACCGTCACAATGGCGCGAACCCGTGATGGTCTCTTGTCGGAGAAGCACTACGACGACGATGCGGCCCTCGTTCCCTCAGACGCAGGCTCCGACTACGAAATCGATGGAAGTGCAGCGGGTGACGACGCTGTCCAAGATGGTGATCGAGATATCCTAGACGAAACAGAAGAACACGAGAATCTCCTGCGTAAGCCAGGGAAACTCGACGCCGTTCGAGGCATGGCTGGCCTGCGGAACAATAAACAAACTGGGGGTAGCAAGAGCAGGCATCGCAAAGAGAGAGCGAAAAAGGGGGAGTCGGATACGATGTTCGAGATGGAAGGTGGTTTCAAAGACACAAGTTCGCAGTCATCCACAGATTCAGAGATCGAAGGAACCAAATGGGATAGAAGAGCGCCTGCGAAGTCACATCGGGGACGACTTACAGTCTTGTTCCTCGCCATCATCGCCCTATTCATTTCTCTCGTCTTTGGCGCGTACAAGGCTTCACACAAGCACGCCCTCGCCCCAACAACCCATCGGCTGGCCCGATTGTCCAATGGCACGCACACCTTTCGTCCGACGACAATACTCATATCGTTGGATGGCTTCCGAGCCGACTTTCTCAACCGCGGCCTCACGCCTGCTCTGAATGCCTTCGTGGCAAGTGGCGTATCGCCAAAGTACATGCTTCCATCCTTTCCGTCGGTCACGTTCCCCAACCACTTTACGCTCGTGACCGGCCTCTACCCCGAGAGTCATGGCATTGTCAGCAACCAATTCTGGGACCCTGATTTCCAAGAGGAGTTCTACTACACGAATGTCGGTGTTTCGATGCAGCCCAAGTGGTGGACCGCGGAGCCACTGTGGGTGACGGCAGAACATCACGGCGTCCGATCAGCAATTCACATGTGGCCCGGTTCCGAGGCTCATATTCCGGATGTCGAGCCTACCTATCTCGACAAGTACAATGGATCCGAGGAACTCACCCGCAAAGTGGACAGGATGCTACACTGGCTCGATTTACCAGGTGACGACGACGACGATGATGATGGTAGTGACGATATCACTACCGAAAGACGACCACAACTGATCGCGGCGTACGTACCCAATGTCGACGCCGACGGTCACAAATACGGCCCCAACAGCACCGAGATCAGAGCGACAATCGCCGACGTCGACAGCATGTTTGTCAGTCTCGTGGAGGGTCTGTACGCGCGAAACTTGTCCGAGATTGTCAACCTCGTCGTCGTATCGGATCATGGCATGGCGACGACCTCGAACGATCGCCTTGTACAGCTGGATGATCTGATCGATATGTCGTTGGTGGATCATATCGATGGTTGGCCCTTGAGGGGCATGCGACTGAAGGACCCAGATCGTGATGTCCCGATTTTGTACGAGCAACTTTCCAAAGAAGCCGCAAAGGCCGGGTCTTTCGAGGTTTACACACTAGAGACGATGCCCGAACGTTACCACTTTTCCAACAACGATAGAATAGCACCTCTCTGGGTCGTCCCCAAGACAGGATGGGCCATTGTGGAAAAGTCAGACTTCGACGTGGCGGAAGCACTCGAGACGGGTCAAGAATACGAACCGAAAGGTTTGCACGGATATGACCACGAACATCCGCTCATGAGGGCTATTTTCGTGGCCAGAGGTCCCGCTTTCCCACACAAACCAAACAGTCGACTGGCACCTTTCCAGAACACCGAGGTGTACAATATCGTTTGTGATTCCTTGGGTATCGAGCCTCATCCCAACAACGGCACTCTACGACTACCTCTGAAGCCGGAAGGATTGCACAGTGATGTCGACGCCCCGGTCGTTGATACACCTGCCGATCCAATCATGGACCATGAAGGCAAGGATGACGATCCAGAAGAACCTGAGAAGCATCAAGAAGATGAACCTCAAGAGCACGAAGAAGATCCCGAGCAATCCGACGACGACCCTTCTTCCAATGGTGGCGGTGACGGGGTCAAAGATGATGCAAAGAGCAAATGGTGGAAATTTCTCCACGAAGGACTTCAAAAAGCCAAAGAGTGGGCCAAGGAATTCATCGAATCGATCAAGGGCAACAAAAAAGGAGGCGAAGGAGTTGACCCTCCCGTGTGAAATGTCAACTGGCCCCCCCCTCTTGACAGTAAGATTGCGCATCGAATCTTGGAAGCCACTTGAATATTGGGGGGAGGGGGGAGGGAAGAAGAGTGTGAACACACAAAATGTGTAATAACTCTTTTCGAAACCACTACCAGTATGATGTCGACCTTTTGACGAGGGAGGATTTTCAGTCCTAGTGACTCGACTCGCCACGGTCATTCTGTCACTTGGTCGAGCTTGAGCCGATACAGAATCCGAGAGAGGAAAGAAATTTCTCTCGTGCCTTGCGTCGCCGCTCACCACGAAATCCGTCGGGGAAAAAAAGGGGCAGGGGGCAAGGGCAAGGGCAACCGCATTTCGAAGTGTGTTTGTCGAAGGCCCTGTTGAAACCAACTCCTCTGCTCTCCGAAGTATTTACCTGGGTACCCGGGTGGTGACGGCGGGTGGATGGAAACACCGTCCGACCGAACTTGTACCCAACCGGCCCACGAAGAATCACGGAGGGGGTTGAAAAATCCGATCACGAATGTCGGGCACATGGACCAAAACCACGGTAACCCGGTACTACTGGCGGAGGAGTACTGTGATGAATAGAATCGATCTTGTGATGGGCTGCCGCTGGATCTTTTTGGGTATCCAACTCTGGTTGTTTACCGTATCAAGGCTCGTTGAGAGAGAGAGAGAGAGAGAGAGAGAGAGAGAGAAGAAAAAAAAGACTGTCGCTCCACGGGTTCCTTTTTTCAAACATCCCTCCTTTACTCCTATGAACACATGAGCGAGACTACACACGCGTGTGAGAAGGCACACCGCTCAGGTTTACTTTTTACTCTCAAGGTAATCAAGTCGAGTCGCACGAGGTGAAGATTGGGGGTCTAGAGATACCGTGGACATGATATTGTAGGGGGTACAATACTCCGCACAACATGTACATACAGTAGTATAACATCAACTTCTCTACCCTGTGTATACATTGTCAAACGTCTATTTTGCTTATTCCAAAGGGACAAGGGACTGAAAAACGAGGAACCTCGAGAGCCTGTCTTTGCCGTTGAATTCATACACAAACACCCACCCCAAGCCCGTAGGGAATTACAATGTAATCAGTACTACTCCAATAGACGGAACAAAAAACCATCACGAGTACGGAGTAACTTTTGAAGGAACAGACGTCTTAAATTCAGCATTGCTATTCTCATTGCATATTACATCTACACACTTTTTTCGAGCCTCAAACGGGGCTTTTTACCATGGGATGGATCTTGATGAGGCCGCAACCTTTTCAGCGTTGTCAACCACCCCCAGAGTTTCTTCTTGTCCATCTCCACATTCCAAGCCATAGTAAATACTGCTTCAGAACCACAAGGATACCATATTCTTCCGAGTCTGTAAACTATTCCGCAGTAGCACCCTCGCAATCTTGCTAAATCACACACAACTCAGTCTGGTGGTGGCACCAAAAAGCAGGGGGAAAAACCGTCATCTACCGCAAACGTGGGAGTGCAAGCGGTCATCGTTGACCCTGGGGGGTACGGGGCAGTAGCCGTCGCAAAAGAGGACAATACAGTCTCAGCGGTTGCCGAGCACCGCAGTCTGTCCAGAGTCAAAGTTTTGTTTCTCAAATCACTCCTCTTCGCTCTCTTCAGAATCACCGTCATCGTCACTACTGTCGCCTTCTATCGACGGCATGGCGTTTGGTGAGACAGGTCCAGCGTAAGCACCCAACTTGCCCTTGAGTTCCTCAATCTGGGCTTCCTGCTCGTGCTTACTCATGGGCTTGCTCTTCTTGCTCTTGGTCGCCGCAGGTGCATAGTTGTCGCTGGGCTCGGCCTTGGGCTCGTCCGGAGGAGGTCCAGCATAGCGCTTGACAAAGTTGAGTAGCTTGAGCAGGGCATGGTTTGGAACTTCCTCAATGTCGAGCTCTATCTCGTTTTGATCGGTATTGGCGAGGGACGGAACGCTGTTCTGGATGATCTTGAGAGCTTCCGACATTTGCTTCTCGGGAAGCATGCCAATTCCATTAGAAATGTACTGCTTCTCGGCAAATGTCACGTAACGATCCGCGTTGGCCTTGGCCTTGGTTCCAGACTTCTTCTTCTCTTTCTTTTCCTTGCCTTCTTTGTGAGCTGCCGGCTTCTCCTTCTTGCCGGATTTGGACTTGCTCTTCTTGGTCGGTGGAGATTTGGACTTCTTGACCTTCTTCTGGGTCAGCTCGCCCATTTGCTTCGACATTTCTTCAATTTGCTTCTGCAGCAGTTTGATCTTCTCGGCCCGATCGTCCTCACTGTCATCGGCGTCGTCTTCGCTGTCTTCTTCCTCCTCTTCATCTTCCTCTCCATCAGATTCCGGTGCAGAAGGAGGTTCGCGAGCGGCGATCCATTCATCCTTGGTCGCCCATTTCTTGTTGAACAGATCTTCCAATTGGTGACCGGCAGAATTGACCAAGTCACCTTCCGGATTGAACTTGTAACAATTCTTGAAGATGAGGCGCACATCCTCTTCGAAGTCCTTAGCTTTTTCGTATGCGTTGTTGGTCAGCTTGGTCCTGACAAGACTGAGATCCATGGGTTTCTTGATGATTTGGAAGTAGGTCGGAATGTTCAACGCCACCGGATCAACTGGATGAGTAAAATACTGGTTTGCTGACCAGTTTTTGGGGTTTGATATTTCCTTCAAGACTTCGTCGCAGAACTTCAGCTGCAGCTCATACTTCTTCTTCTTGGGTCTGCCACCGAACTCTTGGTTCCGCTTGGTAGGGACAATGGCCCGCTTGGGTCGGCCGTCGGCTAGGCTGGAATCACGTCGAATGAGTGGCATGCCATCTGGACCAGGAGCGAATGCCGGGGTTGCAGGAGCAGCAGACTTGGGCGACGCAGCGGTTGCGACAGGGGCGCCAGCTGTGCTGACTGATGGTCGTCGAGGCGCCTGTTGTCTGGTAGGTTCCTGCTTTTTGGCTGCTCTCTTGGTCTCTTTGGACGGCTCTTCCAGACTAGCAGGAGGCAGGTTCTTCATCTGACTTTTGAAGGATGATTCCATTTTCCGTGCTTGCTGTGTGATGCCATGATCAGGTCCATTGAAAGCCACGCAATTGGCGATGATCTGATTGAAGTCGCTTACGAAAGCAGAGACAGATGTGTATTTGCTGTTCTTCAAGCGCGAGTCGATTGTTCCCAGATCCATAGGCTGCTTGACAATATCAAAGTAGGTAGGAATGTTGAGCTGGATGGGATCCACCGGTGCGCGAAAGGCCGCTGAGGAAAGGCTCTTCTTCAGGTTCGAGATGACCTTCCTCGCATGCGCCAATCGTGCTGGGGTCAAGGTATCATCTCCGTCGCTCAATCCATCTGTGGTGGCTGGCGCACCGGCTGGTACAGGAGATGATGTTGCGGCAGGCACTACGGGAACTTTGAATGGCGTTTCCTGAGCTTGGGATCCTGATTCATCAGTTTTGACTCTCTTCGCCGCACGTTCTGAATCAGGAGCATCATCTTCTCGTGCCCGGGATTGTTTTGCAGGAAGCACATCAATCGTGTCTTCTGGCCGGTATTGATTTGCAGGAGGTACATCAATCATGTCTTCATCTTCATCAGTCGCGCCTGGCGCTGGTGCTGCAGGAGCCACTGGAGCCACGGGTGCCCCGACTTCAATAGTGTCAGCAGGCTGGGCAGGCGTTGGTGCGGGATCTCTTGGCTGCTCGGCCGCAGGGACTGGTTGAACCTCGGCTTCTGCCGTGATAGGCTTTTCGGGCTCTACCAGTGGTTCGATTGTTTGTTCAGGTTCGATTGTTCGTTCAGGTTCACGTTGAGGTTCTGGTACAGGTTGTACATCAGCGATAACGTCGGAGGGTTTTTCTTCAGCTAGTGTGGCTGGTGCAGGCTGTGGCTCTTCGGGCGGTGACGGAGCTGGAGGTGAAGGCAAACCGATGTTGGTGACAGGTGGTTGTTCTGTGACGGTTGACTGTTCGGCCAAGCTGGTAGACTCGGGGACTGTGGTTGTGTCCATCACGTCTTCTTTTGGAGGAGAAGGAGCACTGTCAGCGAGATTGTCCAACTGGTGTTTTTGAGCCTCAACGACAGCAACAGCCTCCGGGCTCAAAGCGTCAGAGTGAGGAGCTGTGCGTAAGTCTGACTCGGGTGGCTGAATCGGAGCTGAGACCGGCTCAGAAATCTCCGTATTCATAGTTGACTGAATGTCTTGCAGGGGTGCTGAGGACTGGATTTCCGTTGGTATGGATGAAGGTACCACAGAGTCAGGCATGCTCTCTGAACTTGTTGGTAGAGAGGGAGAATTATTTTCAAGTGATGGTTGAGTTTGAGAGTCAGGAACGGTTGAAATGGATTTCTCTGCCAATTCACTTATGCCATTTGCGGCAGGCGGTGGTTCTGCAACTGCCTGAGACACCGCCTCTGACACTGCTTCTTCTGGTGGTAGGGACTGCGGTGCTGCCTCCACTATTGATTCTGATTGAGAAGGCGTCGATTCAATGGCTGCCGGCTTTGAAGAAGGGAAAGCCATAGGCGCGTCAGAGTTTGATATCGAGGCTGCCAGGTTGCTGACTACGTGTTCATTGGCAGGCTGCTCTGAGGTTGAACCGAATTGCGCAGGCAGGCTGCTGAATGTTAGAATGAGTGACAAGTGAGGCAGTAACGACGGGCGGTGAAGTGACTTACCCATTTGCCTCCATCTGCATTTCGACATCCATGATGCCAAGAATGTTTCTCTATCGCAAAAGATCGGACCAGCCGAAAGGAGTGACGAGCAGGTTGAAAGATTATAGATTAATGTTGGAAGTAATTTACAAGCCAGATGATGGGCAAAGGCGATGAAAGAAGAGGCGACAACAAAGGATACCAGGATATACCCGAGAGACTGTTGGGCTGTATGTGAAAGGTGAATGTAAGAAAGGCGTCAATTAATTTATAGTCGACGAGAGATCAGACAATATAGTTGCTGACACAATCAAGTGGCAACAACAGGGCCTCGATCTGAAGTCGTTGAAGGCGACCAATATTTTCCCTTTCACTCCCGTCAGAGGATTGAATGGGGGAATATGGGCAGTGGCTGGTCGGAGATAACGATAACCTCTGGTCACGTGCGACAAAAAGGTCACGTGTCACCAGGCAGAGTCCAATGGGCGCGAACGAGCGGCGCAATGGAGTGAGATGCCGGCGCAGTAGGGTCTGTGGCAACGGAGGCGTCTGGAGGTGGTCAGAAGCTGGCTGGAACAGCGCAGCGACAACGACGGCGAGGTGAATGCAATTGCGCGATGCCCTCGGCTCTTGCGATTGGGATAATTGATGGGTTTGTAGTCGGCTGTTGTTTATATCCTCGTGAAATAATATGTACGGGAAGCCAATGGAGAGAGACGACGGACGCGTGTGAGGCAGGGGCGAATCAGGTCGAGGCTGGGCGGGCGACGCGTCGGTGCGGTGTTTCGGCGATTGTGTTTTGGGTGGAGGGAAGTTTGGTGGAAGGGGGTTGCGGTGCATCACACTTTTAGGAGCAGCAAATTTATGGACGAGGGGCGCGAAATCCTTAAGTAGCCTCGGGAATAAAGTCACTGATGTGGCTTCAGCACCGTGCAATCCCTGTCAGCGTTTAGTGAGAGTCTCTTCTCCCGCATTGGATCCAATCAAACCAGCATTGGACCGTGTCAGATGGAACCTACTTGCCTGACGCCACCAATAACACATGACAATCTAGTCTACAACAGGTCTAGCCGAGCCAAGCACCTCGATTTTTCAGTCGCTCCTGCCCGAGCTTGATTTTCTTTGTGCGCCCACCTTCCCTGCCCTCCTTCCAACAAATGTCTTGTTGAAGAATTCCCCACTTTGATTCTTTTCTTCCCCTGCGCTTCTCATGCAACCCTGGCATATTATCAACAGTTATACGGAGTAATTTATTGTCTTTCGCTGGTCCTTGAGCAATAATAGCGATAATAATATTCTGTACGCTCAATCAATACCCATACGAGTACGAGTACTCTCTGTAACTCTGTCGCATCAATCATTCATTCCTTGCGCATTGATTTTTCCTTTTATCTCTTCTTTTTATTAATCTCTGCCTGGCATCGGACATTCAGAGCCTGCAGCTTGATCGCCCGCTTTTGTGTCACGTCATTATCGTCTGTACTGTAAGAAAATATTCCCCCTCGCATCACGATGATCCCAATGCAAATTATGGTCACGTGGTCACTAGGCATCAGCCTCCAAATCTCCCGTCGGAAAAGCAGCGGTATGCCGCGCTGTATCCGGCTTCCGTACTGGTCCCCCTGTAGCATACGAGTACAGTACCTAAGGTATCCATACTCCGTAGATTTTCAAGGTTGCCATGCGAAGACACATGTGGCATCCATCATACGGAGTACTCGGTATACTCGTACTGTGGCTGGGACTTCTGTGCGTGTCTGTAATTGTTCCATTGTTCACCTGCCGTGCGCGTCTGAAGATTGTCGCACAGGATGCCGCAAGATCGCTTATCATGCCTGAAATTCTTGGGTGTTTTCTCCTTCCTGGAGAGCAATCTCCGCAGGCTGCCGGCTTGACCGGTCGTGCCGTGGATCAGTGAGAGGCGGCCATCTCCATAGATATGTACATCATCGAGGCTGTGCTGCGCCTTGTGTGTTCTGTGCATGAGGCTTTGGATCATGAATATCGAAACAAATAAACATTCTTCGCGTAAAGTCAGCAGCACGTTATAGTCCGATTTTCAAAACCAGAACCTTGCTGGACTGTTGAAAGACGATTGGGATACGTGAAGCATCACATATCCCAACCTCGGCCAGTTCTCAAGAACTCAAAAAGTTCAGCCATGCAAAAACACTCTGGTGAAGGATGCTAGAAGATAGAGAGCAAAACAGGGGTGGTATCAAATCAATTGGTGACAATAACGGATCAATGTATCCGCGATGTACAGGGAGAACCGAGTATTGCAATACGATACGAAATGACTCTAATCCATGCTCCGGGTTTCAAAATCTTCCAAATCCCTCTACTCACAGCTTATTTAATCAGCCTGACCCCTTTGACGCATTACCAAAGGTAACCCAACCCAACAACTGTTGCAATCCTAGTCCATGTCTCTGCACCAGAAAAGGTGAGACATCAACCTATTGCACCCATCATCTTCTACGATGCCGCGATAATTAACCGAAACAATACTTCAATCTGTCTTGAAGAACCTAAGGTATTAATAACCGGATCATGCGACTTCTTCGATTCCTTGGAAAACCCCAATTCGCAGATGGCTCAACAAGCAATGTGTCAATGATCAAAGTACATTGCAATTACAGTCAGACACTCGGTCCGAATTGTGTCTGTGTGTCCGGTGATGAAACCCAACTGACCGCAGATCTTTTCTGGGCCCGTCTTGGACTGGTGGTGTTCTTACGATGACTTTCAAGGCCGGCTAACCATGAACCCGTACCGCAAAAAGGCACTACCATCACAATCCAAGACCGTGAGACTTCACCATACTTTGAGAGGAAGAAGCAGGCTTTCAAATCGCATCATGAAGAAATTGATCTTGGAGACGGTGAGATAAGCGAAGCGGGTCGACGTTCTTGTCATCCAAAGCTATGCCATGTTTCATAATCCCACGACGAGCTGTTCGGAGGCAGGTCCTTGCTGCTTTGAGCCGGCTCAAGTATGTGGACTTCCAAGATGTGATTGGGAAAATAGGAGGAATTGAAGGAGGGATCGAAGGAAGAAGGTCCGAGAAATGGACACCCAAACGAGAAAGGACCTCCTTGCTTCATCTTCACCATATGCGAATTCTCTTTCGGCATGATTATCATCATGACTTACACACAACATCCGTTCGAGTCCCCCATCTTTTGGCCAGGAAGCTGGTCGGCAGGTCAAATCCGTACCAACCCACCTCCAGCAACGTTGGCTCACCAAAAACAATAATACTAAGTCAACCTCAATTCTACAGAGACACATTTGCCCTTGCCGGTGCGTACACCAGCTGGACTGCAGCCTAACTCCATCGACCAGTGAAACACACTGAAGATGTAGATGTAAGTATAAACGACGAATACTCAAAGTACCTGGAAACAATAGATTCTGTCGTTTTCCAAGTGTTGGTCCCATCATTGCTTCCCCCTCTTGAACCAATTTTCCGTGCCCAAAACCATCATACAAGCCTCTTGTTCCTAATTATCAAACTTCCAAACACTGAAGATAGGATGCCAGACTCTACGGCCAGTCAAGTGTCGGGCGGGACGATCAGTCTGGCAGCACCACCCGGGATGAAGGGTACGGAGTACGAGGCAGTGTGGAAGACTTGAGACGAGCGCTCCGGCGCGAAGGAAGAAAAGGGAGAAAAGAAGTGACCCGGTAAGACGAACCCTTTCCGTCTTTCCAAAGGAGATAATAACTCAAGACCGTAGTGAGCCCCGTATCTTTCGAGAAGGCACCGAAGCTCTTCTCGATACCTCTCTTCTTTGACGACTTTCCGTTTCACAATTTGCTCGACGTTCTCTTGCCAGAGATTGGATACCTGCTTCGATTCGGCTACTAGTTCTTTGCCGAGAGAGAATTTTGGCAGTATATGATCCTCGAACTAGAGGATTGTCGTCAGCCACCGTCGCTGAAGTGGTGATGACATATATATTGTGATGATGGTGGTGGTTTGTTTTTCCTCACGAAATTGGGAAGCAAGGGGTGGATAGATAGATGTATGGACGGACGCGCTACCTGCCTCGTTGGCGTTGAGCCCTCGGCAGAATTTCTGAGAAGTAGACAGACAATGGTGCTGGGTAGTCATCAAAGAAGGCGATAGGTATTACGCACAAGGCTATACTTGATACTGAAGTCCCCCCGATGGTCATTCGCAATAGGTATAAGGCAAGGTACCTTTGCAAAACGCACATAACTGAGTAAGTAATAACTTAGTCGTTAGTTCTGTCCTTAATAGTGTCTCGGTGCTCGTCATTCTCAATATTCTTAGGTACGTCTCTTAACTTACTTGGCTCCTGTCGGTTACCATTGGACTCATATTGATACAAAAGAATTACAATTGGGGGTAATTCCAGTGATAAGGGGGAGCCTTGTGCGTAATGCAGAGGTGGGTGCGCTATCGCCTCGAAGAAGAAAGGGATTACCGAATACGGAGTAGGAGAGGATTAATTATACGCTAGTACTATTGCGGTTTAACGTCTTAGAGCCGTTGTCATTTCATTTCATTCTCCAAACTCCGAACTTTTTTTCGCAGAGGAAATTTATATGGAAATCGTCAGTTCGGCGAGGGACCACGTTACACTCACGAAACTCGAGAAAGCAAAGGTCGAGTAGTGTGTAACGACAAGCAAGACTGCTTGCTCCCCCCTTTCACCCAGACAATACCGACAGATACGTCAAGATGAGTCGGAAATCTTCTTCCAATGCGGCTACCAAAAATTCCTCCGCAGGCACAGCGGTGTCGTCAGTATCTGCAACGTCGCAAAAGTCTTCTGTGTTGAAGTCGTCCTTTTCTCCCTCCCAATTACAGCTGCGCCTGTTTGCTTCTGTCATACAGAGCTTCGACTCGCAACAGTTGCGTATCCATAACACCACCACTGGTCGACTGCGTTGCCAGCACGAGACCAAGCCTGGTTCGAGAATCACTTGTCTTGATTGGGGCTACTATGGCCGAGATCAGAAGCAACAAAAGAAGCGCAAGAGAGACCAAGACAATGCTGAAGGCGCGGTTGTTGCTTATGGGACGAGCACTGCCGAGATCTGTATGTTTTCGGCTGCAGAGGGCAAAGTAGTCGGCACATTAAGCGGAGGACATGAAAGGCCGATTGCAGACTTCAAATTCTCTCCAGCAACCTCATACCAAGAAGCATGGAGTATAGGAGAAGACGCAAACCTGATTCAATGGGATTTGACAAATGGTCGACCTCTCAGGTTAGTTATTCTCTTGCGCCCTCCACTCACATACTAATTCTAGCAGAACCGTTCACGTTCCAGAGCCCATCAATGTCCTTGCAACTCCTTCAACGAAACCTTTCCAAATAATCTGCGCATCGTCCACCCCTCTAGCGTTCGATTTCGACATTCATGGAAAATCCCAAATGGCACGATATGATTCATTCAAAAACGCTGTCAATTCATTGTTTCGATCAGGCATCGAGGGTACGGCAGAAGAAGAATTCTTTCTCGCCTCAGACTCGGATAGATATATCAATGTTTACAACATCCAAAGCAAGAAGCTAGTTCGGACACTGGTCGCTGGAAGTGGAATTGTTTCTGCCGACCTGTACGACCCTGCTGAAGATGTTGCGCCGATAAGAAGACAACAACTTCTAGCTGCGCTGACAAAGGACGGCATTATTGAGTTGTTCTGGCGTCCTTTTGCCCTGCCAGAACAGTCCAATGGTGACCTCAGGTCCAGCAGGAAAAATTTGACCAGGAAAGCCGGCGCTTCTATCCGCCTGATAAGCTCGGACTCGAAAAGCAAGCACATTCCTATATTCGCCGCATCTGTCCAAGGCCATGATGTTGTTATTGCATCCGCAGACAACGGCGCCGACTTTTCTTTCCAAAAGATCAGATGGCAGGATGAAGGGAATGGCGAACTTTTGTTTGACGGTCAGAAAGATGTTGTCAAAGTTCGCACCGCATCTGCATTGAACACGGCCACATTGAACGGCGTCAAAGATCTGGGCAAATCTCATGTTGACGAGTCCCAAACGGTTATCGTCAATGGCGGAAATCGACCCGTGACCATCGACCTTGCAAGCGATTCAAGCGAAGAAGCCGCTGATGAAAGTGATGAGGAGGCGGAGGAGGAGGAGGAGGAGGAAGAAGAGGAAGAGGAATCCAAGCAGCCAGACAATGTTGATGACGATGAAGATCCTGAAGTCCCTGACTCCGATGAAGAGATGGCCGAAGCCGACGCAACCGTTGCTACAAACGCAGCTTCAGATGAAGACATGGCAGACGATGACGCGGAGCCAACCTTTGGCGAGCTTCTGGCTTCTCGCCACCAATCTGAGATCGCCATAAGCTCCGCTCTGCCACCCGACCAGTCGACAACGACACTCAAAAGCAGACCTGGCGCCGTAATACCCGGTGGCATGTCGCTCGGCACCGTCCTCACGCAAGCCCTACGCACCAACGACAACAACCTCCTCGAGGCATGCCTCCACACCCGGGATCTCGACATAGTCAAAAACACCATCCAACGTCTGGACTCTCACCTCGCAGGGCTCCTACTCTCGAGGCTCGCCGAGCGCCTCGCAAGCAGACCCGGTCGCTACGGCAGCCTGATAGCTTGGGTCCAATGGACATGTATCGCCCATGGAGGCGCGATCGCCGCGCAGCCCGACACCACCGCCAATCTGCGCACCCTGTACCAAGTTCTCGGCCAGCGGACACGCACGCTGGACAGCCTGTTGCTGCTCAAGGGCAAATTGGACATGCTCGACGGGCAGCTACGGTACCGCAAGCAAGTCCTCGCGGCACAGGGAGGCCGAGTAGAGGGACACGACGAGCCTGGCATGATTTACATTGAAGGCGTGCAAGGAGACGGTAACTGGGAGAGCGATGAAGACGAGGATGAGGATCTAGACGAGGACATGGAAAGGCCGGCAAAGAGGACGAAAGGTAGAGGTAAAGGACGCAAAGCCCTCGAAGATTTGATCGAGAGTGAGGGTGAGAGTGAGGAGGAAGACGAGGATATGATGCACCTCGAAAATGGTGTTGCCGAAGAAAGTGATGAGGATGAGGACGAGGATGAAGAGGAGGAGGAGGAGGAGGATGAGGAAAATGTCTTGACCAACGGTCACCGTGCCGGTCTCGTCGACGCCGAAGCCGATGAAGATTCCAGCGAGGCAGATTCAGACCCCGACGACACCCGGGAAAACCCAAATCTCGAAGCCGATTCTGATTTGGACGTTTCTTCTGATTCGGAAGAGCGGAGCGTCGACGAGGAGGAGGATGATGATGATGAAGATGATTCCGAGATGGGCAGCTTCATCAACGACGGCTCCATCGACCTCGAGAGTGACGAAGATGATGTCCACGTCGAGGGGGACAGTGAACCTGAAGATATTCCCGTTCCTGTTCCTGCTCCTGCCACGGCGTCCAAGTCCAAGTCGACGTCGGCGTCAAAGGGAAAGGTTGAGAAGAAGAAGGGCGGCAGACGGTGATTGAAGAAGTTGTCCTTTCGTGGGTTCTGTGGCTAGGCTTGATCAAAGTCAGGATAGTAATCTGTTTCATCATGCATGTGTGCATGCGTAGTGACACTGCATCGGCATTTGTTCATATTGACACACAGCTTGGACATCCCCCCAAAAAAAAGACGTCTGGGGCGTTTTTTGTTTTCGGTACAGATCATGGGCTATGAAATTATATTATTGTCAAGGTGAACCACCAGTATTATGGCATGGCAGATTTTTCTTTTTGAGAAATGACCCTATGCCAGTATGGATGGCATCCATCGTTTCCATATGCAATATGTTATGAATACTCCCTGTCCATGTTACCGATAAACTAATTGCCCAATCTTCTCCATAACCCATCTCCTTCCTGTTCTCTCAAGCAGGTAGTGAGTGAGTGATCCACCGCGCTGTAACCTCCTGATACTCCTCCGTAGGATGAATGGCAGTAGTATTACGACGACTACCGAATAACCTCGCCAGAGTCAATCTCATCGACACCGACACGCTCACACCAGCCTTCAAGCACACGACTTCCACCGAGGACCCTATCTCGGTTCCCGAGACCTCGACCTTTGCCCTTGCTCTTCCCGGCCCAAACCTCGAAAAACTTGACCGTCGAGTCACAACAGGCGATGATCAGGCTGCCCTCTTCCTCGGTTCGACTTGCCCACGGCTCTCCCTCCCCACGAAGGTCTCTTCGGCCGGTGTCTCGAGGCCGGCTCCACGACGTCGATGTTGTTGTTGACCTATTAGTACGTGGGACGGCATCCAGGCCAGGAGCAGGACTGCCACGACGTCGTGGGGTCATTGCGGTTGCGATTCTCCGTTGCCGTTCTCTTTCTTGTACAGTCTCCCATGTCGAAGAGCCGTCGGAAGAGTTGTCCCGTCTCCGACTGGATGTAGCATCATTTGGCCCCCCAGGGTACGGAATGGCCCACAATGCGCGCGGTAACTCGCCATCCTGTTTCCGCTCCCAGGGGATGCTCACGACACATTCACAGCTAGGCCAGCTAAAGACAGCAATCCTAATCTCATGCTCGGGCTGGGAATATCCAAAGGTCGCTGCGACTTCCCGTCGGGTGGTGCTCCATACCAGGCTCGTGACTTGAGAGAAGACGTTGATCAACGCCAGAGTAACTCCTGAACCTGTGTGGAAAAAATGGATCTGTCGATCGTTACTACCTCCCCCTGTAGCGAGAAGACTTGGCTGCCATGGTGCAAAAGCTATAGCCTTGACGGCGGCGGAATGATAGAATGAGTACACATGCACATCCACCAATCCAGGAACACAAGGATCTGCCAAACCATTTCGGACAGGAGGCAGTCCGTTCCTCAGAGGAGTATCCTGGCTCATCGACCATTGACCATTTGGAGCCCGTAGACGCCCCGGAGACCTTCCACGCCGTGTAGGGCTGGGAGGTGGAGTTTCGGGTCCACGGATACCTGTATGCCCAGAAGGCCCAGCGATCACATCAGCTATCATATTCTCTCTCGGGGACCTCCTGCCCGCGCTTTCTGGTGGAGTCAGCAGGCCCGATGTTATTGAAACAGACCGACTGATGGGAGTCGCTGGAAGGGGAGGGGTTTCAACGGCTATGCTGGTGGAATCCATGTCGTTTTGAGTCTCGATTATGATCTTTGGGTCATAGAGGAATGCCTGGTTATCGTTTCCACCAGACACAAACAACTCGCCGTCTGGAGACCATGCCAACCCGCAAACGTTCTGAGTGTGAGCATCAACTTTTGCGAGGAGTGACATCGACCCTGAGGCGTGCTCAGGCCACTCCAGCGAGTAATAGTATATGTTACCAGAATCATCACCGACCAGAAGATCCTCACAAGGTACAACTTCATCTGAATCTACCGAGACACGATGTGTTACAGTCGGTCTCCAGGCCAAACATGTGGCTGCATATGAGTGGGGTGCCTCAAATCGAGGTCTTGCCTCCAGCAAGCTCCAAAGAGTGACAGTGCCACCATTCCGAGCAACGGCTAGGATGGCTTTGCCACCAGTCTCAGATGAGAAGGCCAAAGAAATCACGAAATTGGTGTTTCGAGTAGGGGCCAAAGGAGGGTGGCGGACGCCATACTGCTCGTTCCACAGGAACACTTTTTGTTCTAGAGCAACAGCTAACGTATGACAAGTATGACTGTACGCAAGAACGTTGCAGTAGTAGTCATCCTTCATGTGAGGAGCGTCGAGCACTCGGAAAGGAACTGATGGCAGAAACTTTGCGCTCGGAGATTGTCGACGTTCTGCACTGTTTAAGGCTAGAACTATATACAAAAGTTAGAAGATTTTGTCTGATGAGTACATCTGGACTTACAGGGGCCGGTTGCGTGTCGAGTCCAACTGTTGTCTCTCCATTCGAACCTGTGAGGCTTTTGTGCAAGGTTCGGCGTGTTCTCCCGCGATGGCGAAGTCTGGGGCAAGATGCGACCTCTTTGATCGATGTCAAGAGCGAGAGCAAGACGGCGTTCATGCCCAGCAGTCTGATCATCACTTGTGTCCTGGTTCAGAAATGAAGCTGGATGTAGTGGGGCAGTCGTTCCGCTGGCTATCAGTCCCCCAGTAGCAGAAGTGACGCCTTGTAGCTGTCCAAGGTGTATTGTCATTTGACCTCCCACAGTCCAGAAGCCGCCGCTGACACGACGCAATGGTGCAAACCCTCCTTGTCCATCGGGATGCATCGACGAGACATCCGCGTTGCGGACGAATGACGGGGTATAACGTGGAGGTCGGAGATTGTAGGCGTTATATCCCTGTCTCTGCCTGGCCAACGACTCGGACCTTGTCTCACTAGCAGAACGGAAGGGGTCGATCAGCTCATCCCTTCGCCTCTCATCTCTTTCCTGACCTTGAACGAGTGTATAAGACTTGGCTGTCTGGTAGGATGAACGTTTGTCGACATGCAAAGGTCTCTGAGGAATGAACCGGTCCGGTGAAGTGAAGCGGGACTGGGCTCTGATGGGAGTACCAGCACTTGATGACCGACCATGCTAAGGACGATTTCTTACTCGAGCACGTGTTCGAGATGGATGATCTTCTGATGGCAAGATGGAGGTGGACTGGTGCTGTTGCAAATCTCTGAGTAAAGGTCGGCCTCTGTCTTGAGCCTCGTCCAGCTCCGCAGCAACTATGCCGGTCTGTGAATGTGATGCGCCATCATGTTGTTGATCGCCCATTGCCAATGGCCAGTGGGCATAGACCTAAGAAAACTCTCACAATATGCTCGAAGGGCGAACGTCCATTGAGAAGTTTATTGAGAAAGGTAAGTCACACGATGTGGCTGCTCGTCCAGTTCTAGGTCATAGAAGCTGTGGAGCGTCCGAGGCAGGTGAGAGATGCCGGAGGGTTGTTCTTGATGTGGCTGCTAAAAGGGTGCTCGTAGCATTGTCTGATACCTATATTGCCGTTAGTAAGCAAGCCATCACTTGCAATATGTCCTAATGGACGTGGTGAATTATGAATGTTGGTGTTTTGATTTCGATACGAGTACTCCGTAGAAGGAGGAAGGATTGTTGGCGCCTGTGACTTTTGTTCCGGAGACTTAGTCAGCATCACCGGAAGATCAAATACTCCGTACTCCGTGCCCGCCTTACCCATTAACCCATCATAATTGCCATCATCACAACCACCGCCACCATCGATACGCGACAAAGCCTATACTAGACGCTAATCCCAGTCTATGGAGTGTCCATTAACATCAGACTGCCTCTGCACCTGCTATGAAAGATGTCAAGTGTAGGCTCAGCGAGGCATTTGCTGGGTAGACTCAACTAACTGGGAGGACAGCATGGAATTCCTCGATCAAGTACTCGTGAAGAACGATCAGCCGAATCACGGCAGAAAGAATTGAAAGAAATCGACAAATATAAGCAGCTTGTGGCAGAAGTCAATGAGAAGGTCTTGAGCAGGTTTCTCCCCAGTCATGGATTCCATGCTAACGCTGGCGAAGGTCAAAGCGAAGGAGTTTACGCCTGCCTTACTTCAACAGACGGCCGAAGTGCTCAAAAAGAACCCTGAATACTACACAGTCTGGAATCACCGCCGACGCATATATGTCAACGAATTCCAAGACCTCGAGAACGAAGTCGGCTCCGGCAAGATCAACGAGGACACCAGGATCAGTAACGTGCTCGATATCATACAACTGGATTTGCAATTCCTGTTCCCTCTGTTACTCCAATTCCCCAAGTGTTATTGGATATGGAACCATCGACGATGGCTTCTCCAGCAGTCCACGGCACTGCTTCCATCTCCTCAGGCCCGGAAACTCTGGGAAGAAGAATTAGGTCTGGTTGGGAAAATGTTGAGTCGCGACAGCAGAAATTTCCACGGCTGGGGTTATCGACGCATGGTGGTCAGTAACCTCGAAAGTCCGGCTCTGCAAGGACAGAGCATGTCCCGATCAGAGCTTGAATATACGAAAAAAATGATTGGCACAAATCTTTCCAATTTCTCTGCCTGGCACAATCGGACAAAAGTCCTCTTGAAAATTTTGGCCGAGGAACATGCTAGCGACGAAGACAGACGGCAGATGCTAGATGATGGTAGGACACTCGGGCCATGTTAAGGATTTGAAGCTTACTGACCGTCATAGAGCTTGAATTGATTCACAAAGCCTTGTTCGACCCCTTTGACCAATCGTTATGGTTCTACCACCAGAACCTGATGTGTACCTTTGACCCTGAACAAGCAGCAAAAAGCATGGCACCAAATTTGACCACCGACGAACGCTTGAAGTATATCGCTTCTGAGAGGGAATACATCGAAGAGGTGCTAGAAGACGCCGAAGACTGCCAATGGGCCTACAAAGCTCTGATTGAATGCGCATTATTGGAAGCTAAGCTGAACAAGAGTCTTGGACACGACGACAAACTGAAGGTGCTGGGGTGGTTGAATGAGCTCAAATCGTGTGACCCTCTACGACGCGGTCGGTGGCTAGACATGGAACAGGCTCTGGTGACAAGCGCATAACAACCTCAATTTAGGAATTGGATAAGTCCAGCTACGGTAATTAGCAGTGAAATAGGGTGTGTGTGTGGACGGATCAAAAGGGCAAGGCTATCAAGAGAGCTAGCGAAAGAATCGTTGAAGGATGCTTTCGATCGGAATCGCGCCGAAGTCAGTAGCCCTGTCAGATCCAGGAGACACGGGCGTAGCGAAATGAGACAATGAGCCCGGATGGGGAACTGGACATGGTAGATACAGACATGATCTGGCCCGTTTCTGTGAATATTCCATGGCGATGGGAAATACATGCTGCACCGCGTCTTCACCGTTGTTATCGTACTCCGTACCTATGTAGATTGGTGCGGAAATGACATTGCGATTGAGTTGCTGGCACTTCTGACCCAGATGCATGGGAGATGAATTTACGTATATAGCATGGGGTCCATGGCCGTACAGAATGCAGAGTGAGGCCCATATCTTCGCCTATCCTCTTCCGCTGACAGGGCTAAGAATTGACAGGTGGAATCAGCGTCTCCTGCACGGACAGGGCAGATAATCCGGTCGGGTCAGGGATCGATAGGGTGGTGATACAGGGTTCTCGAGATGCATATGCCGGATTTTGGCAGGGCGAGAGACAGGAGGGAAAAGACACATTGTCCTGATGTCTCCTGCGCGAGTAAACGGTAGATGCACATATGCTTGTAGTTGTCGACAGGGCTCTTCAAGGGCTTCAAGGGATGATCACGGCCACAGATTTTCGGCTTTGGCATTGTTGATTGATGGAGTTTCTTCCTGCGCTGAAACAGTCAGTGCTAAAACGGCCCCTAAACCAAAAGGGGAATTGCTGCTGCACGTCCGCGTCCAGTGCCTAAAAGGCCCTAAAGAAAAAGTGCGAGGGCCTGGCAAGTGTGTCTCGTATACCTATTAACAAATTGATGCATTCGATTCACATCCAAGTACGTACTCCCCAACAACAACCCTCTGTTGGACACACTCAACCAACTCACCAAGTCACGGTCAAGTCCCTCATTCATCCAGGGCATCTCCACGAGCTTCACAACTTCCTCCTACACTTCAGACCCTCACTTGACGACCATCCTTCGTTTGAACCCCTTCGTCTTTCCTTCCGCACTCCGCAGGTCCTGTTGCGCGTTCGTCAACACAGCAGCCATACCTCAACAGCATCATTCTCCTACGATAAATCACACCTCCTCTGATCTCATTGCAGGCGTGTGCAGAATTACTCGTTGATGATGGTATAATCCGGACCTCCCCCCTTGTTGAACTGTACCAAAATGGAGCCACCAGAGCCGGCACAGCAGAACGGAGGAAATTCTGACGTGGAAGAGGTACACAAGAAACAGCCGCCTCCTATATACGTTCGTTTTCTCTGACAAGATGTAGAAGTTTGAAGATGCTACCGACGTGAACGAGGAGTCTAAACCAGACGCCTCTCCAGAAGATCATTCTCCGTCCGTTCCCAGTAGCCCTACCGAACCGCAGCCGGCTTCTGAGCCTCAACCGCCCCCATCGTCACAATCTGAAACTGGATCAAACAATCGAGACAGTGCGCAGAGCTCGGAGTCGGAAGTACCAACGAAACAAACAGATGGCACCCCAGCCGACAGTCCAAGTTCCGCACATCCCTCTGAGGTTCAGGCTGTCCCTTCCCTCAAGGCCCCAGAAGAGGCGGCCGACCAAGCGAATCAGCCAGAAAAAACAGATCCTCCTAAACCTCCTGCTCGTCCCTCTAGATTTCAGGGATTCTCAGCTTCTCTGCCCTCTGTGTCGTGGGGTGCGCCTCCCAACAGAAAAGCTTCAGACGCACGAGCGCCGTCGCCGCAGCCGCCGCCGCCACCACCACCTGCTCAAACCTCATCCTTTGGCCGTAAAGTTACAACCCCTTTTGGCTGGTTAAGCCGAGCCACCTCCACGCCCAAGGAAACTCGTTCGCCTCCTTTATCATCAAAAGCACAAGTCGACGCTCGCCGGAATACTACTGCATCTGGGTCGACTCTCGGCAGCAATCCAGATCTGATGTTGAAAACTCTAGAAGATGCACAAGATGGATCAAATGGTCCCAAACAGCCGTCGAGAGCCTCCTTGAGGGAGCAGTTCAAGATGTTGCGGCTTCGGGAAGAGGCAGGCATAACTAGCCTGGAAGGTACGGACAATGCGGAGGGTGGTGCGATAGCCGGACTAATAGGACGATCAACGAGCCTGGGGGTCGGCATTGCGACACCAGGCACTATCGGTCAGGATGAGGCAGTGGTTACGACACCAGTCATGTCACCATCATCACCAATGACGGAATCAATACCCATAAATCCCAGCCTGGCTCAAGGCACTGTCGCAGGAGTCGCAGCAGCAGCGGCAGATACAGCGACACCTATTGACTGGGACTTCTGGCAAAATGTTGTCAATGAAGGGCCCCAGGCTGTCGCCAAAACGAGTCCCGATGAATTCACGCAGGCTATCACCGGTGGAATTCCACAAACCATCCGACCAGTCATATGGCAAGTTCTGGCTGGCAGTAAAAACGAAGAGCTTGAAGCTGTCTATTGGGATTTACGGAATCGTGGGACAAACGCTGAAGTGAAGGAAGCACCCCCCAAATCACCTTTACTCAACGGCCACCACGTCAATGGCAGTGTGAAGGAGAAGGAATCTGTCGCGTCATCACGGTCTTCAATTCGATCGGATCATTCGACACCGGCTACTAGTGCTACTGTCGGATTGGCTTCTCCTTCACCCTCCCAAGAACAGACCGACCCAATGGTTGCTGCAAGGCTCCAGACTCAACTAGCGGCCGAGAAGGCCAAGAAGGCCAAAGAAGATTCGGCAGCGCTGGCCAAGCTTGAGAAGATGATAAAGCGAGACATGGGCTCAAGAACCTCATATTCAAAGTATGTGGCAGCAGCGGGCTTACAAGACGGTCTTTTCCATGTGTGTCGAGCATATGCGCTCTTCGATGATGCGGTGGGCTATCCTCAAGGCATGAACTTCGTCGTTATGCCTTTGCTCTTTACCATGCCCGAAGAAGAGGCTTTTTGTCTTCTGGTTCGGCTGATGAACAAATATCAACTGCGGGACCTTTTTATTCAGGACATGCCGGGTCTACACCTTCATCTTTACCAATTCGAAAGATTATTAGAGGACCTGGAACCAGCCTTATACTGTCATCTCAACCGGCGAGGCGTCAATCCAAAGTTATACGCAACACAATGGTTTTTGACTTTGTTTGCGTACCGATTCCCCTTACAACTCGTCATGCGTGTTTTCGACTTGATACTGTGTGAAGGCCTTGAAGGCGCGATACTCAAGTTTGGTATGGCGGTTATACAACGCAACGTCCAAACACTTTTGGCCATGAACGACATGCAAGCGTTGACCAACTTTCTCAAAGAAAAATTGTTCGACGTATACACCGACGCAACACCGTCATCAAAGTCGATATTGGAGTCTGGGTTTTTCGGCAGTTCAGGTGGTTCGGATACCGAAGTGTATCGAGCAGATTTGCTCGTTCAAGATGCTTGTGCTGTCAAGCTCACTCCTGAGATGCTCGCTCGATATCGCGAGGAATACGAAACCACAACAAAAGCCGATAGAGCCCGTGAGACCGAGCTCGAGAATCTCAGAACTGATTGCGCCACCAAGGCTTCTCAAATTCGATCTCTGGAGACGCGGGCCGAAAAATCAGACGCCGAACACGTCGAGCTTGCAAATGAGCTAGTCAGGCTCAAGGTCGAAAATGGCGACCTTTTGGACCGGAATGAAAGTTTGACTGGACAGGTGGAGGAACTGAAAAAGGTGGCTCAGACCGAGGCCGCCAATGTCGAAGAGAGAATGAGAGCCGGCACCGAACAAGTCATGCAACGCAACATTGAAGTACAGAATCAGAACCGTCACATGGAAGAGCAAATGGCCGAGATGGAAAAAGAGCTTGTGGAGATGAAGATGAAGTATGCTGAGGTGAGTTTAGGATATTGTTTTCTGGCGACGGGCTCGTGCTAACGTCTGATTTACAGCTTAACGGTGAACACGAAGGGCTCAAGCAGAAATGGAACGACTTGAAGCGAGCTCTTGAATGATTTTCCCTTTTCCTACCCAACACACTGTAAACATGGCTTCCGGCTTCTTGATGACCATCAACAGTACTATTGTCTGACTGGACTACATTCCTCAGGTCTCTTTGTGTACATCTATCTTCTAGGGCAGTTAACTGACCTTCCGGTTCTGACGTTCGGCTTTGTGACAACGCGGGATGGCTTGTATATGAGAAGCCTGTGTCGGTGGACTTGTATTTCGTGGTTCTTGACGTGACAAGACGACGGACTCGCCGGCGTTGATGGCCAATCTGGCGTCCCAATCTGGCGTACGGGGTGGGATGGAACTGGTTCGAAATGAAGCCGCGTGTCAAAGACGTGGGCATGTTTTTTTTAATTGTGCAGTGGTTTCCCACCACACGGCCAAAGGGGTGTTGGTTGGGCAAGGATTGTATCGTATCGTATTGATACACGGCTTTTGACGGACGACACTTCGAAAATAGATAAAAGAGATACCACCTACGTGATATGACATATGGGGGTTTTTTGTTATTTCCCATCAACGGAAACGAAGAACATGGGTAGTTCCGAGTATATCGACACGGTGTTTCTCATGCCTTTGCAGAGGGGGCTTGTTTGAGTTTGATTGATACTCCGTAGGTAACGTAGGCGGGAAGCTGACGGGCGATGCCCTGGAGATTCGCCATCAGGCTTCTTGTTGTTCGCGGGCACTGTATCCTGTACATGTTTCAGACTCTCGTGGTGGCGAAGGGAAAAGAGGTAGTACTGTGTATAGGAGGTAGTGAGGTACAGCAGGTACGTCGGGGGTTAGGGATGGAGTGCTGCAAATGAACAAGCCACACAAGATGCGAGAGAGGCCATCACTTGTACGTAACACTTTGTCCGGTGTGTCTCTAGGTAGCAGTGCAAGTCTTTTCATTTCTACTCTACCTGTCTCCCTGGGCACTCGCCTCCCGGGACCGCCCCTGTGTACGTATATGTGTATATATACTCCGTATATAGGAACCACGAGATCATTTTCGGTTTCTACAACCTCACTTTCCCGGCCTTGAGATCCTCCCACTCTTTCGGACCGTACTCGACGTACCTGTCACCACCCGGAGGGAGCCAAAACATGCGGTCGTCGGGACTGGACTGGCGGATCTTGTCGACGTCGACGCCCTCGGCGCGCAGCCTGCCCTTTTGCAGCTTCATGGTCCCCGTGTACTCGAGCTGCGGGACGACGCGCAGGAAGATGGGCACGGCGTAGCGCGGGAGCACCTTGATGGCGTACGCGGCCAGGGCGGCCAGGTCGAGGGCGTCGGCCGCGACGCCCTGCGCGGGGACGATGGCGGCACAGCCGGCGCGGCCGTCGGTGCGAGGGACCATGACGCCGTAGACGTTGGCCTCGGCGATCTGGTCGGAGCGGCCCAGCACGTCCGAGACCTCGTTGGTCGACACGTTCTCGCTCTTCCACCGGAACGTGTCGCCGAGCCGGTCGACAAAGTAGACGCGGCCGTGCGGGTCCTGCCTCATCATGTCGCCGCTGCGGAACCACCAGTCGCCCTTGCCGAAGACGTCGCGGAGCTGCCTCTTTTCCCACGCCCCGTCGTTCTTGTAGTACGTCGTGAACGACGCCGTCGTCGGGTCGATCCGGTGCAGCACCTCGCCCGGCTCGTCGACCCCGACCTCGACCGCGAAGCCGTTCCCGTCGCGCACCACCTCGCCCGAGTCGACGTCCATGCGGACGCGCTTCTCGTTGGCGCCGTTCCAGTACCGCCAGAGGGGCCCGCGGATGGCGAGTGCGTTGCGGCCGAACTCGCCGCGGTTCTCGTTGAAACACGCCCCGAGCCCGTCGGTGGCCGCGTAGAGTTCGTTGATCGTCTCGATGCCGAACCGCTCGCGAAACACTTCCCACACGTCGGGCCGCATGCCGTTGCCCCATGCCTTTCTGACATTGTGTTGGCGGTCGAGAGGCGACGGCGGCGCGTTCACCAGGTACCGACACAGTTCCCCGACATACTGTAGTATGTCCGCGCCCGAGGACCGCACTTCGGGCCAGAATGTCCTGTGACTGAACTTTCGCGACAGGACGACGCAGGAGCCGGCGTAGATGCTCGGTGTCATGCACAGCCCGTGGGCGGCCCCGTGGTACAGGGGCAGGCAGGTGTACATTCGGTTTTTGGGCTTGAGTCTGAGGTACAGTGCGACACTGCGTGCGGTGTTGAGTTCACGGCCTCGTCGCATCACGACGCCCTTGGGCAGACCTGTCGTGCCCGAGGTGTAGATCAAGCTTGTTGTCTCGTCGGGTTTGGCGCCCTGCTGGCGAGATCTGGGCAACGGAGTTTTGTCGGGTAGTGAAGAAATGGAGTCCGCGTCGTAGTAGATCGTCTTGATGTTGGCCGAAGAGAGTTCGGCCTCGCAGGGCTGTACAAGAGGCTGGGTTGCTCGATCGGCGAGAAGATACCGTGCATCGGAGAGTTTGACCGAATGTGTGAGAGGAGCAGATGTGAGGTTGCAGTTTATGAAGGCTGGACACGCCCGGATGGCCTCCAAAGCGAACCACAGAAGTAGGTATTCGGGGCTGTTGCCGCCATCTAGACCCACGATCTCCTGAGGTTGTATGTCCAAATCTTTCAACAGCCAGTTTCCCACGCGTTGGAGGTCGTCGTAGAACTGTTTGTATGTCCATCGTCGGTCTTCGAATATGAGGAAGAGGTTGTTTGCGTTCTTTCCCAGTGCATGGTCCTCAATCAAGTGGTATACGAGCAATTTGTTCTGCTTGGTTCTTTGAGTGATGTATTCGATGGCATCTTTGGTCCCTGCCAAAGTGCCCGCCTGGAGGTCGTGTCTGATCAGGTATTTGGCATCGAGATATGCTGCCGTGGCCAGGCCACCGGCCACAGCTGCCGCAACTGTGGTCACTAGAATCTGAGGGTCAGCAGTCTGTAGAAGTCACCAAAGAAGGGAGGACTCACGCCCGGGTGCCATGCTTGCTTCTCAAGGTGTCTGAACAGGGTACGGAAGGATGGAGAGTGCATCAAGGCCATCATGTCTGAGAAGAGCATCATCATCTTGGTCAGAGTCCGCAGGTACGTGTACTAGTACCGAGGTAGAAATGCTGAGCTCATATACAATCAGACCCGTGGTCCCGAGTTACGTCGGCTAAGATGTGCTCACTCGCCTCTCCTCGCAAGTAAATGGCCAAGTGGGTGAAATGCGGAGGGGAAAGGCGTGGAGCATGGACACTCCGTATCAAGAGAGAGATTCAGGGTATCAGGCCTGTACATAACATACGTACCTCGTACTCGTACACAACAACCAGGAGGAGGGTGAGAGCGGAGAAATTCACTAATCCAAATATAGCATAGACCCGGACTTAACACAACCTCGGGCCGGTCAGAGCATCAGATGAAGGTCCATCCGATTCCTACCCCTTTTCGTTCAGCAAGGACAATATCTACACAAGTACGGAGTATCTCGCCAAACTGTTCAGCTCGTGATAATGCAAGCGTCATTATTCTTATTTTATTCAAAGGTTTCAAGAGCTCTATCAGCTCTGGATGGACGCGCGGGGCTGGTGCGCTTTAGTTTCTTCACACATTTCAGTGCACCATACCTAGTATTGGATGCAGCACTTCCTCTTCAGCTCTTCTCCAGTCTCTTCTTCTTCTCCCGCCTCAGATCAGGATCCAACTCAATCTTCTATCCTTACAAACCACAAAACCCCACAGTCCAGAGCCCTAGTTCCAAAGTCTGGTCTTGATTTGTTGAGCTCAGCGTCTGGGGTGAGGGTAAGCACTTGAGGTTGGAATGTTGTCAAGGTAAGACATTTGAGTCCCTGTATGTTCAAGAATTAGTTGACGCCATTGATCGTGGAGTCTCATGTTAAGCACATACCTGTCAGATTGATTTGGTGACTGCATCGTGCCTGGCCTTGGAGGCTTCTAGATCCGGCTAATGCTTCCTGATATCCAAGTGGGCATAGTAGCTGTCTTCTCGCAGTTTGAAAAAACACCGATGAGGCATCGTCGTGCCCATGTTTCGTTCACATTCTGGGCTTGGCTCCGTAGCGACTGGTGCCCAGTGGCGGAAACTCCTCAAGATCCAAGGGCTCAGTATAACCGTCACCTTTCAGATGTATGCCGACCTCAACTGACTCCATCATTGGTGTCACTCCTTCACATTGGCTGAAGATGTCACTCATTGCCTGTTGCTCGCAGTCATCTTCTTTCACGATCATCAAGCCAGGCTGATTCTCTGCGGTCTTCTTTTGTGCCAGGTCATTCCCAAGGTCGGCAAGATGAAGATAGACCTGACCTTTCTCCTCAAACGCCGGATCCTCATCCATGTTGACGTTGTTGACGTACACTTCAGAGGGGGATGGGCCGCTAGTGTACACCGGACCGGTCTGGTCAAGAGGCACTGGAATTAGGAACGATTGATCGTGCCATGCGACGGTAGATTGAGATGGCGCGCGAGGCGGTGGCAGGAATCTTCCGACCTTGGTTCGTGCCAACTTGCTTTCCCGATTGTCACCATTCCATTTCAATTCTGCTGGTAGTGGCCAGTCGGCGACGATGCCCGCATATTCGGCAGACCAAATTGTAGGTACCGCAAGCACAGGACTCATACCATCTGTGAAGATCTTCCCTTGTTCACCGAATTTCGAGACAATCTTTCGTTGACCCTTGGGTATGTGTTTCCACGCCGAGAGTTGATCTCTTAAGATTCTCGCGTTCTTCTCCCGGTCCTCTGCAGCAAGAGCTGTGATCTCAGCTTTGTGCTGCGTCCACTCGCTACCATTCTGAGGAAAGATGGTGGATGGGTCACCATTTGGTCTTGCCTGTTGCTTGAAGTGCTCGGGTGCAATATGACGGACACGTTGACGAACACGCTCATATTCTTCCTTTTCAAGGATGTGATGGCTCTTCCATGTCTTCGAAGCGGTATGGGATGGCATAACCATAAGTTGCATTTGAGAGTCTGCGTGGGCTTGTTGATTACCATTGTCCATGTGTATTTGGGCATCAGTACTCTGCTGGGATGGCTTGGTGGTCATTCGACTGCAGCTGGGCTCCATGATGAGTAGACCTGGCATTGTGAGCGGCGATGGCTTCCAACTCTAATTTGAGTCTTGGTCGAAGCTTCAGCGGAGGAGATATGGGGAGAGTCTTGAAGGTAGGAAATAATGAGGAGGCGAAGGAAATATCTACCGTTCGAGACACTAGACACTTGACTGTGTGTGTATGTCCTTTTTGTCCTAGAGGATGTGCCTTGACAACACTATCAAGAAGTGAGAGGACAAAAGGACGGTTATTCAACCCCCCCGTATTGAACCTTGGAGTATGAAGTAGTTGCAGGTAGTTGTAAGAAACTTCGTGTTACACCTGAGGGAATGTCGGGATGCTGCTCAACTGCGAGGAACGATGCTTCTTGTGATTGTCAAGATCAAATCATAATGCTCGTGAGATATTTCATCAAAGACAGATCCAGATCGGTTTTTCTGAAGTGTTTGAATGCGATTGAATATTGTGTTTTTGTTTTCATACCCTGGCTGCCTTGGGCAATATATCAACGCCCCAGAAAGGGCGTTGGCGGGTGAACCTATTGTCACGGCGATGAATAGGCCGAATGAATCTCTCTTCACTTCTGCAGGCATCAACGATAATGTCTCTTGTTAAGATCATTCCGATAGACGGCGCCCTTCCCTCAACACATCAGGTACCGCGCGGCTGGATCGTTGAGGAGAATCTGATTCTTCCGTTTGATGGGGGGGAATCGACGGCGAGATCGGCAGGGCAGAACATTCACAGCTCCCGGGACAACATCGGGACGGCTGGCAATGGAAGCCGGGAACTTGAAAAGCCAAATGTGCACTCTGAGGCCGCGCCTTGCGAATGCACTGGCATCCATCAACAAAGGGTGTTGGGCGGCAGAGAACTTCACCAGACTGAGCACGTCGCCCTGAAAGGGGCTCACCGTCAATATACTTCACCATGATGATCAATTTACTTGTGATATTAGTCCGCGCGATCGGAGACAGCATAGTGAGGGTGAATGTTGTTGTTGATTGACAAATTGAAGGTGTTGAATGTTTGGTAAAGGAATGAGACCATGAAACCGGCAAAACAGAGGCATCGGTTGAACTTCGGCGACCGAATTCGGCATCGTCATCACTGCTACGGTCGGTTATTCGTGCCGAGATGCAACTTACATCGCGACGCGTCTCACTTGATCCTACAATTCGATCTCTATTGTCTTCAGTTCTTTGTTACAGCCTCAATCATGCCTTCTGTACAGCTACGGACAAGGCCACTGCCTGAGGTGAATGGGCCATCGACTGATCCACTTCCAACCCTTCTTCAGACGCCTTCTGGACTGGCAATACTCGAAATGCAAGGCACGATTCATGGACCATTCCCTCATGCAGATGAGACAGTCACTGAGGTACAGACTATAGACGTGGGTCGGCTGGAGTTCCCACTGTACAACACAAAAGAGCCTCTTGAAGGAAAATGGATGAAAAAGGTGTATTTGTATGTCGGCAAGCATCAACGATTGACTGGTGAGATCAAGAAGTTGGCAAAACCTCTAGCAGTCATCCAGAAAGTCAACCCAGAGGATGAAGTCAATGGCACGCCTACAGCTACCTCTACAAATGAAGACCTGGAAGTCTTGGAGATAGTCAAGTATAAGCTGCTTTTCAGCGGAAGACCAGAACCCGTTGGCGAATGAGCGACAAAGTTCAGAAACCACCATTCGACGGGCCCTGGGAGAATGCCAATACAACGGGACTCTACGCATTTCCGAAATAGGTTGGCATTCTTCGAGGAGTCGAGAACAGGAGAAATGCCAGCCACATTTCTCTGCCTCACTTGCATCCGTCCTCAAGTCAGCGATTCCCGAACTCACACACGGAAATGGCGCATCAGCCGCCATACCGGCATCAAGTTATCTAGATGCGCTTGACTGCTACAGGATCACAACTTGCCCAAGGTGCGTCTGGACGAAAGTTGCGGCTCGTTCGCTCGAAGGGGATGCTACAGACTCACCTCTCGAGTTGGGAATACGCCGCCCCAGACTGCCGACCTGAGTCTCGTGGGCTCGGAAAGAGACATGTAACGACCAAGGGAGCCGATTTACTCGTTAAAATATGAGGTTGCGTCTCTGGGCCGAACAAACATAAACGACAAGGGCACTGTTCATTATGTCCTCCGGGACAGTATTATGTCAGCACACAGATGCTAAGAGATGCCAATTGTGATCAAGCTTCGTGGCGGGCCGTCGGGAGTTTTTACTGTACTGGAGATAGGATACGAGCACGGTCTCTGTCCATATACAACTACATCACCGCTTTATATCTGTCTCAAACTGGGTCTCATTTTCTGAATGCTCCAAACTCATTCCTATTCCCTTTACATCTTGCTTGCCGACAGACTTCTGCCCAGTCTCAAACCTCCAGCCTATCTCGGTAAGCCTGATCTAGTCCCATTGCAGGACGGAAATCCTACCTCGGCGAAAGGAACGGCTCTTATCGATGAGGATCTGCACCATTTCACCTGATCAAAATACTACCTTGCGAACCTCGCGCGCGTATGGCGTATCATTTTATTACTCTACGTCTCGCACTTTGAGGGGGTTTTGTTGATCTTATCTGCGGAGACGGGAGAATTCCCGTTCCATTCGCTGTTTCTACAATCCTTTGATGCAAGATGAGCCACGCGCGCATCTCCCATCGTCTGCCTCCCTTCGGTGATACTGGCTTATCGAAGGTTCTCACATTTGTGTGGGGGACTACTGCGTACATATAGGCTTCCTAAGCTTTTCTCGCCCTTTCAGCAAAACGTTTGAACATGCTTCGTCTGTAGCTTAAACGATTCGACGATTCTTTTCCTCTTTTCCAACCACATATGCCCGTCAAAGATGTTGCAAAGATCGCCTACGCATACATGGATGCCCGCATGGGTGCCAGAATCGACTACGACACTCGCTGTCCTACTCATGCTCTGCTCAATGTCCCAATCTACGGTTCACACATGCCCCCGACCCTTGGTGTGCTCCTGCTAATATCACATCGAGTCTAGACCGGAGGATATGATGGATCCATGCTCAACGGACTCAACATCCTGCCTTCCTACACCGATTATTTCCATTTGAACCCTGCGACCACCGGGCTCAACACGGCGTCAGTCTTCATCGGAGGCTTCCTCGGTCCACTGGTCACTGGCGTCCTCACGGACAGGATCGGCCGACGCCTGACCATCTTCTGGGGCTCCGTCGTCACTCTCGGCGGTGTCATCCTCCAAACGGCCGCGCAAAATATTGCAATGTTTGTAATTGCGAGAATCTTTCTCGGGTTCGGTGCTGCCGTCTCCGGCATCGCGTCGGGAGTGTATCTCGCAGAAACTTTCCCAAGTCGATGGCGAGCTTGGGGCGTCGGTCTCCTGAACGACTTTTATTAGTGAGCTGACCACTCTCGACAAGTAATCCGTCCTTGTATCTTTCTGTTTTTGACTGACCACGAGCTACCCGCAGTGTCGGCGCCCTGATTGCGGCCGGAATCACCCTCGGCACAGGGGAGTGGCAATCGACATGGGCGTGGCGCGCACCTTCTCTCTTTCAGGGAATCTTTTCACTGCTCTGTATCCTCGTGATACCATTCATGTATGTCTTGGACCTGCCTCCGCGAGCTCTTGCCCCGCCAGTGACCCCCTCACACGCCGATGTGGATTGTAATTGTTGTCGTGCTGACATACCAAACCCTCTTCTCCTCCAGTCCCGAATCACCACGATGGCTCGTCCACGAAGGCTTTTATGACTCGGCACGTACGGTCGTCGCCCAAACGAACGCAAATGGCGATTTGAACCACCCAATCTCGCTGATTGTGTACAAGGAAATCGTCGACACGTTGGAATGGGAGAAGAAGGAAGGTCGAACCATGAGTCCCAAGGAGATTGTCAAAACTCCTACGGCAAGGAAACGTCTTCTGATCGGCTCGTCTGCTGGGCCCTTTTCCTGCATAGCCGGAAATATCATTGCGTCGTACTATCTGGGAGATGAGCTGGTGAGTTGCCGTAGTACGTGGTGGTTGCGGTTACCATCAAGCTGACCGGTTTTACAGGACACTGCGGGAATCACGAGCTCGATACAGCAACTCAAAGCGGTACATACCCTTGTCGAGATTCGCCCTTGAACTTTGCTGACTTCGGCATTCATAGAACGTGGTCCTGAACGTGTGGTGCCTGTTTTGTGCACTTTTAGGGACACATCTAGCAGCAAACTGGGGTCGGAAGCCAACCGCGCTGCTATCTCAGGGACTTTTGATCGCATGTCTGTTTATCATTGGGGGATTGTCAAAAGTCTACGCCGACGATCCTAACGGCGCCTCGAAGAGCTTGATCTACGGCGATGTAGCCGTCATGTTCCTCTTCCAGGGCTTCTACTCAATCGCCTGGACACCATTGCTGTATCTGTACCCGCCCGAGGTGATGAATTATTCGATCCGGGCGAATGGTGTTGCTTTTTCGCAGTTGACCTTGAACGGTCTTGCGTGAGTTGAAACTTTTCCAGTCCTACCAACACCCGTCTGCGGCCCCTCGTTCACTGACATATTCACTGTGTAGGCTGGCACTCGTCTTTGTCATGCCGATCGGCATCAACAATATCGGATGGAGAATGTACATGATCAATGGAGGTTGGGACATTGTGACATTCTTTCTCATTGTAAGTCACCGACAAATGTCGAGCCGTTTATTCTGAAGAAGAATCCCTCGTCGAAGCCAAAATGTTGTAAATGACTGACTTTCGGGGATCGACAGTGGTATTACTGGGTCGAAACAAAAGGTAAAACTCTCGAGGAGATCGATGCCATCTTCGATGGTGAGAAACACTCGGCTGTACCTGATGTGGAGAATGTCAGGGCCGGGAGTGTGACCATTGATCAGAATGCCATCGAGGACGAGTTGCGGGAAGAGAAGATAACTTCAAAGACGGAATGAGTGCCACATAGTCCGAACCCAGGTGTCTCGTGTTGTTGTCGGATCCAGGACGATGATCGACAACGCGAGTCTTTCCGTCAGCATGACACCAAGAAAGTTCAACCCCTTCATCGTCAAGTCCTTTCTCTTTCTCCCACCCGAGCGGTCCCAAGTGATCAACGTACCATGCCGTGAATGCCTGTTCAAACTCCCCTTCTCAGTCTTCAGTCTTCATTCTTCAGTCTTCCAGCTCATTGAACCCTGACCCTGGCACGAAGCCATCCCCTCCCAACCGCCACAAGGGGAGGAAATCATCTTACCCTGGCTGTCTCCCGACGCGACGTGGGTCCAAATTGGCAAGGCCAATGATGTTCCCAGGGAGTTTGGTCTCCTGGGTCAAAAGCGAGTTCGGCCGATGACTCGACTTGGAAGAAATTCTGCCCTTCGGTCCAAAACCGCGCTGCTCTCGTCTACAAGTATTATGCCCGAACCGTGGTGTGGTGGGGGCGTCAGGGGCGGCGCGGGGACTAATAAAAAGTCGTCGTATGCTGCTCTGCATTCCTCTCTTCTGGTTTTGATGAAATCAGGGTTCAACGCCTGTCCCGCATCTTTTCGACCGTCTCAGGGCCGTGATCCTCCCCGTACCATTGGTCATCGTACGGTTCATACCCCCTGACCATTGCGAATTTCTCGGTGCGTGGACCCAGAAGACCAAAAGAGCATCGGAGGCTGTGTGCAGGAGCGTCATCCCCAAACACTCTGGCGTACGGTGCGGTACCCACCTCGACGTCCGTCCCAACGGCCTGCGTGTTGCCAGAGTCGGCCAGCTTGAGGTGGTCCTGGGCGTCGAGAAGGAGATTCGAGGGTCGAAGATCACCGTGCGCGAGTCCGAGAGATTGGTTCTCGGTCCGGTGGCCGGATCTATCGTCTGTCGGCTTCGAAGTCGCCTCTCGAGATCCCCTCCCGGGAGCAGCTGCATGAAATTCAGGTTTGGGAAGCGGAGAAAGCTGTGGGCGATGTGAGGACAGTAGGGAGGATTCTGTTGGAGTTTGTCAAATATCCGGTTCTCTATCTCGAAACCAGCGTCGCCTCGGATCGTCGCGCACTTGATGGCAATTTGGTCAGACATCTCGAAAACGACGCCGAGACCACCGCACCCCCAAAAGTCGGTACCCTTTCTCCCGAGTGAAGGTAATGCACGTTCTTTTGGTGACGAGGAATTGTGGAGATGGGTCCCAAGTATCTACGGAGTAGTGGTCCTTGCAAAAAGGGGTGTTCCCTTTTTCTCCTCCTGGGAGAGGGTGGTATTGCTACGAGTCTAAGAAGGAAAGGGGGTTGAGTTCAAGTAACTCGCCCCAAAACAGTGTCAAGGCTGTCTATCTATCTGAGATTGTGGCTTGTATCGGTGCAACAGGTGAAGGAGGGGAGGTTGGGCTCCTATACATACGTTCCATTATTATCAACCCATTGATATCAACACCTTTATTCTGCTTTCTATCTTTTGGCATTCTTCACCAGAGTAGTGTATACATGGCTGTATCTTTAAACCTTGAGAACTGGTCGAGATTGGGATATATACATCTTAAGTTGTCTTTCAACAGTACAGTAAGTTACTTGTTTGGCTTGGAGTGATAGGCTATAGACTTTGCATGAAGCATGTTCATTTGTTTCGACGTGCGATACGAGGAACAATGATCGATATTTTGGTGCCGTTTTATATTGACATTTTGAGGAGTTCTGGAGAGGTTAGCTCGGATGAGATCCCAACAAGACAATATTCTGACCGGTGCGACTTTATTTGTCGATCTACACTCCTATCCTCATAATTGCTTCTTCTCCCACAAGCACTTATCATTCAAGATGGAACAAAACCCAAGGATTTCTACAGGTAGACAATCGGTTTCTCACGGCGAATCAATTTCTTTCTGTTTCATTACGTTTTCAGATTCCATGTGTTGCTCGTATACCGAGTATATCATTATTCATAAATCCTCCCTTTTTTTTCTCTTCTCCAAAAAAGCAAAAGGAAAGGCATATATGTAAAGGAATGTTCACAGTTGGACTTGTTCAGCTTTTCACTCTTTCTTGCTTTCCGAGCGTCGCAACAATGTACTCGGGGTAAGTTTTCGATTTGTTGTTAACAAACGCGAATTATTTCCCCCTGTCGTGCTCGCATGCCGGACAACGAACCATCATCGTCAATCATCTTCGACCGATGTAACGAGCGAGCTCTCAACGTCAGCGTCTGAATCCAGATCGTCGCCATCCTCCTGCCGTGGCAGTAGCAGGGGCGGCGGCGGTGGTCCAATCATCCCAGACGGTCGATCCACATGGAGCAGTCTCCGTAATGACCGAGGTGACCACACTCGTGCCTCCTCCGCCACCAGTCGCGACGGTGCGTGTGACCGTTCCTGCCGGGACCGTGACGGGAACGGTGACCGTGACGACGCCGGTGCCGCCTCCTCCACAGGTCGTGACGGTGCGTACAGAGGTGACGGTCCCTGCCGGAACGGTAACAGGCACGGTGACGGTGTTCGTGGCGGAGCCTGGTACTGTCACGACCGAAGTGACCACGCTGGTGCCTCCTGTGACCGTGATGGTACGTATCGCGGTGACGGTACCGGCGGGGATCGTCACAGGGACGGTGACTGTTCCGGCCGGCACGGTAACAGGTACGGTGACAGTGTTCGTTCCGCCTGGTGCTGTCACAACCGAGGTAACGACGCTGGTAGCTCCTCCAACCGTGACGGTACGTATCGAGGTAACAGTTCCCGCGGGCACGGTGACAGGAACAGTAACGGTGTTCGTTCCTCCTGGTACCGTAACAACTGAAGTGACGACGCTGGTGCCTCCGGAAACTGTGACGGTGCTTGTCGCTGTAACGGTTCCTGCAGGAACTGTCACGGGGACGGTCACGGGAACAGTGACCGTGTTGGCATTTCCGGGGGATGTCACAACCGAAGTCACCGTCTGCACAGGTCCAACAGCAGTGGTTGTGCGTATGATGGTTTGAGTGCCCCCTGGTAGCGTGACGGTAGATCCAGGGCCTTGCGCGGTACTGACGACGGTTGTGGTTTGAACGACTGTCGTCGTGCCGGCTGGTAGAGTGACGGTTGAGGTCGTGCCTTGGCCTGGGACTGTTACTGTCGAGGCGGGTAATTGTTGAGTCACAGTAGTACCAGGAACTGTCACAGTGGTTGGCGTCCCTGGCTGAACCACCGTGGAGGTAACGGTTGAGCCTGGTCCTTGTTGCGTTACGGTGGTACCTGGAAGAGTCACTGTCACTGGAGGCAATCGCACAGTAGTCGGTGTGCCTGGCTGTACCACAGTAGTTGTGACGGTCTGGACTGGGCCAACTTGTATCGAGGTTATCGTGACTGTAGAACCCGGGATTGTTTGGAGGACCGTGGAAACAACAGTCGTGGTACCGCCGGGTGATTGTACGGTAAACGTACGCGTGACCGTGGCTGTTACTGTAGAGCCACCTCCATTGACAGTGGAAATCACGGTTGTTCTGCAAGTGGTCAGCAAAAAAATCCCAATTATAGGGCAGGAAAGAACATGAGGTTCGTACTCGAAAGATGGAATGTGCTGGAAAAGCCGATACTTACGTTGCAGTGGGTGCATTGAGAGTGCGAGTTTCCGTGACTGTAGAAATTCCACCACCTACACTGGAAATAACGGTGGTCGTAAATCCAGCACCAGGAGTTGTAACAGTCCTCGTTACTGTGTTCGCAGCTGGGCCACTTCCAGCAACTGTAGTCGTTACAGTACCTGGAACACAAGATGATCCTGTCGATCCAGGACTGACAGGAGTGCAGCTTAAGGCAGGAAGGGTGATAGTTTTGGTAAGGGTCGAAGGTGCAGACACGACGGGACAAGAACTACCTCCACCTCCTGGCAGAGTTGTTGTGATCACGCTGATACTGGTCACCGTAGAACCGGTGCATCCTCCAGTCACGCCGCCGACATCAGTTGTAGAGCTGCCTCCGGACGTTGTCCAATCACTCCAGACCGAGGAGTCTTGACGAGGAAGAACTGGATTGGCAAAGGCAAAGAGGCTGATGAAGATCAATACTAGCAGCGCGGAACAGTTTGGGCGAAACTCACCTTAGAGTAGAACTGGCAAGCAATGCCGAGTGAACCAATTTGCTCAACATCGTAGAGGAGGTATGACCTTCAAGCCCTACAACACTTTTTTCTTTTTGAAACGAATGGAAGACGGATGGATTCCTGTCGAGAGATGAACTGATAAACTCCTGGAACGAGAAACTTACTCTTTCTTATACATGCTCATCTTTGCACCACCGTGAGCAGGAACATTTGATGGTTCCTGGATCGGTCGATATCTGGGTAACAGTTGCCAGGGACAATCCGAGGCTGGGATCACCAGCTGCATATGCGGTGAAGAATAGACCAATGTAAGGTGATTCAACTCTTGGATAGAGGTACACTGTTGAGGGCCATCCTCAACGCTCTCCAGATACTGGGGCATATCATTGGATAGCATAGTCCTGTAGTACTGCAGCTGCGACCTTTGTGTGTCCGTGAATTGAGAGCAGGCAAGGTGACCAGCCTTCCCATTTTTGAGGCCAATGAGCTCAAAGACACAAGAATAGGGTAGTAGTCATAATGCATATCTGCAATGTCAGGGCATACTGCAGGTCGGAGGAGATGAATGCCGTACATAAATCAATACCTGGAGAAGCACGCCGTACTTGGACTTGGAAGAATCCCCGGACTCTTCGCAACCCAGTCCAGGCTGAGGAGACTACAACTAGGTAACACCGGCCAACAGCAGCATTTTCAGGTTGCGTGTAGAATTTCGGGGCCAAAGATATGGATCTGCGGATGACCACGTTTGAGGTTGCTGAAAATAGTTCTTCACCAGAGACAGCCATTGTACAGGTTTGACAACATCACTCAGATCATGTTGTCAGAGACAACAGACCGGATTCTGGACTCTGGCTACGTGCCAATCTGCGAGCATGACATCTGTGAGCGTGTACACTCCCAACCTTCCGCAGGTTGTTCCACGCAACGATGTGTACACGTGGTGGAGGGTCTCAATACTCAAGTGCAGTGTAACTCTGGGTGGAAGACATACCAGCCATCTGGCAAATGTACGTCAGCATCGATGTGTGAGATCCCGAGACCTACTTGTTGTGGTGCTTCTATCAGCGCGTACCCGAGTCACTGTGGCACAAGGTGGTCTCTCGTTGTACTTCTTCGCACGAATGGTCTGCCTGTCACGCAAACCATGACGGCACCGTCATACGGTTCCTGGCTCAACTGAGGGGAAGATGTGTTGTCAGTAGAAAGACAATTTCCGAGTCAACCACACAACTGGGACCGACTTCATAGCTGGCATGCCGCTGTTGCTCAGGATCGTTAAAGTACCACGGACCTGTCTTGTTTGTGGGACGAGAGGAGGCAGGTGAATGATGGTCTGCGTAACTAGCGGACAGATAGAAGCGGAGTCTTGTGTCTCAAAGAAAGATTCCATGGGCCGGTACTATGTGCTTCTAGAGTTTGGTTCAGCTATGAGCATGCAGTTCTCATTGGCAGTGATTGTTAAAATGTAGTCGGAAGCATGGAGTGCATCGGACAATGGAATGGGCGGACATGGCGAAAGAATATCGGCCAGTTTCCTCCGTTCTCCGTGTGGCTGGCCGTGTTATCAATGTGTCTGTCCGTCACGAGAATGGTTGGGAACGTATAGCTTGGTTGATTCTGGCACGTTCTCAAGGATCTTGTGGTAGTCTGATCAATAACGTGTGGCACTGTTGACTTGCCTGTGGAAGTCCATAGCCAGAGGGTTCGGGAGATCAATGGAAGGTGATACCTTTCGTTCGCTCAATGATATGGGCCAAGTAGTAACTCAGTGAGAATGGTCGATTGAGCATCACATGTGTTGAAGAGAAGGATGTCTGATTGTTTAGCCAAATGTGCAAAGCAGGCTTATGCCAGTGACAACTGCAGCAGAAGGATACTCTAGGTAGTCATGGAGAAGGAGTACTCTGACCGCGGAGCGGTGATTACTGAACTACTGGATGCTGGGCAAACAGTAAGTGATACTGTGCTCTGTACGGAGTAGGAACCAGTAAAAAAGAAGGGGATCAGGCAACATGAAGCTTCGCCCATTTAAGTATAGCGAAGTACTTTGCAGAATTCTCATCTGTTCATTGGTTCAGCCGACGAGGCTGTCCTCACAAAGCCTTGTTCACAATAATGTGAGGTTTTCTTGCTCTCACAAAGGACATCGACATTTTACCCCGAATTCATGACAATGTCAATTTTATTCTGTTTCTTTTTTAAAATGGAAGCAGCCTGGTAGATTTGTGTGGGAGGTTTTGATCACAATCTCACCGTGGGTTCTATTTTGTTGACGCGAACTCACTTGCTAGGTACCTAGGTAGGGTTTGCCTCGTACCAATCTTTCCTCCCGTAGTAAAGTTTTCTTTGATGCTTTGAGAATGGTTACTCTTGCTCTGCCTGCTCTGCCTACTTGAGTAGGTTTACAAGCATTTAGTCTTGATCGCCTTTCCTACTTCCGCCCTTCAACTTTTTCCCTCAACAACTTCACTTTGGAATCAGTCTTCTCAGAATCTGTGTCTTTAGCATCACAACTTTCAGAGTCTGTCCCCATATCCAGCACTCGTACAAAAAGACCTTACCTTTTTTTTATCATGATTTATAAACTCGAGAGGTTCGACCGCAGTGAGGTTACCGAACCCATGCTGAAGCAAGCTGCGGTCCTCTTCAATGAACACTACGGAGTCTGGGGGAGCGATCCGACGAAGCTTCAGGCATTGCCCAAACCAGGTGAGCGAACGGGTCACGCTGTGTACTTCGTTGATGCTGATGTGACTGTTACTGACTATGTCGACAGGCAGCAGGGTCAAGATGAGCCCCCAGCGGCTTCGAGCCCAGTGCCTTCCCGACGGCGTCGATTGCCTCTACGTAAAGGCCACGGTCGACGGTGAAGTCGCAGGAAATGTATTCGCCTGTCGCTGGAAGGTACAAGAGAAAGTCGTATGCTGGGTCACTCAGCTCGTTGTGCACACCAAATTTCGAGGACGAAGCCTCGCGGTCAGCCTGGTCAACTTTCTGAGGCAACCTGATGATAATATCTACGGTATCATGAGCTCACACCCTCTTGCATGTCTCGCAGCTGCGAAAGCCTTTAGAAGTAAGTAGTGATGCACACACTCACACGGCTCCTCGGACCTCTTACAACGACACTATAATGTCGATGGTAACTCACTGTCTCTTAGGTGGCATCAATTCGCTCTCCTCCGAATTCATTCGCGACCACGCATCCAATGTCATGAAGCTGTCGCCAGTCGACTACATCCAAACAGCCAGACTTCGGGGCAGTCTGTTCGATGAACGCGACTCCACTGGCGCTGTGTCTTCAGTATTCACCAATTTCTTTGTTGACCATGCAGAACCACTCCGGGCATTGGATTTGGTTCGAAAGAATCTACATTGGCCTCTGGGAGAGCTGCTTGAAGGACACGAGTTTCTCCTCATGATCGAGGCGCGGGCTAGGTAGAGCTGTTTTGGTGGTTATCTCCAGCACGTACTATTGAATACTCTTGAGGCATTAGGTACAACAATAACTGGCTTTTGTAAGATTACCGGAGTTCCTCCACAGGACAGGACAGAACTGGAACAAACAGAATAGATTCATTCCACTCCTCAAAGCTTGACGACGGTGATGATCACCTAGGTACCTTGCAAGGATCCCGTGCATCTCTGGGTTGGTCGCGTCGCGTACTCCGTATTATGCCTAGGTACGGAGCAAGTCATGGATCTTCTGGACTTTGACATCTTAGCAGACAAGCGGATACCAATCGTTGCCAGGGTTCCGCTCACAGACACGCTCATCACTACGTTCTCTGCAATTTTTTTGCTCCGTAGTTTTGTGCTCCGTATAAAGTCAACCATTCCTTGAATGGGCCACCAACGCCTTGCAGCAAACACCAACGTCATCATCATCGTCGTAACATATCATGATCCAACAGTCTCTAGTCTGCACCACCGACCTTCTATACAGTCATGTTGCTAACTCCAAGCTCTCCAGTCATCCACGCCGGCATTTTGGTCAAATCCACGTACTGCCCCCCCAACTGTGCAAGTTGCTCCAAGCCCTTGAAAACATCAGTCCCGTTGAAAACCAAGGTAACATCTGATGTCTCCTGTCCCTGACTGTCCGTGGTGATGGTGGTAGTTGTAGTGGTGTCGGCTTCTACCAAACCCTGGAGCTTGACATGGACGCGATCAAGTGCAGCATGGTGTTTTCCATTCATGGCACCGAATCTCTTTGCCACCATCAAATTCCTGCTCTCATCTTCAGTTCCTTCATCTTCACGAATTGGCGTGTCGAGTATCACCACGTTGGGCGCCCTCTCATCTTCCGCAAATTTGCTGTATGCACCTCCTCCTGAACCGGGTTTGTGATTCCCCTTCAGTTCAGCCAAGGCCCGCAACGAACGAGCGTTGAGCTTCGTGCTTTCCAATGCCCAGCGCTGGTGTGGTCGTGACAATGCCTTGGGTATCGCTTCCAGCACGATCTTCTTCAACGCCGCCATATCCATCTTTGCCATGGCTCTTGCCTTGGAATTCTTGATCCCTTTGCTCTGCGACTTCGAGCCAGTTGCACCGGACAGAGACACGTAAACATAAGGGCAACTGTCCGGAAGCGCGATATACATGACTCGAGCGGTATCGGTGGCATGCTTTGGACGTCGAGGAATACTCGTCCGATGGCCGCCAAAGGTAGAATTGGGGAGGAAGTAGAGGCGTATGATATGCAAGTTGTGTGGTGAAGGGATCTTGTGGAGATGATAATGCGCTTTCACCACGGGCGAGATCTCTTCCTTCAACGTCGAAAGGAACGTCTGCGCCGAGATCTGAGGATATTTCGTTTCCGCGTCGTCGTAGTTGTGTTTCCGCCTTTTACTGGGAGGCTGAGTGTCAGAGTCTTCTGATGAGCTTTCCTCCGCTGCTTCTAGTGGTACTAGGCGTAGAGCCGACCATCTCAGCGCAGTGTCGTTTTGTTCCAAGTATGCAAAGTCAACCATTGCATGTTGGTGTAAGGTGAACCCCCTACGCCAATCGCCGTCGATTACTCGATCGATGACGTTCCTTTTTGAAGCCAGAGATGAATCTTTCTGCAGTTCCTTGTATATCCTGCGTAATTCTGCGACAGTTGCAGCCGGCGCATACAGATAATCCTCCTCGTCGGCCTCGAATAGTCTGCGATTGCTGCAAAGGTATGGCGTAGCCGCCCGGTCTTGATCGAGCCATCTTACCGCGAGATCAAGTAGAGAATCTCGCGATAGTCTGTTGAGGGTAGTCGCGAGAACTGGCGCCATGTTTGAGGTTTGTCGAGACGTTTGTCCATTGCAAGAAGCGAAACAATGACAGCGAAACCCCGGAAGCGGAAATCATAATAAACCATGAGTCATGTGGAAGTCGACCGCATCCGCTAGCGAGTCATATAGCCAAAGTCACGTGCGGCGATATTGCTCAACACGTGATAAGCCGCCATACTATTTGGCATCTACGGTGAGGAACTGTACGAGTATGAGTAGGGTCTGACCAGGCGATCGCCCGAATTCGCTTGCTTATCGGGGGGCTTGCGCAAGCTACAAGTCTGCGGAGAAATGCCTGCATTTGCTTTGGCAGGAGAATCGACGTCGATTTGTGATCAAGGAGTGGGCCGATTACAAGTATACGCTGTGGGCTTTGGAACGAGTACAAGACAGGAGTTAGAGACCTTCCTACTCCGTACAGCAGAGGCTCTAAGAGGAGCAGCACATTGGTCGAGATTAGGATGAAGGTCTATGCTCGGAGCCGGTGATGAGCGCTGATGGGCACTCGCCACCGCACATTGGAGCACGGGTCGATTCTGGGCATTGGTAGGGGCGTTCATCCGAGGTCCCTAGGATTCAAGTGCCGTAAAACATGAGTGTCATCGATGTTCGTCTGGTCGAATCGGTAAGCAAGACTAATTCGCTGCTTTCATTCAAATTTGGTGACGCACAAACCTCCGTCAGCCGCAGCTTGTCGCACAACAAGCAACTCACTCACGAAGAAGCCATGGAGAAGTAATTTTGTATCTCGATAAACAGGAGCTTCACTGAATCCTCCTCAATCACACAACAGAGAATTGTAGAAGGAATAGGCGTAGGGCAGCGAGAAATCAGCCAGCTAGTCGAGTCCTTTCAAAGAAAAGGTTCGCGAAGTTTGCGGGTACAAATATCCGGATTGGGACGGGCGTGCAGAGAATTTCGTACTGTTCGGAATAACATTTGTCCCTCGTACAAAACACCCACTCTACTCAACCCACCATTCCGCCTGGCATCCCACCCTCTGTCCCTGTCGAAACTGCGCCTTTTCTCTAATCAAGAACTTCCGGCGGGGCTGTCGCACACCCGGCTCATTCACGCTCTCGCCTTTCAGACACCTTTTTCACCCTTCTCATCCCTACTCCTTACACTACCCGCCATACTATCGACCTTCACCTCCAAGTGATTTGGGTATCGAGATACGTTCTCTTGCTCAATCCCGAGGCCTACGCCGGCGCTGGTGAGCGTAACCAGATCACCAGGGCGAGGAACGGCCTACGACCTGATTTGTCATACGTGACTCTTTGTCCTTCGACCTTTCACACCTCAATACCACCCATCGCAGCACGCTGAAATACCCTGGGACGACGATAGAGAAAGAGTTGGAGGTGGAAAAGTGCACGATTGCGGGTTAGGACAATGTCGAGTTATCGTGGCCGCACAGGGCCAAATTTCTCCGAGTATCTCAACAACTTGAATACTCTGGCACCCTTCGACCAAGAGCATTTCTCGCCCGAAGAATTCGACTTGAATCAGGATTTGGCCATGTTCACAAACACTGACTTCACCCATTTCGACATCCCTCCGCTTCCTGAAGACGGCTCTTTCAATTTCGACATGACCGAGACCAAGAACAACAACGGACCTGTAAAATACGAAGATCTGTTGTCTGGGTCCGACACCGGTCACAACTACGCACCTCCTCAGATTGAAACATCAGCTCCCGAGTCATCGAATTTTTATACCACCTACAATACCCCAATCCAACCTGCCCCCGCCCAAGGTTTTGGTGCTGTCGATAGTCGTGGATCTCCAAGTAATGGGTCGCCAATAGCAAGTCAAGTTCCTCGTAAGAAGGAGTCGACTGACCTCAGCGCCATAACATCGGAGGAGAAGTCTCGCATAGCCGCCGAGGAAGACAAGAGGCGGAGAAACACTGCTGCGAGTGCTCGATTCCGCATCAAGAAGAAGCAACGAGAACAAGCTTTGGAGAAGACAGTCAAGGAAGTGCAGGACAAGAATACCCAACTGGAGGTGAAATTGCGCCAGATGGAAGTGGAGAACAAGTGGCTGAGAGATTTGATCATGGAAAAGAACGGTCTTCAGTCGAAGGAGGAGATGGCGGCCGCATACCAGCAGTATCGAAAAGACAGCGAAGAAAGAGATGTGAAAGAGAGTGAGCACACTACTGGAGTCGGCACCCAATGAATATCACCCAAATGAAAAGTAAAATTGATGTTTCTTTGAGGATGTATTCAGTAATGATGTTGGCTCTTTATATATACACATAGTGATACCAGATACACCAGACCAACAATGACATTTTTGTCTGCTATACAATACCTTCTTCTCATGATTTCCATCGTGTCTAGTGAATAGACCTGCTTGGTGATAACCCGTAGCCCTTGCAAAACGACATTGAAGCTGTGATAGCGATTATTGGTAGAAATGGCAGGGTTGGATTATTAGTAATGAGGAGCAGCTTGTAGCGGATGCATCAAAGCACCACCGCGGTTGCCTCATCCACGCGTTGCAACTTCGACTGTGCATTACTTGCCCGCACACAATCACCTTTGCCCGCAGTATCGCATTCTAATCTCCAGCCTTTTCCTTTCATTGTCGTTGCTCATCGTCTCTTGTTCAACGCAATCCATCAACACAAGCGAATCACCCTTTGCAACCTTTTCTGCTGCATCTGCGCCATCGTCCTAACCGTATCGATTAAGCCTTACAGCCATCGATCCCCGCCGCCCATTGGCACAACTTCCGCGTCTTCCATCGCTCGTTGAGCGCTTTCCTCCAACGACTCGCAGCCATGTCGGTCTCAGTCGGTGAGCTTGACGCCACCGTCAAGGCTTTCCAAGAGGGCAAGGGTGACGTACAGAAGCAAGCCCAACAAAAGCTGAACGAGTTCAAATCCAACCCCGATGCCTGGTTGATGGTGGACAAGATCCTTCAAGAGTCTTCGTACATGCCGACTAAATACCTTGGTCTGCAGGTCTTGGATGATGTTGTCAACACGCGATGGAAGGTTTTGCCTCGAGACCAGTGCCTCGGGATTCGAAATTTCGTGGTCAACCAGATCCTGCAGGCTTCAGAAACTGAAGAATCCCTCAAGGCCAACAAACTCTTCCTCAACAAGCTTGATTTGACTCTGGTCACTATTCTCAAACAAGAATGGCCACATCACTGGCCGACGTTCATCAATGAAATCATTTCCGCCTGCCACAGTGGCTTGTCGGTTTGCGAAAACAACATGACCATTCTGCGACTCCTTTCTGAGGAGGTCTTTGATTTCTCCCAAGACCAAATGACCTCTACCAAGGCTAAGAATCTCAAGACTAGCATGTGTTCAGAGTTTTCATCCATCTTCCAGCTGTGTAATGAAGTTCTCACGACAGCCAACTCGATCACGCTGGTCAAGGCCACGTTGGAGACTCTGCTACGTTTCTTGAATTGGATTCCCTTGGGCTTCATTTTCGAGACAAAGCTCATCGATACTCTGGTCACCCGATTCCTGGAAGTGGATCAATTTCGCAACATTACTCTCAAATGTCTGACCGAAATCGGCGGTCTACAGCTCGGCCAGCAGTATGAGTATGACGACAAGCTCATCCAGATGTTCACCGAGACTTTGACTGTAGTTTCCAAGACCATTTCTCTCGATACTGATTTCCGTGAAGCATACGCAAAAGCAAAAGCCTCCGAACAAGAATACATTCTCAACCTGGCCATCTTCCTATGCAATTACTTCTCGGCTCATCTCCAGACCATCGAACGCCTGCCGAATCCCGATTATCTCCTGACGGGTCATTTCTATTTGATCAAAATCAGTCTGATCGACGACCGAGAGATTTTCAAGATCTGCCTGGAATACTGGAACAAATTAGTCCAGGAATTGTATGAAGAGATGCAGCAACTGCCTATAACTGAGCTTAATCCTCTCGTGAATATGGGCGTAACTGGTCTGGCCAACGGCGGTGCACCTCATCCCAGCACACTCGCAAACTACCCCTTGCGGAAACACAAGTATGGGCAGGTCTTGACGAGCTTGAGACAAGTGATGGTGGAGAAAATGGTCCGACCTGAAGAAGTCCTCATTGTAGAAAATGACGAGGGAGAGATAGTGCGCGAGTTCGTCAAGGAGAGTGACACCATTCAACTCTACAAAACAACCCGAGAATGCCTGGTGTACTTGACGCATCTGGACGTTGTGGACACGGAAAACATCATGTCCGAGAAACTTGCCCGGCAAGTAGACGGCTCCGAATGGTCTTGGAACAACTGCAACACACTATGTTGGGCCATCGGCTCAATATCTGGCGCCATGAACGAAGAGACCGAGAAGCGCTTCTTGGTCACCGTGATTAAGGATCTGCTTGGTCTTACGGAGATGAAGCGTGGCAAAGACAACAAGGCGGTCGTGGCCAGTAATATCATGTACATTGTCGGCCAGTATCCTCGTTTCCTGAAGGCGCACTGGAAATTTCTCAAGACCGTCGTTAACAAGCTGTTTGAGTTCATGCATGAAACTCACGAGGGTGTCCAGGACATGGCTTGCGATACTTTCATCAAAATTGCCAACAAATGCAAACGACATTTTGTGGCGCTGCAACCTGGCGAGACAGAACCGTTCATCGACGAGATTGTGCGGAACATGCAAAAGATCACCTGTGATCTCACCCCTCAACAAATCCACACATTCTACGAGGCATGTGGTTACATGATATCGGCACAAGGCCAGAAGAGTGTTCAGGATCGATTGATCGACAATCTAATGGCATTACCGAATCAGGCCTGGGACAACATCATTGCTCAAGCGAATCGCGATTCATCCATCTTGCAAGATGCCGAAACGATCAAGGTGATTGGCAACATTATGAAGACTAACGTGGCAGCGTGCTCATCAATAGGAACTTATTTCTACTCGCAAATTGGTCGCATTTACCACGACATGCTCAACATGTACCGGGCATCGAGCTCATTGATTTCAGACGCCGTCGCTTCTGGTGGTAAGTTCAAGTAGTCTAACTAAGAGATCTGCTCAATACTAACACAATACAGGCAACGTGGCGACCAAGACTCCCAAAGTCCGCGGCTTGCGTACTATCAAAAAAGAGATTCTGAAGCTCGTCGACATCTACGTGCAAAAGGCCGATGACCTCCAGATGGTCAATGACACTATGGTTCCGCCTCTCCTTGATGCCATTCTGCTCGACTACCAGCGCAATGTCCCGGACGCTCGAGACGCTGAAGTGCTCAGTGTTACTACTACCATCGTCCATAAGCTACATGTACGTTGGACCCCGCGAAGATCTCGGCATCTGGTCAGAGATGTACTTGTTGGAGTTTTGACTTGTACTAACGTGCTACAGAATCTAATGGAAGACAAGATTTCTCCCATCATGGATGCCATCTTTGAATGTACGCTAGAGATGATCAACAAAGACTTCCACGAGTATCCCGAGTTCCGAGTCGAATTCTTCAAGCTTTTGCAAGCTATCAACTTGTTCTGCTTCCCGGCACTGCTCAAACTCGACGGCCGTCAATTCAAGCTGATCATCGACTCCTGCATGTGGGCCAGCAAACACGACAACCGAGAGGTCGAGAACACAGGCCTGTCGATGTGTCTCGAGCTGATCAACAACATGGCCGAGACCGATGCACAAACGTCGGGTGTCTTTTTCTCACAGTTCTACATTTCTATCCTACAAGACGTGTTCTATGTTCTCACCGACTCGGATCACAAAGCCGGTTTCAAGTCACAGTGCATGCTGTTGGCGCGTATGTTTCAGCTGGTTGAAGCCAACAAGATTTCACAACCACTGTACCAAAATGGCCAAGCAGCACCCGGCACATCCAACAAGCAGTTTGTCACCGAATTCACCGCCAATCTACTTCAAAATGCCTTTCCCAACCTGCAAGACGTGCAAATCCAGCATTTCGTCACTGGACTGTTCACCCTTAATGAGGATGCCAACAAGTTCAAGACACACATGCGTGACTTTTTAATCTCACTCAAGGAGTTTGCCGGCGACAATGCCGAGTTGTATGCGGAAGAACGTGAACAGGAGAAGAAGGATCTCGCCTCGGCTGAACGTGAGCGAGCCATGAAGGTCGGCGGTCTTATCAAGCCCTCGGACCTCGATCAGGACGACGAGCTCTGACTAGAAGAAGAACTCCGGACGGAGTTTGCGGTGCGTGCCGCCGAGGACAGCCAGCCCGCCGGGCCTTCGGTTGAACACTACGCTATGGAGAGTGCGACTGAAGAAGACTACGAAAGTGGATGGGTGTTCTACAAGTGCTGATGCCACCCCGTGACCGGTTGGCAGGGCCGCGACATGAGGCGGCGACGACGACGGGACGCACTTGATACATGTTCGAGATTTTCCTTGCGCGATATTGAGATACCAAAAAGCATGGCCTTTTGGCAGGATACCTTTTAGATCGTCACTCGACAGGCTCGGATTGGGCACTTATTCTTGCATGCCTGCAACGAGCTGAGGTCAAGGAATGCTGACATGACTGTTCAGCTCGGTTCGATGCATGACGCATTCTGGCGAGATGTCGACTGGTAGAACTCTAGATGCGATCAATGCATGATGCAGACCTGGAGGATATGACCCAGCTCTCTGTTATGTGCATCACCCGATATTGGGAATACAGCTCCGTAGAGGTAGTAACTACATGATAAGATGAGATTTAACAGTCAAAGCATTCTTGAAGCATTTTCATTTTTGTCCACATTGACCTGCTTCCAGGCTAGCATCGGCCCTCATTGTATCACCCTGGCGTCCATGTGTACAAGGAGAGACGCAGCTGAGAAGGGTTCAGTGACGCGAGGATGGTGGTGAGAAGATAGGCGAACGGGCGGTAAGCTCCAATGAACGGGCCTCGATCCGCGCCGCCCATGATGCATGATGCATGAAGCCAGATGAGGTGACACTGTGTCTCGTAAGCCTTGTCTTGAGGGTGTGTAGAGGCGCAGCGGCAGGGTGTAGGAGAAGGAGGCGAGCAAAGGATTGTACTGTGATGCGGAAGGGTACGGGGGCCAGAGGGATTATTTGCGTGGTCTGACGGTTGTCATGCCCATAATGAAGACGACCCGAGTGCCTATTCCGTCCTCCGTCTGGCGCCCGGAGATGATCTTCTTTCAGATACCCTGCATGCCTATTGTACCGCATAATTTAGGGACCTACGGGTGGTTCGGCTGTGGGCTTGGGGTGCCCTGACCGACCATTCTGGAACTTGCGAGGTGGTTCGGCGGTTGAGCCGGTGAGCAGACTCACCCCAAGGCAGATGAAGATGGATCACTTGATTGGTCTTCTGTATCTTTCCGAGTCACACAATGGTGCTCGCATGCTGTACAGAGGTCGTCTGGTGGAAGGGGGAGTACTTGCCTTACCTCTCTCTCCCTTGGGCCTGTGAGGCTATTCCGACTCGTATCGCCAGGCGATCACGGGTGCTTGCGCCTAATTGGGGTAGTACGCGGGGCGCCATGACCATCTGACAAACTGCATGCATCATCTGCAATTCAACGACCTTTTTCTTGTGTTTGCCCTCCTCCATCCTCCCGTATATTGAGCCATTTCAAGCCGGGCTCCCATTCTCTGTGTCGTGATTGCGATTAGAGTACACTACACAACATTCATCAGCAGCACCCCTCGTCGATTCTCACGAAGCTCGCATCAAAGGTCGAAGTCAAAACAACCCATCAATTCCCTCACAATACACTACCCACCAGCCATTCTCTCTCCTCTTCGATTGCTTCAAGAGAAGTCCAAGGCAAGGAACTGCATGACTACATTTACAAGCCGCCCACATCATCCTTTCACAATGTCTAATCGCAACAATTCACCACGACCCGCAAACACCAGCGGCCCCTCCCTGACAAGACGAACAGCCGTGGTTCCGGGCACGGCCGCCGCAACACGTCGCGCAAACGCGGGCAGTTCCACTCAGACCATCACCCCTTCGGACAGTACATCGTCGAGATCCGTTTCCCCAGATCCGCTGGTGCTGAGATTGCGAGGGGCTCACGACGCGGGCGCCAGACCTCGGCCGAGGAGAAGAATCACCTGGGCCGAAGACGTCGTGGACAACGAGGGACTCGGACGCAAGAGCAGCAAGGTGTGCTGTATATATCATCGACCGCGGGAGTTTGGCGAGAGTTCGAGCGAGGACGACAGCAGCAGCGACAGTGATAGCTCGCGCGGCGGCGGTAGTGATAGCGACGACGACGGAGGTGCGAGGATGAGCGGGAACAGACGTGGACGGAAACACGAAAAGGGTCATGGACACAAACATGGCGACGGTGGCGACGACTGTGGTGACCATGGACAGGGACACGGCAAGGCTAAAGACAAGAGAAGACCGAGTCCCAATGCCTACGAAAAGATGCCCAAGTATCATCCCAAAGATCAAGTGTTGAAGATATAGAAGGCCCCCAAAATGTGCTATTAACGAATGGGAAGAGGTCATGGGTTGAATTCAAACTTCATAAACGGAGGCTGCGTACAAACGCCAAATTTCTGGGACCACAGCACACACACATGTCATGAAGGATGTGCCCGAGACTGGTGATTGTATAGGTTGATCAAGAGGCACTGGGATGGAGGACTTTTTCATTGGATTAAGGGGCTGTTTACGATTGATGATGATAATAATGAGCAGGTTGGATTTCTTTTATTATGTGTGTCATGCTGGGAGGCCCCCTTGCAGCAAAGCAGGTCATGATCAGCTTGTATACGAGCAGTGGTGTTTAGCAGGATATCAATTTGATTGGATTTGTGAAGGCTTCTCCCTGTCACGCTCTCTTTGGATGGCACGACTGTGTTCGCCTTTTTCCATCTTCTCCCTATACTCATACAATTACCTTTCTACCCAACGATCGTCATCGAGGATGTCAGGTTGGCACGCTACGTTGAACGAGACACGCAATCGTCCTCGTCCTCGTCCTCGTTTTCGTCCTCATGAACACACATCCTTGATGCGCGCGCCGCAGTAACTTGTACGGAAGCGGAGAAACGAGGTGCCACTGAATCCTTACTTACCTACCTAGGTACGTACCATAATGGAAGTCATTTATGTTGACTGTTCATTCATTCATTCTTTCTTTCTTTCTTTCTGCCCTTCCTGGGCTCGCCAGCTTATAGTCCTCGATAATGCGTCGTTCAACAAGATCTGTCCTGTTGCTCCTCGTACAACGAGAGGATCTTGATCAAGACTTTCACTGACCTTACTCTGTATCTGCCCCTGCTCATGCTTGATGCAGGAGGAGGGGGGAAACCACTTCGACAGTAACCGGAGGTGGTCATCTAAAGGCCACGCAGTGCGTTCTTTTGTGTCTAGGAGACGCGAATGCTTCTCCTTTTCTTTTTGGGAAAGACGCGCAATCAGAAATGCACACCAGTATACACACACCCTGCTGCTGACTGGCGATATTGCAAGGTACGAGTAGACAGGCCATTCTCGCCCGGGCGAACTTACACTTCCAACTACATGCCGTTGTGATGTGCAACAACAACCCGCAGATTTGACAGACAAGACGGACAGTCTCCGGGGCCAATTTGTTAGTCGTACTCCTACGAGTACCGAGGCACCTCGTCCCTGATGTGCCCCCTCGTCATCCATCAGCTTGGGACTGATGAGAGTGACGAAAGGCGAGAAACCGACGAAAGGCGAGAAACCCAAGAGACAAGACGGACCATGTAAGCTTTTTACCCCGTACAGTTGCATGGAGACGACACGACAAAGAAGGGTCGTTGATCCTGGAAACGAAGATCTTCTTCCAATTGGAAAGGGCAATACTCCGTGACGGGGGCGAGCGATGATAAGGACTCGCTCAACCCATATTCTTGTCGATCACAAAGCCATGTCTCTGCGTACTGTACAGTACAAAATACTCGCAAAAGGAAAATCCCACTTGGCCTGAAGAAGAATATGGGTGGGTGTACTGAAACGGTCCAAAAAAAAACTAGAGAATCCTTCTTGTCGATGCATGGACAAGCATGGTTAGAGCGTACTCATCCGTACACGAACGGCAAAGGTTGTCTCTCTTCACGCGAGAAGGGTCTAGCAAAGCCCTGGAGGAGTCACGAGTACGACTACGAGTACTCCGTACATACAAATGTTACCCACGCCGTCGGGAGGACCCAGACGGGATCGACCCTTGCTTAGCTACCGATGGACCTGGAGCGAAATGGAAAGGAATGGCCATGATGACAGGGACATGGTAGCGAAAAGCGGGCTGGCGCGTCAAATGAGCCTTGCTCGCTCCACGAGAAATAACAACGACAAATCGATAGATCGAGGGGAGGGGCTGATGATGATTTTGCTCTCTTCAGGCATTACTACTCATTCCTACGGAGTATCTCAATTCTCCATTATTTCATGCACGAGTCCAGAATTGTGCTCGTTTGACCATTTTTGGACATTCGACCGACCGGAATTTCCATAGCAGCTGAGGGACGCTTCGAACATTTGCCTCCATGGTCGATCATCAGCCTCAAACCTCTATCCAGACGGTTCGTTCGAAAATGCAAAACCTCTCTCCACGGATGCACTTCCGTCGTCGACACTGTCATCATCATCGGCCCATCAAGAGGGAAACATGTCTCGTCTCAAGACCTTAGCTGATCATTCACGAGGCGCTTTCAGTCTGCACATTACGAGCGTTCCGAGAGACAATTATACCTCGGTTCAAATCCCCTGTACTATGTTACCCGGTCTGTAGAAAGGGATTACGACTGATGAACCAGGGTAGAGAGACTACTCGTCCTCAGGTCAATTCGCTAAAGGTGCGTCAGGACTCAACTTTCGCCATGCCTGCTACACCTTCTTCTCGTTAAGGCACTGGGTTTATCCTTCATCGCGCTTTTGAAGCGCAGATCTTTGGTAACCTCTCAGCACTTGTGATACCGAGTACTTTGCGTGCCCTCTCAATACTCAGTGGGCATGCTTTGGCCTTCCAAGCGATAGAACAATGTTTCCTTGCGAAGAAAGAGTCGCCAGATTACCGGCTCGTCCAATCTGCGTTGCTCCCTCTGTCGGTGTCGGAGATCTGGAAAACTAAATTCTCGGAGCATCACCTTCGGTCTCTTCATTCCCAAGTCAAGGGTCCCAGGCATGACAGCAGTCTCATCTTTATGAACAATCAACTATGTGAGGAAACATCCTACTTTTTCTGTCTGAGGAAGGCTTCGAAAGTGAACGCTTCCACCTGCGTGTTTGACACAATGTCTGTCAGTCCAAAGGCTAGTCTCGAACTTTGACTGAAGTTGGAAGGCTTCAGGGAAGTACTCGTACACATGTTTCGGTATCCGACAAACTGACATCGCAGATCAACATCCGTTAAAGGTTTGGGGGTACGGGTCACGCAGCCAACCTCTCGATGGCGGCCAACGAATATTGGTCTATTAGAGTCTTCATGCTTCTACTTCGGCTCAAGTCGACCTTTGAAAGAATTCTTTCGCTTCATGCACGAGAAACAGTAAGCCCGCTCGAGAGGCACAGAATCGTGGCCAAATGTGCTTCGGTTACGAGTACTCTTACCAGGGCCTCTCTTCGTCAATTCATTGAACATCGCGTGGTCCCCAAACTACAGTAGGAACACAGCATGTCGTTTAGCATGGTGCTCTGCACATGCTTCTGTTTGGTTACCCTCAATCAACGTCCCTGCAGTAGCTTTGAGAACCGATGATCTTCTTCCCTTCTGTCTCGGGGGATTGAGTTCTAGCCAGGCACCAAAAACCCATGCATCTTTCCTTTTAGGCTGCATTCATAGCCTCAGGAACGGTTCCTTATAAGCGCACTTTTTCATGCGGCGGTCGCTACTTAGCGGCCGTTCCGATTTGCCGCAAGGGGGAAAATCTCGAAATCCTTTTGTGCCCTACGGAGTACTCCCAGACTTGAGGATTTTCCTAGACAATAAACAATTCTAGACACCCAAGACGGGAGCAATGGAAAGATTCGCCCCCAGACGGGTCGTTCGCTTGGCAGTTTCTCGGTGTATCCCAACGTCAGAAGGTTCCATTGTTCACAGGCACGCGACAGAGCATCTTCCTACGAGTACAACTTGTGCGCATAGAAGTCGCTCAGTGTATCGCGGGCACTCCGTGCGGACGAAATCACCTCGCCAGCCGTAATTCCCGTTACGTGGCTACACGCTAAATTGAGATGTGTGCACAAGCATGCTGACACTCACTTTCGGATGGGCGATTCAAAGAGGCCAGAGATCGACGCCGGGCATCTTGCGAGCACTACTCGCCTCCCACACTTCAATTTGCGGGCTCAACTACGGATAACGAAAGACTTGATCAGAGGAATCGCTCAACAGCTAGACCGAGTACGGATATCATTTTCTACCTTTTCACTGACACACGTACTCCACGTTCTTTTAGTGCTGGCCTGCTTGATCAAATCAACATCAACGGTCCTCCAAGAAGGATTCCGAATGCCCTTGGGACGCGTTCCGCCTTTTTTGCCAGTTGCATACTGTAAACAACAAGGACGCCCCTGTGGACAAGGTTCCACTTCTGCAACCATAGTCTCGGATGGCGCTCCCCGTTCTCCTTCTAGTCAGTTTCAATGTCGTCCTCTCCCCCATGTTTCCACTTGCCCGTCAACTCTCTTTCTCTGTGCTCCGGAGTACCTCGCAGCCTACTCCAGCCCGAGAGTACTTGGGAGGGAAGGTTTTCTAAACATCCCCGCCAGTCCGATGCACTAGCAACAATCAATTGTCCAGGGTGCTTGACTGGGATGTTCTAGAGATTATTGTAACCTCCCCCCTGTCCATGGTAATAAACCACTCCCAACCCCAAGGTGGGTCATCACCAATGGTGGACCGGTGGGCTTTGCAGCATATGAAGACGGTCGGAATATGAAGAACATCATCCTCGCCCCCGCGCAAAAGCCCTGTCTAATACAACACTTTCCCCGTGGTTCATATCAGTTTGAACTCAATCGTTTTTGGTCCTTCTCGTGCCGTGCCGTGGTTGTGTTACGTGCCTTTGGGGCCAGGTATTCATCATGGCATTCTCAAACTCAGAGATGAGGGCATTTGACACGGCCGAGAAGGTGGCCTCGGTCTTTTCTGTCCTCGGCGCCATCTTCATCATTTTTACGTTTTTGTTGGACGATCGATTTCGAAAAGCCATCAACAGAATGGTCTTCTTCGCCTGTTGGGGCAATCTGTTTTCCAACGTTGCGACGCTGATATCGAGGTCGGGGATCAATTTGGGGGTTGATACCGCTCTATGCCAGTTTCAAGGGTTTCTGATCCAATGGTGAGTAGTCTCATTGCGACCAGGGAGGACGTCGCTGATCTAACATGTGTGTGTGTCCGGGACAGGTTTATGCCGGCGGATGCTTTATGGACCTTTGCGATGGCTTGCAATGTCTATCTATCCTTTTTCCACCGCTATGATGCGACCAAGTTAAGGGCATTGGAGTGGAGATACCTGGTGGCTTGTTATGGGATTCCATTTGTTCCGGCATTGGTATTCTTGTTCATCGAAACCGAGAAAAAGGGCAAACTCTATGGTGATGCAGTGGTGAGTTTTCTTTCTTTCTTTCCAGGCCTCAACATTCCCACCAAAACTTCGCTAAGCTGACTTTGAGAACACTATCCAGCTGTGGTGTTGGGTATCGGAGAGTTGGAATGCCCTTCGCATCGCGACCTTTTACGGTCCCGTGTGGCTCGTAATCCTGGTCACCGTCTTCATCTACATCAAAGTCGGCATGGTTGTCTTTCGGTGGAGGAAGAAGTTGATGTCCATGGACCAAAGCAACAGTCGGGGCGCCATGGGCGGAGTGGCCGCTAGAAAAGACGTCTCCCTGCAACGAGAATACTCCATGAATGACATGCCCCAACAACAACAACAGAGATATGAAGTCAGGACTCACAGTCAAGCCCCAGACTTTCCGGAGCACAAGCACCAGCAAGTCCTAAATTCGCCTCAAAACACCACATCCTTCATGGAGGATTCCCTCAGGAGTCCAAATTCACTCAAAAGTCCGACCCATGCGAGATACCCTTCGGTGGACGAGAGTTACCCGGAGGAAAGGAGAACCACTGTGGTCGCGGACCAACCGAGTGTTAAAGTTGTGGATGCCAACAAAGCCGCCTTGAGTTACTGCAAGACGGCCATGTTGTTCTTCATTGCCTTGATCGTTGTATGGTGAGCTTTTCCCCTTACTTTGCACCTTTTCAAGAGGCAAACCATATGGTTTCCCTTGGTGGTTTCAAGTCTAGCCAGAACTGACTTTTTGTGCGTCACCATCAGGGTCCCTTCGACAATCAATCGAGTCTACACCCTGGCCAAACCAACCGACCCCCAATTCGGACTCGAGTTCGCCTCGGGCCTTGTACTTCCGTTGCAAGGATTCTGGAACACCATCATCTACATCATGACCAGTCTACCGGCATGTCAGGCACTATTGGCTGACATTGTGGGTGCACACAGAAGAGGAGGAGGAAGAGGCGGGTACTCAGGTGATTCACAGATGCGTTCTGGGTCACTCGGGGGGTCGAGCAGGAATGCCGCCTACCTCCACCACCACACCCTACCTTCGACCGACAACGACAACGAGAACCGAGCCGACATCATGGTGAGTTATGATGGAAAGAATCGAATCGTGAGACACCACTCCAGAATTGTCTCCGGAGATGCCAACAGTGCAAGTGGTATCATCAGTCATGACTATATGCCCCACGCCCGATGAGACAGACACCAGAGTATGAAATGAGGACGGGGATAAGGGTCTCCAACGTTTTTTTTTTTGGATCATGTCTATGTCTTTGTACCATATAATGTGTATATTTAGTTTCTACTCTGTGAAAAGCGGAAAGAAAAGCAATGGAAATGAATAGTATTTCTCCGAGCGTATTTTGCAAACCATCTACTCAGTGAGTGTACGGTTTCATCGCTGGGAGGCTTCTGCCTGGTTCACTTGACGAGTACAGAACTGATGTCCCACTGTACAACAATAGCAAAAAATGGACCGTAGGAATACTCCGTACATGGCGAAATCATTTGTTCGGATAATATCCGTGATCCGTCTTTGTTCATCTTCCTGCACCTGTTGGGAATTGTTTTAATTCCTTTCACCCATTCAGTGAACTACTCTTTTTTACGGAGCATAAACTACGGAGCACATAAAAATGCGGAGACTACAGTAATGAGCGGATCTGTGAGCGGAACCTTGGAACGATTGGTGTCTATTGTCCATCAACAAACATCGTGCGAAGTACCGGGTCATATTGCCTGATTCCTTCTCATTTTACTGGTCTGGATCACTTGCCTAGGTATGCAAGGTGATTTTGCACAAAGAACTACTCCCTGTACTGGAACGAGGTTGAAAAAACTCAGCCACTCAGGCATCAATTCCCGTGGTCCGGCACAGCACACAACACAGCCTCAATTTTTTCTTTTCTCCCGACAAACAAACCGAGGCGACCATTGAGACCGCCTGCACCCGACAATCATGTGTCACCGTAGCTACAAGCATAGCCCAAGGATATATCTGATCCTGCGGAGTAGTTCCATGCAAGATCAACCTCGCTAATAAAATCTATACCTACTCGCATCCAGGTGGCGTCGTCCTTCTGACGCAGAAACATAAGTACCTCCCTAGACATATCTAACCTGCTATCAAGAAAATCCCACATCCACTCCATAAAGGTCTTCTAAACAGTGACAGTTGACGAGGCTTTACACAATTCCTCTCCATTCAGTTCAGTTTTGTTTTCAGCTTTTTGACACTTGGCCCTTTTTTTGCGGTCGCCTGATTTGTCTGGTTCGCTTTTCTTTAGTCTTTTTGATCCTTTTGTGGCGTAGCCGCCTGACGCTGGTTCGCTTCTCTACTTCTCCTTCATCGACACTGTTTTCTCGAACCTCTCTAGCTTGCAGACGTCGTCAAATCGTCAAGAACCTTTCTCCACAAACATTAACGACAAAAAGTGACTTCTGCCGCCTCTGCGACGTCACTATCGATGTTCCCAGATGTCATGATGCCCTACGGGGCCTACGGGGCATATGGGTTGGCGGCATATGGGGATCCGTACCAGTACTCTGCTGCTGCTGGAGCTTTTCAACAGGAACAACCACAGCAACAACAATATCCACCACCGATACCATTGCCAAGGAGTGTCCTGCCGACCGGTGTGAATTTCAAGGTTGGTTCACAAAAGTCCGGAGCGGTTGTTCCTGAGACAGCTGAAGAGTGGAACGAACATCGTGATTTGATCACCAAGTTATACCGTGACATGAACTTGCCTTTACGTGAAGTTCAAAGAATCATGGAGGAGGATTACAACTTTAAAGCTACGTGAGTGATTGCCCTTGTCCTTGCCGCATGCCTCGCAAAGTATAAGATACGAGAAGAACCCCCCAAGAGCTGCCACTGATGGTCAATCCCTTCCTGAGAATAGGAGACGAATGTTCAACAGTCGTCTGAAACGTTGGGACCTTTGCAAAAACCTCCGTGCCAGAGAGAAAGAAGAACTTGCTGCCCGGATTGCCGAGGCACATTTTGAGAACCGATCACTTGACACCATCACTTACAAGAATAAACCCGTCAAGCTTCACCGTGTGTTGAGGCATTGCAAAGTCAAGGCTCGAGAACGTCAGCGCCAGCGGGAAAGACAACGACAACAACAACGACAACAAGAAGAAGAGGAGGAACAAGGAGAAGGAGAAGGAGAACACAAGGCATCGTCTGAAGGTTGCTTTGAAGACTCGAAGTCGAACAGAGTACATGATACTCAAAGCGAAATGGTTCGTGTGCCAGCAGCAGCAGCAGCTCCCGGAGGAAGCATGATGCGCCCCAAGACTCCGGGACCAGACATGAAATGCAACACTTCAGGATCAGAAACCTCCTCAAGTGGTGCTGTCTTGGTCACTCCAGAGTCAGGGAATACCAGTGTAACAAACTTGACGCCCGGGTCTAGTGACAACGAGGTCGTACTGTACATGAATGGCAGCCAGCCTATACAGAATCACCTACTGCCACACCCGGAGCCCCCGATTTTTCCACCAAAAGGAGGCACGATGAACGTCGACTTCATCCTGAACCAGACCCAAACGTACTACCTGGCTCACCTGGAGACCATACGGTTCGAGGCTACAGAAATATACAACACAACGACAAAATCCAACTTGTTCTGGTCGAATGTCAAATCGGCCATTTACTTTCTCAAGATGAAAACGCCCGCACTGGCATGGCCGCTGTTGAACGAGGCGTGTGGACTCGTCGGAGATATTTTGGGGGGCAACGTACCCATCTTGTTCTTGAACAGCGTCTTTGCCGTTCTATCGCCCGTCAACACGCGGATATGCCCATTGGCTCGCAGCACGTTGCTCCGGTACCTGTCACAGATGGCCTCGATCAAGCTGACACCCCTTCATCCGCTGACAATCTTGTTCCGAGAAATCGCGCAAGAGGATGGATTTGGTCTGACATCGGAGACTGCATTGTTGCTCACGCTGAACATGTTGCGCCACCATCTAGGGGAGGACCATACTGGAACCTTTACGGTTCACCGATCTCTGATCAGTCTGTTGCGTCGTGACGGCCGTCTAGAAGAAGCAAAACAACAGAGTGAAGAGTTGGTGAGGACGACGGAACAAGCGTTGACGTCGCAGGTTGGGCTACTAATTACGGTACGGACCAAGAAGCCCACCAGCGTCAGCATGACCGAACTGTGCATCGCCATGACTGAGCTCGTGCACATTTACATCGACATGAAGGATTGCGCGGTGGCCAAGGACATTTGTGACAAGGTGATTGAGAATTACAGGACGATTCAAGGTCCGAATTTTCCCGACAGTCGGGCGGCGTATGCGATGGAAGATATGGCACAGCTTTGTGAAGCGTTGGGGGATGGGCTTGGTGCGGTGTACTGGTTGAGACAGGCCATGGAGGCGAGTTGGATGTTGAGAGGGAAGTCTGATGCCGCCACCAAGCACGTGAAGAATAAGTTGGACGAATTGATGAAGACGATGGAGATTTCGTAGTACTTCTAGACACAGTTCCTCTGATCGCCTTCAGAAAAAGAATGATGGAGGTCGGAGTGGGTACCATTGTATACAGTATGGACGACGAGGATTCTAGAAATTTCATGAGTTGGTCGTCGCAAGTCACACAACGACTGATGATCTATCGACAGGCTTCGATTGGTTCATATTTTGCATCTATACCTCACACAGTGTACAGCACGATGATCTCTGTCCTTCTCTACCATAACCAACTCATCGTCTGAACTGATCCTCTCTTTTTCTTTTTTTTTACCTCTACATAGAGTCCTGGGTTCTTTCTACTTTTACTAGCGTATATACTGCCTGCCCAAGGAATAATAATCCACTTAAAAATCCCCCCTCGGCAATTGCCATCCGGCCCTAAACTTTCTTAAGCTCGAGACCAAACCAAATCATTTGTTTTCAAGCCACAAACAACGACAAATACCAAAAACATCTGGCCGAGGACGAGTGTCGAGGACTCAGGACCACAAAACAAGACATTTACTTCTGCCAGCGTCGATTGAAAGAGTCTACTCTCCTTTCTAGATGTCATTGGCTCAACATGTCTCGGCCTTTGAAGGTGTCGATCAAGATTACACGACAGACGACATCGGAAGCTTGAGGCTTTCGCGACAACCAAGCCTACAGATCAATTATGATCCCATCCCTCCTGCTTCTGTTGTAGGAGCAGATGACGGTGATGGAGGAGACGACGATAGAATCGAAAATCTTCACGCGTACGAAGTGTCTACCACCAAACGTATCGCTCAAATCTTGGTCGGTGTCGTGTCGTGCGTGTTGGCTTCGGGCATCGTATTTGGCTTCGACGCACTCAAGACTATTCTTGTCGAGGAAGATGTTTATCGAGAACATTGTACCGAGGAAGAATTGGCGCATGACGTGAGGTTGTGCTATATGCAAGATCAAAAGTGAGTTTTCTCTACCTTCTCTTCGTCAATTTTTTTCCAAAGTTATCGTAGTGCTAACACTCTTCATACAGGCTCAACTTGACATTCATCATTGCTTCGGTCACAGCAAACATTTCGGCCTTACTCGTGGGAAGTATCCTAGATCGATATGGACCCAAGGTCTGCGGCATCGCGAGTTCTGTGGTTTTGTTTCTTGGATCCCTCCTCATGGCTTTTGCGAAAGAAATGCCCTTTGACGCCTACCCGGCAGGGAGTTTTTTGTTGTCGCTCGGCGGAACTTTTACCTTTGTACCTTCCTTCCACCTGGCCAACGCGTTTCCTCGCTTCCAGGGACTCATCCTAGCTCTCGTCACGGGAGCCTTTGACGCGTCTGCATCGGTGTTTTTGATCTTCAGGCTCATCTACCAGAGATCCCACGGCGCATTCGGCCCTCGACAGATCTTTTTGGTTTTCTTGGTCGTCCCAATTTTCATCTTGGTCACTCAACTCACCGTGATGCCAAAACACAGCTACGAGAGCCGAGGTGAATTGACCAACAGCCTTGAAAAGGCCAACGACGCCACGCTGGACATTCACGACTCGGACGATGAACTCGACACCGCCATGGACGTGATGCGGGTGAGGTCTGAACGGGCGATGCGACGTAGACAGTCCATCACCTCCATCACCGAGCTTCTGGGTACGCCCATCCAACAAGACAAGTACGAGCAAAAGGAGGACCAGATCCGAGTCAACAGCGGCGTGTGGGGGGTCCTCCACGGTGTGCCTGCGTCCAGACAAATCCGCACCCCCTGGTTCATACTCATCACCCTCTTTACCGTCCTACAGATGGCCAGGTTCAATTTTTTCATCGCCACCATCTACTCGCAGTACGTCTACATGTTAAACTCGGAGGAACTGGCCATCAAGGTCATTGAGTTTTTCGACCTCGCATTGCCAATTGGTGGGTTGGTCACCGTGCCCTTTATCGGGGTGTTGCTGGACCAAACGAGTACCGTCGCCGTTCTCAATTTGTTGGTCTTGTTGAGTACAATCATTGGCGCTCTCGGTGCAGTCCCGACAGAGTGGGCAGCATATGCCAACGTGACATTGTTCTGTCTATTCAGACCACTTTATTATTCTGCCATGTCGTAAGTTTGTTTCGCTTCCCTTCTCACACAGTCTCATTCGCATCCCATCCCATCTCCGCTGGTCTCCGGTCCATAACCCACAGAAAGGTGGTGGTTTACATACAGACAGCACTAAAAACCATAAAAGCAATATATACTAACAAATTTTCTTGTTTCATAGTGACTACGCTGCCAAGGTATTTGGTTACGCAACTTTCGGAACAGTCTACGGAGCCATCATATGTCTATCGGGTTTGTTTACTTTCACCCAGTCTGGTCTCCAAGCGTTGGTACACGACTCCTTTGACGACGACCCGGAACCTATCAATCTTGGTCTCGCCACCGCCGGACTTGTCCTAGGAGTGGCATTGGTCATGTACGTCGACATTAAAGGGAGAGCCATACAACGTGAACGAGCCATTGCTGCGATGAATGCCGTTGCGAACGACGAACGAAGACCATTGCTTGGTATCCAGAATCGAAGTATGAGGTCCAACAGTCGACCAATGACTTCGGATCAAATGTTTAATGTCGGTGGTGGCGGAAGCATCAGTGGTGCTGGTAGCATTGGAGCACCAGGATCTCTTCGAGTACCCAAATCAAGTCTTTTTGCTACTGGTCGCGATGATGGAACGGGGAATTTGATGAACTATGGTACTAGTCCAAGTCATGGAGTTGCTACTGGCTCAGGTATAGTTGCAGGTCTTGGAGCAGGTCTTGGAGCAGGTCTTGGGGCAAGTGTTGGTCCAGTATCAGGATATGATGAAGTCGACAATGATGGTACATCCGGACCCACGACAACAACCGGTACTGGTGAAGGTGGTGGTGGTGGTACTGTTGTTCGACATCATGGTCTGATGGCCAGAACTAGTCGACAAGGATTGAATTGGTCATTGTCAACTGTTCAAGAAGGGAGGGAACCTGAAACGACAGAGATTCGACATGAAGAAGAGGAGGAGGAAGAACAACAGCGGCAGCAGCAGCAGCAGCAGCAACAACAAAATGACCAAGATCGAGAGCAACAACAGCAGCTTTACACAGACTGATGGTGGTACATAAAAAAAAGGAGGGTCCGAACGAACCATCAACCCAAAACTTGAAAACTGGCTTGTATCTCACCACTGGCTTTGACTTACTTTACTTCCACAAACAACGCCCACACGACACCAAAAGGGCATGTTACCAACAGGCATATTTACAACACATTACAGCAGCATACTTACAGCGTGGGAAGCATTTCTATCCCCTTTTCTCATATTATCATCATCGACTTTTCCAGCCCGGCGTCTCCGATTTGATCGGGATGGTATGAGAAAGGGACAAACTGTACATCATACGATGCATACACAATACGGTTCATGGTACATGCATGGTACATGGTTCAGTGGGTGACGACAAATTTGTTCTTGTTCAACTTTGAATTTCGTTCGAACTTTTCTCTTAGCGATTGTATTTGTTTACCCGGGAGGCGGGGCGCATTTACTGGTTGTTTGACATGATTTTATCCAATGCCCCCATGATTTCTAGCGTTGGCTTGAGCATTAGCATTGCATTGGTATTGATATGGCATTGGTATGGCGTGGGGTGTGTATGTGTGTGTGTGCGTGGCGTTTTTGGACCGTCGATTATGGTGGCATAGATACGTACTCTCCGTAGAGAGAGAGAGAGAGATGCATGTCACCTTTGACCAAAACTATCATGATACCTCTTTCTAGATGGATATCATAATAATAAATAGCACAACCCGTCATCATTCGTTTTTCTCTTCTCTCTCTCTCTCTCGTCGTGTTTTTTGCTCTTCTCGTCCTTCCTACTCGGATCCCAAGAGTCTCGTTGTCGAGATAAATCTTTTGACCGGCCACAGTCATGTTTCAAATCCCTCCTTGATTTTGTCCTTTTTTTTCGATGGTCTACTTTTTACTTTTTACTCGTTCACACACTACTACACAAGACCATCAAGACTCGTTCAGACACACACACACTCTCTCTCTCTCTCCGGAGTAACTGGGTACCAATAAGTAACTTCATGTTACCTAGGTAGTAATCCACTCCATGCCTCCCTCCCTTCCCCCCATGATGGTACTGTGTCTGTCACGAATATATATAAACAAAAAAGACAAACAAATATCACGACATTCAAAAATTTCAATCGTTTCGACAAAACTTGGTTAAATTCTGGTCATTGGTTTCCTTTTTTTTTTGAATTGTATCTTTCCATTGATAAGTGTGTGCACGCTTTGTACCCCGTAGAGTCGGCGGAATTTTTCTTATATCTAGTGCAGAAAAAAGCCTCTGATAAAAGTCAAGGTCAAGGTCAAGGCCCAAGAAGACAAGACCTGTGGCCATTTCTGCTGCTATCCTAACCCCCCCCGGAGCATCATCACGCGATGCCCCCTGAATTTCTTTTCATTCCAATCTTCCCCTTTGGTAGTGTCATGGATGTAGGTCGGTGTGAACGGGATAGAAAAGACCACACTTTTGCTTTCTAAAAATGTTTGAGTCGCCGGAGTGTATCGGGAACAGAATTCATGAGTTCCCTCCTTTGGTCGTAATTTTTTTTTCAGACAAAGATTTCGAAGGTTCCCCCACGCCAGCAATGAGGAAACTCCATATACCACAAAAAGACAACCTTGTCCCAAGAAAACTGGTGCTGACAAAATTTGAAACGCCGCTGTGCTGATTCGTCATGCCGCTAATTCTTCACGAGGACATAAAAAAAAGACATCTGTACATGCCAGTCGATGCTGACAGCGAGGCTGAGCGCAAGAGATAATTATAAGCATTAATATTAGCAATCGTTCATCAGTTTGTTCTTGGGCCAAGCGTAGTCGGTGTTTTCCCTAAAGAAACTGTTAGTTTGGGTATTGTAGAGGAAACCCGTTGTCCACTTACCACATAGTAATATTCGGGTTGTGGTACACATCATAATGGTTGTTGATGTACTCGGTCGTGGGGTAGCCGTCGGGATCGCATGACATTTCACCACTGTCGTCCTGATAGATTCGTATGTAGTCGATCCTCATTTTTGCAGGCATCAATTTCGCCAACCCAGTCAGGTTGAGCGCCGAGAAACCAGACGACATACCAAAGTTGACAATGATGGACATGGGCTCCTCAGGAATGACACGCTGAGCAATGTTGCCGTTGGGAGCCAAGGCTTCGCCTTTCAGACGCCAGACAGGATCTGACCCCACGTACCAGATGATTTCTCCGTTTGAACCAGGCTCATATTCAAAAGCGTACACCTGGTAAGCATTTCCATCATACCATTGATTGTTGAGATTTGAGATGCCCGAGACAGCTTGCTGCAGAGGTGCTCCTTTGTACGTGTTCATGGCGGTAACCGAGAAGTCGTATACCTCGACAAAATCGTAGTTGGGTTGATACCAAATATCGAATGGTGCAACTTGGAACGACTGCGACACCATGCCGATTTCATTGCCCTCCTGATCGAGCGTGCCCACAGTGGCTTCGATGACATCGATTTCGGGAGAAGACCGAGATTTTCCAGGGCTTGGGTGGTCTTCTCCACTGCATGTACAAGCCGGTAAGCGCATACCAGGTAGGTAATTTATACCATCTGGTGAACTTTGGTTGGGTGTGATGCCGGCATCGCAAACATCGTCGTAAGAGTACGGCCATAGACCGTCTGTGGTGGCTGCATATCCAGGTCGACCCAGATTACCCATTGACCAGAAACCCGGCCAGAAGCCAACAGTATCACCTCGACCAGGCAAGGAGATGCTGGCTTCTAACCTTCCACCCTTGAAACATAACTGATTCCATGACTGAAGCATCCCGGAGCGGTAATTTAACCCGTGGTTTTGAAAAGCATCAAAGCGCAGTTCCAGTACACCGTCGGCGGTTGTAGCAGCATCAGGGTCGTACCATTCCAAATCTCTTGTCACACCATACCAAATATCTACGGCGGTCCAGTATGGATCATCGCCTTCGTAGAATGTCCTTCCGGGCTTTGAGAATTCATCAGAAAACACCAAATTCCATGTGTTTCCGTGGAAGTCTGTCTTGGTCTTTGCAGACGCAGGAGTGTCGGGGTCAATGAGACCCGTGCGCATGTTTGTTAGTAAAGGAAGCTTCCCATTACCCACACATCCAATACCCTGCTTGCAAGGATCAGGTGGGTTTGTTATACCTTGCACGAAGGTCCTATGGGGATGTCAGCATAGAACGATCCGGAGGTAACATACACATACAGAACTGGGTATCCGATGAACAAGACCAGGATGCCGATAACAATAAATGCCAATCCACCAACGTTGACCAGACCTCGTTTCGTGAAGATATCACAATCTCGTGGCTCTCCGTTGGGATCAGGGTTGTGCAAATAGTCGTCCTTTTCAACGTCCTCCGGAAATAACAGCAGACCTGCCGACGGCAGAATATTGTATTTTTCTGATACTGTTTGAGTGTTCACATCATTATCCTCGCTTCCAGCTCTTGAGCCTGGTCTAGATTGACTCGAGTCCCTGAATGGGTTCTCAAAGCCTCGACTGTCTCGACTTCGATCCGACTCCCAACTAGATCGTCGGGACGAAAAACTCGACGGTGACCTGAGAGGAGACTGAGAGCCATCATCCCGCAATCTACTACGGCCAGGAGGTAATAATCTTTCAGAAGAATCTCGGAGTGGGTCGCCGGTGTATAAGCGAGGGGAGGTTCCAGGTCGAGAGGCTGTAGGTACAAGCGTCCGGGAAGAGCTGTTTAGATCTCCACTGACCAGATCATCTTGCCCTGAGTTCAATCGAATATGAGGAGGCACACGCGGCGGGGGAGAATTGCTGCTGTTGCTCTGGGACGACATGGTAGCGAGGCGACCGACTCGTCGTCAGGGAGATCGATCGCCGGAGGGAACGATGGATTGATAGAACGTGGTTTATTTCAGCCCGATGAGGTGAAGAGGTTGAGAGTACTCCGTAGAGAGTCTCGATTATGTTCGAGAAGAGCAGAGGTTCAGCGAGGCGTAAACGGGTCGAGATCAGGTCCAGGCCGCTGGTATACGTCGGCTTTGCAGTTGCCGCGGTTTTGGGCGAGTAAAGGTTGAGATAGACTCGGCGTGAGACGGAGGACGGAGAGTGTGAGGCTTTGGGTCAGGCTGGTGAGAGGATGTGAAGTGCGAAGTGCGCAGAGAGTGAGGCTGAGGTGTAAGTCTACTCCTTTCTGGCCGGCAGGGAAGTAAGAGCTTTGAGACCAGCGAAAAAGGGTGCGAAACAGTCGCGGGGTTGGCAAAGAGGATTGTTATGCAGAATAGAGAGTTCGATATCGTTGGTAAGGTTTAAACGAATGTAAGTGCTCTGCCTGGTGAGGTGAGCCACGAATAGAGAGTCTGGGGGAGAGAAGAGGATGTGGTTGACAGTTGGAAAGAGTTCGTGTTTGTTGCAAGAGTTGCAGCTGAACAGCCTGTGACTTTTGGTGCAGCGAAGGAGAGATGCAGGCCAAAACCTCGGCGGGTCTCTAGGCACTCTAGGGACGGAGTAGGGGACGCAGGAACGAGATGCCTAAGTGCCTAGTGGCCCTGCTCAGTAGCCCAGGAGACTTGAGGCTGTGGCTTGGTTGGGGGGTCTCAGTGGTCCCCAATTTTCAAAATCAACAAGTGGGTTATGCTGTACTCCGTACATATCGATCATCAACACCACCACTACCACCGTCCCACTATGAGCAGCATTGCAGTACGGAGTGCAGCATTCCAATTACGGTCGCTACATCGAAGACCGGTACGGCTATCTACAATATCTATCTTTACCGCGAGCCCTCAGATGCCAGAAGAAAGTCCGAGAGCATTGTACTTACATTGCCCCCCAATCCTTTTTTTTAGCTGCTGACTATTCCTGGCAACAGAATAACACATCCTATTCGAAGCACGATTACCTCTGACTTTCCGCGTAAATACCCCGTAGAGTGAGGGCCAACATCTGTCGTCGCGGCTTAGGGATCCCAACGGCCTTTTGCGTTGCCTCTGCCTTGTCGCTTTGGAATCTGTCCAGCATATGACGGTGATATAAAATGCAGACAAGGCTGTTCACAAAGCCAGTCTCCTTGACCATCTTCACGCCTCGAAGCAAATCGAGATCAGGTCTGGAAGCGTCGAGCATGACTTTCCTGCGTTTTCAGAACAAGACTTGTCGCAGCAGCGAATCCACTGCGGGCCACAATGATTAGCCAGTTGAGGATCCTGAGTGTGAGTTACGAAAGCAGACAGGGACCGGGGGGTGACAGAGGAGCCGCAGTCCATTGTTTGTTGCCAAACAGAAACCAGCGCAGCGAGTGTCTGAAAAAGGAACGCGCGTGCAGGCCCTTCGGTGGGCGTGGCACAGCGACCATGTCAGGGGCCATCATCCACCAATTGAGGCAAATGATTGCGGGTGGCGTTGCTAGTGTCGAATCTTGACTTGCGGACCCTTTTGTCTGAGGATAAGGACGATCCTGCCGAAGTGCAATCTGACAATACTTCACCCGGTCTCGATCTATTGGTCAAGGCTTCAGGGGGAACAGCGCCTGGATCTCCTGTAAAAGAAAACTGGATGCTTGGAAGCTATCATGGAAATTACGCCAGGAAACTGCCCAGCCTGGGGTTCGTCGACCAAGACTTTGGCATCTTTGATATCGACAAGGACAAGCTGACTTCTCTTGGAGCACGATTTACACTCAAGCGTTACTCCTTACTCCATACACGCACAGCTTACAGGTACGGACTTCGGGGTTCTCTGTGGCATTGTCGGGTACGGAGTATTGAATCCGGCCTTCAGGATCATCTTGACATGCTTCCTCAGGCCCCTGTTACTAAGCAATCATATCCAGGCCCACGACCTGGCGGCTATTGTTTCGCTCTCGTTTCGGTAAATGACCATTCCACTCTCCGCGAAGATATCATCATCATCCACAAAGACTGCCAGATGCCACGACTGTGGCTGGTGACGAGAGCACGAGAAAGGGGTGGTAGAGCTGATAAGATGTCGCGTGCCTAGATTGTGTTGTTCTCCTGTCTTCACACCCTCAGCCTGTGGACCATCGGACAATTAAACGGGCACTCTCCACCAGAAGTCTTTTGCTCCGTACGTCTGATAGTACTCCGTACATCTCCACCAATGTGCAGCCTAGCTGCTGTCTGGCTCATCTTCAAGAATGGATTCCTCATCTTTGAACTCATGGTGGTACAATAATAGGAAGTACACAAACACCGTGCTTGCATAGAACCGCAATCATCGAACTCACCGTCTTTCTGATCATCTTTTCCAAGGTTTCGTTTGACACGCTCTTGATCTGCGGTGATGGACACAGAAATGCGAATGCAGATCGCGTCAGGTTCAATCAGGTATGAGTGCTGTCTTTGGTCTAGGCATCAAGTCATAACATGCAGGCGAATCGTCGCTCATGCTGATCCTCTATGGCTTCCATGATTTCAAACATTTGCAATCAACTTCATACCTGGTACCAGCATCTCTTCGTTGTCGGCGACGCACGAGGCGCAGATCGAAAACGCAGGAAGGGAGTCCCTGCAGAACTCTGAGATGACTCTTTCTTTGAATATACTCTCCGCGTGTATCAATATCTCCATGGTTGAGATGGACTGTACCTGAATCCAGGGAGTGTCATCAACACAGCAACGGAGCTGCACAAGCAGAATTAACCCTCGCTATAACATAGGTTTGCCTACCCTCTCCGCTTGGTCCCCTCGAACGGCCTGGGCAGAGACTTGTTCCGTGTTCTGACTGAACGGCTTCATTGATGTTGTCGGCTCCTCGAAAGTTTCCCATGCTTTACCGACGTCTTGAGGCACCATCGATGGCTGTCAATGTATTATGGAGAGTCCGAAACGTGATGTTGTTGTACTGTAATGTGTTTGACCAGTGAGACGAAGTACGGCGAAGCAGAACCACGAAAAGCCACAGTCGCGCCGAAACAATTCACACTTCACACTTCACACACTGCGGCCAACCATTCATTTTTCTTCTTTATGTGCCTTTGAGGTTCAAGTGAGAGATGGTTGAACGAGCAGTCCCGTTGCCTGCTGTGTGGTGGTGATATCTGAGGTAGGCTGTTTTGGTGGTGATGTGTCTCCTAGCAGGAAAAGAACAATATCAAGCTCGTTAGTATTGTCCCTGATGTCTCTCATTATCTGGTGCGTCCTGACCTTTCTCACTCCAGATTGATGGCAAGATTGAAACATTCAAGTTGACATCTACCTCATTTTGGTGGATAAGTCGTGCCTGTAAAGCACGGATTCGCTCTCTTTTGGCCTGGAGATGCGGCGTGACACGGTCGGTCATGGATGAGAGATAAAGATGAAGTTTGCGTCGTGTCTCTTCTCATGTGGGTTTGCGCCGGTCTCTTTCGACTCTGCTTTTCTATTCGCACTTCGCATGGTCTGATGTTCCTTTCTGTTCGCGACGCCGAGAAGAGAATCTCACAAGTGACTGAGTTGTGATTCTCCCAAATCCGCCTCGATCGTCTTCTCACCATCGTCCCTTTTCCACACTTTCCAGCCCACATCTCTTCCACCTTTCGTATCTCTACCGCGACGACGAGAGCATCAGTTTCATCATAGTATCTACCTGTCTACGTCGTCTACGTCGTCTTCTCTTTGTTCTCGTCATCACGACATCCAGTCTTCCCTTCCCCTCCTCAAAGATGGCGTCAACCGTGGTCCTCGCTACGCCCACGGCCAGCCCGACCGTTTTCCCTACCGCAGGAATCGGCGGCGAATACTACACCAACCCCCTCTTCGAGGTCCCCGTCTACACCGGCTACGCCCGAAGTGCCATCACCTGGCAGATGCTCGATGCCTGGAACATCGTCGGTCTCCAGTACGCCGTCGCCGAGGGCATCGCCTGCGGCCTCATCTGGGCCACCTTCATCTACCTCCTCGCGTTGACCCCTTCACGCAAACGTTCCACGCGTTTCCACATCATCCTCTTCACCGGCCTCTGCTTCGAAACGACCCATCTCACCATGGACGCCATCTCGCTCGTCACGCCCGGTCTCTCCGCGAACTCGGCGTACCTCGTCCTCACGCGCGACATGGCCTCCAGCGTCTGGACGACCTCGTACAAGGCTTTCTACACTTCCACTCAGGCACTGAACTGGGTCGCCTTCATCTGCGCCACGACTTGTCTCTGGATCCAAGCTCAGGGCCTCCTGACCACGCTCAAAGTTCGCTCCTCGATCGCCTACGTCGTCGTCCTCGTCTACCTCGTCTCGGCCGCGCTCGCCACCTTGATCGCTTCGCTGGTCTACTGGATCTACCAGATCAAGGTCATACCGGACAACATCGACTGGGACATGGCACTGTACGCTAGGAAATTGAGAAACATTTACCTGGTGAGTTCAGGACCTCCAGGCTTCGGAAGCGACTGCATATTCTACACCTCCTTCTGCTCCGCACCTGCGTACCTACTTACCTACTTACCCACCTGGGGTTTTTGTTCTGACATGGTTTTACACAGTTGCTCTACGCCATCAGCATCGGCAGCTTTTCCCTCGTCAACCTCTTCTCGGTCCTTGAAATCATGTGGCGTCGACCCTTTTCCATCATCAAATCAGAGAGCGTCTACCATTCGGCGTTGAATCTTTTGGGTCTCTTGGGAATTCAATCTTGCCTCGTACCACGTAAGTCTTTGCTTTTATTGTCGACAGATATCTTTGCCTCTACCTTCTCTCTCTGTCTCTTGATTCTGCTTCGTTTTTGGGGGGGTTTTTTTTCTGATCAAAAATTGACAGTCATCTTTTGCATCATGCAAATCGTCTACACCGGCAACGAATGGGTTCTTCCCGCCCTCTTGTTGCCTTCGGTCTACCTCATCCTCCCGCTCGGCACGCTCTTCGTGACCATCAACGCCACCAACACCACCACCACCACCACCACCGACGACAACGAGACGAGAAAGGGGGACGGGGAAGGTGTGGCGACGTCGCCGCGCAAGTTGGCCGCCGACATGATGAGTCCTCTCAAGAAGAGGCACGTGCAACGCGACGGCGCTTCTTCTTCTCCGTCCCCCTCCGCCGTCATCATGCCCGACGACAGTACTGTCGTCGAGGCACCGTCCGTGGTCATCGACTGGGCCGACCAGGACAACAACAAGGTCGACGGCAAGGCAAAGACCCTCGAGGTCTAAAATTCCCCATGAGGGCCCTGACTAGTCGAATGGAAATGTTTGGCGTTGACAATGAGTTTTTCTCCCTGCATAACCGTGATTCCTCAACCCTCGTTTTGTCTCGTTCAGTTCGAGCCAGTGTCCGCCGTCTCTACATCGTACCCGCCCCCAACTTTTGAGTCGTTCGAGTTCAGTGTGACCTCGTAAGTGGGGATCGTAAGTTCATTGCGAGGCCAAAGTAATGTAGATTGTGACCTTGTACAGGCGGTGACTGGTTAATCACGCTACTTCAACTGACGGTCTCGATGGTCTGACGCTTGACGAGCCTCACCCACCGCCTCCTCCTCCACTCCCCTGTCCGTCCCGTATTGTCAAACACCGTCGCCTCCTCCCAGTCCTTGGTCAGCTTCTTCGACTTCTGATCCCTTTCGCTCCTCTGCTTCTTCCTTTTGTTCCCCTCGTCCTCTCGATTGAGGGACGGGACGTTGTAGTCTCCGTAGGCCAGCCACAGGTCGTCCTCGCGGCTCGCGCCACTGCCCGGGACCGGTGGTAGGTCCCACACCCAGCCTCCAAAATCCGCATTGACACTCTCTCGTCGGGCCGTCGAGACGGCGGCGCTCGCGCCGTCCGCGCCGTGGTGCAGTACGTCATACTCCACGCCCACGACGAGACGATCGTTCACCCACTCCCCGGCTTCGAGGTCGAGTTCCCACTTCTTCGAGGCCCACTCCCAGCCATCGGGCGGCGACACATCCTCGAAGAACCGTGTCCCTCGTGGGCGGTCGCCCGCTATGCGCGAGGGCGAGAGCGGGTCGTACGGGGAGGGGGTGAAGAGGTGAGGTTGCCATTCTGCGGCCTTGTCGGATGCGACCGACCGGAGCGGACGGTGTTGGAGTTCAAAAATCTCCACTTCCCGTGTCTCTGGGGTCGTGGAGAGGGTGACCTCGGAGAACGCGGTGAGCGAAGAATGGATGGCCGCCGGGGTGGCGGGGAGAGGGATGCCGTGAATGTAGCGTGCGTGTCTGAGGGCTGGATCGTTGAGGGCTTGTTGTGTTTGTGCTTCGGCCCGTTTCTGTAGCCGCAGCAGGTATGACTGTGCGGTTGGGTGGGATGATACAGTGACCGTCCACCCTAGAACGAGGGCGATCAGGCGCCAGGGCAGAAGGTGAGCCGTGATCAGCGAAGCGGTGGTCAGGATCGTGAGGTACAGGAATACTTGTGAGGAGAAGGCTTCGTTGCTGAAGTTCGTGACCGGGGCAATCGATTGCACGAGAGCGTCGTGGAGGTTGGAAAAGTCGGCCATGGAATTTTGGAGGTCACGCATGTTGCGGAAGAAGTCTTTGGAGGTCTCGCTCGCGGGCTTGATGGTCCGAGCGGGAGCCAGTGCCGGGCCGGTGTAGGCTTGTTGATATGAGTAGGGAGTCGTGCTGGACGTCGACTGCTGCGGAGGCGGTGGGTGGCGTGAGGTGAAGGCCGGAATCATGATGAAGAGAAGGGCGACGGCGACGGGAAGAACCACGAGGAGATATGGATCCAGGCAGACAAACGTGTATGCCGCCAGGAAAGACAGAGTGTGAGTAGGTGTACGCCAGGTGAAGAGGCGGATGACTCGGTTCTGAAACACGAAAACTATCCCGATGCGAGCGTTGAAGCGGCGGAAGTTGTTGGTCATAAGAGGGAGGCTGAAGGCGGGTCGTGCGACATACTTGGACGATCGATGATCAACCGGGATCGCGGATTCGCCCTCTTCGTCATCATCAACATCTTCTGCCGGGATGACTTGTTGGAGGATCCTGAGAGTTGTGTGAGTGAGCTGTCGACTTGAACTGGGCCACCAGAGAGCTTACTTGGAAAACAGTCTGTCTTGAAGGGAGGGCTTGCTTGCTGTCGCTGGCTCGTGCTCTTCTAGCTGAGAAGCAAGGAACCCATGGCTTTTGGCCTTCAGGCGCGATGGTGATAGAGTGCGTCTGACTTTGTCTCGCTTTCTTGTTCTTTCTTCTCCCGTCTCGGCATCGTCAGTCGGAACCGATATCAAAGGAAGTGGTTCGTCGCGATTGACGAATGCGTCTGCGGTGAATTCATCCATCTCGATCAAGTTATCCCATGTTCATCGATGATGGTATTGATCAGGAGCCAGTACTGGGACGGTGTTGGACGTTGGACACACTGGGTGACTGGATGGGTGGTTGTCATGCCTGCCTAGGGCTGTGTCCGGAGTATGTCATAATACGTCGTCGGCATCATGTTGACATGTGCGAGCCACATCACGTGGACAACCGAACGCCACTTCACTTGGCGTTGTGGCTTTATTCCACCAGACGCCTCTAAGTCATCGGCCGGCCATTAAAGACTCTAACAAGTCGAGGGCCTTGACTGGTGACTGGTAGCCAAATACGGAGTAGTTATTGCAGTAAACACATCCAAAATAACTTGGAGTTGTGTTACGAAGTAGATACATTCAAAATAAAGTAACAGGAGCAGACGAGGAAGCACCAAGTGCACTCAGGGCATGTCTGTAACTCAACAACAACAACAACCTCGAACTCAGAGGTCTTCCTTGCGCGTAGAGACTCCCTCAAGGCTCGCGCTGTGGCACTCGCAACCTTTCTGTGATCTCTGTCGACGTCCTCTTTCGCTCGCAACCTTTCGTTGACAGTCGTCGCTTAGTCGCCCTCGTTGCCCGCCTTCTGTTGACTACTCTCGTCGAATCGCACTTCAAAAGTCTCCTCTGTTGGGCGTCAATCGATCAGCACATTTAGTATGGGCTAAAGAAGATAGATTACTCGTCGAGACAGTAAGGACTTGAAGTCAACCTATGTTATTGAACGCCGACAGCGCATAAAAGGTTTCATCTTTTGGGCCTATTTTAACGGAGATCAATCGGCCGTCGATAGAATCCCTCGACCTGGTCAGGCTGTGATAGACTTCCGATGGAGGCCATACCAGGTAGTAACTGGTGGTATAATGACAAGACCTCATTTGTTGCCCTGTTAGGTATAGATCAAGACTCATTGGGCGCGGAGCTAACAAAAAATAGGCCTTGTAGTACTCCGTACTCAGTACTATAACAGTCTCCCGATGATTCTCTCTGATCAACCCTGAGCCTCCCTGGGTCTGCACATCAACTTCTCCCCGGTACGAGTACGAAGTAGTGAAGATGATTTCATTCCTCAAGGATCATCATAACCTAGGTAGGCATGTTGTTTAGACTGCGATCGTCCTCTTTGATCCGTTGATCCCCGGTAACGAGACCGTGTTGATCAGGGACACACCCACCCGTACTCCTGCACCCTGTTGATCCTCACGAGTGCCAGTATTTGGAAGTATAGTACACCATGCCCGGAAAAGGTCAGGCAGTCCAGACCCTACACCGCTCGTGTGACGTCGAACTACATTGTGCTTGTTTCACAGCTCCCAGGGTTGTACTCCGGACTGCCTGACGAGGACTCGTCACATCCATGCCAGGTCGGAAATGCAGGAAATGCAGAGCCCTGAAAAGACCCTGTGGAAGCGATCGAACAACCGCTCTTGTTCTGTTTTGTCTTAAACATCATTTCCATCAAAAGAACCCTTGACAACATGAATCACAGAAACATGGATTGGGTAGAAATCTCTCTCTCTCTCTTCCTCTCTCTCTCACTCACACACACACACATATTGCTACTGCCGTTCAATCCTTTCACTCGCTGTGTTGACGAGGATTACATCTGATTCGTGACACGCGAAATCGCTTGGGGCTGGTGGTGGTGCAGCAAAAAGCACAATGGACTTTTGGGCTCGTCTACACGAGAAATGCCTAGGACAACACAACAATCTTCAAAGACCCGGTCAGTTGAGTGACAAGGGACCCCCCCGGGAAGACTCGTTGTTGACGTGCCGCCCCCGTCATGCTGAGATCACCCCATGTGGAATGCTAGAGTCACTATCCGGCATTTGGAGCTTCAGGATCATAGACTTCGCTGGTCTGAGGCATTGGTAAAGGCACTGATCCTCCTTCTGTTGCACGTGATGGCCTTTTTTGTTTCCACAGAGGGACTGCCAAAGTTGTTTGCCATCTGGCTGGCAATCAGCCACTCCCAATGCGTAACGATGCCTGGCACGAGATACATGGTCTTCACACCGCATTGGACCGGGGAAGTCTGGATCCGTTACGTCAAGACGGAAAGTTGGGCACGAAAAGATTCGATGTAAAGAGCCGACGGCCTCACACTTGAGCATAACCAAAAAAAAACGGTCTTGGTGGCATGCCAGCGAGGCTGGATTCCTATTTGACCCAATTTTCGTGCCTAGCTCACTGTACTCCGTACCTACCGATATCATCGGAAATGTGACCTGATCCAGTCGTGTGGTTGTTGGCACAAGAACATCTGTTCTTCGCTTCGATGCGTCGAAGAGAGAGAGAGAGAGAGAGCGAGGAATGCAGAGTCCTTTCCTGTATTCGGTACTTCGGTACGCGCAGGTTACTTTTGAACTGGCTGCATGTCATTGTGACCCGTGCGACAATGCTCTGTGCCGTACTTTTCGTTCGAATCTGGGAACTAGGCCCCCCCCCCCCGTGACCAACGAGGGCGACGAGCACCGAAAACCCACCACTCCACGGAGTCTGGAGATATCTGACGAGTTGTCCAAACCCCCCCCTCATGTGATGTCGATGCACCTGTGTTCATGCAAGAGGCTGCAGCAATCGGTGGTAAATGACGAATCGTATCGAAAAAACCCTTCCACGTTGCATGACGCCGGTCGGGCAGCAATTGTCATCAGACGACGTGCCGAAAGGGCCAACGAACTCTCACACGCGCGCGCACACACACACACACACACGAGGACCAAAATCCTCCCCCTTCCCAAGACGCAGAAAAGTGAGGCGGCCAACGGGACACGAGTGGTGCAGATCACGGCCAATGAGCGAAGGATTGCCTTTTCGTGATCATCGTTTCTCATGGCTCACACTGTCGCTACGCTACTCGAGAAAGCCTGCGAGGCCAGTCCCCCAATCAACATGATCAGCGACGCCCGTTCTCTGACTCGGCGAGAACCATTGGCTACAAGGGCGCCATCCTGCAGCAAAGCAAAGTTCCGCGCTGGTAACGGCCGTCACAGGCTTCGAGCCGGTCCAGTCTCGACGCCTGACAATCCTTGCGTGGGATAGGCGGTGGAAAGCCCGGAAAGTGGCTCCCACCCTGTTCGCTCTAGGGCAAGCGGCGCGCCTAGAGAAACAAAAAGGCCCTACGGACAAGGGCGCAACAAGCCCAAGGGTGGCAGCAGGGGGAGGGGGGGGTACTTTCTACGAGTACTCACACTGTACAGTATGTACAGCCAGCCAGAACCTTTCACATCTCATCCCACCCCCCTCCCCCCCTGCGATCGCTGACGACAAGACAAGCCGACCAGTTTCACAACCAACAAAGCCTCTGACGGGGGATCGCCCAATTTCTTAGTTGAGTGGTCGGAATTTCCTCCTTTTCCCTCTTGGCCCTCTTACGAGAACCACCACCACCACCACCCTTGTTTGCGGCTGACCCTGGTTTTCCCTTCGTGACCGCCGTTCCGATGCCTTTTTGTTCTTGGTTCTACTGGGATACGCCAGTCTCCACGGGCGTAGTCGTACTTTTTCCCAGAATCCTAGCATACACACACCATCGCTCGATGGCTTTTCCCTGTTCGGAACCAGTAGACGGGAATGGGGCTGTTCTATATCACCCTCGAGATCCGTCCCATCCCCCCCTCTCGACAAATTCTTTCCCACTTCCTCCATTCTTATCCGTACATTGAACCGCTTCACTTTTTGAATTCGGCTGATCTCAAGTCATTGACCTTGATTACTTTGGCAAGATTCTTCGTCGTCGCACCTGTTTGTTTCACCAACTTCACAACTCACTGTCAGTATCACTTTCGATCCGGGACCTTACTAACGCTCGAGGCCTGATCTGATCCGACTAATAACTAACCATGGCTCCAGATTGGTTCGGCAGGCCCATTGCCATTCCCTCACCACTTGAGCACACATACCAATTGGTTCAAGGAGTCCCTTTCGTCTGCCATCCCCATCATGGATCCCAACGTCAATGCTGCCATCGAGATGTTGCGGTCTTGCAGGAAGGTCTACGATGCCGAGCACCAACACCTCTCTCCCCGACAACGGGAGAAGGGCTGGTCCCGGTACTGGAGTACCATCCAGACGGCCATGACGAATTCGGGTACGATGCCACCTCAATTTGGTTCCTCGGTCCCTCAGAAACGAAACGCGTCCGCCGTGGGTGCAGCCGGCAACGAGCCCGCTTCTAAACGTGCTGGCGGTCTTGTATGTACTCCTGTCGTGCTGTGTTCCTCTTTGACTTTGGTTTGACGGAAAGAAAAGGCCCCCTTGGCGTCCTCGGTTCCTACAGCGCCCTACCTCGAGCGACATTCATCAGGCCGGAGTCAGTCTGGACGACCGTCCATGCCGGTCTCGCCAGCCGTCCAGATGACGGCAACGACAACTCCCGTCCTCATCCCCCGACACGCCACGGCCGGACAACAACGACGGACGTCCAACGCCGGATCCTCCTACTCGAGTCGGTACCAAGGACCCAACCTCAACTACATCCAAGAGGTACAAGACATGTCACCCGCCGACTTCCTCGCCAGCCATGGCGAACTCTCCGTGACGCCGCCCATGGGCATGGAGTGTGGTGAGTCGTCAAACTACCTCTCTACACTCACATCACCGTATGTCTCCGCAATAGAGTCACCGGCGGGTTACGCCCCGATGACAAGTACTAGCGATGCAGGTCTCACGACCGCATCTACCATCGTGTCTGAGCCCATGACCCGGGCCAACACGAATGATGTTCTCTGCGAGCCGTTTGGCATGTTCCGCATGGACTCGATGTCCATGTCGAAAATGCCCCAGGCGGTGGACATGCTCGACATGTCTCAAGCGCAGCATGATGTTGATCCTCCATTGTTTTCCTTTTCTTCTGTTGTTGGAACCGGCGACGGTTACAACAACCTTGCTTGTTTGTCTTTTCTGGATGATGACGGCTTTCCGTCATCATCATCATCAGCATCGTCGTTGTCTTATTCTGCTTCTTCTTCAAGTTACGAGATGAAGAATTGTCCCTCAAGCGGGAGCAATGCTTCATCTCTTTCAATTTCTTCTCATCATGGTCGTGACCGCTCGCCAGCTCAGAGACAAAAGGCAGTTTACACCGCAGCTCACGATCAAGGTCAAGATGCTTCTCCTCGCGGCTCGATTCCCCCGGTCGAGAGGTCCGTCTCCCTTTCACGACGGATCGCGCCGAAGATGCGGCGCGGCGGCAACAACAAATCGTCGACGTCCAGCTTCTCCGACGACGTCGACATCCCCGAGCCCAAGATCGTCGCGGTCAAGGCCGAGGACGGCACGGTCAAGCACAAGGCCGAGATCGCGCGGTCCATTCGCCAGCCGCCGCTCCGCAAGACGACCTTTTGCCGGTTCTGCAACGACCAGCCCCAGGGCTTTCACGGCGACCACGAGCTGCGCCGGCACATGGACCGCCACCACGCGTCGGTCCGCCGCGTCTGGATCTGCAAGGACGCCTCGGCCACGGGGACATTCCTGTCCAACTGCAAGGCGTGCCGCACCGGCAAGCCGTACGGCGCCAACTACAACGCCGCCGCGCACCTGCGCCGCGCCCACTTCAACCCGTGCAAGAACCGGCGCGGCGGCCGGGCCAAAAAGTCCGAGAACCGCGGCGGCATGGGAGGGGGCAACAACCCGCCCATGGAATTCCTCAAGAACTGGATGTACGAGGAGCTCGAGATGAACCTCAACGGCCGCACCGTCGTCCAGGACATCGTCCCCGACACCATGTACGAGACCGCCATGGTCGACGAGATGGTCCACCAACACCACGCTGGTGGTGTGGCTGTCGTCCTCGACGATTATGCTGCCGCCGCCGCAGCCGCAGCCGCAAACGATATGCAAGTTCCTACTATGGCCATGACCGCGGCCATGATCCCTGCTGCTGCGGCTCCCTTCGACTTCATGACCGAACCTCTTTATTTCGATAATGTGTTGCCACCTACGCCGTCGGCCTTTGCGACCCCCAACAATTACCTCATCCCAGAGGGTCCGACGCCCCCGCAGTATTTTTGAACGTGTTTGGAGAGAACACCAGTTGTGTGAAGAGCCCCGGGGCATAGTTGGCGGTCTTGTTGTTGTTGATGAAACGATAATATGATGACGTATTGACGACACTGCAATGTTAAGTTTAGATCACGAAACAGGAAGAGAAGGAACACAGGATAAAAGAGAAGGAGATCTATATCTGCGAGTTTGGTCGATGTTGCCTGTTATCGCTGTCTCTTCGGTTGTGTATTGCTTGCTGGCTTGCTTGGTATCTCAGTTCCTGCTGGCGCTCAGGTCGACAGCTTCACCTTGTTCTACACGGGAACTTCTTCATAGGCTTGGGATGTTTTTCCTTTTTCTTACCTGTCACGTTGATTGACGGACATGGCCTACTTTGCGTTGGGGGAAGGCTGTCAGAACATCTTATCCTGTCTCTTCAGATGTATACGACTTTGTTCTTGATGGATCGATGGATGGTGATGGTGGTAGCGGTAGACATGAATGGGACATGTCAACAGTCGGTTCCGCTTTTGAGGTTCAGCTGAGTTTATGAGTAACTATCTCTATCCCGCCGGCACAGATGCCAGGCTGTTTCGGCATTTTGTTTGAGATCATGTGTTTTGCTTTGTCTTTTCTGGCTTGAATGCTTTGCTTGCTTGCTTGACTTACTCCGTACTATGCGAGCAATGGCTATTTGGGAATGTGTATAAAAAGTCTGCCTTGGTGTTTTTGTGAATGCAATTTTACATTGCCACTGATCCAAACAAGTTTTCTCTGGTGTTGTTCTTGACTTGATCAGTTGACGTCCGTAAGAGGCATTGGATCCTATGAGGGGATATTGACGTCTTCGACAAGCCACAATTACCTTATGGTTCTATGAGTGCTCTTTGCCTCGTTCTGACCATCGATCTGGAGGTCGAGTCTGTGGGAGGAGAGGTATTCGTTCGCAGGGGGGCGCGACTTCGTACTCGTCGAGTGGCTGAGCGTCTTGTGGCAACCAATGACACTCATTTTCTACGCCACTCGACGCGTACGCAGTGTTACAGGTACAAGTACAGTGCAAGGCCTGTCTCGTTCCGGGAGATTGATTGGCCGATCATCGCATCAATCTTGTCAAGTTTGTTGTACTTGTGGCTCAGCTGGTGGTCAAGGTGTGATGGACTATTGACTGCCCACCAGGCCTAGAGGTAGAGAACCATCCACTGAGCGTCCCACTGGATTCGGCTGTACCCAGTGCCCAGAAAAAGGCTTACGGGACTCTTTGCGATGGCGAGGTAGTCATTGTGGGTTTTTTTAAACTTGTAGGTTTCTTCGATGATGTGGTTACTTTTGTTGGTCCCATTGTGAATTCCGTGTAGCATTGCCTCACCGGGCGACCAAAATTACGCGGCCGTTTGCTTCTGAGGAGTCAAAGACTGAAGGGTAAACCGCATGTTGCTCTCGGGCGTTACCTTTTTTTCTTGGGCCTTGGATGTAGAGCGAAGAAATGGCGGATATAATTACTCCATGCGGAATCTTGGTAGTTCGTAGCTTGTAAGTAGTCACAGTATAGTCAGTATGTACGGATTATCTGTGCGTACAGTAGGTATGGAGTAGGCTGTACTATACTCCGTACTAATACGTGAATAAGGCTGGGAAATGGCGGTGACAGTACTGTACAGTAGATCGGGCACTCCGTACTGTATGTAGGTCGACAAGACAAAATCTCAAACAAAGCTGTAACTCCCGAGTGATGGTGATCGTTCGGTGGTGCCTGGGATGTCTCTCCGTACGAGTAGAGTAACAAGGTACCCTAAACAAGTTGTTTAGGGGCGTCAAGTGGTGTTTGCTTCGGAGCCTCTGTCGCCCGGTATGCGCAGCCAAGCAGTGCTAAGCTTCGGGGCATCTCTTCAGCTTCCTGCCCGCCCCTCTCGTCACCTACAAATCGTCCCTGCCTACGACCTAATACTCCGTACTAGGAACCTAATTGCCATTGACTATTTTATTACTCTCAGACTCTTGTGTTCTCGCCTGCGACTTTCCCTCCTCCTCCTCCTCATCATCATCCCATCACCATCGCATCCATCCCCATCTCATTTCTCGTCTACACAGGGCACACGTTCGCCTTTGTACACTCGCTTCACCTCACCGTCTTCCAATCGTTCGCCTACCACCGTTTTCCATCCCGAGAGTAAAATTCCACCATGTCGAACCAAGGATATTACCAGCAAGGTCCTCCCCAGGGCGGCTACTACCCTCAGCAGCCACAGCAAGCGTAAGTCCTTCCCCTTTTATTTAATCTTTCTTCCCCCAGTCCTATCGCATGGCGCAGCGGTTGCACTTGTAGACACATCTTGACCGCCGTTTGTGTCTGGCCTCGCTGGAAGCGCTCAATTGGTTGCGCTGGGTGTGTCTGTTTGTGTACAAATCGCTAACATCATGGAAACATCCCCAGCTACGGACAATACCCTCAGCAAGGATACGGACCACCACCCCAGGGAATGTACCAACAACAACAGCCTCAACAAGTCGTTGTCCGTGAGAAGAAGGACCGCGGATGTCTGGGTGCATGGTAAGTACCTACGGGAACTTTGAATATACTCTCTACGCGAACCCCCGACCCGAGCTGACTTTTTCTGTGACATGACAGTCTTGCCGCCCTTTGCTGCTGTTTCGTCTGCGAAGAAGGATGTGAATGCTGCGCCGACTGCTGCGAATGCTTCGCCGACTGCTGTTAAACAAAGAGCGCTAGGCGATCGACACAGGTTGTCATTGATGCGCGAAGGAGGTCAAAGAAAATGAGAACTTATGCTATTACGGAGTTGGAGCTCTAGAAGATCCATCTCTCATGACAGACACACAAGGGGGGCTTGTACACAATTGTTACCAAACATACCGACATCAGTTGACCTGGGCAGTGGTGTCTGGGCTGGACGCAGGGAGAGAGAGGTACATTCAAAGGCCATAACTCCCGGCATTTTTATTGATTTTGGCGGTGTGAGATCGGGCGGAAGAGATTGCTACCATGGCTTTCCCTTGTGTACGGCATCACAAAAGGTGCGATATCCAAGGTAGCAGTGTCTTCAATGCGGAAATCCAGGTGTTTTTTTCTTCTCCTTGTTGTTTTTGCGAACCAATATCGTTTCTGCTTGTTTTTTGGTATTTCAACTAGGTAAATAAAGCTAGGCCAATTCATTCAACACAGGCCGCTCCGTCCTCAGCACGGCGTCTACCAAGGTTGAAGAGCGACCTTTTTGAAAGAGGTTTCCTTTCTGGCCGTAATCTACCTCTCTCTCACATATCGCTACCACAGTAAAGCTTTCCGGGAGAGTCTCTTTCTCCATCAGTTCCTCTTCCGGGAAAAAAGAGCAAAACTCCGTGGTCAAAGTCGAAATACTACCGAGTGCGTTGATCAGCAAGTACATGGATTTCTTTCCGACCGTTATCGTCATTGTGAAATTCGTATTGGACGGGAGTCAAAAAAACTACGCTCTCCATGGCAACGATTCAACAGCAAGGCTGTGTGTGACTTGGGGGGGACGCGACACACGACACAATACTCGGCAGTACTCTGGAACAATGATCACCATAGTGAACAAGTCAAAGCTCATGTCTTTGAATTCATGCCCTTTTCACTCGAAACCACTCACTTTAAGTGATAAGTGAGTGGCCAAGGTTCAGTTATAGACGTGGACAAGAGGAAAATTAGAGTTCGATCCTTTTTTTGGTCTTCCTTGTAATAAGACTAGGTCCTCCCAAGAATCAAAAAAAAAACAACGAGCATGCGTTGGGTATATGATGTTTGAACTCGACAAATTCCTCGAATGCATTTCAATTCCGTTTCGTCTTCAAGAATTATGAAAACCCCACGAACGGTATCCCCCTTTGGCGAGAATTGTTCAGTGTGCGGCCGACTGTAAACTTCCATATCTGCTATGCTGATCTTTATATATTCATTAATGATAGTAAGAAATTCGTCCTCCCTTCCAGTCTGGTTGCGATCTTGACAATTCTTGTCCTGGTGCTTGGTCGAGGTCCTACTTGACCAAGCTTGCGGCGGCAGCCGCAGTGGCGAGGTCAGATCTTCCACTCATGGTCCGTTGACCGACAGTCAATCGCGTGAAGCTGGGATTCGAGGTCGAAGAGGCCATGGCAGCGTGAGAGGCTCTCTTCGCCTGAGATGTTCCCTGTGAAGCTGGAGGCATTGTCGACTGGCGCCTTGCTCCGGGCTTATTGGGAGATGTTTCTTGTCGATTTCCTCCAGGGGCTTTCAAGGTGCTAGACGGGGGCTGTGGCAGAGGTCTGGCTCCGCCGGCTGTATTGACAGAATTTACTCTTTTGATGGGAGTATTTACGGCCGAAAGGTTTCTCCGGCTGGCACTGGGCATCTTGACACCAGTAATGAACTCGTGCTTGTTTGCTTCCGCGGGGTTCATTCTTCGGCTGGGATCCCATCTCAGACACTTCGCGATAAAATCGAGGAATGCCTCATCGTCACATTTGAGGACTTGTCTCAGGTCTTTCGAGCTGGGTCTCCTCCTTCGTCCCTTCGAGGAAACCGTCACTCGTGGCTTGCCCATCGAGTCAAAGAAAAGTTTCTTGCGGCTGCTCTTTTCGATCAGGTGCTTTTCGGGCGGGCCAAAGACTTCCATTATACAAGCCAGCTGCTCTTGTTCATTCTCGCCAGGGAAAATGGGGTAGCCAGTATAGAGCTCCGCCAGAATACATCCGACACTCCACATGTCTATCGGCATGCCATAGGACATTCCAAGAATGACTTCGGGAGATCGGTAAAACCGCGACTGAATATAGGTGTACACTTTCTCGTTCTCGAAACAACTAGAGCCGAAATCAATGACCTTGATTTCAGAATGAATGGGATGCGCCAATAAGATATTCTCAGGCTTCAGATCGCAGTGAATGACTTTATGTTGTTGCAGAAGAATCAGAGTTTGCAGGAGTTGTTTCGTGAATCGTCGAATAAGTTTCAGGGAGAATCCCCGGAAATCGTGAGCTTTGATGAATTCGTAAAGGTTCATACCAAGTAGGTCGGTGGATATACAAAGGTGGCCACGGAAGTAAAAGCTTTGGTCGAAATTGACCACGCTATACTTTTTGTGAGGGTCCTGATTAGATACGTTAGCGAAGCGTATAATGCGGGCACGATTTCACCTACCCATTCTTTCAGCTTCTGGAGGATGTTGACCTCCACAAGGGCTTGCTGGTGGAATCTTTTCTTGTTTCGGATGATCTTGACGGCAACAAGAATGCCGGTCTTGTGATCGACACAACGGACGACTTGACCAAAGCTACCCTTTCCGAGCACGTCGACAACCTCGTATCGGTAGGCCAGATGATCACCTTCAATGATATTGTAGTCACCTCGCTCATCATCATAGCCGAAGTTTGAGGATGCAGATTTCAAGTCGCCCACGATTTTTCGTGCGCTCAATGTGCCCGTGAAATATATGTCAGCATAGTCGACAATTTCGCCACGCTCAAAGATATTGAGGTTGAAGATCCGTGACGCAGTCTCATGGGGCATGCGGCGAACAGGCTTAGCTCTGGCCTGCAGGGCATCAAGTTGGCGTGCAGCAGATTCGAAATCCTTTCTCTTGTGAGCCAACTTCTTCATTTCATCTTCAGCAGCCATGTCATCTCGATCTAGAGCTGGCTCCTGTTTGGGTGGAATGATTTTCGGGCCTAGCAGATTAGGAGCACTCGCGGACAAAGAGCCTGATCTGTTGGAATGAATCATAAGTGTCCTGGTTGCCTCCATCGACGGACGAGTCGTTGATATTGTACTATCAATGCTGTCCTGTCGTTCCGGTACGAGCTTGATGCTTGAAGTAGAGGTCTGACGTCTGGATCTAATATAGGACGGTTTTTGAGGACTGGAGCTGTTTGCGTTGGTGTTTGTCCAACTGGCGGAGGCTGGAAGCTTGGGAGGAGGCATGTTGTCATATTTCGCCAGCTCGTCCTCTTGCACATTGCGCTCTACCGCCTTTGCTTCACTCTTCTTGCGGCTCAACTTTCTCCTCAGTACCGCAGTGGAGAATACAGACTCGCTCTCAGGCTGCTTCTCAACAGGACTTGGTGTCACTTCAGCTTTGGGTGTAACAGAAAAGCTCGGGGCTCTAGGTCCGTTTGGCTTGGCTTGACTTGGATTTCTATGCAGTTGCTCCGTGATAAAATTGGGTCGCATAAAGTTTGAGAATTCATCTGGTTTGGGGACGGATGACGAAATAAAAGGTGAAATGTTCCGATTGCTGGACTTTTCCTCGAAGGCGAATGCGGGCAAACTTGGGCTGATGTCACTAGGTGGCCGCAACTCGTCTGATCGAAGAGCATGATGTGAAGTACTACTTCGTAATGTTAAGCTCTCGTCGGTAGACTTGTGCCCTCTGGAGAAGAAGCTGGCCTTGGATGCAGTCATTGGAGTACTCGGAGTTTTCATTATGGCACGATTTCCCGGGGGTGTTCCAGGTTTCTCACCAAGCTCTGATTTTCCATTGAGCGACTTGATCTTTGCAGATGTTGGTGTACTCAGAGGAAGCAAATTGAGAGGAGGTAACCGGAGGCTCTGAACATTCTTTTTCCCTGCCTTGGCTTGTGGCTTTGGCTTTGGCTCTGTTTCGGGCTGCAGAGATTGCGTGGGCATATTCGGAGGCGGGCTTGGAACTCGGGGCGTTTCCAGCGCCTTCATAGCGTCGTCAACACTCGAGACAATCGGACTCACAGGAATTGGAGCATCAAACGGTGGCAGACTCGATGATCTGGCCGAGAAGAATGGCTGGTCTTGTTCACTTCCTGGAGATTCATACGCCTTCGGTATAGCAGGGACGGGTGGTACTTCCAGCTCGAAATTACTGCTGGTAGAGATATCGAGGCGAGGTTTCGGTGTTGGGAGTCTCGAAGAATTCATCACTTGAGATAACCTAGCGACGTTGTTGACAGTGTTTTTGACCGAGTTGTAGCTGGTATTTGAGGATAAAGACTGCCCAGAGCTGTATGATTTGCGGTTTGGATCTGGTGTAGTTCTCGAAGATGATGGTGTCAGACTCTTGCGACTTGGGATTCCTGGTGATTGCAAGTCTGAAGACGGTAGTTGAGGCACTGGGTCCGGCTGAGGTGTGGGTGGTGCCTGCGAGATTCGGCTCTGGGGAAGAGGTGGTGCGGGAGGAACGATGGACATCCTCTGCCTCCGTCGAGCATCAGTTGGGCTTACAGTTCTGGCACCCAAACCCGTTGCATGATGGGGCATTACTGATATTCGACGGTTACGATCACTATTACCTCCTGGTGTTGTTGTTCTTCCCGGAGTTCCACTTCTTCTGGTTGGAGTATGATGGGCACTGGGTGTTGACCTTAAGGGATCAGGAGTTCTTGATGGCGTGAGTAGATCTTTTGACGCTTGCCTCTTGGGTGCTAGAGAAGCTCGTCCTTTAATTGTGCCACCTGTTCTTGTGTCTTCAGAGCCGCTTTCTTCTGCTCTATTGACACCTCTAACGGGTAGACTTTTGATGCTTTCTGCGCTTGACTTTCTTCCACCGGCGCTGGGTCTTCGTTTCATTCCTGATTTGTCCGTTAATCCAGGAGGGATAAATGTGCCGGGACCGACAGATTTCCTAGGCGCTTTCGTGGTGGTGCCTGCGTTATTGAACGAATTGGGCGGGAAATGGCTTTGTCTTCTCCCTCGTAGTCCTGATTGTGTGCTACCGGTCATCGACGCCGAGCCCCCGGAATTTCTCGACGCTGTAGATGCCGTCGAATTTTTCCTAGCAATAGGAACTGTCCCCTGCCCTTTGCGTGAGGGCACGGGAATGGCGGGTTGTGGTGCAGGTTTCTTGCCTTCTGAAAGTGTCTCTGACGATGGAGGTTTTTTGATGGAAGTGCCTCTTCGGGGAAGTGGGAAATTGTTCAGATTGGGTTCTGTGCCCACTATCGTGTCTTGGAAGTCATCGAAGTTGAAAGTCGGTTCGAGGAAGTTGCCAAAGTCCAGAGATCCATCCCCCTCTTCCTGCGCCGACGGCTTGGCCTGTATGGATGCGAAGCTGAAGCGAGAAATGTCGTTGATGGATAATTCGCGGGTGTAAAGATCTTGGGAGGCGACGGCGGACGGGCCTCGTGAGGAATTGAACTGCGGCGTCATAGAGTTGCTGACGGACCTGTTTATATCACGGCAGGAGTTAGTCGAGGAAGGTGTTTTGGGTAGAGCGTACGGGCCACCACCAACCTTTTCCCCATCCCATGGTCCAGTGGACGCGGGCCCATGGGAGCTTTGGCGCTCGGTATTGACGACTGCCTTCGGCGGGAACTAAATGTTGACGCGGTGCTGGCATTGTCACCACCATCACGTCGTGTAGCTATCGAGGCGGACGAAGTTGGGAAGGCCGAGGGAGGCTTCTTCGGTAGGAGATTTTCTGCTGCAAGATTGAACGTGGTCAGCCAGGATTGATCTGCTGCATTCCTGCTTTGCATGCAGTTCGTACCACCATTGTCCGAGTCATCGGTTCTGACAGGATTAGAATATTTCGACTGGCTCGCGGTCGAGGTTGGATGTTGTCGGTAAGGCATCGTTACAACGGCCGTTCGGAGCCCGCGGGCAGTGTGATGAGGGAAGCCTTCTCTTTCACATACAGCCCGAGTGTCTCGACATTGAACACCCTCAGAGGTGCTCGCTCAGTCCATCTCCAAGGTATTGAGGATTGAAAGGTGTTTAGGTCAGACGGGCGTCGTCGCGACCAGGCAATGCAGGTGACCGGGGTGCAGATACGGGAGTACTGAAGGATGATTCGACCAGTCGAACGGCTGTCCTGTGGCACTGGCAGGGGATGCAGACGCGCGAAGTGGTATGCCGTCAGGGGACCACGAAGATCCGAGGATCTGATAACGCAGCTAAAAGAGAAGAAATGCTGAGTGGTTGTAGTTATGGAGTAAGTGAAGTGCTGTAGAGTATTTTCACCCTGGAGACCAAAAGCGAATTCGATGCGGTGACAACAGCAGGTAATAATCCACGGCTTTTGCTTGCTTTGTTCACTACGGCAATGCTAGTACCTAGAAACTATCGTGTATGGAGGACCTTCAGGCGCTCGTTGGCGGAAAGCCTCAGCGCGGGACAGGGGTAAGTCAAGCCAAGTACTTTTTAGTGGCCTCGCGTTTTCTAGCCTTCGTACCTGCAAGACTGGACCTCTAACATCTGCCAGGCTTGCATTGGACCGTATGATCGACTGCTAGCAGGGAAGCACTCTCTGGCTCCTGGGTTCGCCATTGTTTGGTTTGCATCTAGGGAGTTTGGGGCACAGGGTGGACAATCAACACTGCCTACGCCGCCTTATTTCACTACTACAAGGCACTGAAACTACGGATATTCCTGTACAGTATCCGTAGGGTTATCAACATACAGTGCAATATTTGTGTGCTCGCTTGCTGCAAAGTGTCCACAAATCATTAAAAGATTGTTGTCGTCGCTGTTTAATCTCGCTCGATGCTTGTGTCGGAGATTTAGTTAACCATCTTGCCACTTGGTGAACACACCAGATCTGCGCTTTCTCCAGAGTTGCACAGTAGCGAGGTTGGGTTTGATCGCTGAAGGGCCAGTGAGTGGGATGCTTCATAGTTAGCCATGCTCCCGAAAACCTATCTTCGACTCTAAAGACGCATGGCGATGGCTTCTGCTCTCGTTTCGACCCCCTGACTTGGACCCTTTAAGGGCCGGCGATGACTTCGAGGCGTCCGGTGGAATAAAGCCACAGCGCCAAGTGAAGTGGCGCCCAGTTGTCCACGTGATGTGGCTTGCAACATGTCAACACGATGGCTACCAGTCTCGAGTCCCTACTTACTACCGGACTACTTGGAAAACTTGTTGTTTTATTTGTTCTGTCTATATCCTCCGCCTTGCTGAAAGGGCCTATGGATGGATAGTTCGGAACCCTATTGCCCTTCTGGCTTAGAATAGTGATCTCATCGACTGTGTCTCAAGGGAGGTTGATTATTTCTCCAGCATATCCGCTCAACTTTTTCAGTTCTTCAGCACTACCAATGGCAATGACTTCAGAGTAGTCCTCGTTCGGCCACAGCGGAATGGATGTTCCCCAGTATCGACTTCGGGAGAGATTCCAGTCGCGAGCGTCTTTGATCCATTCTCCAAAGCGTTTCTCCTTGACAGGGTAGAGCTTCGCCCGTGAAAATATGGGATGAGCCTCACATCAAATCCTGAATCAATTGCGTCGGAGCGCGGGCTGCGGTAGCTACAAAAGTGCATGTGCTATCCAAAGGTCGAGCCATTCTCTCAAAGGGAACATCTCCGATCTTGGCTTTTCGATCCTATTGCCCGAGATCAATCCGCAATGTTTCGTGGCGACAAGGGTCGGCGTGTGCCATGATCGTTTAAAGGCCGACTTCAAGGCGGCGATGGGGAACATGGACAGGATGCCACTCAGATGCTGGGAAAAGGTCTGGAAAATCATTGATACTTGAGATCAAGGTACTAGTACCCAGCCAAAAGTTGATTCCTTACTGCATTGGATCTCGCATAGAGTGACTGAATGCTAGGGTAGACACTTGTAGAACATAACATTAATTATCGCGTTACATACTTAGATATCTCTCTCGCAGTACTCGCAAAAGACATTCACTTTTAAGAGCGGAATCGAGTCTCGAAAAAGAGAACGAACTCATATCGATATCAATAAATCTTCCGTAAACTGATCTGAACATATCAGCGCACAAATATCCAGATCAACGAATAGATGCACTAAAGTGACAACAAAGTATGTACCGAATAACCCCTTGTAAACTTCACAAGGGAAGGTTCCGGATTATTGTTTCTCCGGACTACCCAAGCAGATGCAGGACCGTCGTGGTCCTATTGGCTAGTGTGGGGAGGCATGTAAACAAACCATTTCGAGTGTAAATAACCCTCAAAGCAAGGCGGCGACAACCTCAAAAGCACAGGAGATCTTTCAACTAAGCAAAATGTCGGTTGGCGAGATCTTTTCTGACGCGCAGAGATCTCTTGTTGGGCACAAGACTCTTGCAAAACGCCTTCGCCGACTCGAAAACACGCCCAATTTTGAGGCGCATATCAAGCAATGCATCTTCCGTCTTTTGGACGTCAGCAAATCCGAAGTTGCAGGCAACAGAGTCATCAAATTCCTCACTGTGTATCTCGAAGCGGCCGAAGCGACCAACCAAAGCACGTCGTCCATACTTCTCGCGCTGCTCCCGTTCCTATGTGCCAAAGACAAAACCGTCCGGTACAGAGCCACACAGCTGGTGTCGCAAATCCTGGGAGTTTTGAGCACCATCGACGACGATCTGTACAAGGTGATCAGGCACGAACTGATTAAGCGCCTACGGGACAAAGTGCCTGCGATCAGGCTGGAGGCAGTTTTGGCACTGGGAAGATTGGTGGAGAATGAGATGGAGGACGAGGATGAAGAGCAAGACTCCGATGAAGATGTGGCCCCAGGCTTGCTGGAGAAGCTCCTGGATGTGTTGCAGAATGACACCAACGCCGACGTCAGAAGGGCACTTTTGCTCAACCTGCCCGTCACGCCCAAGACACTACCATACCTTCTCGAAAGGGCGAGAGACCGTGATGGACCGACCCGTCGGGCACTGTACTCACGCCTCCTGCCGAACCTGGGTGACTTCCGACACCTGTCCCTGTCCATGAGAGAAAAACTCTTGAGGTGGGGTTTGAGAGACCGCGACGAGAAGGTCCGCAAAGCCGCCGCCCACTTGTTTCGAGCGCGGTGGATTGAGGACTGCGTCGCCTCCCGCAGCGAGCAAAGTGACGAAGAGAAGAAAGAACAAAAGGGCTTTTACCCACCCAACATTCCGGCGCTTCTGGAACTTCTTGAGAGGATAGACGCCTTGAACACCGGCAACGAGGCCGGCGTCGGTCGAGAAGCCATGAAAGAATTCTGGGCGGGGCGGCCTGACTACATGGACGCGGTCACCTTCGACGACGAGTTTTGGGACACTTTGACTCCGGAATCGGCCTTCATGGCACGCACGTTCAACGATTTCTGCCAGCAGTCCCAAGATCAAAAGCATCAAGTCATGATCGAAGAGAAGATGCCAGAGGTGACCAGACTCGGATTCCACCTGCAAAAACACATCAACGAGCTACTCGTCAAGGTCCAGAACGCCATCGAAACCGACAGTGACGAGAAGCTGGCCGAACAGGCCGAGCAAGAATTCATAGTCGAACAACTCCTCTACATCGCCCAGACGCTCGATTACACCGACGAGGTCGGTCGGAGGAAGATGTTTTCGCTACTCCGCCACGCGCTATCCATGGCGGACCTTCCGGAGGAGTGCACCCGGCTCGCGGTCGAGGCACTTCGCCTCGTCTGCAACCCCGACGCCGCGGGAGAGCGAGAATTCACGTCCGTCGTCCTCGAAGCCATCGCCGAGGTTCACGATAACATCGTGTCCGACGAGGGAGAAGAGGAAGGTGCAGACGCCGACGGCGACGATGATGCGAGCTTCGTGTCCGCCCGCAGCGAAGTGAGCGACCCGGATTCCAACGCGACGCCCAAGAACAACAACGGCTCCACCGGCAAGAACAAGAAGAACCAAAACCTCTCGGAAGAAGAGCAAGAGGCCCAGGCCATCAAGGAGATCGTGATCAATATGAAGTGTCTGCACATAGCGCAGTGCATGCTCCAGAACGTCGCCGGCAACCTCCAATCCAACATCCACCTTCGCACCATGTTTGACAACCTTGTCATACCGGCCGTCCGGTCTCACGAGGTCTTGATCCGGGAGAGAGGCGTGCAGTGTCTAGGTCTCTGCTGCCTCCTCGAACCGAAGCTCGCGGACGAGAACATGCGTCTGTTTACGCATTTGCTCAAAAAGGGTCACGAGACCTTGCAAGTGATGGCGCTTCAGATCCTGTGTGACATCTTGATGGCTAGAGGCCCTCCCAGTGCATCTCAGTCACAACCCACGACGGTCGAAGGTGGCGGCGGCGGCGGCGCCGCATCACCCAACAACAATAACGCGGACTCCGCAGGAGATGGGGAACAGACGAACACTGCGGCTGGCAACGCCAACACGAACACCAACATGACGAGTCTCCTCTCACCCTTCATCAAGGCTCTATCCCCCAACTTTGTCGAGGAGGTCCGCGCCACCGCCACGAGTAGCTTGTGCAAACTCATGCTGTGCGGCTTCTACAAGGAGAACGAGGAGTTGTTTGACCAGATCGTTGAGCGGGCGATGCAGCTCGGCGCAAAGGGATGGGAGTTGTTGGAAAAGGTCAAGAACGCCGTCGTGGTTGACAGGGAAAAGGAAAAGTTGTTGGAGAGGGAGGAGGAGGAAAAGGGGCGCGAGCTGCTACAACCTCCTCCCACGGCCACAGTCGGTCCGTTCGGGGCGGCGTCGACTAGACTGAGCGCCGCCGCCGACGATGGGGCCGCGACAAACAACGATCATGGCGGCGGCACAGGGAGCGCCCGCACTTCGGATGGTGTCGTTGTCGCCGCTGACGGCAAGACGAGACTCAGTAGTGGCGGCGACGGTGGTGCCACAAATGCCGTCGACGTTGATGCATAGGACAGACACATGAGGTGTTTTCTTTTTGTTGTGCTTTTGACTCGGTTATGATTTGGTGCTTTTTTTTGCGTTTTTTGCGTTTTTGGACAGTTTTACTCAAGATATCGTCGTTTCTCAGCAACATACCTTGATACTCTTACGGTGGTTCAGTAGCGTGTTGGAAATGAATATGAATAATACCTACTAATAGGTACATTTATCTCTTCCCGTCACCTTGTACTTGAACCACTCACCTCTTCAGAAGCTTTTTGTACTCTCGCATTTACATACAGAACAATACAGTACAGGAAACTACTCGCTCCTACAAGGATGGGGGGGTTTTAGGGGTTCAATGGTTTTAAAAGAGAGTAAGGTCTCCAAAGGGGTATCAGATTAATTCTTGTGAAAAGCCCATCCTAACCTGTCTGTTCGCATGGTGGACAAAATGGCACTTTCTTGGTTGGAGCAACGACGTCGACCCGTACAAATTCCAAGCTATTGTTACAAGATGCCCTGCTTCTGAAGGTCCAGGTAGATCCTCTCGGGCATGACGTTACCCTCGCCGTCCTCCATCTGGACGACGCTGTCCTCGTTGCTCTCCTGGTCCCGCTTCTCCCGCCTGATCTTCTCCCAGAGGGCCAGGGCGTCCTGGATGCCGGTGATCTCGCGGAACAGACTCAACCCGCCGGTGCCGGCGCCGGTGATGCCCAGGCACTTGAGGCCGTAGATGTGCCGGGCCTCGCTAAAGTGTTTGTCGAAGGCCCGCCGGCCCATGTACACAAAGTTGCCGCAGATCTCGCAGGTGAACTCGACCCCCAAACCGTGCAGCTTGTACAGCCAGTACGGGATGGGTTTGCCGTCCCAGGCCAGGGGGAGTTTGAGGGGGTTGTAGATCTTTTCGTCGCCGTCGGACTCCGAGCCGGAGTCGTCGCCACCGCCGGTGTGGAGTCGATGGCCGCGCTGGGACGCCGCCAGCACCGCAGCGTCGTCCTCGGCGAAAAGGGCGTCGAGTTCCGCCTGCCGCTCTCGCTCCGTCATGCCCTGTTTGCGCTCGACGTTGACCCGCGTGTTGCTGCGTTCGTTGGACAGCATGTCTGCCAGTGCCCGCACGCGGTGTTCGTGGGACGCTATCACTCGTTCCTTCAGCTTTGTGCCGGACAGGGAGATCGCCGCCGAGGGGTTTGTTGTGGTTTGTCCATTCGCTGTCTGTGTCTGAGGTTTCTTGGCTGCGGCGTTGCGAATGTGCTTTTTGCCCGTCAAATGGGCCTTGTACACGTTTTGATTGCTAAACTCCTTTTCGCAGTCAGAACACCATATTCCCGCGCCCGTGCCTTCTGTTTGTGGTCCACTACCAGCAGTCGCTGATGCACCCGGTGCTGTTTCTTTCGTCCAACCTGGGACGGTGCCCGCCTCCCAGGAGGTCTCAAAATCTCTGTCGAGACGTAAAAAGATCTTCTGGAGATCGTCCAGTGGTCGCGTCCGCCGTACGAAACCCTCCAGGTAACTGGCCAGATCCGCCACATATTTCAGGTAAGTATCCGTCACTTTGTTCTGTCTCTTGATGGGCATCCGTGGGGCTTCGAAGGCGTCAAAGTTGTCGAGATACTGGAGGTAGCTGAGACGCTTCACACCAGGTAGATTGAGGTAGTCTTCGTGTAGCGACGTGAGATCGAGGAAGCGACCGTTTGACTCTTCCCCGGTAAACATGTTGTCAATCTCCGAAACCACAGGCTCACCCTCCTCAGGTCGTCTCCTCTTGTATGCGCGCTCGAGATTTTCGACGGCCTCGTTGGGATATCGACGATGAAAGTCCTTGACCTCCTCTAGTTGCTTGTAGAATTCGTCGAATGGATCTCCCGCCGTCAGACCTTGGACTTCTCTGAGTCGCTCGCCACCAGCATCTTTGTAGATGTTGATTAATCGCTTGGACTGCTCTTGAACTCGCGCGAGGAAATTGTTGACTTGATGGTCCCGGTTGAGTCTGTCTTTAATCTGTGGGTTTGCGTCAGTGTTTGTATCTCGAGATATTCTAAAAGCACGTACATTTCTCGGGTCTTCTGCCACACGTTCGGAAATGGCTTGCTCCAGGCGCTCCAGATCCTCATGGAGGAATCTCTGTTCCTCTAACAACATGGTTCCTGGAAAGAAGGCGTATATCGGGGTCGGAAACGTTACTGCCACAACATCAACGTTTTGTTTCTAGCTTCTGGTCTGCCGCAGTCTCAAAAAGTCTTTCGGAGGCGGGTCTATTTTGATGCGGAGAAAATGGTGCCGCTTTTACGGGTCTTGCACGTGAGCATCTTTCCTAGTTGAATCACCTCCTCTACACTTTTTCGTTCTCTCCATTGCAATGTATTTTTCACAATACTTGCCTACTCACAAAAGTGTGCGTCGTTGACTTAACGTTGACTCCGTTTCACGCGACCCGCCTGAAAGATCAAATCAGTTCATGAGACGCGGGTCCTGTTAAGCGGGCCAAAGACTCCGCGCAGTTGCAGACGAGTTCCGCATGATGTTTGCGTTGAATGGATCGGTCTGACTTCGTGAGAGTAAACTCAGCAGAGAAGGACATCGTGTTATTCAGTACAGATCCTTGCAGATGAGTACTTCTTTCATCAGCAGTTGCCACTATTGGGCCTACTTTCAACAACCAAGTGTGGCTCACAATGATTCATCGCGACATTGCTCTTGGTGCATTATCTTGACAGTTGAAACCATTACCTAGAGCACCGAGACCCAATCATGTGTTGGTCACTGATAGCACAAAGGTTTGGTTATTCGTGAGGGAGATAATACCATGTTCTATGGCTCTTTGATGCTTGCAGAACAGACGTTTGCATTTCCAAATGGTTAGATATTGCAACCAACACTAATGCGCTGAAACTATCAGATGTCCACCCTAGATTCTTTTCTTCAAATATACTTCCAAACCCTCTTGGACAACGAAAAAGGTCGAATGATACTCCAAGGGTCGTCCTGGGTGTACAAGCTTGATGTCGAATTCCCTCAAGATCTGGATCAAAACCTTGTTCATTTCAAAAAGTGCAAGATTTCGCCCTATGCACAAATGGCTGCCACCTCCGAACTATTTCGAGTTAGCGACTTCAGAGATTTGACGGACTTCTGATCTGGTGACACTTACGTTGTACAGATGACCACCCATCAATTTTGCGTCCTTTTCGAACCAACGTTCAGGACGGAACTCGTCGACATCTTCGCCAAAGATGGACTTATCACGGTGCAACACCCATCCATTCACAGCCACTTCGGTGCCCTTGGGGTAGTACCTGCCATCGATCATGATACCCTCAGGAGGCACGTTGCGGTAGATACCCAAGCCGACAGCCGGTCTTATCCGGAAGGTCTCTTTCAAACAGGCCTGGAAATAGTCCAGTTTCTGGGCTTCAGCGTAGGTGACGATTTCGGACAGCTGACCTGATTTCTGTGCCTCGTCGACTTCCCTCTGCAATTTGGCATAAACGTCAGGCTTGTTCAGGACGGAGTAGAAGAATGACTGCATTGTCGAGGCAGTTGAGTCGGATCCTGCGAACCTATCGAAACGTCAGTATACTCACTTCGGCCTTTGGTCTCGAACATGAACTCACACAGCGCCGTGGGCGATACTGAAAACATCTTGGACGCTGAACTTGTCCGGGCTGCCATCATGTGCTCTAAGTAACTCAGCCAACAAATCGATACCGGTTGAATCGTAAGTGCCGTCCTTCTTTTTGCGCTTCTCGAGCTCAGCAACGGCAATCTTGGTCATGGTCGTAGGCTCTGGCTTCCAGAATGGCAGGTATGGTCGAAGAGGGTTGTTGCGAAATAGAATGTCGGTCTCTGGGATTTGACCGACAATGCCATCATACCACTGAACATCGTCGATATTCTTGATCGAACCTTCGATATCGACTTCGGCATCCAAGAAGCCAAAAGATTTGGAGAAAGCAACCTCTCCCAACACCTGTGGCGACTTGTCAGCAGTGGACGCAAAAGAGGGAGGAATCAGCTTCATACGTCGAAGGCGAAATAGTGGAGCAGGTTACCCAGATTGCAGACTCTCTTGGAGTCATCTGCATACTTGATCAAATGCTCCATAAGAAGCATGATCATACTCTCAATCGGGCCCGATCGTTTCTGCATCTGTGCCAGGCTGTAAGGAGTGACAGCGTAACGCTTCATCTGAGCATGCTTCCATTCTCGGACTTCGGTGAAAATATCTGGTGCGTGCTGAACATTGGTCAGACATGATCAGGTCACGAGCTTAGGCTTCTCTCTCTCACCTTGGGAGGAAAGACACTGTAGAACATGGTCTTGTGGAAACCCTTTCCCACCGCAAAGATATCTTTGGCAGCGTTACAAGTACCAAAGGATACCTCGTTGGGTGACGTTCGAACAATCGGTCCTATGCAGGTCAGATAGGGGTCCTTCTTTGCCGTCCGAAGTCTGTAGAGGGTCTTACCATATTTCTTGTGGAGAGCTATATGGTCAAGTTCGGTATGCCCGTTATAAGTACTCCATACTATGGATGATTCGTCAGTACACCAGTGCTTCGACCGTCTTCTGGGGGATGGCTACCTTTCCACAACCTCGTGCACGACGCCAGGAATGGCCCTGGCACGTCTCGCAGCGGAGAAGCGTATCTCTTGTACAGGGCTCGAACGACAATGGCCAGGAATGTGACGAGAATGAAATGTGCTTTCGCAAAGATCAACACCTGTGCCACCAGAGAGTTATCGGGCGACGACTTGACGTTGTCCATATTGGCGAGGCGAGGACACACGGCAAAAAGAATTCGCGATATCACACTTTGGTGAAGACGGAGAGGTCAAGATAGGAAACCAAGGGGGGTGGGAAACATTGAGCGGCGGCGTGGTCTTTGATGGTATATATCATCTCACCGGACATTGGTTCGATCGACTGCCGATGTCTCTCTGACGGCCAGATCCCATTGCATGTGTCCATGTCTTTTTTTCCTTTCCGGAGGGCTTTGATCCATATTGTCACCTGTTGCAACGCCCCCCAGGCGAATGCAAAGGAGGCATCCAAACTGTACTGGGTAACTATGTGAGCCCCACGCTACCTCCTCATCGGAAAACACCCATTTCCACTTCGGCAGTGGCACTGATGCCCAGCGAGAACACCCAGGAGAACAACTAGGCTTCCCAGGGCGTGTGGGGTACTCCATTTCCCTCGCCAGCAACAGCTACGAGTACTTGTACAGTAGGTCTGTAGCCCCCCAGTAATGACTTTGGGAACGACGCCATTGGCACACCATTTGACCCCACGAAATGTCAACTCCAGGCGGGCTGGGCATCTTACGGGCTGGGTTTTAACGCAGCACTGGGCATTGATTTCCCCAGAGACCACTCCCAACACTCATGTTATTCCTGCCCCGCACAGAGGTTTAAAGACCCAAGGATTATTTGCTAGGGTCATGCAGGCACAGACGCAACGACGCTCGCCTTGCCATCTCGGCGAAGAGGTGCTGTACAATGGCAACATCTTGTTCCAAGGCTAGCCACCGATTCTCACAGCATACCCATACATATGCTCGTTCAAGAGAAAACCGAGGTCGATGTTGCCTTTGAAGTATCGGCAGAACCTCCTCATGAACCAAGATCACTCCTGATCGTTATCTCAATGGTGCTTCAAATGGAGTCGACATGGCGGTAGAGATATATGGTGATTCCCTGGACTCGTCATAGCTTCTACGGAGATTCTCATGCTGCCTTTACTTATTGAACAAGTGTATTCATATGCTTCTAGAACACTGCGGGCTGACTAGAGGTACTGACGGGGTACGCCAACAACCACTTTGTACTTTAGCTGCACGTGGCGTACTGGGATGTATTGTATGTATGTTGCATCGAAGGTGCTATTTGTGGAAAACGCCACAGCATCATCCCATGGTTGTTATTGTTAGCCTTTGTTACACGCCCGTCTTCCTATCGTCAGATGACTTGATTCAGTACAGTTGCAACCTCAGCTCCATGAATCATGTCAAGGTTGATCTGAGCTTTGCCCAACATGCGGGGGCTTTTCGAACAAGGAGCACCTATCATGGTATTGTAAAAAGCTGAAGCCTAATGGGCCGATCACAGAGTGAGCCTTATCGACAAGGGGATCGACCAGGCCAAGCCTCCCAAGGCTGAATCGTACTCGTATGAAGCCTCCGAGTAATAAATACCTGTTGCCAACTTACCTTATTTCCTGGGGTTTGAGGACAAATACGACTACGAAGGAACTCCTTTAATTCATACTGCAAACTCCTATTCATCATATTGTAGGTCTTGAGAATATTGGTGAAGAAGACTACAATGTCAACGCCATACCAATACCCATAAAACATTACACGACGTAACCTACCGCCTTTTCACATCACTCCCCATCCATGGTGAGAGAGACGACCTTCCACACCAACTCACATTGAAATCTTCAAGTCATGGGTTTGACCAAAGTCACCAACTCCCCCGGTCTGTCCATCCACCTCGACAACCCTCGGCCGGTCTACTGTCCCGGCGACGTCATCAGCGGTCAGGTGTCGCTGCACACCGCCGCGGAGTGTGCCATCGGCACCGTGGCCTTGTCGTTCTGGGGAAGGGCAAAGACCAAGATCATCCAACAAAACGGCCAGTCGGCGAGCGTCTACCGCGGACGCACGAGGTACTTTAGCGTCGACCACACCCTCTACACGGGGCAATACACGCACAAGCCGGGCTCGTTCGGTTGGCCCTTTGAACTGACGGTGCCCGGCCAGGCGGACCCCCGGTGTATCTTGTCCGGCCATAAATGGAAACCCAAGGACCACTTCCGCACAAACGTCGTCGACACTCCGGGAGACCTCGACCTCACACTCCCTCCGACCACGTTCAATTCCCGGCACCAGGCCCGGAAGGTCGACTGCTTCGTCGAGTACGTCCTCGAGGCGTCGCTGACCGAGCCGCAAGACGCCCACCGGTTCCGCGGCCCCAAGACCAAAACGTCGACGCTGCCCGTCACCTTCCAACCTTTACCCAGCCCGGAACCCATCCGAAGCTTCGACTTGGCCCCCGACGGACCACCTCGCCTCGTCACCATCTCGACCCTCAAACTGCTCCCCGAGCACGCCGGGACCAACCTCGGCCTCCGGGACCGCGCGCGCTCCCTGTTCCAACGGGACTCGATCCCCCGGTTTTCGTTCCGCCTGAGCGTCCGAGCCCCGACCACGATCCAGTCCTCCCACCCGGCCCCCCTTCCGTTCATCCTCGGGGTGGAACCGGACCTCGACGATCCCAACACCACGACCGTCGTCGGCGCCTCTTCCTCTCCGGTCGTCACGCTCCGCTCCTTCAAGGTCGACCTCAAGACTCACGTCCGGTGTCGAGCCGTGGCCACCTACGCGGATGACAAGACCTACGAGGTTTCCCTGTTGAATCTGAAAAATTTGGACCAAAGACTGCTCCCGCCGGACTCGACGGCTACAAAGACCTTTTCCAATTCCATCTCTTCCTCGTCGACGTCGCCCAACACGATAGATCTGGGCTCCCTCTACGACCTGAGAGTCGGCGGCGCCACACTCGGGTCCCGCCTCGAATCCCCCCTGTGTCCCAACTTCACCTCGTACAACGTTTCGCGAGAATACTTTTTGGTTTGGGAGATCGAGGTCGAGTGTGCGGAAAAGACGCAAAAGTTCTCTTCCACGAAACACGGCACGCCATGCGAGGTTCTTTTGCCTCCCGCCACGGCCAGAATGGATGGTTATGACGACGACAACACCACCAGCAACAACATCAACCTGGGAGTCGCGCTCGAGAGTTGTCGAATTTCGACAGGAGAAAACCACGCAAACACCTCTCGAGGACAAGTCGACGGTAGAAAAAGGTCAAGCGAGAAAGAAAAACCCGGCTTTTTCACGTCTGGCGGCGACAAGACGAGACACGACCACAAAACAAAGGCCCAAGAAGCGGCGGAAGAACATGATGGATACGACCATCGGGATCAACAACACCAAGGGCCAGACTCCAATACCTCGGTAGACCGTAACAACACAAGGGGTGCTCCCGAGGTTTACAATCGCGGTCAGCCACCGCCTCAATACGTCCCCTGAATTCCAAAATCAGCACCGTTCAGAACGAGGACGATTTCAGGAAGTTGCAAGACAAGCTGTCAAAAGGTCTGAAACTCCACGACGTTGGTCTCCGGGTCTGTCCTCCTGCTAACTCTCACCATCAAACCCATCGTCCCTGGCATCCGGAAGAGATGGCAAAGTTTGGCTTGACCAGCTGGGCGAATCGACCATCTACAAGGACCTGCACCTGTCTTGACCATGCCATGTCCCTTTTTTCACAAGAAAAGAGAAGGAGAATTCATCTCCGGAATTACGTTACAGTGCTATTTTGCGCCATCTGGCTGCGCTGTTCTTCTTCACTCTGTATAACAGGATTTCTGTTCCGTAGGTAATGCAATATCGACATTTTGCTCCGCAATGGCAACTCATCCGAGTCCATTTGTACACTGTCTTTTTTTCCCTGTCCATGTCAAGCGCCCAGTCAAGGTTACATGGGATACCGACGTCGATATGCAATCTCACGCTTTGCCCTTGCCTTTCCTACCACCTCTGCCGCCAGCAGCAGCGGGCTTTTTCTTCTTAGGTGGTTCTTCTTCAACCCCTGTGTCAGCCTCATCATCGTCATCCTTCTTTCGTTTATTCTTGCCTTTGGCCGCAGCAGCCGCGGGCTTCTTCTTGGGTACCTTGACATATTTGTCCTTTTTCAGATCCAACTCATCTTCTTCGTCGTCTGGACCGTCCACATCCGGGCCAAGAGCCTCATCAATTTCCGAATCATCGACGGCCTCTTCGAGATCTGGTTTGTCCTTCTTGCTTGCTCCACCCTTGGCCATGCCCATGACATTGCTAGCTTTGACAAATGGCATTGGATGGCTCTGCAGGTTGTACAATCTGGTGAAGGTGGCTTTGGTTTGTGTGTCGAGCTTGACTCCTTCCATATCCATTGGTCCTACTCCCAGTTCGAGCAAAGCATCGAAATCCTCTTTGGTCAGATAATACGAATCCATGAAGTCAATGACTTCTGGAACATTGTCTTTGCCTTGCTGCAGTTTCCCGACGGTGTAACTCCACAGAGCCGGAAGGTATTGCTGACGAACTTCGTGGCGATCAGCTGAGGATCGAAGTCGCATGTGGCCTTGAATTTCCTTGACGAGGCGAGATAGTTTGCCTGGAATGTGAATGTTAGTACGCGCCAACAGACCCCGGAAGACAACTGACCTTGTTTACTGTTTTGTCCAAGCCATCCTGCGAAGCCAACTTGTTGGTGAAAGTTGCCATACATGTAACTTGCAGGTCGGACAAAACTGAAGATGGCGTGAGTAGGCATCAAACTCCACTGTTGTTGAGTACCATGAATCATCCTATCGACGAGATCTCCGTCACTGATACTAGACGCCGCGTTGTCAACGAGCTCCAAGAGCTTCAAATCTCTCTCCTTCCCAGAGTAGCCACTTGCTAGCATCGGCTGGGTCTTCAGATAGTTCTCTTGAAGCATGAGATAACTGAATTCGTGGTCGTTGAAATACAGCTCGGTCTTGTCATTCAAGGTCGCGGTTGAACTCGCAGCAAACATTTGCGAACGAAGAATTTTGTTGACAATGTCCCAAGGTTTCAGTATCATATGCTTTTCCCAAGCCTTGGACATAGCCTTTGTGTCTGAAAAATCGAGATCCTTGTTGTCGAGTTTGATGGTTGAGATCATGTTGATGATTTGTCGAATATCACCGCCACATCCTTCGATGAGAGCATTCATAACTTGTGGCGGCAACTTCATGCCTTCTCGATACAGGATAGTTGCAATTCTTCCCCGTATCATGTCGGTAGTCGGTCGTCTGAAAGCATACTCTGCCGTGACCTGATAGAAGGGCTTCATTTTGGGCTGGTTCCGCTCATTGCAAATGAGAATCATGGGGATGGACGTCTTCTTAGCAATGGCGGCAAGGGCACCGACGCCACCGCGATCGCCTGCAGACATACCATCCACTTCATCCATGATCAAGACGAGTTTCCTCTTTGTAGGGTCGACTTTTTTGCCATCACCCGCAAAATATCCGAGCAGAGACGTGGTATCCAACACGCCTTTCAGAGCCGACTCTAATAGCTTCTTGTTTCGGGTATCACTCGCATTGCTTTCGACGACATCATAGCCTTCGAGTTTGGCAACAAGGTGGGCAGCAGTAGTCTTGCCAACGCCAGGTGGACCGTGGAGTAAGGCAGCGCGAAACACTCCTTTACCATCAGGTCCCGCCTTTCTGAAGCCGCTCTTCGCACTGCTGCGCCAGTTTCGCAGCCATCTCTGCAAGCCTTCCACTTGAGTTTTGTTACCACAGACGCCAGTGAGTGAATCAGGAGCATATTTATCGACCCAGAGTCGGTCGTCAGATCTGACCTTCGGTTTGCTTGAAGGGGCCGGGGCACCCGTTCGTGCAGCAGCAGCCTTCGCAAGCTTCTCCGCGTCTTGTTGCTTCTGCTTCTCTCGTGCCTCCATTTCTTCTGCTTCTTTGCGGATCTTGGCTTCTTCTTTGGCTTGTTTTTCGGCGTATGCCTCAGCAGCTTTGCCGTCGCCGCCATTTGCAGGGAGCTGCTTGATCAAAGCGAACAGGCCTTGCTCATCAATGGTCTTTATTCCCAAGTTTCGGATGGTCTCGAGCTTCTTCGGTCCAGCGTCACTACCAATAACCACGTAGCTCGTCTTCTTTGACGGAGCTCCAGTGACTTTCCCGCCATATTGCTTCACGAGACTTTGACCCTCTTCTCGACCGAGAGAGCGCAAGACACCGGTGAACACAAAAGTCAGTCCAGCCAGGCAATTTGGTTCTCCCACTGGGATCTCTGCACTTCCTGCTTCTGGTGGTGCAGCGCCGGCGTTGCCTCCTCCAGGCTGATAAGTCCACTTCTTATTCTCGTCTCGTGGTGGAGGGGTCGGAGGTCGTACTGTAGGGATATTGTCAAGAATTGATTTGATCTCCTTGCTCTCTTCCCGCTCTTCTGTCTTGGCCGCAGCTCGGGGTTTTCTTGCCGCAGTCGTGGTTGTTTTCTTTGTCTTCTTCTTGGGCGTTGCGTCGTCGTCGTCCAAGAAATCGTCTTCCTCGTCGTCTTCTACTGACGCTCTGGACTTCCGTTTTCGGGAAGGGGCGGCGGCAGAGGTTCTCTTCGTTCGTCGATCATTAGGTTCATCGTATGCGGAAATCTGGGCTGTTTCGATGTCGTCATCGTCATTGTCAGTCGATAACTTCTTGCTATGTCCATTGACAGGTTTTGACTGTTTCTTCGGAGGTTTAATTTCGTCCTCATCAGAGCCTTCCTCGTAATCATCGTCGACCTTTCTACTCTTGAGATCGTTGAAGATGTCGTCTCCACCATCTTGATCATTCTGCAGCTTGACTACAGCATCATCGTCGTCTGGTTCTGCGTAGCTCTTCGCTGCAGTTTTCCTGGTAGACCTTCTACCTGTCGAAGGAGTTCCGCCGTTGACTTGCTTAGTGGGGGTCTTGCTCGCGCCGTTTACAGTGGCTTTGACGGGGGTCGATTTTGTGCTTTTCGTTTTCGACGATGCGAAGTAGGCAGAACTTGTAGTCTCTTCCTCAACTGGCTCTTTTACAACTTTTTTGGCTTTCGGGGTAGCGGGCTTCTTGGGTTTGACGTCGACAGGTTCCTCATCTTCATCATCGGAGACAACTTTCCGGCCACGACCACGCTGAGTGCCTTTGCTAGCCTACACGCTCTGTCAGCATTGATCTGCACAATGATTGATAGCTGGTTCATCACGCCGTACCTTGTCCTTCTTTGCAGCGGGAGCAGTGGTGGCAGGAGGTTTTGCTTCACCTCCGCGGCCGCCGAAGAAGCTCCTGATATCTGAAGGCATTTTGGTGTGCGGAACTGACGGGAGGAAGAATTAGATAGTAGAGCCCCTGGACACCAGGGTCTTTCTCTGACCACTTTGTCAAACACCGTGGATGGCGGAAAGTCCGATGTCGATGTGTTCACTACCTGCGCAGGGGATTCGCCTGCACTTTGGCTGCTTAATTAAGTGCATGACGCGACTGACTTACGGTACGCTGAACGCGACAGGCTAAACCCTCTTAGGGCGGGGCAAATGCCGCTTTCGCCTTAACGATACGAAGCAGTCTTTGTACTCCGCAGTACTTCGTATTCTGTCTCCAGGTACTCCGTACCATTCCTCTCTCCGCCACTTCAATGCCTCTTTCCATTGATCTGATGATTTGTACGCTGATATTTCCAGATCAGCTTATGGAAGTTCCATTGATGTCGATGTGGCTTGAGTAGATTGAACACCATTGTTCCTTATTTCGAGGCTCGATCTCTATCTCAGAAGGTTGGCACACTTTTCTGAGTACTCCGTAATGTGAGAGATATATGCAGCGCCATGGTCGATATCGCGTTGCACAAGTACTTACCCTAGCATTTAGGCACTCTATGCGAGATCCAATGCAACAAGGAATCAACTTTCGGCTGGTACACGTACACGTATGATGATCGGAACTACCGATGATCTTCCAGAGCCGGTAGGCGGAGAAATGCTTCAGGCGTCCCGTTCCACGCAACAACCTGGTAGAGTACGACGTATGCTCGGAAAAGAGGCGAATTCGGGGCTAGCGGCCAAAAGAACTTCTGGACAATACACCCTCTAATCCACTCTCCAGGTGCTCACACCAGCTGTAGGGTTGGATTGGTTTCTGGGGTGGAATAACGTAACACTAGACCCTATTCCATCCATCTATATAAGACGCCACTCGACGCATTCGACTTCCCAAAGTCAGTGTCACTTCTCACACACTCTCTTTCTACTTCTTTCACCATGTCGTCTTACCAGTATGTGCAAAAAGCGCTGCAAGTCTTGGGAGCTTTGACTGCCGTGTCAGCCGTTTCGAGGATTCTATCCCTTACTCGACTGTACTTCTCACCCGGCGGATCCTCTCTGAAGCGCTGGAAGCATGGAAAAGAGCCATACGCCTTGGTCACGGGGGGCACTGATGGGGTGAGTCTTTGTTGCCGACAAAGACCATAGAGACGAGATCTTGTGGCACACTTGCCTATTCCTCGCAATCTCGACCGCCTCGACGACGCTGTGATACTCCGTTGAGCTGGTGTTTTCATGACGAAGTATTGCATGCTAACATCCCCTTCTACATAGATCGGGCTGGGGTTCGTCGAAGCAATCGCCGCCCAAGGGTTCAATGTGATCATTCTATCCAGAACCAAAGGCAAGCTAGAGAGTCGTCGATCGGCTCTACAAAAGCAATTTCCAAACCTCAAGTTCGAGATCCTCGTCTTTGATGCCTTGAAGGATCCATACGAAGGTATTGAGAAGCTGGTCGCCAGCGTATCCCATCTGAACATCACTGTTTTGGTCAACAACATGGGCGGCATCCCCTTCATCCCGGGATATCGATTGCTCACCGAGACGAGCGGCCCACAGATCGATACCGCCATCGACCTGAACGCCCGCTTCCTGTCGCACTTCACACGCTTCATGATTCCGGTCATGACGAAGAGCTATCCTGCACTCATCGCAAACGTCGGTTCGGCCGCTCAAGTTGGTATCCCCTGGGCCGCGGTGTACTCGGGCACGAAAGGGTTCGTGCTCAGCTTCTCAGAGGGTCTCTCCCGCGAGTTCAAGTGCAACGACATCCCCATCGATGTGCTGAACATCACGCTCGCCGACGTGAGCAGCCAACAGACTCCCACGCCAGTGCATATTCTCAACCCTTCCGCGAAGCATTTCAGCAGGACGGCTGTCGGCCGACTCGGCGCCGCCGTTGCTTCTGGACGCAACACGGTCACCCCGTATATCCCACATGCCCTTCTCCTCTGGGCTCTTGGCCCGATGCCGGAATTTATGAAAGTCATAATTACGAACAATATGATTCGTGGTGCACAAGAAATCCTTGACAAGGCTCACGGGGGGCTAAAGAGAGACTAACTCAGGCAATTACGTTGCACTCAACACGCTGAGCTGTATCAAGCTGGTAGGGTTGGTCCAGAGACATGTCTATATACAACAAGGTCTTGCTTCTAGTGTGGCTGATCAGAAGCAACACCACGTCCACGATGAGGCAAATCTAGATTTTGGCGTCAAATGAGCACTGAATTCAGCAAGTCGCAATATCTGGAATGAACAAAAAAAAATGATATGTCGTGTAACGACTGATGTTCATAGTCATCACATATCAATCGTGGTAGTGCATACAACCAAATCCTACTGAGCATCACTCCGTCAACAGCGTTCACGTACATCTGTTCACTTATGGCTGAAATCTGACTCTCGGGTCCTTTGTTGAGGGGTGATTCTCGCGATGACATACACTGTCTTGCCACCCTGGGTGCGATCCCTTCTTCCATTCTCGAATCCCATCCACCGTGGAGTAGGTACAAGATATCACCATCGCCGTTGCAGATATGGCCGTGTTTCCCGCGAGCGCAGTGATATACCTCGGCGCTTACGATAATGCCAATTCGTGAGGCAAGCTCGGCACGGGTGTACCATGTCGATAGGTAGTAGACAACCCAGGACGTCTTGAGCGTGACGATACCCAAACCAGGAGAGTAAGGATGTCTTACGACATCAAGACTCCAGCCTCGAATATACCGACAAAGATTCGACAGGCCTATAGGCTGCCAAAGCTCTTCTACCGGCGTCGTGGCCGCAGATGCCAAGGGAAAGACTTTCCAATTAATATGAACCAAGAACAGGTACGTGTACATCGACACAGGTACGTTGACATCACTTTACTTGGATAATCTGCTTCCATTATGAGTAACTTATGGCGATACGGTACTCACAAGTTCGTAAAATGTCGGTCCCCTCGCTGGCCCGAGTCCGCACGGCCTCACAGGGACGTTAAAAGCGAACGGCCAATTCGGAAATTGCCGAATTCCCAAGCCCTACAGGTCCAGCAGATATGCCGCAAAACGCCGTGAGACTTCCAGGAGGGAAAATTCCTAAGCTTACCTTCAGAAGAACAATGGAGAAACCACATGGCCATACACGGCGCATCTTTAGACCTGACCTCAAGCGGCGTCGTCCGCCTTTGGCCTGCATCCAGTGCTACAGCAGGAAGATCAAGTGTAGTCGGGAGTCGCCAGCTTGCGGTAGGTGTATCAGGGCTGGCAAGGGCCACGAATGTGCCTACCGCAACGAACCTTCGGATGACCATCCTCCTGCGCAGAGCAGGCCCAGTCCGCGACCTTTGGTAACAGGACCAACCCACGATGGGGCCACGTCACCCAAGCACACCCGCTACCTTGCTCCGAGGTCAGTGGAGGGAAGAATGGCGCATCTGAAAGGGCCCGAGACGTCCACCAAGTTTTATGGGTTCAGCTACCCTCTAAACTTGTACCAGCAGGTACATAATTCCACGTCCCGTGATCGGTGCAACACCAGCGAGGGAAAGGCTGGGACTAACAAGAATCACAGTTTCCTGAGCTCCGATGCTACATCGCAAAGGTCAAGAACCAGCATCCGGCCATCAACCAGCTCCGGGACGAGATCTATGGGACGACAACCAGTCTGGGACCACGGCAACAGCAATGCCCGAGCCAACTAAGGATTGCAGAGAACTTCGAGACTCTTGTTCCCACTCGTACTGTCGCAGACATGCTAGTTCAAACCTACATGGATCGGTTCGAGGTCATCCACCGTGTTGTCCACACCCCGACCTTCATGGGCGACTATTGTGGCTACTGGAACAAGACCCGCCTCGTGTCGGCCACTTTCCTTGCGCAGCTCCTTCTCATGATGGCCTCAGCATCGAGTCTGCATCCCGAGACAGCGTTCAACGGTGGAACCGACATGAACCCAAGCCGCAGGTGTATCCTGCGCTGGATCGAGGCGGTCGAGTCATGGTTGATCCCGCTGGCGTTCGAACCGGCACCGGATTCAACGTCCACATTGACCACGCACTGTCTCCTCATCCTGGCCAAACGCGCCAATTCTGTCCACGAGAGCACTTTGTGGTCGTCTACGGGATCACTGGTCCGGAGGGCTATGGCGGCGGGATATCATCGCGAAGTCGATTCCGCCACGCACGTCTCGCCATTTAATCGGGAAATGCGACGGCGCTTGTGGGCGACGGTCACCGAGCTCGACCTGCAGGCGTCCATTGATCGAGGTATGACCCCCAGTATCAGACCAGGCGACTTCAACACGAACGTGCCCCTCAACGTCGAGGATGAGGCGATCCAAGATTCGACCGAGGAAATGTTCGCTCCTCTGCCGCTGGATACGTGGACAACCACCTCGTGTCAGGTCCTTCTGTATCAGTCCTTCATGGCTCGGTTGGAGGTTTGTTGCCTCGTAAACGGGTCGCAGGATCGGGACATGTTCGACGAGGCCTTGCAGTTGAGCGACAAGTTGGCCCGAGCCCTTCAGGAGATTCCGGCCTGGAGAGGCACTGGCCACAGTTTGCAAGACCTGCAGACTATCACATACGTACGGGGCGTGGTGAGTATCGTCCTGAATCTGTTCCTGGTCGTGCTACACGTCCCGATGGCGATTAAGACTCCTCCGACATGGAAGGTCCACGTCTCTCGTCGCGCCCGCCTCGATGCCGCCCTCGGGATTCTCATTCACCATCGGCGGCTGGTCGACGACGGCATCGTCCCGGACTGTGCGTGTCGGCCCGGACTGGTCCTGGGCGCTCTCAACCTCTGCCACGAGCTGTATCTAAGTTGGAACACCTCTTCAGGTCAGTAATGTAACCGAGAGAGAGGGACCGTGCAAGCGCGAATCTGACTGACCACGTCGACACAGGAGGCTCGCACACGCCGGCTTTGACGTCGCCAGAGATTGCCCTGGCTCATCTGATGGTGGTCGAACGAGCGTTGCAACTCCTGCACGGACCCGTGGCGACGACGCTGGAAGGCCTGAACGAATACTACGTTCTGGCCATGGTCATTGGACTCATCAAGTCCAAGATCTGCCCACAACTGACAGCCTCGGCCGAACAGGACGCAGCTCAACAGGTCATCCACCTCTGTGAGAAGGTCAAGTCTGCCCTACCCACCCTCTGCGTTGACGACGCCGAAGACACGTCCGCCTTCAGGTGAGTTGCCCGCCGCCCTCAAATCCCACCCGCAGATTTATGTTCTGACGCCATTGAACTCTGCAGACGTACCCAACCCGGGCAGTGTAACCAGGGGATCGCCTCTCCGGGTCTTTCTGACCGCGTCGACTGCTTTCTTCCCATGGTCGGTGTAACCCCGGAGATGGGGTTCCTTAATCGTGTGAATCGCCTTTTGCTAATGTTCCCTGATAGTTCCCGGACGATTTGGGCTTTCTGCACAGTGATTTCCTCCTCGAAGACGCTCACACGGGGTTTAACATGGTACTGTGAGAGCTAAAATAAGCTGAGAGGAACTTTCGTCCCCCAAGGCAGCGTTTTGAGCCCTAATACTCGTACTGCAAGCTAAACCAGCTATTTTTCTTCTACTCGTAACAATCGATACTCATTTAGCTTGACATTAGGTAGTTAGCTTAGTTACTAAATTATGAAGATAGTCTCTAGCATTCAAGTAAGCTCAATGAAGAATAATGAGTAATAAAGTAGAAAGAGTAAATAGTCATAAAAGTAGAAAGATTAAATATAAGAGTAATACTCCGCAATACGGAGTAGTAATAGTGAAACACTATTCAGACCATATTACTTAGAGTCATACAAACTGTCTTTTGACCGCCAATGGATAAGCTGGAATAGGGTCAACCAATCAGCAGTTACGCTCTAGCACTTGAAATCGTGGCCTTATTCAATTTATAGTCCGTTTGTCGCTCGCTCCGCATGATGAAACATGCCGGTCTCTGAAACAACTTCTACTACTAAATACATGATATCATTTTCTTTTTCCCATCGACATGGGCCAGAGGTATGTACAACAAGCTATGCCGCTTTAATTGTCCTAGGAACTAACTTCTACACCACCTTTTCTCTACTGAACCTCCCTCTGCTGCAAACTCTGCCCTCCTACAGCTTTACTCTTTTTCATTCCCAAACCCAATCTCACGTCCAAAAACAGTATTGTTCTGATGATCTTTGAAGAAGATGCTACGCAGAGGTCCTCTGAAGCTCAAAGCGACTTTTTACAAACACCCCTTGGAAAAGTCTCCACCACAATGTCACAGGTAGGGCCGTAGAAATCGTCACCGTCGATTCGTACCGACGATCATTTAGCTCGATTTACATCTTCTCGGCCTGCTCTTCAGTCGACTGAAGAGTACGCAAGCCTTGCTGCCCTCAAGGATGTCAAACTTGACATCAAAGCCTTGCGAGTGGACCTACAGGAAGAGTTTAGCCACAATATGAAGAGGAACGACCGCGAAATCAACCGGACGAATTGAAATTCTCGAACAAGAAGCTTGAAGAAACCACGAAAGGAACTTCATACCAGCAACGCAGAAGTTAAACTTGAGCTACTGAAGGTAATCATTGAGTCTAAAGCAGTCTCGAAGAAAGATATCTCTTTACAGGTGGGCAAGTTTCAAGTCAGCTTCTTTCGCAGAATCTTCGATCTCGTAAGTACTCAAAAGTCAACACATTTACTGAGGGATCTTCTAACGTTGACTAGGGTTTGACACTGGTTGAAGCTGCCGCCGCAACGACGCTAGGGCCTCTTTGGTATGCGTATAAGATCCGCACAACCTGTACGCAGCTGCGAAACTGTAAGCTGCGAGCAGAACTCTGAGCATGAGAAGCAGATTATTATGATTGACGAATATGATTAAAGTCGGAGGTATTTGGGCTATGTCGCAAATACTCGGTGCGAAGCGTTACCAACAAGTAGAAAGAGGAGGATAAGTTTTCTTCCTTAGAAGTTTTTCCCCCTTTGTATACTAATATTTAGAATCTTGGGTGCTAGATTGGTTGATGAGTACGCGAGGGGTGTGAGTGCCTCTGAGTGCCTCTGCTTTTCCTGTAGAGCTAGCAGCAAGGCATAGATGGACAGATATACAATCAACCAAGTTTTGCGAAAATGATGGCGCTGCTGCGAGCGCAGCGAGAGCGATGAGTGTACTATGAAGACCTAGTTACAGGACTCTGACATCTTCTGAACGTCGCGGAGGCCTAGACCCCCATCAACGCTTAAAACCGCCACGATGACCCAACTGCCCAAAAGTTCTTGCATTATATGCCACTACACATCCCACCACGTTATCCCACTCCTTTCAATACCACTCGAGATCCCTAACAGCGATCTTGCTTCGTGATTAGACTTTCTGCCACAGGCCGGCCTGGATGTCAAGGCGAGCCCAGGCAACCAGTAAAGACCCAAACAACATGGCGACGCCACTAAAGATGGCGCACTCGGAGTACCCTCCGTAAGACTGGACCATGGCTCCACAGATGGGAGTTCCCGTCAAGCCTGCAACGGCCAGGACGGCCATGGCCATGCCGAGATAGGTGCCGAACTGGTTCATGTGCGGGGTGATGCGCGCAAAGCAAGGCGACATGAGCGACACGATGCCACCGGAGAAGAAGCCGTACAGGGCGGCGAAGATGATTATGGCAGCGTTGGACCGAATGGCAAGCCAGCACAGGAGCAGGACGCCTGTGCACGTGCCCTCGACCAGCATCGTGTTAAAGGGCCCGACCTTGTCGGCGGCGAGGCCGGGCACAACGCGACCAAAGGCCGAGGCGGCGTTCAGGATCGCGGGCATGTAGTCGGCGAGGTCGTGGCCCATGCCCTGCTGCAGGGCGTACTGGGGCAGGTAGAAGAACGGCGTGAAGAGCCCCCAGGTCATGAAGAAGATGCCCGCGGTGGTCAGGATGTACGCGCGCTGTGTGAAGGCGGACGGCAGCAAGACGGCACCGCGTCGAGGAGGTAGACGCTCTTTGAGGGTGAGTACGGCGACTGTCATCGTGACTAGGATGATGAAGCCGACGATCCTGACCGACCACCCGAACCCGAGCGACCTGTACTTCAACATCCGGGTTAGGGCGATAGGGAAGATGACGCCGCCCGTCGAAGAGCCCGTCACCGTCAGACCCAATGCCACCCCACGGCGCCTGCGGAAGTAGTGGCTCACGCAGGTCATGGCGGGCGCGAAGAGAATCCCGGATGCCAGGCCGCCGAGCAGGCCTTGAGCGAGTATGAACTGATAGTACTCGGTGCACAGGGAGGTCATCATCACCGACACAATGGCTGCGAGGGCTGGCACGTATATTACCTATCGATCCACGCCGAGGCAGGAATAATGTCAGCACTAACGCCGTCTGTCCCCTCCGTGTGTCTAGAAAGGGGGAAAGTCAGGAGCCACGAACCTTTACGCCATAACGATCGAACAAAGGTCCCCCTACGAGACCGCCAGCGTAGAGAAAAAATACCTGGATAGATCCGATCCACGAGATAGATGACGGCGATTCATGAGATAAGAAGTGCGACGAGTAGTATTCTTGGTAGACTCTGGTTTGGCGCACACCGTTAATAGTCAGCTTCACAAAGTCTTTTTATAGTGCCAAAGAAGTTATCGCTTCAAGGAGCCTCACCCGTATGCATTCATGTACCCAAACGTCGAGAAAGACACACAGTATGCCCCCAGTATCACCAGCCAGGCTCGGATGCCGCCCTCGGGGAAATCCCCGTATTCGACTTTTGGTTTCTCGTCTGCCGGTTCTGGCGAGGAATCGGAGGGTTGGACTAGAGACATTTCTCTAGAGGTGGTCAGGGTGTAGGAAGCGAGAAACGGTACAATAGTTCAATACCTATGAGACTCACCTTTGCTTGCTAAGAACAGTGTCGTCTTTCACTCGGGATTCATCGTATTATATAGGGGCTTAAGGTGCTTTCTGAAAATTGCCCCTTGTCTAGCATGGCATATTGGATTGAATATGCCGCCGAATAAGCCGTTCAGAGAAAGCCGACAGCCAGACAAGGTCGGGCCCGAGTTTGTCAAGCTTTGGGAGGAACATGGAGCACATATCATTAGAGCCGACGAAAACCACTTGAGAACAATACTATCATCAATGAGGTGTTAGTTCATGGAGAGAAAAGGACAGGGCATTGCTTTGTGTGTAGAATACCTGGTCTGAACCAATTAAGGCGGCATAGTTCGTTGTACCTATACGAATACGAGAATCGGGGTTGCCAAGACTTTCCACTGCTGCGAATCTTCGGACCAAGGCTAGAGCTTCTCGAGAGCAGATTCAGCATCGTGAAGCGCGAATAGTCCTGAAGCTGTACGACCGAAACCCAATTGTCGACATTGTGCAGTATTGCTGGTTTGAAGGCCCAGTGCCTCGCTTTCTGCGAAGCCCCCCAAAAGATGGCAAGCCCAGCCATCAGACCGTCGGGTATATATTTGATTTTCCCTTTGACGAGCTCACCAAGACTGACATTCAACAGCGGCCTGCTTGCGGTTTCTTCGTTTACAAACCATGAACTCTCCCTCCCTGGTCCTTTCCTCCACCAGGTCGCACCTGAGACCACAGCTGCCTGTGACGGCACGCCCGACGCAAGATCTCTCACGATGCGGCCGAACGTTTTCCACGATCCCCGCCAGACAAGATTGGCTCACTCCCAAGAGACCTGAGAAGAGAAAATCCATGGTAGGCAGGCCTCGCATGCCCACAGGCGGATCGATGCGCGGAACAACTGTCGTATGGGGAGATTACGGCCTGCGGATGAGAGACCACGACCGAAGAGTGTCGGCAAAGCAACTGCGCACCGGCGAACAGACCATCCACCAGAGATTACGAGGCGAACGATACAAGCTGTACAAGCGAGTCAGCGCCAACATCGGCGTCTACACAAAAGGAAACGACGTGCGTATGGGTAAGGGAAAGGGCAAGTTTGATTACTGGGCGGCTCGAATTCCTGTTAGCAGAATCGTCTTCGAGCTCAAGGGAAATATTCACGAACAAGTCGTGCGAGACGCCTTTAGATTGGCTGGAAACAAACTACCCGGGTTGTACGAATTCGTCAAAAAGGGCGATCCACCGGTGGTGGGAATCACAAAGTTGGGCAAGGGAGTGACCCTCGAGTCGCTGAAAGAAGCCAAGAGACCAGTTGAACCAAAGGACAAGGTACCAGAACAACCTGTTACTCCTCCTATGGCGGATGGGCCTCCCCAGTCAGTCTCTACCGACTTCGACAAGCCACCAACGACCGTCCATGTTTCGCCATGATATGTGCTTATAATACAAGATCCTCACCACTTCGATGCATTTTCAGGCGCCAACACCAGAACCGGGGCCGTAACCTTGCTTCGGTCGCGAGTCTGGTTGTTTGCTGCTCTGATCTGGTGTACCACCGAAACCACCTTCTTGACCAGCGGAGCCAATCGAAGAATTTGTCTTCCCTCCTACACCGAATTCCGAGATGTTTTGGCCATATCGAATATTGTCGGCTGTCTTTTGTGCACGGTCATCCGATATCGAGGCTTCTTCAGAGGTATTTGGACCAGCTGCACGTAATTTACGTCAGTCACAAGAAATCCGATTCGAGGGCAGCGTCTCACGTACAGCCGAGCTGGCCTCTCTGCTTTGAGGTCGGGAGCGTTTGTGTCTTGATGGACTCGTATCTACCCCATTCGTGTCAGCGTGTACTGAGTATAGAGGGATAGTGGTAGAAATATACTGCGGAGTTTCGCCTCCTGGCACTGTATCCATAGTTTTATCGGCGGAATCTGAGCTGCTCATTTTGTAATTCTTGAAGGTGTCGTACCAGTCACAAGTCAGTACGTTGTCTATGGTCTGCGTAATGGTGTGAAATAAGTCCATCTAAAAGCAACAAGCTGGTTTCTAGCCCATGCTTGGGTGCGATCACTGAAGTCTGTTTTCTGTTGAGCTGCGACTACTGCCACATCCACCCACCATATTCAATGGTTTACGTCATGAAACGTCAGGTCACGTGCACGCGATGATGAGGTCAACTCTGCTTCTTCATTTTGCATGTCGTTTGAATTGAATCATAACCCTCATCAAGTTGGGAACTTTCTTGTTTGGTACACTTTTGGACGATTGTAGATGTGATCAGGCATGCTGCCACAGTGTAGCCTTCACACGGGAGACACGGGTCGCCTGTTATTTGTGTTTGTTCATGATGCGTAACGGTTTGAATGTTGATGCATGCTAGGTACTCGTACTCTCTCCAAGTTACAGGTAGCATAGCGCCTCACCTCTGGTGCTGTCTTACTTGATTCACTCAGACATTCCGACATGGAGAAGACAGCCGATCACCCGCAAGCAAGACCACCACTCAGGGCACGATCAACATCAATTGTGTCTCAATCCCTCATCTTGGATGCTTTTGCCTCGTTTAAACTTAGCCCGGAACTACAAACGTATCTTCGGAATCATTCTAGAGGCGAAGATTACGAATATCCCGACCTCTCATAGCTTTGTCGCAGGCCCCATTTCTTGTTGGAACTGTGCCCGCGCCTCTTTCATCAATTCAGGTTTCACGAGCAGGTCAAACGCTGTGGCAGCCATGCCCATTCCATTCTCAAGCGCACGTTCAAAAGCTTCACTTGTTCCCGCAGCAGCAGCAAATGCCGGGGTATGAGGCTGAACACTTGGGTCTTCGGTTCCGATGCTGAATGCGCAATGCAAACCAGGAACTTCATATGTGACATTGCCCATGTCCGTTGAGGCTCCTCCAATACCCCCATCGTTGCGTTCCTGGAAGTCTCGGCCGAGACCACGCATGTGGCGGGTAAACTCTCGTACCAACACATTGTTGGGGCAGAGATCCTTGTAATCGTTCTCCCTGGCACAAGTATTAATCGCATGCTTTCGAAACCAAGTAGGGAAGATACTCACACTTTCCAGGCACACTCAACTGTACAGCCCGTTGCATGAGCACCAGCCTGGAAACATGCTTCAACCTTTTGGGAGAGCTCCTGGACCTGTGGCGCAGTCTCGTCTCTCAGATAGTATTCGAGGCTGGTTGTATCCGGAATGATGTTTGGCTCGGCCCCTGCTTGCCTAAAAACACCGTGCACGCGGACAGAGGGTGGTAACTGTTGTCGGAGCAGTGAAATATTCACATAAGATGCAACTATAGCATCTAAAGCATTCTTGCCCTTCCAGGGGCTGAACCCTGCATGGGCATTTTGACCTTTGAACGTGACCATGACCTGTCGACGAGCAAGCGATTTAGCCCCAGAGATTCCGTCAACTCTTGCGGGCAGCACACCCGTTGGGTGAGCCATTAGGCAGGCGTCCACATTCACATATGCTCCGGCTCGTAACAAGCGCACTTTGCCTCCACCACCTTCTTCAGCAGGAGTTCCGAGGAGTCGAACTCTTCCTTCTCGTCCACTTTGCCCAAGTGCTTCGGCCGCTGCAATAAACGCCGCTATGGAGCTGGTGGCGATCAGATTGTGTCCACAGGCATGTCCAAGGCCAGGAAGCGCGTCATATTCGGCATTGAAAACAACCAAGCTTCCGCCGTGTCCTGCTTCTACCTCGAAAGACGTCTCAAGGCCATAGGTATGTCGTTTCACAGAATAGCCTAGGCTCTCCATCAAAGTGCATATGTTGTCGTGGGCCTGGAACTCTCTATAGTTCAGCTCTGGATTGTCGTGAATCTGTGGTGGGAGAGCATGAGCGTCAAGGCTCTCGATCATGTTTGAGGAAGAGCGGAACAGACCTTTTTACAGATGTCGCCCAGCTGAGCCTTGTGCTTCTCAATGGACTTTGAGACACTGCTGCGCAGGCTCTCGTCTGAGAAGGACTCAACTCGCGCTGTAGCTATCATGATAGTACGCCTGTCCTGCTTTCTCTAGGTGAGTTCCTATGATGTCGTGAATCGGGTTGAGCGAGAACAACCCATCTTGAAGAGTAAGATATCCATGGCAGCTCTTTATATTGCTCATCCTCGCCTTAAGGCCAGCCCAGCCGTGCAGCGTGCACGCCATAACTTTCTGGAATAGCTGCATGGGCACATCGAGATACTCGTGTCTTAGCCCTGTCAATCACCTCCACATGGTGTTCCTCGGCAAAAACTGACCACACTCGACTCTTATCGCAGTTCTCCGCTCACCCACTCCATTAGCCGACTCAACCACTCGGCTTGCATCGTCTTTAATATCATGGTACTGGTCTGATCAACGTTCTAATCCTTCTCTTTGCGATTTATTGCAACCCAGGGCATCCCTTTGTCATGGCAAACGGCACTCGTCCTCCTTCAAGATCTGTGCCGCGGTCAAGGAATGGTATGTAAAAGATCTGGTCATCTGCTAGCCAATGGCTCGATTTGGAACCGCTGACCATTGGCTAGGCTGTGCGACATGTCGCGTGAGGAAGCTGAAATGTGATGAGTTTCATCCAATCTGTGGACGATGTTCAAAAGCGAGATTGAGTTGCGACTGGAATTTACCAACAAGGGCAACTCGAGGAGGAGCTTCACAAGCCTCGGCCAGCACCGTCGTAACCTCGCGACCTCTGGCTCCCGCCCCTCGTCCTCTCCGTCTGCGATCTCCCTCTGTCATTACCACCACGGATACGAAGAGCCCGGCTTCGATGGACAGCGGGAGCACCTCAACTACAATCTTCACCTTTGCTGGCAGTAGTTCTGAACATGCTTCCCCAAGCATCAATTTGTCACTCTCCAGGTTGACCCAAACGCACGAAGTTGCGCGTGCAAGCCCGAGTTCAAGTCCCACCCGGGACCTCTCAGCACCTTCGCACTCAGCGTTCCCCGCTTCACATGCTGCTTTGGCCGATTCCTTGAGACTCACTCCACAGGATCGACAGGCCTTTTTGTATGTTCCTGGCTCGGTCTTAGTTCTCCGCTTTGGTAAGCCATTTGAGTGGAGTAGCATATCCTATGTCTATTCGAACATAGCAAACACATATGCGGGCGTTATGAGAGTGTTCATAGCTGGCGCATCCATGGAGCTGCGCTCGAAAGAACTTCTCGATATTCATAAAGGTGAGTTCGCGCCAGAAAAGCTTGAGCGAGCTCGACGTCTGGAAGAGTCTGCAACTAGCCACTACCTACTAGCTCTCAAAGACTTGTCCGGTCTGGTAGAGCATATCACTTCAACAGGCGGAACAAAAGATGAAGTGGATGCCCTTTTTTCCATGTGGTTTCTGATTCTCCATTTCGGTTTCTATCAGTCCCAGTGTGTTGGTGCAGCGCATCTGCACCTAAATGGGATTCGATCCTTCCTCAAGCCATATCTCAGATCCTGTGCTGAGCAGGGCAAGGATGGGCTCCCATTGGTATCACGACAGCTACTCTATTACATTTCGTAAGGATTTCCCTTCACTATCATTCACACTGCTAATCTGAATCCATCAAGCTACCTGGACATACATCTCGCATTTGGAAGCAAAGAAGGCGGCAAACTATGGACAGATCTACTTTCCGAAGATGCCCAGTCGCCCTTTTCTCATGATGGTCTATTTCATGGTGCAAGATCATGTCTGGCCAAGTTATGGGGCCCTCAATATCCAACCAGTGAATTGTTCGATGACCTGGAAAATTACAGGCCGCTTCACTTCTTGCATCTGTGCCAGAAGCCCAAAATTGGGATCCTGAATCTGGCGACCGTTTCGAACCTTGGCTATAATGACAGGGAAGGACGACATCGGCTGTGGAAACAGATCACGAAATTGTCAGAGGTATGACGGGAAAAGTATCGCCACTGCTTTTACCGTGCTAATGAAAGCACCTAGGAATTTGCCGATATGTTAGAACTGGCAGATAGAGTCCCCGACTCAGGTGGCAGGAGACTCATATGGACCTTATACCATGCGACGCTCGACTTCTATGCACTCCAGGTCCTGTACTCGTGCCTGGACCCCCATGATGAACACCCACCGTGGCTCGATCGGATTCTAGCGACCATTATTAGCATCGGGTACAAAGCTGTGAGAGAGGATCCTCGGCAATTGTATCGCCTGGTCTGGCCCCTTGCTATTGCAATGGTAAGAACGAGGGATTTAGTCCATCTCGATTGGCTCAAGGACCAGCTTGTCCGAGCTCAACTTCTCTTTCCCAACTTGAGCTTTCCCCAGGCGGCCTGGAACAGGGTAGGACCTTTGGGTCAGCTCCTCGTAGAAGCAGACCGAACGTGTCGTTCTGCATGTATAACAGCAGATCAGCAACTATTGAATGGATAAAGAGCCACTTTTCTTTCATGTTCTTGGGGTATACAAGACATCAGCTATCTGCACGAGGATTAATTCCGCTCCCACGCCACACAATACTGAGATATCTTCCCTTCAACGAAACTGTTGCCACAAGCCTTCGCCGACGCATCCAATCATGAGGGTTCTGCCTCGGCTATCAGCGACTGGCGATTGGTCAAACCTCCCGATTGGCGGATGCAGCCAATACCCGCCCACCTCAACATGCATATCGCGAATCTTCGAGGCTTGCCAATGTACCAGATAGTTGCCGGCGCGGTTCATGATGCCACACGGCGTGTCGAGAAAGCATGCAGCTATCAATCTTACCCATGTTTGGAGATGACAGAGCGCACATGTCCCTCCGCTTTGAAGGGGCAGATTTGTCTATTTAATGAAGGATCTCTACCTACAACATTGTTATGCTACATTGACAAAGCTCAGTCAATGATTAGAGTCATTCGAACTGCATAAAGAATTCGAACAATGTCCACCTTGAAGAGCCAGATTGGTGCCACAATGAGTGACAAGCAGATCGAGACTGAGCTCGGCGAATCCCTTGCACTTCGCGAATCTGCCTTGACCACGAATGTGCCGGGGGAGCTGACTCCAGAAGACGACAAGGCAATTCTGAGGCGAATCGACCTTCAGTATGAATGAAACTATTGCTCTGAGGGAATATCAACTGACCTAGTCTATCCAGTCTCATGCCGCTCCTCACGATATCATATATGCTACAGTTCATTGACAAGCAAACGCTCAATTTCTCCTCAATCATGGGAATAATGACAGATTTGGTAGATACCAGGGCCACAAATACGTTACAAATACAGACATCTGATACTGCGGACTATAGGATCTGAAAGGCACAGACTATACCTGGTGTGCCAGCGCCTTCTACTTCGGGTACCTTGCATTCACAAGCGTTGGGAGTTTTCTCATGGTCCGTTTACCCATTGGAAAATACCTGGCCACATCAAGGTAAGCCAACAGTACAATTAGACTTGGCTGCTTGATGTAACTTTTGTGAACAGCATCATCTGGGCTATTATTCTTGGGTGTCATGCCGCAACACAAAGCTTCACCGGCCTGTTCATTGCAAGGTTTTTCCTTGGAGCCGCCGAAGCGTCCATCAGCCCCGGCTTTTCTCTGATCACCGGAATGTGGTACAAGCGACAAGAGCAGCCATTTCGACACGGGATTTGGTTTTTTGGCAACTCTGTTGCAGTCATGTTTGGTTCGCTGCTTGGTTACGCCATTGCACACATCCGTGGAAGTCTTGCTGCTTGGCGGGTGAGTCGACCGTCTCTTCTTTTGCGGCGGCATTCTAATCTCCTGTCCTCAGTGGGGTTTCATCATATTTGGTCTGGTGACCTTGGTATGGGCCATCGTGCTCCTCATCTTCCTTCCCGATGCACCCATGAAGGCACGTTTCCTGTCTCCAGAGCAGAAGGTCAAAGCGGTCGACCGGGTTCGGTCCAACCACACCGGCATAAAGGACAATCATTTCAAATGGGAACACGTTCGAGAAGCACTTACGGACGTCAAAATCTGGCTGCTGGTCATCTACCAACTTTCATTCAGTATTCCCAATGGGGCCTTCACCGCTTTCAGCAGCATCATCCTAAACGGCTTCGGCTTCACCATTTTCCAGGTCTACCTGCTCAGTATTCCCATGGGTGTCGTGCATGCAATTTTCTCGCTCGGATGCACGCTTCTGTGTAGTCGGTTCAAAAACATCAGGACTCTCGTCGCTGCCTCGATTTGTTTGGTCAGCTTGGGTGGCTCAATGTTGGTGCGGTACGGTCCCAATCAGGGAAGTAAGCTGGTCGGTCTCTACCTTTTTATCATATACGTCGCCGGCTTCCCCCTCAGCCTGTCCATGATCTCATCGAACGTTGCCGGCTTCACCAAAAAAAGCGTTGCGTCAGGAATGATGTTTATGGCTTATACGGGCGGAAACATTATAGGCCCGTTCCTGTTTTTCCCACATCAAGCACCCACTTATTCGGTAGGTTTCCTCTGATTCAGCCATTGGATCCGCTTCCTCCCTTTGGATAACCTCTGGCTGACATGGATTCTGAACAGAGCGGCTTTCTCGGAACAGGTATCTGCTTTGGCATTGCTACAGTTTCTATGGTCACCCTTCGGTTTGTGATCATCTTTGAAAACAAACGACGCGACAGAGTTCAGAGGGAAGCGCCTGCTCAACATTGCGAGGACCAATCCATTAATGATCTGACTGATAAGGCGAAGATGAATTTTCGATACCTGTATTGAGTCACGAGAAGGCATCATTCTACGAGACTGACAATCTTGCCAAGAGAGCAACGATGCGGCGACGCCATTCAATCTGCATTCGTCCATGTCTTCCCGGGCGGAGTATTTTCAAAAGTAGATTTCTGGAACTCAACATTGGCAGCTAAGGAGGATAAAGGGACTTCTCAGAGATAGGCGAGAACTAGAGAGTACTAAAGAGACCGCAGTAGAAATCAGATTGTCGTTGCGAGAGTGCGTGAGAGCGTGAGTGAGAGGGTAAGAAGAAAGTGAGGAGAGGGTGAGTCGTGAGTAGGTCGTCTTAAAAGCGGCACTGTCTCTGTGAGCGGCCGAGGGCTCGGAGCAGTTTGACCATTGCTCCTGCTACCAAGTTCTACTTTCTCTGATAGAATCGAGTCTTAGATATTGTTGTTTCTTGTAGTGGCAGAGAACAACATAGTCTTGTAAAGAGGTAATATATAGAATTAACGCCTATTGTTATCTCACTAGATGGTAAAGAACCTGCATCTATATATTTAAGCGTTGAATGGCGGAATGCAACTATTGCCCTTCTATTGTAGTATAGTTGATGTTTCTTTATGATTGCACACCGAGTACACCTCTATAACTAGTAATGCCAATATAGACGAATAGAGAATTTGCAATCCAAGTAGACCTATACAGAGAGATCATGAATTAGAATGGTTGTTGTTACAGGATTGGGCCCATGTTCTCACATTTGGTCGGTTCGAGGTGTCGAAGAATTTAGGGGTTTTACGGAATTTCGCAAAGCACAAAATAATTGAGCCGCCTACCGATCGCGACTTCAGCAGACAGCCACCAGAGTATTGACGATCCCTAATGCCGAGCAAAGGAGAACAGAGTCACATCTCCGGCTCACCGGTCTATGTGGTGCTATTTGCCACTTTCCGTGTAATCACCGAAAGGATCAAGTAAGTTTGCACTTGAACCGTTGCACCACAAACGATGATAGTGTACTTGTTCTGCGTCACAGTGAACCGGTCTCGGGCAGTAGAGGAAGAGATTATCAGATAAGATTACAATCATGATCAGTTGTGAAGCGGAGCATCAGACCACGATCAACCAATAAGTCGCCATGTCTGGAGCAAGGGTTTGGCAGAGCAAGCGAGCCGCAATGGTCTCGATTGCCAAAAGAAGACCCCGAGGCCGGGATCAGGCGATTATCAGATAAAAAAGCCTCAAGGTATGGGATGGGTCTCTACCGAACTGCATGTGGTCCAGCGCAGAGGTGCCACGTTGATCGGCACGGTCACGCAGACGCAGGTGTGGGTTGAGGAAGCAAATCCGCCCTGCCCACGAGCAAAGTGGCACAAGCTTAAGCGGGAAACACCAGATTCCACTGTTTTCTCTCGGCAGGGTCCCCAGACATGTCCCATATCCCGCGGAGCTCGGTAGCTTATGCCTCTAGTGCGCCCAGACAAGGCCAAGAAGCCCAGAGAAAGGCTTGGGATGAGCTTCAGGCAGACTTCCGCAAAAGTGGTGTGAGACCGGTCTTTTTTTTTTTGATGGTCTCTGCATCAAGCGAAGATTTTCAAAACACTGCTCCGACAAGGGGCCAGTACTCACTTGGCTCGCTTCACAGACCAACAAGCGATATCGGAGTCAGTCTCAGATGTTTTCAGTCAACGTGGCATTACTGGCCACTTTGTGACTCGGATGTCTAGCAGGGAATGAAATTGTAAGACCTATGGGAGGAAGGATGCAGTTACCACAGAAGTCGATTCCGAAGCTGTATCTACCAACTAGTAAACATGACAATCACTGGACGAGCCCCGAAGCAAGGCGGCGGCCATCCTCTCTTCGACCTCATCTTACTCCAGCCGACACACAATGTCGTGAAGTCAGTGGCCAAGTTCACATAAGTTCACGCCTGCCTAGACCTAAGTCGAGCCGAGAGGCCCCTGAATCCCATGGCTGAAATTATCTGCCTGAACTTGCTTGATGATGGCCGCGGCATCCTGCTTAGGGGTAGTGAGCTTGCGGTGGGCATAGCTTCTGAAGCCCGGAACCCTGGCCAAGAACCTCAGGAAGGCCTTCTGGCCGGGCAGAGATCCGGTGCGCTCCTCGTATAGCATGAAGCAGATGCAGACAATGATGAACAGCCAGTAAATGTTGTATGAGATGACCGATCCATAAGTACCGGTGTTTTGCCAGCCCAAGATGGCATTGAAAATGCCCCAACCGTGATCAAGCTCCGGGCTGCAGCAGTTGACATGCCAGACCGTCTGCCTGATGTTGTATGAGCCAGGGCCGCTGCCAGACTCGGCAACGTCACCGCCGACCTGCTGTGCGAACTTGTAAAATTGCAAGCTCCAGATGGATTTGGAGAACATGCCTGCTGCGATCAGGTACAGGAGGCAGGTGGAGGCGATGAGGAAGTATTGAATGGCCATGTAGTTGCCGCCACGGTAGATGAGGAAACCAATAAGCAGGCCTGCGAGGATGCCGGTGATGACTGGGATAGGGAAAGCCGTGGCGGGCAGGCCGAGTGAGACACCACCAATGAAGACCACGGCCTCGAGACCTTCGCGGAGGGTGGTGATGAAGGGCAGAATGAACATGGCGTACCGTCGAGACCATTCCCCGAACCTCGAGGCAGCGTCCTTGTGATGGGTCTTTGCGGCCAGAGCTTGGGCAATCTTGACCCTCCATTTCTCCTTGGTCTTGTTGACGCGTAGGATGGCAAGTCCCATGACGGTGATGATGATGCTGGCAATCAGGTAGAAGATGCCTTCCCAGAGATCCTCGGATTCCGCCCAGAGGTTATGACCCAGGCCGTAGAAGACGCCGATGAAGGCGCCTCCGATGATGAGGGCTATCAAGATGCCGCCCAGTGAACCCGCCCATACTTGTCGCCTCAGTCGCTTATAGATGACGGGGTCCTGGTGAGGTTGGCCCAAACACTGCTTCAAGAAAGAAAGCAGCACCGACACAATGATGACTGCCTCGAGACATTCTCGAAAGACGATGAAAAAGATTGGAACACCAAAGACGTTCGTCATTGTGATCTCGCGATGGATTAGATGAGATAAGATGCTGCAGCTTTCCGCCTCGATGTAGCGGAAAAGGGGAGGACACAGAGATGTAGCCCGGCGCGAAAAAAGGCCTTTATGTTTATTGCTCGGTGCGCACCCAGCAAATTAAGATCGGAGGACGAGAAAAGCTTAGGAAGGGTGTAGCATGACTTGTCTAGGAGACTAGCCCACAGAGCGGCGCCGGAGCGAGCGTGCCAAGACTTGAAGTGGCCGACAATAGGAATCGAAAATCCATCGCGCGGAAAAACAAAGAAAGAGTGGGAAGAACGGATGCTATTGTTTGAGCTACTCGTGAGACAAAGCAGGCCGAGTTTCGGGGGATGCAGGGCGGGAGTGTACAGCTGGGAGGGCGTATGGAGGCTCGTGAGTTGAAGCTGTGATCCCGCCAAGCCTCCAGGACCCATTTTGTTCTGACTAGTTCAGCCTCAAACAGGTGATTGATCATCTGATAACGAGAAACGATAAGATAATGGCGGGCGCGAAATACGAGCCTGGGATGCAGGGTAGGTGGCTAGTAGTTTGAGGGCTTTTACCAGGGGGGGCCATCAAGGGACAAGCAAAAGGGTAAAGTTTTCGTCGTGGTGGAGGCCAGGATTCTGCTGGCATTGGGCGGGCAGAGGCCTGGAGCGAGCATCTGATAACTTTGATGCCAAATGTCTAGAACGCCAAGACCTCCGCTAATCAATCTAAGATAATCGCTCCATCCAGATCAGCTTGGGGATTGGTAGACGAGACCCCTTTCCCCGTGCGACACTTTGCACTCCTGGTGGACACTTGTTGGGTGAGAGAAATTTTTCACATGGGGACAATCAAGGCGACGCCCCGTGCCCGGTGAGAATCCACCTTTTTCCATTTGACCTGCTGCCAAACTAGGGGCTATGACAGTCCTGAACACACCTAGTAGCCCGAGTCAAAATGGGCGGCTCAATAGGCGGCTCAATGAGCGGCTCTGTTGGACGAAACATGCTTGCCGGCATCGGGCTGTCCAAAAGACTGGACCATTTTACTTACCTAGTCTGAATTCTACAGTTGCCTCCGCTTCGAGTTCCGGCATGGCAACTCGATCTTGTCTTATCTCGTATGTAGAAAAACAGCAGGCTCTCCCTCCTTCAAGGTGGATTGTCAAAAGACTGGCTCATGCTCTAGTCCCTCATTGTCGACGACCTTTGAAGCCTTGGCAAGCTTCTGCTAAGCTTCTCTGTATTATATAGAGAGGCTGTACTACTGTGTGGTCGCTGCTACTACTATAGCACCCTTTGCAAGTATTTCACACGATTGCCATTGTCAACAACACCAACCATGGCGAAGCTTGTACAGCTGCTCCTCTTGACCCTCGGTCTGTTGCTCCTCTCGGGATGGACCACGGCTAAAACAGTCACTTACGACTTCAACGTGAGTTGGGTCAATGCCAACCCAGACGGACTCCTCGAGAAGAAGGTGGTTGGCATCAACGGACAATGGCCGCTGCCCGTCATTGAAGTCGACAAGGGCGACCGCCTCGTGGTGAACATGCACAATGGCCTGGGCGACAAGAACACCAGCATTCATTGGCACGGCATGTTCCAGACTAACACGAGCGACATGGACGGTCCTTCGATGGTCACCCAGTGCCCCATTCCTCCCGGGTACAGCTTCACCTACAACTTCACCGTCAACCAGAACGGCACGTACTGGTATCACTGCCACACCGACTTCTGCTACCCGGACGGCTATCGACAGGCGCTGATTGTGCATGACAAGGATGCCTTCTTTAACGACCAGTACGACGAGGAACTCACCATCACACTCAGCGACTGGTACCATGGCTTCGTCGAAGACATCCGCTTCCTGTCTCTCTACAACCCGACCGGTGCCGAACCTGTGCCTAACTCCTTCCTGCTGAACGACACACAAAACTCCAGTATTGCCGTCAAACCGGATACGACTTATCTGATAAGATTGATCAACATCGGCGCGTTTGTGTCGCAGTACTTTTACATCGAGAATCATACCTTCAGAGTCGTGGAGATCGACGGCGTATACACAGAACCCACCGAGTCCGACTTACTCTACCTCTCTCCTGCCCAAAGGTACTCTTTCCTGCTCACCACCAAGAACACAACCGACAAGAATTTCCCCATCGTCACCGTCGCCGACTCCGAGTTGCTCGATGTCATCCTTCCTGACCTTCTACTCAATAATACTAATTGGCTGGAATACAACGCCGACGCTCTGCACCCAGAGGCGGTCATGACTGTCGACACCTCGGCGGATCTCTACCCCTTGGACGACATGACCTTGGTCCCTCACGATGCCATGGAACTTCTCCCGGAGCCGGACCACGAGATTGTGGTGGACGTGGTCATGGCCAATCTCCGCAACGGCTTCGGGTACGCCTTTCTCAACAACATCACCTACACCAAACCCAAAGTGCCCACGCTCTACACCGTCATGAGCGCCGGCGACTTGGCCACCAACGAGCTTGTCTATGGCGAGTACACGCACCCCATGGTTCTCAAGCACAACGAAGTGGTGCAGATTGTGCTGAACAACCAAGACGGAGGCGCCCACCCTTTTCACCTTCACGGCCATCAATTCCAGGTCATTGAACGTTTCCCCGCTTATGGCGAGCACTTTTTCGACTACAAGGACGGCGACCCGGTGCCGTACGACCCTTCAAACCACACGGCTTTCCCGACCACCCCCGCGCGTCGCGATACCTTTGTGGTCCCGGCCAACGGGTACTATGTCATTCGCTTTGTCGCTGACAACCCGGGCGTGTGGATGTTCCACTGCCACATCGACTGGCATTTGGAACAGGGCTTGGCCATGGTCATGATCGAGGCGCCCGACGTGATTCAAAAGACGCACAAGATCCCTCAACAGCAATACGACGTGTGCAAGGCCGCCGGGATCCCGATCGAGGGCAACGCCGCGGCCAAAACCGAAAACTTTTTGGATCTGGACGGCCAGCCGGAACAGGTCGGTCCCATCGCCAGCGGCTTCACCGCCAGAGGTATCGTGGCCTTGGTCTTTTCTTGCATCAGCGCGGTGTTGGGCATGGCTTTCATCACCATTTACGGCTTGTCGGAGCCAAAGACTCTACAAAAGGACATGTCGTCGACCGATGATGACGTTACTCATGAAAGTGTACCTGCTGGTGATGCGGAACCCAAGATCGCCGCCGCCGCCGGTACTGGTGCTGGTAATGGTACAAGCACTGGCACTGCCCCACGGTAGAGGATGGAATAGTTGGGGTAGACGAAGAGGTCAAGAAGGGCTGGGAGGAGTATATCTGATGTCAAAATAGATGATGATTTCGCGTTTGCAGCAAGCTTGAGTTTTGTTTGCCCTACTAAGGTGCTGGGTATAATTCATTGGTACTCCCTACGGATACGAGTTCTCGTATTTAATACCACTCCGTACCTGTTCCCAATCAAGTTAAACCCGCGACCACGTGCCCTCGAGCTGAACTCAGCTACACTACCGAGTAAGACTACCTTAGTCGTACAGAAGTACGCGGTAGGGGAGTCAATCATCATCACCGCAGACAAAGGATCTTATTGTAGCCCCTACTAGGTACAATGTCTCTCGTCTGTTGCTGTCAAAAAGGGCCAATGGTCGACCGCTCTGTTGTTCAATATCCAGAAAGGTTGGGGGCCGGAAAACGACGAGAGAACTGCATACTGTAGGGTGTATGGATGTCACTGAAATAGTCCTTTGATTCCTCTTCCCTCGCTTTTTTTGATGTTCTGATCGCGATTTACGGTTCGTGATACCTTCAACTGATTGTTACAACACGTCTCTTATACTTCCGATCCGATAAGAAAAATGCGTAACGGCGGTCGAAGCAAGGGTTGCCGAACATGTAAACAGCGTCGAATCAAAGTGAGTCCAGAGTTCCCAAAATACCCTTGCCGGACATGTGTATGTGTGTGTGCGTCTCGTGGCTATACAATACGAACCCAGAAAGGAGGTTTCGCGACTCTAACCCAACTCTCTCAAACTTTAGTGCGACGAACGGACACCGGTGTGCTTCCAGTGCGAAAAGAGCAAACGTCACTGTACAGGGCCCGAGTCACCTTTCAGGTACCAGTACGGCTCGACAGACCAACACATCCAACTTCTTCGAGCACTGCAGACGGTATCCATCTCGAGGACCAATCAGAACGATGATGATGGCGCCATCTTACCGTCCAACTCCAGCATCGTCTCACAGCAGATCCGGGGATCTTCTTCTGACCATGGCCACCACGGCGCGGGGAAATCCTCGACGACTATGATACCCCCTACAGTCCCACTCAGCCAAGCGGCGAGGCTGGCAGCGTCTCTGGCGGAAGCGCTAGACTGGCCGAGCGAATTCGGACACCGCCTGCAACAGATGGGTGCCCATTACCGTCACCTGCCATATCGACTGGGGCATAGCAAGGCACTCGATGCGGCCGTCACCTGTGTGCTTGCGTCGTACAACCTCGTCTCCCACGGTCTGCCACACGACGAATTCGTCGAGCTCGCAAACTACGGCGTCGCCATCAGGGCACTGCGCGAGGAACTGTCGTTGGCCGATCACCCTGCGACCACGTCTTCCGAGACACTCTGCGCGGCCCTGATCATCGCGCAATACGAACTTCTCAAGCCGGGCCAGAGCAGCTATTCGTACGTGACGCTCGCCGGTGGTGTGTCCGCCATCTTCAGAGGCAGTGGGCCCGGCCGCATCCAGTCGGATTTCGAACTGGCCATCTTCTCGTCGCAGTACCCGGCCATCATCACGCAGGCGCTCCTCCGCGGGGAAGACTGCTTTCTCGGCGACCCCGACTGGGCCGGTGTCATGCGTCGAGGCGTCCCCTCTGACACGCCCGTACTCACCGAGTCATGGACCGCGATCGCCCGACTGCCGAATCTCTTGATCCGCATGCGATCCATCATGTCGTCCGAGCCCGGAATCTGCGACACCTCTTCGCCGCTGTATCCGTCCATTCTCCGCGACGCGTATGCCCTTCGCAAGGAGATCGTAAAGCATTCCGACACCGTCACCCGACTCCTGTCCCACCCTGGCGTCCACGAAGTATGTGCGAACGTGTACAAGGGGCCCTTGCCGCCGACGCAGGAGTGGAATCCCACGACCAAGAACGAATCGTTGTTCCCCCACCGGATCGTCAAACAGACGTCGATGTATCACGCGTGGGTCATCACTGTCAACGTCGTTCTCTCACGCCTGCTGCCTGACGAGAACGCGGCCTTGACGCTACAGACGGCGCAGGCGGCACGGCACATCATGGCGACTCTCGATTTTGTGTCCGCCACCAAACCTTTTGGGGCCATGTACATGACATATGCGGGACCGATGGTGTACGGTGTGAGTGGAGCGAGTGAAAGGATGACTCTCCTCGAGAAGATGACGGATTTGTTTCGCCATTTCCGGATGCATTTCGACCACGCTTCAATGATGACCGTATTCGAAGCGGTCACAGGTGGACCAGTGTTGACCGGGTCGGCGAGTGTGTTCGCAAAGGGCTCAGGAACAAATTCGACCTCATCGCCGGCATCTTCGATCTCGACTGGACAGTAGAAACAAATACATGATTGAGGATATCCGGTCAGTCAGGCGAGGTATGACGTCTACCTCATGGGACACAGAAGCAACTTGCGTGTACTACTGAGGTATGAATTCACCCTGCGTGGAGTGAATGCCATGTTGACTGTACCTCTACATGTATTTAAACCAGTGAACTCCTCTTCAACATTGATCGCCTTGATGGCCCAACTAGTAAAGACTCACCGCGTCGAATTGCGACCTTGTTAACCAATGGTTCGGAGGTTGGGCTTATCCTTGGAAACCAGCTTTAGTGGGCATTAAAACTGGGAGTCGGCAGGTTTCCATGGCCATGGTACTACACTCTACAAGCAGTTAAGACTTTCCTAGAGGTACGAAATGGTCATAGTCGGGATAAGTAAAAGAGAAGCCAGTTCCTGGGTTCGAACCTCTTAACTTTTTGTTTTTGCTGTAGGATTTTTGTTGCTTTTTTTTGGTGGTGGATGTGAAGGAGGTGAAGACGCGAGCCACGGATCAAGTTTCCCCTTATTAAGAGGTGTGTAAATAAATAGTGGACAAGGCTGAGATTGTAAAAGCAGCAAGGCTCGGATATTTCTGAGCGCATGCAACTTCTTTGTTCTTACTCTGTAGAAATTGAGTAGAAGAGCTCTAGGGCGCTTCGGGTTTTTATTTTTTTCGTCTCTCTTACCATTGATTGAAAAATTGGAGAGGCCAAGGAGTTGAGTGACGAGAAATTGTGTCCATTCTTGTTTTTCTTTGCGCTTGTACAGCCGCCTCAATCTCGCCCTGTCGAAAAAAGTCATGGCCGAAAAAGCTCCTCCCTCACTCGCGGCAGTGGCGGTGTCCTCCCTCATTCTCGGCCTGCTGGCAGGCTACTTCATTGGGCAAGGCAGTAGTATCGGCGTATTCGGTGGTTCGAGCGGTCCAACCGGACTCAAGAAGAGTTGGCCCAACAGCTACGACGTGAAAGTCCATGCAGATTCGAGCGACGAACAAGCAGATGATGAGGACGAGGATGAAGACGAAGATGAGGAAGGGGACGGAAACGAGCTCAAGGATTTCAGAGATTCCAAGGAAGAAGTCAAGCTGGTACTGGCGGTCAGGACGGATCTAGGCATGGGCAAAGGTTGGTTGTGAGAGAGTGAGAGAGAGCGCGCGAGAGAACGTGCGTCATTGCAATGAGCGCTCTACTGACGAAACAACAGGTAAGATTGCTGCACAGTGTTCCCATGCCACACTCGCCTGCTACAAGTACCTGGTCAACCATCCGTCGTCTGCACCTCTGCTCAAACGCTGGGAATGGGGAGGACAGCCCAAGATCGCGGTACAGGCCAAATCTGAGGAAGAGCTGGAAACGTTACAGGCACAAGCGATGAGTCTTGGTCTCTGCGCAAGAATCATCCACGACGCAGGCAGGACACAGATTGCAGCTGGAAGTGCTACGGTGTTGGGAGTCTTGGGACCCAAGAGCGTCGTTGACCAAGTGACGGGACAGTTGAAGTTGTTGTGAGCGGAGCGCGAATGCATCAAGAGAGAGAGACGTACTGTCGTCATCGACAGAGGAGCTCTTTGATCAGAGTCGCTGCCGAATAGAACGACTCCGGCGCCCGGTATGGTAACCTCTCTACACCAGGCGTACGAGGCACATTTCCACTTTTATAGTGGAAGGCATTAAGCAACACGAAGAGCCTCGCTAGCCAGTATCAGTCACGACGTGTATGAGTAAAGGCGCCTTGACTCTCTGAGAGCTGAAGTTTTCGTCAAAAGCTGCGTCGGAAGGATGGCTGGTGATCGACTGTCACTCATCGGCATGAATCCGAAATCCAGCCGATACAAGTGTATGATGGGATCCGGACTGGAGACAAAATATTAGGGATCAAGTGCCCCATCAGCCTTGTTACAGAGCTATCGACAAGTCTTGAAAAATTCGTCAACGACAGCCGAGCACGTAGTAATACGTGGAGAACATCCATTGATGGCCCCGTCAAAATGCTACAGTATTTACTGTCTGTCAACATTGAGCAGCCTTGATATCAGGGGTTGCGTTGAGGCCAGATGGTAGTACATATTTATTAGTGCGGCTGACAGCAGATTGCAGTTATTGCGAACAAGTCCTGATTGCCTACAGAGGGACATCAAGAAAAATTTACCTCCTTCCCTACCTATAATTTGATATTCAGAGCGTCTTCGCTACCAGTACCGAGTACGTGTGCGAGTCGCACCAGCTGCACCAGCGTCATTTGATGTGGGATGAGAAAGAGAGGCCTCCCGGATCGAGCACCTCTAGTGATCGACTTCTCCGCAACTCCGCCCTGGAAGCTCCACCATGTGGGCGACTGTTGTACAGTATACGTCCATGTGGGCCGAATACGCCCATCTCTACAAGTACACAGCTTGCAGTCAATCAGAGATCAACAAATGGTTTCATACCCTGATTCAGTGGTCGGATCATGACCTGTGGAGTATCCTTGCGTTTCCGAAACGTGACCTGTCATCGTCGGACACATGGCTGCAACTTGCTGTGTACTGGTAGGATGTTGATTGAGAAGAAACAAGACATATAGTAGTAGGGTGGCCACACAACAGCAAAGAAACCCTGAGCCTGATTTCTTTTGCCAGCACGACGGGAAAAAACAACAACAAACAGGATGGCACCGGCGACTCACTCAGAAAAGGCCGCGCTGTTCTCGCAGCTGCGCATCATCGCCATCACCTATCCGCTACAGCTCATTGGTGCCTTTATCGTTCTTCGTCTATTCTGGAACAAGTTCCAACGACACTTGGTCTCGATCCCAGGCCCGCCGGTCGCCGCCTACACCAAGTTCTGGAGGCTGTACGACGTCTGGAAGGGGAAAGCACACCTGACGGCGATAGAGGTGCATCGAAAGTACGGTCCACTGGTCCGTATCGCGCCGAACCACGTCTCCATCGCCGACCCGTCCTACATCCCCATCATCTACAACATCAAGGAGAACTTTACAAAGTCGGCCTTTTACCCCATCCAATGCGTCTCGTGGAAGAAGAGGCCGGAGATGAATTTGTTTTCGACGCGGGACCCAAACTACCACCGGGTGGAGAAGCGCAAGGTGGGCGCCGCGTACAGCTTGCCCAACCTTCTCGAGTCGGAAGAGGCCATCGACTCGTGCATAACGCTGTTCATGCAGAAACTGGACAAATTCGCGACGGACAAAAAACCTGTCGATCTGGGAGCTTGGCTACAGTACTTTGCATTTGACGTCGTGGGAGAGGTCACGTTCGCCAGCAAGCTGGGCTTCTTGGACCAAGGTCGGGACGTGGACGGCATGATGAAGGCGATCGAGGGCATGCTCACCTACGCCGCCCTGTGTGGGCAAGTGCCGGAGTACCACAAGTTCCTGCTGGGCAACCCGTTGTTTTCCATGCTGATGCCGGCCATGGAGACGTGGAACCAGGTGCTCGTGTTCACGCTCAAGGCCATCAACGGACGCGCTTCGATCAAGAGGGACGGGGAACTCATCAACGCCGACGTCGAGGGGAGGGACATGCTTTCCAGGTGGGCCTACGTCAAGTCCTCGGATCCTTTGAAGATGAACACCCGAGACATCATCGTCCATCTGTCGACCAATGTTTTCGCGGGGAGCGACACGACGGCCATCGCCCTCCGGGCGGTCATCTACTACCTCTGTCGCCACCCGGAGTGCATGGCGAAGGTGGTCGGAGAGATCGACGCGGCCGACAAGGCGGGAAAGTTGAGCACGCCCATCAAATACAAGGAATCCACCAACGACCTACCGTACTTCAACGCCGTCCTGAAAGAGTCCATGCGCATCCACCCGTCCGTCGGGCTATTGATGGAACGACACGTGCCCGCCGAGGGCGTCGACGTCGACGGCCACTTCATCCCCGGTGGGACCATCGTCGGTATCAACCCGTGGGTGACGAACAGGGACCCAGAGGTGTTCCCCGACCCGGACGAGTTCAAGCCCGAACGGTGGATGGAAGGTTCCGAGGCGCACTTGAAGCAGATGGACAACATTCTCGAATTGAACTTTGGTGGAGGGAGTAGAAAGTGTATTGGTCGGAATATCTGTAAGTTGTTTTTTGTTTTTCTCTTTGGTCTCTTTCCCAGATCGTGCTTTTATTTTCCTTACCCACATGTATGGGACCAGGCTTTCAGTCTTTACCCATCTGGACAGTGCTAATTTTGCCTCGTTGTATACAACTACAGCAATGATTGAAATGCAAAAAGTCGTACCACAATTACTACGAGAGTTCAAGGTCGAATTGACTCATCCCGAGAAAGAATGGCATATTTGTAACCATTGGTTCGTACAACAGGAAGGTGTGATTTGCAATTTGACGAGAAGGACAAAGGGATGATTTTGATATTTTGGATTTTAATGAATCATGACATGTCACAATCAACCGAGAATGAAATGAAAGAAAGGAAATATTGTATGAACCATTTTCCATATGTCGCTAAATCTAATCATCGTTGCTGTAACTTCTCGAGTATTTTGTGTAAAAGACGGGGAATCCCCGAAATCAACACATTGTCGGACATGGAGTCGACGTCGCGTACGATCCTGATGCTCTTTTTTGTTGCACATCGACCCCTACCCGTTCATGCATATTTTGTCGCGAGTTCTTCGCTCCGGTTTTGATATTGTGACCGGTACTTGTTGAGAAGGTCGAGTGAGATTTTGGATCCTCCACAGACGACGAGGACGACCTTGGACTCGGGCCGGAAATTTCGAAGGTAATGTTTCAACCTGCCATCGTAGGCCAGTGCGACGCTGACGCCACAGGCCGGTTCGACCAGGTATCGCTCGTCGTCGAGGAACCGCCAACACGCCGAACAGGCCTCGGCGTCTTCGAGGACGACCGGCGTGACGGTCGGGCGTCTTCCCTGGACGAAAGCGTTCTCCGCCACCTGGATGGCCCCCAAGGACGTGGCGATGGACGTGATGCCGGGGAGGGTGACCAACCTACCCTTTTCGACCGACTGCGCGAGGGAATCGGCACCCACCGTCTCCACCGGCATCACCTGTACCTCGTCCCCCCAACCGGCTCGGTCGAGACCCATCATGATTCCGGAGAATAGACCTCCGCCGCCGACGGAACACACGACGGCGTCCGGCGGTTGTCCGTCGGGCATTTGTTTCTTCATCTCGTCGACCATGGTGGATGCCCCCTCCCACACCGCGGGCTTGTCGAACGGGTGGATGTAGATGCCACGCTCGCCGTGCCTTTCTGCCGTCGGAATGACGGTCTCTCGGAGGTAAGTGTCGGCGTGGAACCAGGTCGCTCCGTGGACGATGACTTCGCTCGCACCGGCCGAACGAAGTTTGTCGATCGTCCACTCGTCCGTGCTCTCCGGCACCACGACCGAGGCTTTGTATCCCAAGGAGACGGCCGCGGTGACGCAGGCCAGTCCAGCATTGCCGCCGGACGATGAATAGAAATGAACGTCTCGAGTCTTGTCGGAAGGGTCTTGGGATTGTATGCTGCTGATCATCGAGTTACCTATGCCCCTTGATTTGAATGACCCTGACGGCTGAAGGTTTTCGAGTTTGAGAAATATTCGGCTGTCGCATAAGGTCACCTGTTAGTATGGGTTCTTCGGGGAGGAGCTGGTCATGTGGAGAGGGTAGTACCATCCGGCAATTTTGGAGAGAATACTCGACTCCAGTAACGGCGTTTCGATCCATGGTTGCTTATACGAGGTCATGATTTGGTGTGTGTTTGTTGATCTCTATGAGTTGTGAGTGTGCCGTGCTCTTAGTGGCTAAAGGGGGTTGGGTTGTTGGGGTGGAACAAGGTACTCGTAACAATCAACCTATGATGGATATACTACCTATATATCTTGAAATGTCGACTATATAAAATCCACGGTAGCAAAGTACAGTACACGTCAAGTTTCGTAAGTGTTTCTGTCGGTACGGATACTTAGCCGTGATTTCACGCCCTTCCGCAATGAAAATATGTCAGCGTGTTAAATAGATGTGGAGCAGACGAGCCATTCTTCCCAGGCAGGTCCTCATGGTTGCATCAAGGTCTTGTGGATCATTTTTACAAGGTGATGACAAGGCTCTGAATGCTTGGGAAACTCCACGTAGTTCTGGAATGATACTTATCAGGAACATTCAGCTGAAAGTGTGAATGAGATGAGTATTGTTGTACGGAGCGGTAGGGCGAGAGATGACAAGGAATACACTCCGCGGTCGAGCTGAAATAAATACATGACTCATTTTCCTCGAAACCTGGGGAGGCGCGTGTATGATGTACTCGGTATAAACGGGAAGAATGTTTTGAATTTATCTCTTGTTATCAAGCTATATACACTGTCGTTGAGTAGTATAGGTGGTAGATATCTGTATGTCCTTGTACCTTTGACCCCTCCAGAATCGGCCCAAAACCGGCGGCCTGTGATTATGTCATTGCAAAATTTTCACCGGCCTCGGAGAAGGCAAGAGACTTTCCCCGCATCCATCGAACTCGTACTCGTTCTCGTACACTCATCAGTCACTCACCCGTGAACTGACTGTGCAGTCACTTTTTCTCCTCCCACCCAAATCCCTCCCAACCTCTTAGCGAACAAGACACCCGAGTCTCTCGCAGCCCCATATATTGTACCATCAAGCCGCGGCCACTCACCAGTCGCAAGTACCCGCGTAAACCCAGCTTTTGCCCAGGGGCCCTATTTTTCTCTTTGATCTTTCCCCCATCCACCGTCAAATCATCATCGCTGTTTTTTGACTCATAAAAAAATCCCGGATAACTTACTTGCTCTACCTCACACCGCCCGTGAATCTTCTACTCTTCTTCCCTTTCTCCATCATCAAACATACCCTCGACTCGAACTCATCTCTACGAGTACGATTATTTCTGTGTCACTCCCGGTTCTTCATACCTCTCTACACCGACCTACACTCCTCACACACATCATGTGCCCCTCAGCAGACGACACACCCACCAACGGTGTCAACGGACACTCGAACGGTGTAAATGGCCACGCGAACGTTAACGGTAACCGCGATGGTTATACCGGAATCCAAACGAGAGCGAACCCCGGCCCTCTGAATTCCCGAAACCCATACCTCCCCGTTGGTGACTTTCTCAGCAACATCAACAAGTTCCAGATCATCGAAAGCACGCTAAGAGAAGGAGAACAATTTGCCAACGCCTACTTCGACACTGCTAAGAAGGTTGAGATTGCAAAGGCACTCGATGAGTTTGGAGCCGATGTAGGTGACATTTGCTGAGCTGCGACGCTCATCGTCATCTGCAAACCTTTCCTGACATTGCTCACAGTACATCGAACTCACCTCCCCAGCCGCCTCGGAGCAGTCTCGCAAGGATTGCGAGGCCATCTGCAAGCTCGGTTTGAAGAGATCCAAGATCCTGACACACATTCGATGCCACATGGACGATGCCAGAATAGCGGTCGAGACTGGTGTTGACGGTGTGGATGTTGTTATTGGAACATCCTCATTTCTGAGAGAGCATTCCCATGGAAAGGACATGTGAGAACTACTCTGTTTATCCGCCGACAAGGCCCGAATTCTGACGCTTTACAGGACTTATATCAAGAACACCGCAATCGAGGTCATCGAGTTCGTCAAGAGCAAGGGTATTGAAATTCGATTCTCCAGTGAAGATTCCTTCCGATCTGATCTGGTCGACCTTCTTTCTCTCTACCAGGCTGTCGACAAGGTCGGCGTGAACGTGAGTCATCCCCTTCATGCACAAATGCATGAAATATATTAGGACCCCTCCTCTCTTCTCTATCTCTACTTTTAGACCAGCCACTAACTTTTTGCAGAGAGTTGGTATCGCAGACACTGTCGGTTGCGCTTCACCACGTCAAGTCTACGACCTCGTCCGTACTCTCAGGGGTGTTGTCAGCTGTGACATCGAATGCCATTTCCACAACGATACCGGATGCGCTATTGCGAACGCTTACTGCGCTTTGGAGGCTGGTGCCACCCATATTGATACCTCGGTTCTTGGTATCGGTGAGCGAAATGGTATCACCACTCTTGGTGGTCTGATGGCCCGAATGATCACCGCCGACCGAGACTACGTCAAGGGCAAGTATAACTTGGAGAAGATCAAGGATATTGAGGAGTTGGTTGCGGAAGCTGTTGCTGTCAACATTCCTTTCAACAACCCCATCACTGGATTCTGTGCCTTCACCCACAAGGCTGGCATTCACGCCAAGGCTATCCTCGCCAACCCAAGCACATACGAGATCATCGACCCGTCCGACTTTGGTATCGGAAGATACATCCACTTTGCCTCCCGATTGACCGGCTGGAATGCCATTAAGTCGCGAGCACAGCAACTCAACATTGAAATGACCGATGCACAATACAAGGAAGTCACCGCCGCCATCAAGAGACTGGCCGATATTCGACCAATTGCGATTGACGACGCCGACTCGATCATCCACGCCTACCACCGCGCCTTGATGGCAGGCAAGAAGAATCCAGGAAACGAGGTCGAACTTCCTAACATGACCGAGAAGGAGAAGAAGCTCCTGGCTGAAAAGCAACAGCAAGAGGAATCGATACCCGAGAAGAGACAACTAGACGAGACTGTTGCGGATGAGGTCTCTGAGGGACGTGCCGCCAAGAGGACCAGAACGAATGGTGTCACCGCCTAGAGGATGACGCAGCATGATCTTTTTTCCTATGATATTCCACGGCTCTGGAGAAGTAAAAATCTGGGGTTATTTTTCGGCGTCATTGAGGCATGGTCTATCTCAGCAGTTATGTATATATCAACGAGCTTGTTAAATGAGCTGAACGCGCGAGAGATAGAGACCAGAAAAGGGGAAAAACAACCAAAAGTGGCATTTTCTTCCTAGACGAGTGAGAGATAAAGTGGCACAATACAAGATAAAAACCTTGATACCAACATAGCCTCGCAAAACAGTGCACTCTTACGGAGGATGTTGTGTTCTATATTGCTCGCCATCCGTACTTCGTAATTTGGGCAGAATCACTTGGTATACGAAATACGAGTTCCGAGTTGCGCTGGAAAAACCGCCATGTGCGAGTGGCGAACAAAAAAGTGCGCAGCCAACCAGTAGCATACGGAGAAAAGAATTCCCTTGTGCCTAGGCACGAGTACGAGTGGTGGGTAACCTGCGTCACATCTCAACGTGTACATACTCATTCGGCGCTTTATATGTTCGTCCACCTTCTTTCTCCTTTGTCGTGCTACTTCGAACGAAATCATTTGCCTTGTGATGTCTTTTCGATAGTCTCTACGCCTCCCTCCTCGCTTGCCCTCCTCCATCCCGCAGCAGCAATGGGTTCATCACCTCTCCCCGTCAGCTTGCAGAGCAAGTTCCAAAGGCGTCGGCCCCAAGCAGCAGCAGCCATGTCACGATTGAGGGACCACCAGGGCAACTTCAACATCCTACGAAACGTCATCTTTGTCCTGTTCTTGCTCCGGATCCTGCGCAAGTCGTTCTACTTCCTCCGCGGACACGGCTTGATCGGTTCGGTGCTCGTCCTCTACCGGTACCTCCACAAGAATGCATACAAATTTTTCCTAAGTCTGCCGGGAGTGAGGTCCCAAGTGGCCAAACAACTGGTCGCGGCGCGCAAGGACATGGAGGACAAACTGGTTCCCTCGGGTCCCGGGACGAACCACTACTTGCACCTACCGAAGGAGCCTTGGACGAAAGAACAACTGCACACGGAACTCGAGTCGCTGGTGGCCATGAAGCGGACGCGCTGGGAAGAAGGAAAGGTCTCGGGCGCCGTGTACCACGGCGAGGATTTTCTCTTGGACATTCAGAGTGAGGCCATGAGGCTGTTCAGCGTCGCGAACCCGATCCACGCCGACGTGTTCCCCGCGGTCCGGAAAATGGAGGCCGAGGTGGTGGCCATGGTGCTGGCCCTGTTCAACGCGCCCGAGTCCGGGGCCGGGGCGACCACCTCGGGAGGCACGGAGTCGATCCTGATGGCTTGTCTGTCGGCGCGGCAAAAGGGTTATACAGAAAGAGGCATCACGGAACCCGAGATGATCATCCCCAGCACGGCCCACGCCGCCTTCCACAAGGCCGCGAGCTACTTCAAGATCAAACTGCACCAGGTCGCGTGTCCCGCCCCAGAGTACATGGTCGACGTCGCCCGAGTCAGGAGGTTGATCAACCCCAACACAATACTGCTCGTCGGCTCGGCACCGAATTACCCTCACGGCATAGTCGACAACATCCCGGCCCTGTCGAAATTGGCAGTCTCTTACAAGATTCCTCTTCATGTCGACTGCTGTCTGGGTTCGTTCATCATGCCTTGCTTGGCGAAAGCCGGTTTCCCTTCCCCTTGGGCCGACGAGGGTGGGTTTGATTTCCGTCAGCCCGGCGTGACCTCCATAAGCGTCGATACGCACAAGTACGGATTCGCCCCGAAGGGAAACAGCTGCGTTCTCTACAGGAACCGCGAGCTCAGAGAGTACCAGTACTTTATTTGTCCCGAGTGGGCTGGCGGCGTCTACGGGTCACCCAGCATCGCCGGGTCACGTCCCGGTGCGCTCATCGCGGGCTGCTGGGCCAGCATGATGGCCATCGGCGAAAAGGGATACGTCGACGCCGCGCACAAGATCGTCAGCACGAAATTGACCATCGAGAACGCCGTCAAGGAACACCCCGTCCTGAAAGAGACACTCAGGATCCTAGGTCGACCGATGGTCAGCGTGGTCGCGTTCGAGTCCATCGACCCCGCCGTGTCCATCTACGACGTCTCCGACGCCATGTCCCACCGAGGGTGGCACCTGAACTCGCTCCAGGACCCTCCCGGCGTCCACGTCGCCGTGACGCTGCCGATGACGAGACCGGGGGCCGTCGACGGTCTGATCGACGACCTCGTCGCCACGATCAAGGAGGAAAAGGAGAAGGCCGTGGAAAGATTAAAGGCCGGGGGACCGATCGAGAAAGGAAAAGGCTCGAGTGCCCAACTGTACGGCGTCGCCGGTAGCATACCGGACAAGAGCATCGTCGAGAAGATCGTCGTCGCTTATTTGGATACCCTTTATAAAGCGTGATGGTGGGAATTTTCGTCCCTCGACTACTTTGCGGTACGACTTTTTTTGTGGATTCATAGCCTGAATTATGTCGCCGTCATAGCCATTATTCAATTCATATATGACAAACATAATTCACTCATGTGTTGGCAGATATGGTCAAGCGTGATGTCGTTTGCCTTTGTGCTTCAGACATTTCTGATCCTCTATCGCTTTGCTCGCCTTGAGATGAATTATGAGGGTACAATATGAAGTATAAATTGACACGACCTGGTTAACTAGGTAATTAGATATTCATGTCGGAAACCCCCCAAGTCCATTCTGCCAAAGCACCTGCTCTCAAAATCGTTCTTCTCAAGGCCAGGGAGTTCACTCGACTGTATACGTATGTTGTTAGTGCTTGCCTCGAAAGAGCCCTTCCACTGCTCGGTCGTTGTCGTGAGTTGCCTCAAACCGGCCCCTGTGGAAGAGGCCTAGGGAGGGAAAAGAGTGTCGAAATCTAGTACTAGGTCTCGACTTGTAAAGAGAGGTGTTGGCAGAGTACGCAGCGTGAGAGGCCCTGGGAAGCCTGACATTGGCTTGGTTATTCGTTCCACCACATAGAACTTCTCGGTTAGAGATGCTGGCATTCCCACAATTGAAAAATCGAGATAGACAAAGACTCGTGCTGTGCGAATGCCGGCTTTGCGTACGTGAACCCTTTTGAAAACTTGTATCTCGATCCGCTGCTTCTGGAGCATTGGGGAATCGAATGCGATTTCCGCGTCCTCATCGACTGTCCCGCCTCCTTCATACTGATACTCATAATGGGAACTTCCAACTTCACCCATTCCCTCGTTGACATTGGCAATTTCAAACACGCAGATGTTGCTGCTACCAGTGAGATTAGCTGTAATAACGATGGAATGACTCTTACCAACGCAAGCGGCCCGTACCGAGGGTGCTCAAAAACCCTGGGCAGTCAGACCTTGGGCAAATAGCCTCAGAATCACTCCCTCTGGTAGAATAAAGCTCTTCAAGAAGTATAGACATTTGCACCGTTGCCCCCGGAAAGACGGTATTCCTCCACTGGGCAGGCACAATTTCGCTGCCTCCCCGTTGCATATCCAGCAGAACATAGGCTCCTTTCCCAATGTGGTCTTCACCTGGGAATCCTTCGAATTGATGGCGTAGAAACCTATCCACCATCTGCTTCTGAATTAGAAGAAAAACACCGAGAGAGAAGGGCATTCATACGTCGAAATGCTGAAAGTACTCGTAGGGCAACAGTTTCGATCGTCCTAGAACGTCCTCAAACAGGATGCTGTCCTGCGTGTGGAGGCAAGGAGTACGGCTGAGATGATCCTGTACCGTCCGAAGCATGCCGTACATTTCGAAATGAGAAGCCCTTGAGGATTAGTTCAACGTGTGTGCGAGAGCCCAGGGAGCATGGTCATACGTGATCCTCCGTAACATGTCGCGGAATTCGTGAGGCAGACTACTGAATCTTTTCAGATGTTAGCTCATCTTCTCAATTGCCATTTTGTAGACTCACGTTGCTAGGACCTTGGCCCAGTTCTGCGTGAGGCTGGTCATGGCATGAGATAACGATCTGTCCCTTTTGTCGGCCTCGTCTAACTTCGACACTATTTGTTGCGTATTGTCATCGAAGCTTGTCTGAAGCTTCCTCTGGCCGTCACCCACTTGCTGCAGCGTGTCCGTCTGGCTGACGACCGAGCTGCTGATACGAGTCTGCTCGACTGACATGGACTCGAGTTTGGAGAACAACTTGGGAAGTCCTTCGTTCGTCTGTGCTGCGACTCTGCCTAAATTCTCGCTGATCACGAGTTAGCGACAATGGCAGATATGATTCACAGACCTTACGCATTTTGGACTGAAAGAAGCAAATTCAGACTGAGAACTTTCGCTGATATCATGGCTCGGAGCTTCTGCACTTCCTGTCCCATCTGAAGAGCCCATTGCGACTTTCGGATAGTCCCTCCAAGAGCAGAGCGCTTTGCAAAGGGGCCTAATCTCTGCTCAAACTTTTGGAGGCGCTGGAGAAACGCATTGAGAGGTATTTGGCACGTCAGGGCTAAGCAACGGATTGCATCGAGATGGGAAATATTATCCTCAGTAGGCTGAAGAGTCTGGATAGTCTCAAGCGTCCTCTTGAGACCTTGGAGCTCAATGTCGAGTTGCTGGTATTCGAACGAGGCGCCATCGACGGTACGCAAGGCTTTTCCAACTTTGACGATCAGCCCTATAGGCAGTGCAGTTAGCTTCATAGATGGCGCATGGTTGAATGTATGCAATAACCCGAATAAGTCTCGTGAGTTTGCCTGACTTGTTGGGGGCAAGTTTTACCTATCGCACACACGAAGTCACCTGCAGAGAAACCGAACGGAACTACCATTGTCCAGCCAATATGTTGTGGGCGTTACGGTCGGTTGGTTCCCGTAGTCTGAAACAAAGAGCACAAAGAATGCGAAAGTAGGTGATGGAGGAAGAATATCGCATTGATACTGTGTTTAGTGAGTGAAGGCAGAAAATCCAGCAAAGACTTCGTCAGGCTGAGTGGTGGCTGTGCGTCTTTGACCTTGGGCAAGCGAGGGACTCGCATGCATTCATTGGTAGACATTTTTGATTTCGCACGCAGCCTGCAAGACGCTCAATTTAGTTCAGCATCAAGCGATATCATTGGTGGTAACTCTACGAGTAGGTAGGTAATTCGCGGCCATGGAAAGGAGCACTCTGTATTTCTGTTGCTATTGCCGATTCGTGTTCTCAAGATATGATCACTGTGGTACAGGTAGGCATGCATGCATCTGCCTGCTCGAGAGGCCCAATGGCACCGTCGCGCTTGTCAGGTGTTTAGTAAATATACTTATATCTCGGGTGGTGGTCGCCGAGCATCTTGAACTGTTCATCCTCACTGAGATGCTCAATACCCTTGAGCAAGGTTTCAGGTCGCTCTTCCTTGATTCTGTTCAACCGTCGAAGCCATAAGAGTTCACAGACAGTAAGTCCCTGAGCAATGCATGCCACGGAAAGGTCGAACTTTGCGCCCAATGGATAGTACGGAGCGTCCGAAGTCGGATAGATCCACGTACTGATGATTCCGCCAATGGATGTGAACATTGCCATCAATGCAATCGCGGTTGCTCGTCTTGTGTAGCCGGCGGCGTTGTTTGGGAGCCAGCTGAGTCCACATGGAGCCATCGCGTAGGCTCCGGTAAAGAGAATGCAGATACCAGTGTACCGTGCCGCGAACCCACGCGCCTTGTACATCATCACTGCACCTACAATGGCGAAGACCAGCGTGATGTTGAGCGCGAAACCGCGCGCCTGGTAGCGGTCTGAACCAAGAGCGGCGAGGATGGTGACAATAAATGCGCAGGCATATGGTGGCACGGTGAGGAGTTGGGTGACGGTAGGACTGTACCCAAGTGCCTTGACAATCGAAGGCCCAAAAACCGAGAGGCCAAATCCAAGCACCGCGGCGCATAAGTTGATGGCGAGTAAAATCCAGACATGGAGGTCTTTGGCAACGGACAACACAGCTTTTATGGTCACCTTTTCCGTTCCAAAGCTGTTCGATTCTTTCTCCAAGCGGCGCATACAGTAGAGTTTCTCCTCCTCGCTCAACAGGCGGACTTGAGCAGGCGTGTTTGGCAGAATGAAAAAGGCGATAAGACCTACACCGATGGTGATGACACCTTCAATCAGGAAGATCCACTGCCAACCCCGAAGGCCGCCGTTGCCATTGAGCTGTCCGATTGCGGCGGCTAGTAGCCCAGAAAATGCGCCACTGAACGAGACCGCGGTAAAAAAGAAGGCGATTCGAAATTGTAGTTCAGTGCGTCGGTAGAAGCTTGAAAGGTACAATATCATGCCTGGATAAAGGCCCCCTTCGGTCAGACCCAGGAAGAATCGAGCAGCAACAAATCCTCCAAAAGACGTGACTTGGCACTGCAGAGCCGACACCAAGCCCCAAGATACACAGAGGAAGGGAATCAATCGCCGGGGGCCGATCTTCTTCAAAAGAAGATTACTCGGAATCTCTACCAGCATGTAGGGCACGTATGTAGTTGTAATTGCTAACAGACACAGTTTAGTATTTGATGATCGGTAAGAGGCTGCTTTTCAACGTACCAACTTTGTACTCCCAGTCCGTCAATTTGATGTCCTTGGTGAATCCGGCCTGATAAAAAGTGAGCAACCCAAGACGTACAAGGGCGGGCATCACCTCTGTACTTACGACGCGAGCATTGCCCACATTTGCACGGTCAAGATAGCCAAGCAGGTAGATGAAGCATATGATAGGCAGCAGATAGATGTCCAATTTTCGGTTCACTCGACGGTTGTACTTCGAGTCTTCTTCAGTGCCTAATGCCTCTTCGCTGTCGATCGAGGCATTTTCGACCTCGGTTTGATGCTCCTTCATTCCGTCCACTGCGATCATTGTGGCCCCTGGGGCACCATTCATTCCTCCAACCATTGTGTCACTCGAAGCCCAAGGGGGTGTAGTAGTAGTGCCTTTAAGCAGCAACTAAGAAGTATCTTGGTTAGGCGATCCTCACGGAGAAAATCCATGATCGAGCAGTGTTCATATATGCCATATATGTACTTCAATTCGGCTTCAGCTCATGCTGAAAGGTTCGGATGTGTTTCTGGAGCCTGGCCTCAGTCTGGGGATTCGCTTTGAATCTGGGGTAGAGTCTAACAATCCCAATTGCAGGATTCTCAGCCGTGGAGAAGATGGTCGTGGCGGTTGCGGAAGCAAATTAACCGAACACCCACCGCGTGTACGCCGGATCCACATATCGTTCAATTTGCCCCAGATCATCCCAGTTCACGAAGAAGAGGGGCGGCCTTTAGACATTCACCCTCCGCAGTTAGCGTCAGTGCCACTTGAACCTCACCGGGAGCAATTTTGCCGTACTTTTTCATAGCGAACATCGCCGTCCTGCATCACGGAACCAAGTTTCGGTCAGTCTGCCTCCGTGAGCTGGCACTGCTTCAAGGAAGGGCGCCGTTCCAGATATCTGTAATGGCTGGGCAAGGTTGGACTGGAAGAGAACGATCCGACGAAGACAGACCAGCCAAACGAGTCAGAATCGTAGCGGCATGTGAATCGTGTCGGTCCAGGAAGGTGAAATGTGATGGAAAGAAACCCGGTGAGTCTAACCGTACGGTATGCCAAGCAGCATGCGACAAGACCAGCTAGAAAAAATCCGCCCAGATCACTGACAACCTCTAGTATGCACCCCCTGCGCGAAGATACACGGCGGTGGCAAAGACTGTGTCTGGACTTCGCGCAGGTATCGAGGTGCTGGCATCTCCAAAGAAGACATCCTTCAATTGCGCCGCAGGATTGAAGACTTGGAAGGCGGTGGCAGGATAGCACTTGAGCCTCCTGAACAAAGTTCACCCCCGGAAAGCGCAGTAGATGATGAAGCCAACAAAGTCAACGCGATGATGGGCCTGGCTGATGAAGGGTGGCAAGAGAAAAGTAACGACTGGGATTCGAGTGCAAACAATTTCATTCGCCAGATCAAGACCATCCTCGCCAATAAAGCAGGCTCAGGGCTGTCGGAAATTGAAGACACACAGTCTCCAGCAATCTCCTCTCACTCTAGTACAGATAGGCGGTCAAAGAGAAACCAAAGTGTCGACATTGTGCGGGCTCTTCCTGACCGACGAGAGGCCGATCGACTTCTTACGATCTATTGGCATCTCAAGGCAACCCTGTTTCCAATTCTCGAACGCGAAGAATTCGATGCCAGGTACGAGGCTCTCTGGTCTGGTGAGCCATTGAGAGATGATGATCGGATTTTTCTGTGCATGATCAATATCATGTTCAGCCTTGCCACCATCTTGGATCCTGCCGAACATTCCAAACGAAGATTGAGCAGAGCTGGTGAATTCTATCAGCGGGCCCAGCAAAGCCTCAACTTCACGGTCCTTCAAAGCCGATCAACACTGACCATTCAATGCTTCTTGCTGCTGGGGTCTTACTTGCAAAGCACCAATGATTCTCAGCAATGCTGGGTCTATGTGGGTCTGGCAATCCGCATTGCACAGAGCCTTGGGCTCGATCGTGCTTCGACAAGTGCCAACGCCCCAACACTGAAAAGGCGGGAGACGTTGCGCAAGATCTGGCACGGGTGTGTCTTTATGGACCGGGTGCTCGCCCTGGCCTTCGGCCGACAGCCGATTATTTCGTTCAACGCGGCAAGCCAAGTTCCTCCGCCTCTCAGTCATGATCCTCAGCAATGCAAATGCTTCACGAGCCTATCCGATGCTGACCCAGATGAGGAGGAATGCCACTTCTTCGTGGAGTCGCTCAAATACTACGAGCTAATCAGTCAGACTCTGATGACTTTGTACAATTCTCCTTCCGAGACTAGCGGTAGCGATGATCCATACGTCCTCTATTTTGGCGCTCCAGGCCCAAAGACGGTGGGTTACCTGGCCGAGATCGATCAGAAATTAAGGTCTTGGAGGTCTGGCCTCCCCTTTCATCTACGATCCTCCCTGGATGTACATAAATCGAAAGTCCATCAACGGCAATCCAACACATTGTGGCTACGAGACCATTATATACGCCTCTTGATGTTGAGGCCTATTCTTTCTCGATTTTGCTCGCGAGCTGGTCATGTTAAGGAGTCCCTCGAGGAGATGATGCCCTGGCAATTGGCTTTGCAAATTTCGGTTCTGTGTGTCAAAACGGCGCTGGAGGTGATTGACTTTTTCAACGCTACCATCCAAGAAACAACCACGGACAGCCTCGAAGACATCATACCAGCGTGGTGGTATAGTATCTTGTATATCTATACCGCAGCGAGTGTTATGGTTGTGGCTAGGATCAATCCTGGTATTCTGAACGGCATTTCTGAGACGGTGATATTTGAGGCATGCCGTAATGTCATCCAAGTCTTGAAGAGGTTCGAGACGTACAGTCCGCAGGCCAAAACGTATTCCGCTTCGATAGAGGTGCTCTTTTCTCAAGTCACTCCTTCGGCTTTCAGGACTCAGCGCATTCAAGAGCCAACCAACCTATACCACCCGCATCCATTATTGTCACAACCTCCCCACATGCACAACCCTACCATGCCCTTCGGGCTAGAGAGAGGTCTTTCAAACACAATGAGCACCGGTCCACTATGGTGGGACACTCGGCTTGCTGAGGGAGGATCGCGAGACGGGATGCAGGCGCAGTTGCAGGACCCAGGCCAAGAATATGGCACAGCTTTACAGATGGGTGATCTTATGCCAGGCTCACCGGGCCCTTTAAACTTCACCGATACCTCGAATTTGTGGATGGATCTCTGTGACATGACCTGGCTGAATAATGCTCCATTCCAATGAAGTCTATGCAGTACTGATATGCGAAGCGTGTGGATTTCCAACATAGGCTTGCTGGTTTCTGCCTCGCGGTTTTGAACTGACTGGCTTATGGATATCACTGGGCCAACAATTCGAAAGAGATTCGAGCCCTACATAATCGGGAACGTTCAGATTAACGGAGAAGCTATCATTTCGTCCAAGTTTCGACTCGTACTACTCGGGCTTGTCCATTTACGTGACGACCTCAGAGGTCAAGTCCATAGGCCAACGCGCTTGGTCAAGGCCATTTCCTCGGGCGCCGACGTTGAATCCAAGCTTGATCTCACCGTTTGGAAAGGTCATAACCGGGGCGACGCAGCGAATGTTCACACCCAAAGCGCCGCTGTGTATGGTTTGAAAGAAGCGCTCCTCCAGACAGCCTTTGTCTCTCATCATTTTCAGAATTATCGGTGCGGTATGTTCCATGGCTTGATCCGACCGAAACTGAAATCTGCCATAGCTTGCCCAAAGTTGGTCCCACACGTCGTCAGGATATTCGCCGCAAGACTGCGCGAGCCACCTGTTGTAGTAGTTCAAGGCCAGATCGATGCTGTAGCTGCCACCAACTTGCGCGCGTTGGATCAAGGCACTGAGAACGGCAGCAACACCCGCGAGGCCCGTCGAGTAGTCCGAGGTCGGGAACAAGGCAGTCACAGGTTCGCCATCTGCCAGACCCATGGCTTTCCCGAAGCCATGCGAGATGCCCACGCAGGCATCCGAGACCGGCTGGTACCCCGGTCGCTCCATTGACGGGCCGTGCCAACCATAAGTGTCTACCTGGGCGAATATGATGCCGTGGTTGCGGGCACTCACGAGCTCCAGAATCCCATCCCTGTCAAAGCCATATTTCTTCAGCACAAACGGTCGGTATCCAGAAACGACCACATCTGCCTCCAGGATCAGGCTCTTCAAGGTTTCCCTGTCCTCGCTCAGATGGAAATCAAGGTGTGCATTCCACTTGCCCCAGTTGAGGTCGGGATGGAGCGAGTGGAAGTCGGGAAGTTTGGGAGACGTTATGCGGAGGACCGAGGCGCCCAACTCTGCCAGGCCCCGAGTGACCGCCGGAGCCGCAATGATGCGGGTCATGTCAATCACTTTGAGGCCGGCCAGTGGTCGTGATGAAGTTGTGTCGTTCGTGGCAGCCCACCACACGGGCTTTTGACGGTTGGAAGGATGATGTTTCAGCTCAAAGAGGCCGACATGAGAGTTTGCTTTGCCTTGCTCCGAGGCAAGATACTCGGTCAATGAGTTGCATACATCGCCAGGCTGTCCGGCTGCCACCATCTTTTCGCGTATCTCAGAAGAGCCAAAGGTTGCTATCTTTGTTTGGAATAATGCCTTCGCTTGTTCGACGTTATCGACGTCTCGCTCGCGGGGAAGTCCAATTGCGTCGAGAACTGGGTCTGGGTTGAGTGATCCGTGAAGCTGGAACCACCTACCGTCTGCGCATTTATATATGTTCGTTGTCACTGCCCGGTGTCGGGTGGCTGTCCTCCTATGCAGATCTGTGTTTGGTATGTATTGTTCAAGTCTTGCCCCTGCAGAGGTCGCCTCAATCCTCTCCCCTTCAGGATCGATCGTCCAGAGAAATAACGACAACGGATAAAGGATGGCATGGTCGCTGATAGGTATTAGCCTGTCGAACAGCCCTCTGCCAGGCTTTACACCAAACATACGTATTGATTTCAACTTCTGGAGCATCCACGCCATACTTCTTCTCCACTAACAAGCCCACCAATACCGCAACCAAGGCATGGAGGGCCGCTGAGGACTCGGCGACTCTCCAGTTTACTGGTAGTCTGGGCAGGTCACTGCCCGTGAAACGGACTTTGTGACCGGCGTGTAGTAGTTCTTCTGGAAGATGCTTGGAGATCTGGGGATTGAGCAATACCTGCTCAAGGAAAAGCTTCTGCGCCTCTACAGGAACCGAGTAGCGTTTCTGGTCTTGAGGCTCTATGAATTCACCCATCTCAAAGAAAAAGCGAAAGCTGAGGCCGAAGTACCATGGGTGGACCTTGGAAAAAGATCTGGTCTGCTCGTTGAGTCTGACTATATGTAGAAGTACTGGCCATGGGTGCAGATCCTCCCACCTGTATGCTAGCCTCGGCGCGCTTGTCTCGGCATCAAAACGATGTCGGTGTTCAATGCTCCTGGGATGCTGAGGATCAACCGAACGTCTACTAGAGAATAGATATGTTACTAAACAGTTACAGAGGCGGCAGAATAACCTCGGGCCATTCATTACAATTGCTACCGAAACGACGTATCTCTGCAGTAAACTGGAGTATACGTCGCTGATGGCCGGAATCAATTGCATCCGATGCTGTCGAATCCGGGGATGGTGGTTCGGAATGGAGACTGTGGAGTATGGAGGATGGGCCGGGAAGCAGAATGTTACGAGGCAGTCTGGTGAGCTGCAGTAGGCGCATTCTCAAGCTCTCAACAGTTCTGGCTAGCATTTTGTGAATTTGGTCTTTCGCTGAATTTGATACTGTCGACCAAATTGAGTATCCTCTTGTGGGAAAGGTCGTCGAGCTTCATTCAATACACTTGAGTTGGATATATTGTACCTGAACATGCCATTTTCGTTTCCTGTCATCGCCCTGGAAGAGCACTTTCTTGCGGACGCGGTAGTGGAAGTATACGATGCCGCGAAGATAGTCGACCCCTACGAAGGGTCAGTGGTCCTGCGGCGTTGCAGAGCCAATCTCGTAGAAGTCGGCGATGTCAGACTCGATTCCATGAAGGAGTCCGGCATCACTCTGCAGGTCTTGTCTCACGTTGCCAATTCGATCGCTCTGGACCTGCCGACATGCGTCAAAGTCAACGACCAGCTCGCCTGGAGGGTCGCTACTTGGCCGCAGCAATTCTCAGCTTTTGCGACACTTCCTATGAAGAATCCGTCGGAAGCAGCTGCCGAGCTTCGCAGATGTGTCGACGAGCTCGGCTTCAGAGGTGCTCTCATCGACAACAATACCGAAGGTCAATTCTACGATCATCCATCTTTCTGGGAGGTGTTCCAGGTGGCCGAGGAACTCGATGTCCCTGTTTACCTACACCCTACCTACAACGACCAGGCGAAGACACTGTTGTGCGAAGGTAGTTACCCCGACGCCGTAGCCCAGACACTGGCTACACACGCCTGGGGATGGCATTCGGAGACCGCACTTCACGTTCTCAGGCTCTTCGCGGCGGGCCTTTTCGATAAACACCCTCGTCTGAAGATGATCATTGGCCACATGGGTGAGATGCTGCCGTTTCAACTCGATCGGGTCTGTCGGATTTCCAGTACACAGTGGCCGATGGCTGGGGTCAAGCTGGAACGCCAACTCCGGCAAGTCTGGGACGAGAACATCTGGGTCACGACCTCGGGCATGTTCACACTAGCACCGATGGCCACCTTACTGCGGCAATGTAAGCCTGATCGGATCTTATTCAGCGTGGACTATCCTTTCTCGAGAAATGAATGGGGCGCGTCCTTTTTGAACTTGTTGAAGGAAAGCGGAATGGTCTGCGATCAGATGTTGGAGGACATTGCCTATCGCAATGCTGAGAAGTTGTTGAAGATTAAAGTATCCACAGACACGAAGGCCGTGTAAAAATCTCAGCCTGTGAAAACAGAGACAGATCCGTGTACAGTGATGTCGTCTGGCCAAACAGTACGCTGATGATCTGACCCCTATACAGGCATTGTGCGGCTAGTGAAGCTGCAAAGGGCGCTCATGTAACCGAAGAGGAATCCACCTTTAGGTACAGTATATAAAAATGTCCACGGCTGTCCCGATAAATGGGTGATGGCGTACAGTAGGCAGTCTGCATAAAGGGGCTCAGCAGGGGGGCTCACGTGATGGCGCCAATGAGAGCGCCACCTGGGAACGAGATCGGTAGCGATATTCTTTTGCAATTGCAAATGCTGCAGCGTTCTTTGGTATTTTCTCTTTTAGGTTCACGGCTTTCTCTCATCTTTGGGGCAATGAATATGAACCATCTCGAAGATTGTTCAACGCCGAGATGCCCAGATTCTAAACTCGCCCAATGAAACCACCGGAAGCCTCCAAATTTGACACGGAGGGGAACGGACTCGGCCATTGTCGGAGAAATGACCGACACCCTCCCGTACTGACTTCTCTACTCCATTTCGACGTCAATAAAAGCAGAAAAACCGCACTACACTACAATAACGTACATTCTTGGTCTCGTGTAGTTTTCAGAAGAAGAGAATTGAATAAACATCATTCTCGAACGACACCAGGAACAGAAGCAAAACCTCTTCGACTTTCCAAGGTAGAAACATACGAACAAACCCCACCTCACCACCTTGATACCAACTACCGGCGACCACTTCCCGACACATTCTTTTTTCCGACACATCATGGCACCAGCAGCAGCCAAATCCAAAGACCTCAGCCAAAACCGAGCGATCAGGATCGTCTCGGCGGCCGCAGCGGGAGGCTACGCCGTGCCCGCCATGTGCTGCTACAACCTCGAAGCCATCATCGCGTCGGTGCGCGCTGCCGAGGCTAAGCGGTCTCCCGTCATCATCCAACTGTTCCCCTGGGCCGTGACGTATGCCGACGGGTTACTGGTCCACGCGGCGGCCGAAGCCGCCGACAAGGCCTCTGTGCCCGTCGCCGTTCACATGGACCACGCGCAGACGCCCGAGATCGTGAGGCGGGCGGCCGATTTGGGAGGGTTCGACGGCATCATGGTCGACATGTCTCACTACGAGATGGAGGAGAACTTTGCACTGACGCGGGAGTTGGTGGCGTACTGCAACGAGAGGGGCATCATCACCGAGGCCGAACCCGGTCGCATCGACGGTGGCGAGGACGGCGTGGCCGACGTTTCGGACATGCAAGGTTTACTCACGACCCCCGAACAAGCAGAAGAATTTGTGAGCCTGGGCATCAACTGGCTCGCCCCGGCCTTCGGAAACGTCCACGGAAAGTACGGGCCCAAGGGACCCCAACTCGAGTACGACCGGTTGAAGAGTATCCAAAAACAAGTCGGAGACAGGGTTCACCTGGTTCTCCACGGGGCCGGGCGGGAGTGGTTCAAGGAGGACCTCCTCCGAAAAGTCATGGAGTGCGGCATCGCAAAGTGTAACCTCAACGACGCCATGAACGATCATTTCATCGACGTACTGAAAGAAAAAGCCGGCACCGCCCCACTCACCTCGTTGATCGAGCAAGGGACCGACGCCATGCAAAAGGCCATTGAGCAGTACATGGACTGGATGGGTTCGACGGGTAAAGCATAAGATATTCTAGATACCTGGTAAAACACACAAAATCCAACAATTGAACATATAGTGTTTTGTACAAAAACCGGAATGGCACAACCTTTCCTCACACATAGAAGCGGGAAAATGCAACTACGAGTCCATCTGTTGAACAGTCATTCTAGGCAACATGGCTGTAAAGGCGGTCCAAAAAAAAGGAGAGACCAAAGACGTCGGACGTTGTACCAAGTAGTAGTGATATGCTCGCTCTCAGAAACAAGGTTCTATCATCTAGATCTCTTGTATGTAATTCGCCGGGACACTTCTCGTCTCACCATTCTTTTCGACATCTGCCCATCCATCACCGCCGCCCATGCTGATCAAGATGAACTTTTCGCCTTCGGCCATGTCGAACTCGGCGTCACTCTGAGCAGTATAAGGATACAACGCCTCCACGTACTTCACCTTTTTGGCTCCGCGTTTGGGCGCCACCGCGGGACCTTGCTTCTTCCTGCCGGCACTCGCCATGTTGGAAGACGCCAGCGACGCACTCGAATTCGAATACAGTGACGGCGGCCGTTCCTGGGCCGGCGTGCTCGCAGGCGTAGGTAACTCTTCGAGGTAAGCCGTCGGTACCAGGCCTTCTTTACCCATGCCGGCGTGGACTTTTGTCCAGCCACCATCTGTTGATATCGATTCAATCAGTATCTCCAAAACAAGGTTCAAGAGGCAAGCAAAAAAAAACATAGGATTACTGACCATCGGGTTCCACAATCTTGAATTCCGTACCTTCGGGCAGAGAGATTTCACCGTCGTCCCTTGCCTCGTAGGCATACAACATTTTACCCCTTTTCTGGCCACTCCCATTCAGAGCCGAATCCGAAGGTGCGCTTACATAAGTGGTGGGCGGAGGAGCAACTATCCGGTTCCGCCGAGCCCCAGAGGTTGAGGCGGAGCTCGAGGTTATCGTAGTCAAGGGGGAGCTCAATTCTTCGCCCGTGGATCTTGGAATGGTCCCGGAGACAGAGCGTGTGGCGCTCGCCGCATAGCCGGACGAGAGGCTGCTCATTGTATCCTGCCTGGTCAGCGTCGGAGCCGAGTTTTGACCGTTGGGGACTGGAGCTTCGACGGCCACAGACGCTGCTGCTTGTCGCTCTATCTTCAGTTTCTTCTTTTCTTCCTTGGTCTGTTCACCAGGACAATCGGCAGGGACTTTCATCTGGCATTTGCTATGACATGTAAATCCACAATCAGTGCAAATGAAGCCTTTGGCGCTGAGACCCCATATTCGATCTCCACAAAGATCACAGTTTGTAGGGATTTTGAATGTTTCCGATTTGAATGCATGACTCTTTCCATACATACTGAGGTCGCCTACCACGGATGTTATGGTCGACGTCTCGACTTCGGCAGTCAATCGTTTTCGATCGATTGCGTGTAATTCTTCCTGCACGTTAAACTGTGAGACCACACACAAGACTTCATCGCGCTTGTCTTTGCCTTCTCGAATATTCTGTCTAGCTTTCTTGACATTCTCGAGGTCGCGGCGTTTTTGTGCAGAATCAGTCTTGAGCTGGCTAACAAGAGGTTTGCTCTTCTGCAAGATGTTGCGCAAAAAGATCTTCGACGTCTCATCCGTCATCATGTTGTCAGAATCCAGCCAGACCGGAGATGGTTCGAATGCCATGTCGGATGGTTCCTGCCATTGTACAGCGTTGTGTCGAACAAACATGTTGCTGTCGAGACTAGGATTGTTTCTAGGTATTTCTGATGCCAGATGTGATAGATGGTCAATACTTCGTTTGAGGGTGTTCGTCTCGAGGGTTGTCGCCACCAACCATAAAGAGTTCAATTTCGACACCCTCGTTTCATTCAGGTCCTGTAATGAGTCCAGAAGCTCCGGAACATATTCGTGATAGTAGCATTCCTTCAGCTTGTTCGTCACATGAATTCCAATCAAATAAGTGTTCTTGACATTGTTCATCTCCATGATTTGCTGGTTGTACGCATTTTGAGCCTTAGCTTTGTCGAACCCAGATTCTGCTTTCCTTCTTCGATTTTCCACCTCTTGACATACGCTGTCATACTTTGTTTTCAGCTTCTTCAATTCGCCATAGGACGAATCTCGTTCCTTGATCAGCTTATTGTTGTATTCCCCATGGCTTTTCCTCAGCTCTTCGAGTTTTCTTGCGTTATACTCCAGCGGTGTCGCAACCTGGCTTATCAGATCTTGCGCAAATTTGCCGTGTTCATTCGCCCTGGCTTCCAATGTTGACAGTTGCGTCGTCCATGTGGTGAGAGACGCCGCTTCCAAAGAACCTGGCGTCAGGGCAGGATTGTCTCCAACACTCAGATTGCTAGACCGTTTTGATTTCTTGTCATAGTATTTTTTGGCCAATGCAGTCAACTTCTGACTGTATTCTTTCTCGATCGCGGACCGCTCTTGGTAGAATTCTTGGATTTCGGTGAGCCAGTTGATGCCGAGACCGACCTGGATCGTGGCTATCAGTGACTGTGAGATCTTGAGATCGAAGGCTCAACTTACCCAATTGTCGACAGCCTTGTAGCCGTCCTTCTGCGTGTCAGTAACAATCGCGTCCGTTGGTGAATCTCAACGTACTTTGAGTTCGGCGCCAAAGCTGACAGTTGCGACATGGGCCATGATGATGGAGGCAGGTCGGCCAGACACGAGACATGCTACTCCATAGTTTCAACGAGACTCCATGAGACCAGGCAAATGGCCTGTTTGTCCTATTCCGCAGCCGTGATGTGGTGCAGTGATCTCGTCGTGGTTGAAAGGCCGAAGATCTGGCGGGGACAAGTATTGTGCCCCGTATTGCACGGTAAATAGCCTGAGTGCGTGCGTGTCCCTAGTGTGCTTCATGCTCGGGGTGACATTGCTAGTATTGGAGAGCCTTGTCTTGCCTGGTTGGTTTGACGCTGGGCGCCCTGGAATTGTGGCTCAGGCACCAAAATAGGCGTATCTTATAGGCCGGTGGGGTGACCAGAGGCTCGTGGAACAAACACCCCGCATCGTAATGCGCAGCTGCGCCACTAACAAAGAATTTGGCGGTGCAAGGCTATTTTTCTATCAATTCACCACCATCGTTGCCTTATTGACCATTGCCCTCAATCATTCATTGCCGCCTCGCCTCTTATTGTGGCAGAAAACTTTGAATCACTACAATAGCAAGACAAGAGCCATTGTCTTCTGCGTGCAACACTATCTTTGCATTGGAGGCTGATCCTCTTGAAAACTTTCCAACCCTTCCTTCATCCTTCCAACACCAGACTCAAATCATTACTCGCTTGCAATACAACTCACATCACATCAACCACTACTTTCTCCCCCCTTCTTCACGATGTCTGAGCAACCCTCAGCAGGTGGCTCTCTTGCAGACCGCATCTCCAAACCTGAACTCTCGGCGCAAGCTGATTCCTTCCAACCCAAATCTGGAACCTCATGGGCCGACGAGGTCGCATCTCCTGCCACCGAAGAACCTCCTTCTACCGCAAACATGGGCGAAGCAGTGGCATCTGAACCGTCTGTGGCGGATGCGCAAGTCGATGGTGCCACGGAGCCTTTTGGTGGATCACAATTACAAGAGCCTGCGTACCAAGTCAACGTCAAGTTGGCAGACCTTCAAGCTGACCCCAACAACCCATTGTATTCTGCTACTTCGTTCGAGCAACTTGGCCTGTAAGTACAACTCTCAGAAAGGCATAGCTGGATAATAACAAGTTTAGGTCGGAGGAGATCCTCAAAGGTGTCATGAGCATGAACTTCCGAAAACCCTCAAAGGTCCAAGAGCGCACGTTGCCCCTGCTCCTCATGAACCCGCCTCAAAACCTCATCGGTCAATCCCAATCTGGTACTGGAAAGACTGCAGCATTTGTACTCGACATCCTGCACCGAATCGACCTCAGCTCCGAACAGATGCAGAAGACACCCCAAGCACTTGTTTTGGCTCCGAGCAGAGAATTGGCCCGTCAAATTCAGGGCGTTGTCAAGGTCATGGGATCATTCGTTCCAGGACTCATTGTCGAAGCCGCTGTTCCTCAAGACGCTGCTGCGCGATCTCGAAAGATTGAGGCTTCAGTCATTGTTGGAACTCCTGGTACAACAATGGACATGATTCGCAAACGATCCATGGATGTCAGACAATTGAAAGTGCTTGTTTTGGACGAGGCTGACAACATGCTTGACCAACAAGGTCTTGGTGACCAATGTATTCGTGTCAAATCGTGAGTGTACAGAGGAGCGAGCTCATATGCAGCAATCAGCTAACATTTCTTTAGCATGCTTCCCAAGAGCATCCAGATCATTCTCTTCTCCGCCACATTCCCCGACCAAGTCATCAAATACGCTCAGAACTTCGCTCCTGGCGCCAATCAGATGACTCTGCAACATCAAGACTTGACGGTCGAGGGCATCAAGCAAATTTATCTCGACTGCGACAGTGATCAAGCCAAATACGACGTACTTGTGAAGTTCTACGGCTTATTAACCATCGGCTCATCAATCATCTTCGTCAAAGTGAGTACTCGGGTTTGATTCGTTTTCAAGCAACTAACAGTACGGTAGACTCGAGACACGGCGCTTGCCATTGAACAACGCATGACTGCCGAAGGTCACAAGGTTGTATCATTGACTGGTGGCTACGAAGGTGCACAACGAGACGTCATCATCGACTCTTTCCGCACAGGACATGCCAAAGTCCTCATCACCACCAATGTCCTTGCTCGTGGTATTGATGTTCAGTCAGTGTCTATGGTCATCAACTACGATGTTCCAGACAAATTTGTTGGACGTGGTAAATTCGTTGCCGATCCTCAGACATATCTCCACCGTATTGGACGAACTGGACGATTCGGACGTGTAGGTGTCGCCGTCACCTTCATCAGCAACCGCGACGACTGGGAGAAATTGATGGAGATTCAGAGATATTTCAATACTGAGATGACGAAGGTTGCTACAGATGACTGGGATGAACTTGAAGAGACGGTCACCAAGATCATCAAGAGTTCTCGGGCCGGAAATAACTGGAAGGATGGTGCAAAGGCATGAGTAGATTCCAGGATTCAGCGCACCTGGAAGTATGTGGATTTGGGCAATATCCTCCCTTGAGATGACGCAGACCAGATATCAAGAACTCTGGTTATGGGAACAGGCAGCTCAAGCAATGTGATGGCATACCTGACATGGACAACTCAAGACAGCTGCGATGAAGTGTGCAGACACACGCTTGCTTGACATTCAGATGTGAAGGCTAGATAGCATATGGACGAATTGATACCCACAACAGCATGGATTGGACTTGCAAGAACGAAAGAATGAAGATATGTCAAGATATGTCAAAAGAATTGAAGACTCAAAATCGTGACGCCATTACACGTTTTATGTTTCTGAGAAAGACTCTCACCAGTCGCACGATTTCCCCAGCAGTTCGGCGATGTTCTCCAGACCTATCTGGTCTTGGATGTCGAATCCGTCTACTTCGGTACAGTCGATATCAATCACACCAACAACCTAGAGTTTTGATCGATAGATGTTTAGTTTCACCAATGCATGCGGGATACGGATCCAGCAGGAGTTTGGGGTGTTGTGACTCGCATCGTGCCATACATACCTTGCCATCACCACCACCACCACCATCCCTGACCGGCACCACGATTTCACTTCTACTGTCACCGTCGCAGGCGATGTGGCCGGGGAATTCCTCGACGTCCTTGACCAACACCGTCCTCCCTCGTCCCTGGGCGGCGGCACCGCACACGCCCTTGCCGATCCTTATCGTCTGGCACGCGACCTTGCCCATGAAGGGCCCGAGGATGAGCTGTTTTTCCGGATCGGTCGGGTCCAAGACGTAGAAGCCGCTCCAGTTCACCGACGACGACGGCGCCGGGAGGGAGTGGTACAGGTGCCACAACAGGGACGCCGCGTTGGCGGTGTTGGCCACCCAGTTCCGCTGACCTTCCAGTAGAGATCCCAACGACCCCAAAAGTTGGTCGTAGGCTTCCTTTTTGCTCGACGAGGTGGAAAAGTTTGTTGCGTCTGCGTGTGGCTGTCGTCGAAGAAGATTTGACGAAATGATGCCGTCAATAAACTGTTTGGTGTGTGTGTGTGTGTGTGTGTGTGTGTGTGTGTGTGTGCAGGGAGGATAGATCAAAGATTTGTAGGTCGCTTACCATCTTGAACACTTGTATTTGATTCGTTCGTCTGGGAGATCCTTTTTTTTCCTTTCACGATAGTTCCAGTGGCATCAAACCTCGACCTCGACCTTTCCCGTCCCTCGTTAAAAACACCTCGGTCCAGTCACAGCCTCGTCAACACCGGGAATCAACTAAAAGGGGAAAACGGCCAATGGCACAATAGAGATATCGCAAGGGTTAACCCAATGGTTTAGAAAAGTCGATCGGTGCCCATTGATTCCGAGTCGGGGTCGGACCATCTATCAAATCGAAGCTTTTTCAGACCGGCCCGGTTTGGACGAATCAAGTTTGTCTGGGTTCAGTAGATTGTATTGTGTGGGGGCGATTTACGAAAGATGTGCGGCCCGCTACAACGGGGGAATCGCGGTGACGACACACACACACACATGTGCACCGGCCTTTTGAATGCGACCCTTGACGCTTTCCCAATCACCAATACAAGTAATATTCATCCCTTCTTTAGGCGGCGATAATGAAGGGGGGGTTGCAACTGTCACTCGTAAACCCGTACAGGGAGGGGGGGGATTTTGTTTTTAGTTCCCGCTCAAATCGAGATTGATTTTCAATTCGTATTCATCACGATAGACTTCAGGCATCAGCCCCCTTAGTGAGGAGCTTCTTTCGATAGCACTATTGTATCCTCTAATACCTCTTGTCCTGATTGACGAGTATATTTCCTGGTTCCTTCCTCGGAGCTCAACCCCCCGGATTCTTTTCTTCTTTCAATCTTTGTCTCTGTTGTTCATCCTCCGGCGCCCGTCACCGCGGGGGTTTTACTTTAGTACGAGAGGGATTCTCCCTCGACAAAAACTTCCTCACTGCGCCGAAATACTATTTCCAAAAAGCCAAGTGATCGCGTCCTACGAAAACCAGACCGAACCAACGACTCCTCGTATATTCGCGTCCGTTCAATACATGACGAATCGATCCGAGTAGCTTTTCTCTCGACAAATCATGTCCTGCCCAGCTTGTTTCAGTGGTTCGACCCACGACCACGCCGAACCCAGAGGGACCATCGAAACCATCCACGGCGTTCGTACCTACGTCGCGGGCGGTAGCGATCCGTCCAAGAGCAAATCGACCATCATATACCTGCCCGACATTTTTTCCTTGAAACTCGTCAACAACAAGATTCTGGCCGACGACTATGCCACGGCGACGGGGTGTACAGTGTACATTCCAGACGTCGTCGTAAGTTTTTTTTTTGTTTTTTGTTTTTTGGCCTGTCAATTACGAGTTACAACGTTGTAATACGAGAGGAACCCCGGACCCTCCGAGTACCATCAAGTATTCCTACTCTAACTGGGCTGACATGTGAATGAATTATATAGTACGGAGGTGGCATGTCCCCGTCCCTCATGGACAAAATGAACGTCGTCTTGACTCCCAACCCGACCTGGACCATCGGAGGGGTCCTCTCCAAGATCTACGCGGCCATCACCCTCATCCCTCAAGCCGTCCCCTTCATGATCCTCGCCGACCCGAAGAAGGTGTACCCACAGATCCTGGGTTACGCCCGCGGCGTCAAGGCCGACCTGCCGGCCGGGGGCAAACTGGGCGTCTGCGGGTTCTGTTGGGGCGCGTGGCCCAGCACGAAGCTGTGCGTCGAGACCGCGACCGAGGCGGTACGGGAGGGAGGTAGTGGCGCCGACGACAGAAGCACCGTCAGACTCATCGACGCCCAATTCAACGGTCACCCAAGTTACATTGTCAAGACACCTCAGATGATCGTCGACGCCGTCAAAAAGTTCAAGGTCCCCTACACCGTGGCCGTGGCTTCCGACGACATGCAGTTCAACAAGACCGAGGCCGAAAAGGTCGAGGCCACACTGAGATCCGAGGTGGGCGAGCCCGGTGGCTCCAATCCACAAGGATACGCGTACGAGTTCAGAATGTACGACGGCTGCGTGCACGGCTTCTGTGTGCGTGCGCCCGTGGGTAAAAAGGACGACGTCAATGAAAAGGGGTTCTTCGAGAGTAAACAGCAGGCCATCGATTGGTTCAACAAGTACTTGAATTGAAAGGTATTCCTTTTTCCTGTTTTTAAAAAAAACCTTTCGCTCGAAAGAAAATAACATGCCGAGTAACTGTTTGACGGAAGCATGCATAAGCAAAGTACCCAGATACACACGAAACATTTTTTGGAACATTCTCAATTTCGGTTCTCACGATTTCAGACTTGGAGCGAAGTTGTTTGAAGCCGTATCTTGCACATCCTTCGACTCCCCTCTCCTCGCTCTCGTCGTGGACAAGGGTGAGACATGATGAGAGGGAAGCAGGGCGAATCAAATTGTTGAGAAAGGGGTCTGAGTTGTCACTTGGCCTTGTACGAAATGGCTTCAGGCTGCCTTTCGTTCGCTAGCGAGCGTGTCGCGATCGACGGCGCTACATCTGTAGAAGAGACCATAATCCTCCTCATTTCTCGCATTCCTCCTCCTACATCATGCATATCGCATAAGTTGAGACTTGGTCAAGTGTGACGGACACCAATTGTCGTTGTCGTTCCTGGCTCACGAAGGTCTGCAAAGTGTTTCTGAAGTTGCTGGACACTGGCTCGCTCGAGTGGGTTGAGCGCAATGCATTGTCTCACCAGATTGATGTGGCGTGTCCAGGTCGGCTTTATCGCCTTTTGAGAGTATTCCAAGATCTCTTCATGAAAGGGCCTCATGTTGGCCATGTCATATTCATCGGGAAGGTCACCTTCTCGCGCGTAGAACAACAGCATGATGAGAATAGACCAAACATCGACTTTGTTTGAATATGTGGCACTCAACTCTTTCGTACTGTTTGTATTCGGGGAGGCGTCTGTGGTACCAAGAATCACGGTTGAGATAGTGGAAGAGGTTTCGTCCAAGTTGGACTGATCATCAATGGAGTAACATATCTCCGGTGCGATGAACAAGGGTGTTCCACAAAATGTCCGAAGGAATTTCTCATCTTGAGCCAGCCCAAAGTCCGCAATCTTGACCCATGCTGGAGCCCAAGAAGTGAGGAGGATGTTGCTAGGTTTCAAATCTCGGTGGACTAGGCCTCTGGAGTGCATGTACTGAACACCATCGCAAACTTGCCCTAATACCACTGTTGTTTCCGATGGAGTCAACATACCTCTCGAGAACAAGGAGCCTTCCTGGCAATATTCCATTACGAGATACGGAGTTTTCTCCGAATCCAGAGCGTTCACGACTTTGTCGTCAAAAACACAGATGATGTTCTCCTAAGAGTTGTCAGTGCACATCTCAAAGCAAGCTGACCTACTGACATGTTTCAATTCCCTCAGGATCCTTTGCTCTGACTGGATGTATTTTGATTCCCCGGTCAAGCGAAAACTCTTAACAGCGAAGACATTCCCAAGGCAGTCAACAGCTCGACGCACTTCAGAGAAAGACCCGGAGCCGATTGGGCTTGAAAGGCCAAGTAGTTTGGTATCCAAGGCTGTTCGACCTTTCGGCGGCGGTTTGAGTACATTGCCGATTCGAGGAATAGCTTGTTCTCGTGCATCTCGGCAGGTGCGCCACTTCCTTTCATAAGCTCCCTTTTGTAATCCACGGTCGGGAATGGAGACCTCTAGACGTACAAGACTCGCTTGAATGATGTCACCCGTTTCAATAGTGATAGACTCCCCTAGTAAGATAATGTTACCAAAAACTTTGGATAACACAGTTGTTCCGTGTGATGACATGTCCTTCAGGAGTAGAGACCCGTTCTCCCAGTTGTAGTCCAGGCTGAAATGCTTTTGACTAATACCTCCGCCAGATGGTTGTTCATTGAGCAGCATAAAACACTCCTCCGGGTCGCTCCCGCACACCCAGCCCTCAAAGGGATCATACGGCGGGTCGTCTAGAGTGATGGTAAACCATGTCTCCCGTAATGGCGCCGTTTCGGCTATGAGGTGTCGATCTTCCACATCGTCTTCCACACTGTCCTCCATACTGTCTTCCACACTGTCTCCCAGATCAAGAATGACGGTGGGAGGGGGGACAAACTTCTTGTTATGTTCTAGGAACAAAGCATTGTATGCTACATCTGTTTTGCTGGTAAGGACAACCACGATGTTTTGAGGGCCAGCTATGTAGGCAGGCATTTTGAATGAAAAGACAGTTTGCAACACATATGGATATTGGGAAGACATAATATCTTTATATATTCAAAGATCCACGTCAAACCGTTCCCGATGCTAAGCGACGTACTTTTGATGTGGTGGAAGTTTCACATGGCGCCACGCGTGAGCATTCTATTGGCAGGGCCGAGCCAGGCATACCACCGATATTTTGTTGGCGCTACTGGGTGTTCGTCATTCGTTGTTTCTTGAGGCCTGTGGCGGGCACTTCAGAAGACACACTGTCTCCGGACGGCTTAATGTGTTCAGCTTTCCACATCGCCAGCCACGATTTGCCGTCGTCAAATTTTCTTTTCTTACAATTTGAATTCTGTTGGAGGGCTGGTTTTTGTAACAGGTCATCCGAGTCAAGAGAGGGAGGCGGGAATGCCTTCTCGAGCAGGTCATCGTAATGGAAAGTCTCTGTCTTCCAGTAGTCCGGATCGTAGATGTGCTGACGCATGTTCGAGGTTCGAGAGTTCTTCCTGAATACCTTTGCCAAGTGCAGAGCTTCGATCTTCCAATACTGTGAATCCTGGATAGCCCATCGATCCGTAGTACAATCTTTAATGCAGTATGCCTCCCTCCAAAACGTCGCTTCTGTTCTCCAGTATGTCCATTCATCAATATTTTGACGCTCAAGATCGGCTCGATCCTCTAGTAAAGACGAGTAGTATCGAGCTTCTGTACGCCAATAATTGACGTCGTCTATACTCAATCGATGGTCGTTTTTCGGCTCTTGGAACCGCATTCTTTGCCCCTTGTGTAAAGCCCATGTTCGGAAGAAAGAAGAGGGGATCATAGGATCGGGGAAAGGAGGCGTGATCGGACGTCGAGGGGATCTGTCGTAAAAGAATGTTCGACGGATCTGAGGTGGCTCATGAGCAAGAGACTCGAGCTTGCGGTTGACATATTCGAGGTCGACTCTGGGTGAGCGTACTCCGAAGACTGGTGTATTTGCGAAGCCTAGGAAATGCAGTGACATCTGGTTGCATGTTCGAGAGCCGTCGTTTACTCTCTGGTCGGGCGGCTTCAACGTGGACTGAGGGTCATTTTGGTAAGTACCGACGACTGCCCAGTCTTCGGTTGTCGAGTTACATGCTCCGTGTGTTCGGAGCAAAACTGCTTCGATTCAAGGAAAGGAGTTGGACAAGGGAACATAGTCGCCAGGCATCCCAGAGACGTTATGGGAGGAATTGATTAGACGTTCATCCCTTGGCAACAACGCCACAAATTCCCCGCCAATAATGTTACACAGTGCTATTTCCTTGCATGTGGCTTTACAATCAACTGTATGTCCATCATTCCAGCCCCTTTTAAGAATGTTAAACCCCTTGAAACAAGACGGCATTTTGTGTAAATAAAAGCTCTATGGCTTCAGATCGTATAGACCCTTGTTATGTGTAACCCTTAAGGTAAACCCCCTTTTCTGAACATGTCACAATTAATATCTGGAGTCGAAGAACCCATACTTCACGGCATCTCTCCTTCCCACTCAACTCTTCATCCAAGTTCTGGCATCGCAAAGCGGCACGAACATCTTAGTAATTTACTTCCGTATTGATCATGGCGTTGTCCTCACAACTCGATCGTGATCTGCTCATGGTGGGGATGTGTGCAAAAACGTGGCGTGTCGGAACGAGAGTCAGAAAAGAACCCCGTCTAGACGAAGACGACGACGGTATCACGGCACAAAATCTCGATGCCTTCATCACCGAAGCCAATGTCTATCTCATTCTGGGTAGTAGCCATCCACTCATCGCACAGTGTACATTTATCGACCCTCAAAAAACCTACATTGAACTGGAGTTTTACCCCCGTGGCAACCTCAGGGATTATGTGAAGGAGAACTGTGCGAAGATTGACCGTTCGCAACGAGAAATCTGGGGTGTCCAGATGATCCAGAGCGTTTCTTACCTTCACTCCAAAAACGTTCGACACGCCGACCTCAGACTGGACCAATGGCTCTTGGATGGGACAGGCAAGGTCCGACTGTGTGACTTCAACTCATCTGGTTACGATGAACAACCAAACCTCGGCCTGAAAAAGAAGCTTGCGTCTGGTTTGGAGGGCATTGGTTACTACTTACCACGATCTGAAGATACCGATTCTTCCGTGATGACGGATCTTTTTGCTCTTGGATCGTCGCTCTACGAACTCGAAACGAACGAACGCCCCTACAGTTACCTTCGCGAAGATGAAGTAGTGGAAGAACTTTTCACCAGGGGAGAATTCCCAAGTACCGTGGGGCTGATCTTCGGAAACGAGATTTCATCCTGCTGGAATCAAAACTTCAAGAGCGCTGGCGAGATTCTGGCGTCCCTGAAAAGTCATCCATCGGAAATATGAAATGATGCCCGGCCTTGCGAGAATTTTCTTTCGGAAGTGAATGTATTGCTATAGAAGCTCCTGCATACGCTCAATCACGGCCAAGCCAGCGTCTACTTAATGAGCGGCACATGTTCAAATGTTTCGCTATCTGGAAGAGGATCCATGAAAGCACGGCGAATTGGCCTTCGAAGTCTTAGGTCGAGGATGTGGATTTGGACGCGTTTGATTGACTGTGCTCATGCCCCGGTCGCGGGCCTTTCTGTTTGCTGGAGCCGGCATAGATTTTCTGATATCTGTGGCAATTGCGGATACCACTCGCCGGCTTGTCTGGACACGGCTGTGCGGTGTGTTCCACTTTATCGCATTTAGATGTGCAACCCCCTCCCAACCACTTGTTGGAAGTTATGAGTTCTTTGCACTTTGCTTCGTTCTGGGAGACAATGGAGTTGGAAAATGGAAGAAGTATTGGAGATCGGAAACTATGGATGGCTGCGTTCCCTGAAAACAACAGGCATGAATATCGAGTTCATATAGCCTGTGACTGCTGCTGCGGTGGGCAGCCCAGCCGTGTAGCTGAGCCATTCTCGCGTGACCCTTTTCCTGTTGATTCTTTCAGCCGCATGCTCTGTAAGATGAAGTGCCAATCAGGATTTATAGTCTCGTTGCCCTCCTTCCTGGACAAGGATGTTACCGCCGGCTGCGAGAGCTTGTCCACGGCTGGGGCAGGTTGTCCACGGGCTGGAAGATGCACCAAACGAGCAACTTTGAGAGAGTGGAAGGTCACCAGGGTCACCAGGGAGGGTTGCACAAGCCAGGCAGACTTACAGAGTGAAAAAACACTTTGGTTCTCCAATCATCGGGAGGCCACGACTGATCCAAAAGGCCTATGGTAAGCAGCCACATCTTGTTCTCTCATCCCCATGTTACCTCGTCTCTCCTTGTTCTCGTATCCCGTCCTGCACTCGAGACTCGTCGTGACCTGATCGAGCTTCGCGCCTGGCATTGGCACTGCCTGCGCTCGAGTACTCCACTCGCGGCGCAACCGTTCTCTAGCATACATTAGGTAGGTAGTCCCATAGTGGTAGAGGTTTATTTTCATCAATAGAAACCTCATGGTTTTGAGAGATGATACCGATAAGAAGAGTGGGAGATGGCCGGCCCTAAAGGTCTACTCCATGGAGGATCTTATATACGGAGCCAGGTATAGGAAAAGTATCTTCTCCATAAAAATTTCCCCAACCTACAGTTACAGTATCGTTCGTCGCCCACCCTCCACTTTATGGCTGTCTCGCGGCCAAGACAACTATTTTACCTGGTACTTGTTTACATGTATGAAGTCGAACTGCTCCCAACGAAACTGTCAATTCTACTTTGTTCATCTCGAGTTATGACCGACAACTCTACGAAAACAACGGATGACCATGACCATGACCATGACCTGTTGAAGGCTTCTCCTTCTCCTCTTCCACGCGACGACGACGACGAGAACGACGAGTACTCTGACTCGCACTCACACTCGGAGTACTACAATGTCTATTGGGTCGAATCTTCGGGGATGCCCCGTAACCACGTGGCCATTTTCGTAGAGACGCATGAATCGGGACTGGACACCGGCCATAATTTCCAAGTGTCCGGCAACATCCAACAGGGCATGTACCACAACCATCGACCTGGAAAGAAACCAGAAGAGGACGAGCAGTCGGCTTTCTTCAGTAAAAGAGTGATCGGCAAACCCCCAAAATCCGTCTACGACGACGGACAATTTCGACGAGTTTGTGATCTGGTCGAGCCCCCGCCCAAACAGTTCAACGGTCCCCAGAGACTGGTCCCACGCTCGAAACCCTTGAGAAGGTGCGGTGAATGGGCAGGGGAAGCGGTGAAGCGACTGAGATCGGAGGGCATTCTGGTGGTCTAGTCTTGCCCTGGACTTTTTCTCCTTTTTGCGCCGTGTGACGATGACGTTGACGAATGATTCCAACGTCCAGGCATTCAAGGGTCAGGCAGAAACACCAGCAATATCAAAATGCGAGGGAGATAACGTATGGATCGCTGGCACCGCCCTCAGACAACGACAAGTTTTATCCAAAAGATTTGTGTACGGCAGTACAGTCATGGGAGACGGATGGAAAGAAATTCTTGAGTCCACCTTATAGTAGGACCCGAGATTGGAAAGGCAGTGTCGTTGTTCTGGCGGTGTACGCTTTGTACCATTGATTTTGATAATACGTGTCTTGAGACGGCTAGAGGACACGGGCAAAGGCATAGGCGTCGGGAATTCCTTTTGAGCAGTATCGACGATTCCCACGTAGTTAATGCTATACTGCAGTATAGAGTAAATCCTAAAACAAACAGTTGAAAGTCGAGACGATGATTCAGAAACAAAACCTCATCTCGCATTCCATTCAATGCAATTTTTATTCCTAGCTTCCGTACTACCTACAAACTGTAAAAGCAACCTGCCTTACCTTATGCTTGAAATGTCCAGGTTGCCCGGTACTTTGCTACCCCTTCAGTGAAAGCATCGTAAAAGGACAAGTCCTGAACCTTCTGAACAGCAAAATGAAGCAAGCTCCGATCCTGAAAAGCAACAACCCCAAAACGAGCGACGAAAACCACCTTGCCATTGTTGTTGTTTGTTGTCATTCGAACATCCATGCTCCTGGCCAATGTACCACCGAAGCAAATGTTCCGCCTGCACCACATTGTGAAGCACTGGTGCACGCTTTATGCTGGTGGCGGTGGGGGAGGAACGTAATCGTTGCTTGGTGGAGGGGGTTGCGCATCCGGTGGTGGTGGCGGCGCAGCTCCATCAGGGGGTGGAGGAGGTGCTTGACCATATTGCTGGAGGAAAGAGCTGATCCCAGGAGGAGCGGCAGGAGGAGGTGGAACACCATAAGCTGGTGGCTGATCGTAGCCAGGATAACCACCATAGCCATAGCCCTGTCCAGGAGGTGGGGGAGGAGCTTGCTGTTGCCATGGTGCGGCTTGGTGCTGACCTGGGGCAGATCTATAGTCGGCTTGACGGCCTTGCTGCCAAGGTGGAAGCGAGGAGCCAGCATCGCGGTCTTGTCGCTCCCGCTGCCATGGAGCAGGGGCACCAGTCGGCTGTCTGGCCCATGGTCGAGTATCGCCACCGCCACCGCCGCCGCCGTAGGAATCTCCTTGATCATAGCTGCCTGGCGCCGCTTCAATACGACCAGCGGGCGCGCCCGAGGGATTTCCTGAGAGTTCTTGCATGAGGTTCTGTGTAATGTTAGTAGACGTCACTTGATCAAAGGAATTTCAACACATACCTCCATTTCTCGGTCAACAGCATCAGAAGGACCAAGACGGCGTTGGTTGAATCCACCTGGAACATTATTCCGCATGTCACTACCTCGTTGTCGGTCTGGACAATCTCTGGCCATGTGGCCAGCATTGCCACAAACTCGGCAAATGATGTTGGCAGTGAAATTACGCTGCTCTGGACAATCATATTTGCGATGCCCGATTTGCCCACCTGCAAGATGTTAGTTTGGGTTTCCTTTTCATAGTTACAAAAGAACTTACAATTCTGGCAAGCTTGATTCTCATCGTCGCGAAGGGTTCCGTTGAGGGCTGCAAGTTCTCTAAGTTGGTTCCGCTTCAACTCGTTCTGTCCTTCGGGGATGGATGCGGCGGTCTCAATGACATTGTGGATCAATTTCTTGGCCTTGTTGACCTTTTCCTCGGTATCTGCCATAATGAGACAATGCAAGTCTTCTTCCTGGTTGCTGGTGTGCGCTGCGTCAGATCGTCCCTTTCCTTCCTTGACAGAGCCTTTGCCTCGAATGGCAATCTTGGCTCCAGACTCATTTTCCATCTTCTTCAACGTGTTACCACGAGGTCCAATGAGTAGACCAACTTTGCAGCTAAGTGTTAGTATCTGGTGGTCAAAAAGAAACATGATGTAGGGAGAATTCTTGTTAGTGCAGGGTAAGACCACGTCTATCCACACAGCCTTATAGACAGGCGATAGCACGCAGAATAGTAAAACAGATGGGTTAGGAGCAGAGTTAGAGGGTTAGTTAGCATACTAAAGTTAATCTCGGGATAGTCATTCACTGGCACATAGACCTTTTCTTGGGTCTTGGTTGGTCGGCGGTAGTCAGACGGTGGGTGATAGTTAGGAATAGTCTTCATGGCCTTCTCAATGAGCTTGTGTCTTTCATCCTCCAGGCGTTTGCGGTATCGGAACTCTCGAGTGTTGACTCGGCGACCGAAGTTGTCGTATTGAGGCGGTGGAGACGGAGATCTGTGGATTTGTGAGCTGATGATATTTAGATGCGAGTCGCTAACGTACCTGTCTGCCTCCGCAGGGACAACATCGTTGATACGAAGCTTTTGACTGATCTCTTCGATACGCAAGTGAAGCGTGTACGCGTCAAGTTGCTCTGCTGTCATGTTTGCTTGAATCATGGTAGGAAGTCCCATGAGGCCTGCAGCTTTGTTCTCGCCAGCCTCACCCCAGCGATTTCGCTTCCTACGTCTCTTCACGCCATCGGCAGCAGGCTCGGCTGAGTTTGTTAGTATCTTGTATCAATTGAGAAAGAGATGACATACCTCTGGTAGGACTACGCCCACGCTTGCCTGAGTCTCCATACGCAGGAGAGTCGGCGGAGCTTCCATTCTGCGAGTCACCGTTGCCTTCGCCTCCAAACCGACGACGTGTTCCGAGAGGAATATTGTTCGAACCTGTTATGCCTTGATTGCGCCACGCCATCTTGACTGTTGCGCTGTGATGAAATTGTTCAAGGTGTTGTGATGGAACAATGAGCAGAAACTGAAATTATTCCACGAGCGCAGGCTGCCATAGGGGCAACACAGCGTGGCAACTTTGCCGAGATCGTCCACTCCTGTCGCCGCTTTAACAATCAGCAGCCACGCCCCTTAGACGTTTCACTCACATTCACAAATTGGATATTGTCAGTCGCTTAGGTATGTCAGTAGAAATGATTGGCGTGTCTGTCACTGAGTGTGATGGATTGGCCGCTCCGCCATCGAGTTGGGCAGACTAAAAGGGCAGATATATTAAACTAAGATGAAGTATCCCGAGGGTAGTGTCTGAAGTCCGCTGCTGTGAGAACAATTTTCCCACCATGCGCGTGAAATACATATTGTTGTAGAGAGCCGCCTGAAAAATCGACCAAATTTCTTATAGTTCCGTCTTGACCCAGCGTGCAAGAATTGGTGGTATAAGGGAATCCCAATCGCAACCCTGCCAAGGTACCGTATTAACCTGGATAAGGCATACCAGGACAAAAAGACTGAGAAGGCTGCATGCTGATAACACGTATAAACATTTCAATCGCAACACTTGTCTCCTCCGGCGGTCGTCCCTGTCCCCTTCCACTGCAATGTCCTGCTGTGTGAAAAAGTAGAGGAGCATCAGGGTGACGGAGATCGTAATCCACGCCAGCAAATTTCGACTCATCTTGGATAGGTCTGGTTCCAAGGCGGCAGAGAAGCGAAATACCTGCATACAGCCAAAGGAGAGGAAAATGGAGAGACTGCAAAGGCGGACGAGAACGGCAAATGGAGAATAGTGCAACAGCCAGCGAGCCATCAACGATGATGCGAACATATGAGCGAGATATGCAGCTGCAGCGGCCTAATTATGCCCATTAGCGACGTTTCCTGTATGATATTCGCCTGGAACAAATTGCCAGGGAAGATTTTTGGCTCACCCAGAGAAAACTCAGGGCAACCTGAGCAATGGCTATGCGCTCGAAGATGACATTCTCCCAAAGGCTTTTCTCGCCACCGTCATCAGAAACAACCGCCGAAACGTTCGTAAGCCACACGAGGCGGTAGATGCTGACGCAGATATGGCAAGCCCACCATGATGCAGATATTGTCGACAAAGCACGGCAAAGAAGCAAGGGTACGTGCCACTGTGGCTGGACTCCAAGCACCACAGCTACACGTGGATACCTCGCACTGCGAGCAACACTGCCTTTCCTGCCATCATCTCTACACTGCTGAGGTGCCGTAATCGAAGAAGATGGAGACACTCGGTTCAAAGATTCACGATAAGCTGGCGCGGGATCGGTGTTCGCCAGCGGAGCCGTTGTTTGCAGCTATGGCGGCTGCATTCCCTTGCGATAGATATTGACGCAATCAGCGGAGACCTTAGGACAGTGCTCGCAGAGAGATCTTGGGTCAAAATGTCGAGAGTTGCAATGCGCAAGGAAGAACTAGTAGTATGAATACACCCACGCAACTTGAGACTTGAAACTCGACCTGGTCTAAACCCCAGATTGCCTGTGTTTTCTTGGCAGGGCGAAGGCCTAGCGAGCCCCCACTACACAGACCGGAGGCTCCCTACTGCCACCGAGATCCAGTTACAGCGTACTGTATGTTCGCGTCTGGTTTATTCGTACGGGTCCAAATGGCTGATCATGGAACATGGAACGTGGAAAGCAGAGAAGGGCAGAATGTTAAAACTGCAATGATAACATGTACAATAGGAAGCTATCTTGCGGAGCTGGTAGCGTCAGCGAGAGAAAAGCCCGCCCCTCGATTGTCCAGGAACCAGTGCTCCCAGCATCCCGTATCCTTATCCATACTTAGGTAACCTGGCCTCTTCTCCAGGACTGTGGCCTCATCATATCATCCCGAAAGCACGTTTCTATTTGTGGGTATCATAAAGCATACAACCATTCCCATCCTGCAAATGCTATCGTAACTTGGCCGCTGCAACGGCCTGAAGGCGTAGGACGTAAGAAGTAATCGTTTTTAGGAAAGTGTTTCTCGATCAGGCGACAACTTCTATCTGTCCTCGAGGACCGAGCAGGATAGCGCAGAATGTCGGTTGAAGCGTTTAGAAACCGTGAACCTGTATTGCAGTCAGTAAAGCCGCAGAGGAGCGTAAGTTTCTCTCGTGTGCTTACCTTGATGGTTTTAGCGTCGAGCTCGAGGCCATCTTTGGCGACCAAAAACTCTTGAACATCTTTGCGTTGATCACCCTGAAGTTGGATCACCTCACCCATCTCACTGTCGGTAACGATGGTGCCATTGCAAGCTAATTTGTGTCAGTTGGTGTGAGCACTAAAGGCATGGGCATACACACCGAATTTCTTCTTGATGACCTTGAGAATCTTCTTTTGGTCGAACTTCTTGGGAAGTCCTTGAACAGTCGTCAAAGTCTTGCGACCATTTCGTTCTGGGAATCCCCGTCAGCACAATGGTATGTTTGGCAGGTGAGGTCGCCGCTTACGTTGGATACGTATGTGTATGTAGTTCTGGGATTGCTTCGCTTCCCCAGTATCGTCGTCGGCCTCCGCGAAGGGGTCTGGCGATAAAGAATGTTAGTCATAATCAATAGATAAGGCGAAATGAACGCGACAAGCAAGGACGTTGAAGCGGTTAGAGACAAAGATCGTCCAAGCCTGTGAACAGCTACAAAGAGGATGCGGTGTGCATTTCCAACTCTTCGTCGCTCGTTGCTGAAGGGAGTGGTGGCGAACGAGGGTTCGCAAGAGGGGTCGCTTACCAAAGGTTTTGAGGTTTTGGATAGTTGACATAAACTCGTTTGTCCGGAAAAACTGGATTGATTCGAAGTAATGGATTGTCTTTGATGGGGATTTATTGAATGTCTTCGAAAACGAGTACGTGAGGTTTGAGTGGAGTGTAGAAATGAATTCGTTCTTGTGAAGAAAGAGAAGAAACAAGGCGCAGGGAGAGAAGTTGAGCAAGAGGGGAAGGTTCCAGCGCAGTTTCAAACGCCAAGCCCAGGACTGGCCAAGGGTTAATACGGCAGGAGGTTCCCATTTTATTACTTGTCAATCATAATGGCCACATGCCAGTCACTTTGGCACCGGGACGGCGGCAGTCCAGGCACTTCCCAACGCTTATGACACCTCCGACGAACCGTTCGGGGAGCTACGCTACAGTATTACCATGTGGAGGTCCGTCACTGTCATTGTGCGTCCATATCACTCTTTTGCCATTGAATGCATCCAAAAAGCCATCTAGACTAGATAACAACACATCGTCGAATAGATGAAGTCATGCGGTTAATCACAATGAAGGATACAGGTAGATAATGGAAATCGGTATTCTCTTGCATGGTGGCCACTGGTGGCGTCAAAGAATTATGGCAGCATGCATACTTGAAACATCACGACAGACGGCTAGCGTCGTCTATCTAACGTTCGAACCGACATCCTGCGCTCATGGTCTTCTCCAGACAGCATCTACATCTGATGTCGATCCGATTGATCATGTCGATGCCACCGGTAACTGTGCTTGCGAAGCCCTTGCTACGTTTGCAGGTGGTGGAAGGAATAGAGGCATGTATGTCTGGTGTTTCGCGTTAGTCACTCCCCCGGGGCAATCGAAATTTCCAACACATCTTACCACAGCGACAGCGAGGACTATCATACGTCAGTCTGCTTCTCATGGAGTCTCGGGGTACTTGCACATACCTGCCATGCCAAATGATAGATATCCAGGAGTAGCATTGTTGGACCTTTGAGCTGGAGTTTCACCAAGCCAGTTCAAAAGGGACGATAGCAGCGCAAACCTCCTCCACTCAGCAATAGCTCCAGTAAATGAGAATTGCATAGTATGACTTACCATCCGAGCATTCTGGTAACGGAGGGTAGTTAGTACTTGTGTGACTGCTCCAGAAAACAGATGCGTGTGCTGCTTACTTGTTTCTCGTAAACATCTGCGATGCACGTCAGTGAGTTCGTCCCGGTCATGATGCATTGCACTTACAGCTGCCATGGGCATAGTGCTCGATAATGTAGAGCTAAAATCGACGGGTTTCTCTTCTTTTGGCTCGACATAAGGGATGACTTGTTCCTCGAGTTAGCTGAATGTCCCTCAAGCTGTGTCGCTTTGACATACCGAGATCCGTCCTGCGCATATCTTTCTTGGACGCCATGACTACTGGTAGGTCCTCTCAACAGTAGTCGGTTCTGCGGACGATGCTAAAACAGAAGGCGATTGATCAGACCGAGATATCAAACACGAAGCTGTTAGATGCAGCCCAGCCAACCAGTTTATGAAAGTTCCAGACCCGTCGGCTTCACTCCGGCCTTGGCAGCACAAGCAGTGCCCGGCTCGCTCACGGAGACGGTTGCCGCTTTTAAAGCGACTTTCTTCGCACCACGTACCCTCGCAGCGAAGCCTTACATGTTGAGCAGCATACACGAGCTTTGCACAGAACAGTGCTCCTCAGCATGAATCGAAAGAAATTCGATTGACAATGCCACTCTCACCTGAGGACATTGTCAGCGTTCACGTTGGGGATGGAAGTTCCGCAGAATGGTTGAATCAGCGCAAGTTCAAACCAAAGTTGACCATTGTCGAGTCCAATCCGGCGTGGCCACAGCGATTCTTAGACATCAAAACACGTATAGAAGCTGCGCTAGGCTCGACTGCAGTTGCCATTCATCATGCAGGATCCACCAGTGTGCCAGGTCTGCCGGCAAAAGATATTATTGACGTCGATCTTGTCGTAAAGGATAGTATGGACGAGGGTTCTTATGTTGCGGCTCTCGAGTCCTTGGGCTTCGTATTCCTTATCCGCGAGCCGGACTGGTACCAACATCGCTTTTTCTTTGATGAAGAAAACCGGCCTAATGCATACTTCATCAACCTTCACGTCTGGGGACCGGATTGCCCCGAGGTTGAGAGGCACCGGATCTTCCGCGACTGGCTCTCAAAGTCACCGAAAGACCTACAGCTATATGCCAATGTCAAACGTGAATGTGCTTCAGCATCTGAGGCCGCAGGGGAATCAATGGAAGAATACACGCTGCGAAAGGGCAAAGCTATTCAAGAGATCATGGATCGGGCGTTCCGCGATCTGGGCTACATCAAGTAATATGGCAAGTCGTTTTGTTCTGCCAAGGGAAAGAAATGGAGGGAGTCTGAGAACTAGCTAGCATGAATCTCATGCTTGTATATTCCTCAATCAGCTTGGGCCAGCGCATAGATTAGATCTTTGGCTATTCCATCTTTCTAGCTGCTTCAACACTCGTCAAGCGGTAGTCCACCCACCGTGGAGGCACTTCAAGAGCCTCGTCAGCTCGTCCCCTGGTACGTCGGCGTCCCTTTGCATGAGATAGCAGCGATGGTTCGGTATTACCTTCTTGCGGTACTGGAACCAGTAATGTTCATCCGGGGAGAAGCGAAGACGAGAGGACTTGTCGGAAGATGTAATTATGCACACACGCTCCATGATTCATAATGTGCATGTGTCCGCGAAGGGTGGTGGCAGAGACCTGACATTCAAAGTCCAGGGACGGAACATCATCTTTTCCGTCTCCGTATCTTCAGAGCGTAGATTTCGTGCTCACATTACCGACATCACGGAGTAATGATGTTATTCGCGCTACTTGAATCTCTATGGAAGGGTAGGCCTGGACTTTCGCCATTCTTTCAGACCTGCCTTGAGCGGGATTAGTTTGCCGTCAACATCTCGAGGTTCGTAGTCTAGGGCTGCGAAACCTGCTTCAGCCACATCATTTCCATAATGCTCGCTGATCCAGTGCGCAAACATGTCCATCCCTGCGCAGGCTCCTCCAGCAGTCCAGAATTTTCCATCCGCAATCCACTGCTTCTTCGTTGTCCAGTTGACCTCGGGCCTGAGCTTGACAGCCATGGGGATAAACTGGTGGTTTGTTGTGGCGCTCTTGCCGTCAAGAATTCCCATCATAGCCGCAACGATCGCACCAGTACAAGTGGTGAATATACCTTTGAGCTCGTCGACTCGGCCACGGACAAAGTCGGTGAAGACCGGGGGCACATTCATAAAGAACTCAGGCCCGGGTCCGCCAATAAGAAGATAGTCCAACGGAGGGCAGTCGGCGCAAGTAGTAGTGGGCTGTATCTTGATAGAAGCTGTCCCTGCTACTGCCTCGAGAGACTCGCCAATGTAGATGAATTCGATATTATTGCCTCTCCGAGCGATGTCGATCGGAAAGCCGCTCACTTGCTGCATGCCATGTAGGTAGCTAGTTGAGGAGGAAGAGAGGAGGTCCAAAGGGCCAACAACGTCGATGACTTGAAATGGGATGCATAAAACTCCAAATCGAATCTGAGCCATGATGATAGGGTTCGAGGGACCTCAGTCGTTTATGTTGTGCAATCAACTTCTTGTACATACCTTGGATGTCAGAAGACATTGAGAATGGCTGAGACTTATATACGCAGTCGCAGAACAATTTTTCCTTTCAGACATCCCACGGGAATCTGTTGGTGCTGGTCCATCTGAAGTATGCCATTCTTGAAGAGGAAATACATTTCAATCAGGCAAGGCCCCCTTGGCTATTGACGTTCACTTTCCCGATGGGAAACATGTTCCAAACAAAATGAGGATAACCATGGAGCCACACGACTTGGTACAGAAGGAGCGTTATACTCTCTTTTCCACAGCTTACCAGACCGTCTTATATCAAGATTTTGAACTTCATTTGGTAGAAGCCTGACTGCATAGAACTTGAACAGCGAATAGTGAGCAGTACTTGAGGCGCTGGTAGAGGTTACATAACCCATGAGTAAGCACTACCTTGGCAGATGCGGAATCTCCTGCGCAAGCTTCGTTCTGCCCATGAGAACTTTCCAAAACGATCAGTTGAAGAGGTCATATCATCACTTGTCCAAGAGATCTCGAAATAACAACGCGACCGCAATGTCGCACTCGACCATGATCCTCCCCAGGAGGACTGCGACGACCGCCGCAATTTCTAGTTTTGCAAAGAGAAAACCTCGCACTCCGTTCCTCTGCGAACACCAAATCTTTTCCCTAGCAGCTCGCCAATTTACGACCAGTCATAGAAGGGAGGCTCTCGGACAACGCAGAGATCTGGACTATGCCGCGATAGTGCCCAAACAAAAATCCCAGAAGACCATGATGGCCCAAAACTCGTTCGAAAAGTCCAAAGCCCTCCCTGACGATCTGGGCAGGATGCCCAACTGCCCCATCCTCTCCTCTGCATCAAACCTGCCCAGCTGGCTACCTCCCACGTTCCGACAACGGCTTCGAATTCAGTGGTTCCAGCTTAAGCAAAATGTGCAGGGGACCTTCACGTACGTCCCGAGAACTCTTCCTAGACTTGCCTCTCGAGATCCGGCACACTGACGTTTCTTTTCTCGCAGCTTGATCTATCTACAGTGGTGGGACGCACCCCGAGACCCTCTCACCAACAAGAAATTGTCAAAACCTTTGGAGCTCTCCGATAGAACCCAGGTTGCCATGGACCTTCACAAACAGTTCAACACGGCACTCACGAACGGCGATGTACGCACGCTCGAGAAGGTCGCTTGCAACGGCCTCCTGAACCAAGCCAAATCACGAATTCAACGTCGAAAGAGAACGCGCACGGATGAGACTTGGAAGCTGCTCAGCTACATTGGCATCACATACCCACGCTTCCTACAGACGTGGCCAATTTCCGTCCTTCTCCCAAACGCCTCCGCCCGAGTCGTCTCGGACCGATTGGCTCCCCTCCCGATGCCGAATTCCTCTTTCCGACAATGTACCGTGCGCATTCGATCGACGCAATATTATAGACTGTCGAACATGACCGAGGGGAACATGAAAAACCTGACGGAATACGTCGTGATTCAGAAACTCACACTCAACGGCAAAGAAAGTCCTTGGAAGATGTGGGGAACGGTTGATCCAAACACCGTCGAAGAGGTCGAGAAAATGATCGAGGGCGGAAAGACGCAAGACACCATAGGCGGCAGATTCAGAGATCAACTGTCCGGCTTTACTGGTTTCAACGTCTAAAAAAAGGATGCACTTCAGATCTTTGGAGTGGCCCCGTCTCGGTGGGTTGGTACCCGGTGGACTCGAAACCGTGATCGAATATCCCGCGAGGTCGTTCTTCGCTCCCACATCTTTATACCATCAAAGCCCTGTCTTGGGGCGACAAATTCGCCCGACTGTCATGTGTGAGCAGTGAGATTGGTTTCCGTGGCGTTTCCAAGCGATCTTACCCATACCGGCATCCTCTGTACGGATAGTTCCAAGAACAAAAAATTCAATCGACGGTCACTCGCAACGAAACAGATGGTGATCCTGCGAGATGTATTGATATCCTAAACAAGGGCTCTTACGGACACCGACTCCTTTCCCCCCTCGAATCCATTTGGACTGTGTCGCAGACTTATACATCTAACGTGTATGTATGGGGAGATCCGGAGTTACTTGACAATACAACCTTTTTCTTTGGTCGAGGCATTGGCCATGATCTCAGAAATATGTCTACCCGACTCTAGTCCTGTCACTGCCATCCATACATGCTCCCCTGGACGAGTGGTGGTGGCGTGCCTATTTACCTCCTGTAATTGCGAGACGACAAGAAGGATTTTCCCGTACCGGACGAGGGGAGGATGACGGCATGATACTCCGTACTCGTTCGTACTCGTTTGTGCTCGTAGGGGGGGGTTGTCTTGCATGGTCATGGTCACGGTCAGCATTGCCGTTGACTACCGACTACCCAATACGGTGGATACTCGTATTGGCGTGGTGGGTTAGGAAAAATATGGCTTGTTCCGTCCCTTGGATCGTCGCCGACCATTTTTTCTTCTTGTCTCGATGCGTTCCCATGTAGGGGGGCTCTGGGGTGAGTGTGTGTGTATGTGTGGAAAACAAGGTGTCGTGTACCTACCTACCTACCCAGGTATCTAGAGTTGTTGTCTTGAGGCGGGAGAAGGCCTTTCTGTTTGGAAGCGTCAAACCCGGTGACCTCTTACAGAGGGTGGCTACCCGAACCCCCTTTTTGTTGTATAGTGTACTACAAAGTATAGTGTTGAGAGACTACATGTAAATTCAAAACATCTCATTCGTTGCAAAGAGTCTCATTATTACTGCACTTTATTGTACTTCACTGTATTGTACTCTATACACTCTACACTCCCTCCAAGTGAGATATCTACTTACTCTATTTCCAGGTACAGTTATTCAACCGGCCATTTTGTCATCGATCAGAATTACGGCAGTGTGTCAAATTGACTTTGACTACGTGACTACCTACTAGGTAAACTCCCCGTCACGAGGGGGGGGAATGGAATGCTAGGTACTCATGGATGTATGAGAGCAACCCTCGTTTTGCCCCTAGGTGGGTAGGCATCTCGTGTTGTGGTTGTTGTTGTTGCTCCTGATCCTTCTCCTCCGCCAGCTCATTGCTTGACGTCCTGCTAAAAAAAAAGTGTGTCCATGCTTATCTTGCCCTGTTCCCTTCCATGCTCCCGAGATATGACATGATTCGAGTCAACGTTAAACAACGTCTCCAATTCTCGCTTGCCTTCGTGTGAACATTCGATAATTTATTCCAGAACCAAGAGAGAAACCCCCCCAAAAATTCCAGCGTGCTATGTCTGGTGTCTTGTAAAAGTAGAAAATAATCCGTAATAAAGGGAAAAAAAGAAAAGAAAGAAGAAGAATAGAGAGCAAAGAAGAAAAATCGTAATGTCGTACCACGTACACACGTTACCATGCATGTCTTTCTTTCCTCAAAAAACACAATGACACAAGACAACATACGACACACGCATAATACACACACACGCAGCCTTTCGGTCCAGTGTATAATTCACTTCCAGTTTCCCGGCGACTTTCTTTGGTCTCGTCTTGGCTGGGTACGCGGATCCTAATTCAGAGAGCATGTTGGCGGTGCTGGTACCGGTCGAGTAAAGTTGCCGCAAGCCAGCGAACCCCAGTCCTGAATCTCAGAATTGACAGTCCAGTACCATACAAAGTTGTGAGCATTGCGGAGATGGAGGCTAATCAATGCTCAATCATGTACATGCCAAGTGCAAGTATGACCTGGTTTGTTTTGTTTTGAGTCGTCTTGTATTGGTATTCAAATAAGCGACGACCGCATCCTTCGTCTGCCACGTCCTCCAGTTTCTGCGCGCTGGTTCAGGACCTGCCGTAATCGAGGATCGTCTCGGTCTCGATCTTTATGATGTGCTCGAACGTGCCTTTGCAAGTTATCCGGTCGGGGGTATCGGTGAAGTTGATCTGGGCAAAAGGGACAAGGGTAACCCGGAGAATCGTGGACCAAGCCGTGTCTATTTTTGCCATGTCGCCATTTCCATGATTAGTTCAACTGTTTATGTAACAAACAACTTGGGAAAAAAAAAAAAAAAGAAAACTTACCGAATCATCTCATTCTTCCTCTTGAAGCCTTTCCCACCAGGACCGTGCGGACAACCCTCGACGTGACAAAAATGCGTCCGGGTATCAGAGTGCACGTTCATATGACTGTTGAGGAGGTATTGAGTCTGAAAGGGGGCAGCGGTGCAACCTTGGTATAGACATTGATAGAGACCATCTGCCGTGATTCGACTCAATGCTGGGAGACCACCTCCACCGTTCAGTGACTGCTCGTCCTCGGATTTACGCCGCGACTCGGGTGCAGCTCCTCCTGCTGACGAGGAGTCCAACGAATGCGTGTCTGACACCGACACCGACTCACGGTCCCATCTCGAAACCAGATTTTGTACGCTTATTGACGTCGCCGGTGATTGGACAGGGACGACTGAAGAGGCCGGCGTAGACACTGCTCCAGAGCTGGTGGGAGTATACTCTGAGGATATCGAGCTGTCACGTGTTACTGCCCGCCACGTAAATTGTCCAGGGAGAGCGGGAGGTGACATGGTTGAGTGTGTTGGCTGGTGGTGTTGGAATGGCGGAGACGGTCGTCCAAGAGATACTAGCGGACCAGGGGGGGACGGACGACCTACGATGGGAGATAGACCTGCGAACCCCGGAGAGTTCGCATCGAATTCCCCTAGGTGCGTCCTCAGCGAAGGCAGTGTTTGTTTGTGCTGTGGCGAGGACGCAGGAGAAGACCGAGGGGGCGACTTTTGGATGGCAGGCAAGATCACGTCGGGATCTGGAAAACGTGGTGTCATGGCGTATTTTCCTAGAGCTGGTGATGTTATGAGGGACTCATTAGGATCATGCTTTATGTCTCCAAGGTCCAACCGTAGGGTTTCCTTTGCCAACGCAGCCTGTCTGCACTGGGCAGTGGCAGTGGCAGTCTCAATTGTGTCCGTCGGTGTCGACCGCTGCGTCCGAAGCTGTCTATCACGGTCGTGTGTATCCCGAGACATCGGGGGATGACTGGTATGCCCAACATCGTGCACGATATCGGGTGAGTCGATCATGGGAAAGTCTCCATCCTCGTCATTGAATTGATCTTCCTCCACAGTATCAGTTTGCTCTAATGGGTTATTCTGGGTTGGATTGTGTTGAATGGAGATTCTAGTTGGTCGCGTTTCGCCTTGACTGTTGTTGCCCTCCTCCTCTTCCTCCTCTGCCTCCGAGGCTGAGGCAAGTGCATTTTTCTCGGCGAGTCTTGCAAGCTCGACCTGGTTTGGATCTAATGAACGTATCAGTACACCATCACTCAAGGATGGGTCAGTTCGACTTTTTCGAATTGTCCGACGCTCCGAAGGACCGCCCCCGCCAGTTTCGTCATCATCACCCTCGTCATCATCGTCGTCGTCGTCGTCTGAGGATTCCGACGACGGATAGTTGGGCACGAGCGGCGGAGGAGTGGCGACCGGTCTGTAATTGATGTTTACAGGCTGCAGAACAGGACTCCTGGCAGGTGCGAGAAAATCTCTCTCTAAATCGTAAACTTGGTCGGGATCCTGATAGTTGGACATGGATAGACGGAAATATCACATGGTAGAAAAATCGACAGCGAGGGCCGAATCAAGCCTTGACCGAAAAGACTTGGGACGGCGGAATATCCCACGATCCGAGAGCCAAAAATCGATGGGACGGTCAAGGATTTCTTGGGGGAATGTTGGTGTACAGGAAGGTTCGATCTGTGTAGTTGCCATGTCAGCACTTGAACGAGGAAGAAACGACCTTGAACGAGATTCGCCCGGACTCAATCGAGAAGCGGCCGAGAGAAATCGGGCGTTAAACAAATTGCATCAACACATTGCAATGTTGTCTGATGCCATTGGGACACAATCCATTAAAAGTGAAGGCGTCACGCCCAAAGCAAGGGTTCAGCCCACCCGGGAAAACCTGTGGTGTTCCAGACCCTTTCAGCCCACCGCCACGATCCCGCTTGCTAGGCAACTGGAAAGGAAAATAATGGCTGAAATGCAAGAGAAGCCAACGAGGAAACGATCCAGGGTCGCTTGTTCGTGATCGTAGGGAGAATGGACAAAGTGCTGGAGGGGCATTCATACCAATGGATGCTTGTCGCAACGCCAGCGTCAATGAGGGGGACGGTGCAGGCTGGGAAGGCTGCACAACGGTATTCATCGACGTCAGCCGACCTTGGGGATCTGACAGATAGTCGAGTGGAAGGGTGGTACGGAAGACCAAGGTCGAGGGGAATCGGTGAGGTTCAAGTCAGTTCTGCGAGGCTGCAACACGGTCTTGGGCCCGGGGGTGTGGAGCGAAGGAGCCTCAAAAGCCGCATCAGCGCGAGAGGAGAGGACGGTGTGGAAGTCGTGGGGGCTTAGCTGCACTGCCACGATGGTTTCGGGAGGACTCGAGTCGACGGAGAGGGCTGCTGATTGTCCAAGAGAAGCGAACCGTGGCCGGCGAAATCAGGATAGGAATCGGCAGGGATCTTGGGTGTTTAGAGATGGAGAGACGAAGGGTCGGCGAGGGTCAGCAGGTCTATGAATGAGTGATATGCCAGGCCAGTCTGCATAGACCGACTGACCTGGTACAGATATCATGATGTGAGTGGACTTGGGATTCAGGTCTAGACTGGATGACTGGCTCCGTCCACGAGGGACCCCTCCGTGATTAAAACGCTCTTTTTGCTGTGGATTGAACCACAGAAGCACGCAGGCCTACTGCCTTATTTGGCTGGAGCAACGCTAAGGGTTGCCGGTGGACAGTTGAAGGCGAGTATCCATTAGCAAAGTTGGACCTCGCAATTCGTGTCGTTGCCGCCGTCTAAGGAAGTCAAAATCATTGGGTGTCTCTGGGGCGAAGGGAGAGTGGCGCGAGGGACTATGGGACGCGGAGGAAGTTGGCTTGGAGCTTGGAAGTCTGGCGAATCCCATTCGAGAGAGGAGTCTAACGGACACACATGCTGCGTACTGTTCATACTGTACAGTAGATGAGAATGAAACACCACGAGCCTTACTCTTGAGAGGTCCTCAATACCCCACTGTGGTATAGGCCGATCAAGTACTCCGTACGAAATACGGAGCACATACGAAGTACACTTACTGTACAGAGTACAATTAAGAGAAGAGCGGAGTAATTTTGCGACAAAAGAGAAAAGACGACAAGCTAAGCTACACGTCCATCAATTCTTGACACCTTCGCTATCCAGAAAAGGCAGTGGACAACCGAGTAGACTATTGCGTTTGGACTCGAGCGTATGAGTCGGTCGGGGGTGACGTGGCAGGGGACAGTAGTTGTAGGTAAAAAGACATTCGAATTAGTGCCCAAGTAGGTACTCGCATCCGTATGGAGCACGGCTTTTTATAGTTGACTTGCAACGGGAGTAACAACAGTGCGTTAGATCGGGGGACCTCAGGGACTGACGGGAAGGGGACATGGCAGTGACCAGGTGTTTTCGTGGCACCTGAGATTGTCCTGGCACTGACCAGGTTCGATACATGAATGGATCACATAGACGACCAGTACTCCGTATGTAATGATCACGATCGACGCAGGAGAGAGAGAGAGAGAGTGTGTGTGTGTGGCCTAATTGACAATACCTACACTATCCATACTCTAGTACTCCCTAATTAGGTAAAGCAGACTTACAATCCTAGGTAGACTTACCGAGTGAGCCTCAAGGACTCTACGTAGTACTCGCATGTAACAAGCATCACCCCTCCGACTGGCCACACCCAATAAACATCCCCCTAAGCTCACCACACCGGGGAACAAAGTGCACAGAGGCTCAAATTTCTCTCGCCTAAGATTTGGAACTACTGTAAACTCTGCAGTACCAGCGAGAGCCGCATCTTTATTACGCACGCTACGGAGGACGAGAAAAAACAAAAATGCTCCCCCCGGCCGTGCATGGGCCCTGCGACCTATCAACACCATCCCCCAGCTCCGTAGTCGTACTAACTGTTACAAGCATTGTTCTCTAGTGCCCAGGCGGAATCTTCCAAGTCCTTCTCTGCACAAAGAAGGCGTTGTGCTTAGCTTGACCCTTCCCTACAGTAGTGTCGAGTCTTCGTTCTGTCTACTGCAGCCGGTGCTATTTCGCCAGAGAGGGGCTTCTGTCCTCCTTCAAGTGGCAAGGCGGACAGCTATAATGAGCTCACCGCAGCATCGTCGAACGTAAACTTCGACCACACGACCCCTTGTCATCACTTCATAGGTTGGCGGCAAATGTACGTGCCCGAGAAACCCTCGGGCCCCCCTGACGTGTCGACTCGAGGACGCCCATGATCGATCGTTCTTTTTATTGTGCATCGCTCCCATGGCAACATGTCAGACCACCAGCTTTGCAGCCCAACCGCACTAATGCCAGTATTGCATCTGGAGTGTTCAAGGGTTTACTAGAAGGAAGCGGAGTGACTGAAGAGGAAGCACTGTGACGTTTTCGGTTTCCTTCGAGAGGCGCCTCAAACCTCGTTGGCATTGCAGACAACGTCAGAAAATGTCCCTCCTGACCAGTACAACATGATTGTGTTGTCATCGCCCCCATGCTTTCCGACATGAGCCGCATCGAACCAGGACTGCAGCGACACAAAGGTTAGGCCTCTGACACTGACGGGGTCTCGTCCCCATTTGAAAAAGAAAGTCACCAAGGAAAAACAACATGTTCAAGCTACCCCTATACGTCTACATACAAATTTAGCCATTGTCAGCCCTTGTATGTGATGACGCCCAGGCCCTTGAAATGACTGCAAGTCTCGCTTTCGATGTTGGCGTGAACAGGCGTCGGTCAACACGGCTAGGTCTAATATACCATCTGTGGTGGACGGGGGAGCCTCAGGGGTAAGCGGATCCAGGTTCGTCTAAATGCAGTCCCTCGGCTTCTCAATCCATGGAGAGACTGATGCGACGAGTATTCTCTCCAGGCCTATATTTGGTGTGCGCCAAGCTGCTATCCCAGGAGTGGCCGCTCCGAATCATCTTGATCACTCATTCGGGCCTCTTGATTTCGGTACAGGATGAAGTGTTGAACGATGAAAATGATGTCGAAGATGATGCTGATATTGGAAAGACCCAATTTCAAAGGGTTGCCAGTAATGCCGCTCCAGTCACCTTGAAAGCTAGCATCGATGACCAATTGAAGCAAGGACAGCACCCCTCCAGTGATGTCGAATAAGATCTGTGAGATGCTCCAACCCACCGTGGATTTGCGCTCAAAATTCACAATGACCTGCGGGATGTACTTGACAAACGTACAGATGAGCTTCACATAGCCCAGGGTATAGAGCTATCAGCATGTTAAAATAGGCTGCTCTACTGGTGGGACACGACACAAGCACCTACCACATCGATCCACGCCCATTCCTGCGGATCTTGATGTTGAAGGCCAGAGTGACTGACCACGATTCCAATAACAGCCAATATAGCCAGGACACTGCCCCAAACAATACCTAAGACAGGTTTCGCGGCCCGTTGGCGTGATGATACCTTGAATCCCCACAACCAGGGATAGAATTGTGAATAGGTCAGGACAACCAGGATCACGGCATGCACGCCGAAAACCACGTCGTTGAATTGAACAGTTGGTTCGGGAGATGCTGGATGTCTTGCAGCGTATTGATTCCGGATTGTGGCGGAGTACAGAAACCCGCAGGAAGATATGCTGTAGCAGAGAAACCCAAGGACATTGAGCAAAGGAAAGTCGATAGCGAGACCCAATGTTGATTTACGCCGCCAGTTCAGCCAGGGTTGCGGATAGAAAGAAGCACTCCAAGATAGAGTACTGCGTTGACATGAGCATCGAAAGACATTCGGCCAGAGCGATATTCACTTACTAGATCCAGCCTAGAAGACTGCTCGACGCATCAGCATTTGCCTATCGACAGGGAGAGTGGCACGCGTCAAAGTATTCCACTTACCTAGAAAGGGCTTTGACCAACGTAGCCCAGTCGCCATCGCTGCTCTTGGTCATGATTCAGTCGAGGGACCTGGAGACCTTTCATCACCATCAGTTCTCACTAGACCGACACTCTATACCACGGTCCTTGGGAGTGATGTCTCATTGATCTCGTAAGATGATGAATGAGAAACGTGCAAGATAGTTTGCGATGAAATCCGAGCTCCGCCGACGATGTGATAAGGTACGTGGTGGAGACAGTCTAGTCTGTACAGTCCATAACAATAGGCAGGGAGTATTGTACGGAGCATCAATCAGTACAATACAATGAATCGGGAGTGTGCTGTACTTCGTGGTGAGTGAGTACTGCGGGTAAGTGAATGAATAACCGGATGAGGTAGCGAGTGGTTGCTGTTCCAACGCCGGCGAAAACGGATCTTGGCGTCACGGGGACAATGGCAGCGAACCAGAATGTTTGGATCAGCCCAACCTGCTTTGCACTGCATGCACCTGAACAACTCACAGACAATTCTTGCTGTCCATCACTCTTGTCCGCCTGATCTTTGACAAAGTGACGAAAAGACAGGAAACGGATCCTCGTCAATTTGTTTGTGTGGTTCCTGGTCAACTAAAGCACCAAACAAGCCTATCCTACTTCCCTACCCCGCGCAAGATCTCAAAGTAAACAAAAAGTTCCTCGATCAGCCCTCCGAATCGCACAACCTCGATCCCATCGTTCTAGGATTCACAACATCGGACTATACAAGACAATCCATAGAGAAGGAGATCACGATTGTTCGACTTGGACCCTGCTCTTGCATGGTCCGCACGTTTTGATGAGTGGAGGTCATCCTCCAGCAAGGACCTCTCCTACACACGAGCCATGTCGCCCTCACCGCAGTTAGCTCCACCAGGGAGCAGCTCGTATGATTCGAGCACAATGCACGTCGGTGATGGTACATGGGATGCAGGAAGAGATGATTTTCTCTTGCCCAATTTGGTCGGGCTCAATTTTGCAACAATGAGATACAATGGTATGCTGAGACACCGCACAGAGAAGATCAAGCACTGACAACACCCAGGCATGGGCAACAGGTTCTTTACCATGAGCGGATACCACTCCTTGGTCGAAGCTCACGGCATCATTGCTGCCGTTACATTCCTCGGAATAGTTCCACTGGCCATCTTCCTCGTCCGATTCTATGGCCGACAGCCACGGATGGCCTTGCGCCTGCACATATGGCTCCAGATACTCACCCTGCTGTTGAGCACAGTGGTGTTCATCCTGGGCTTCATGGCAGTCGGACCTAATCGAAGTTTGACAAATCCGCATCACGGCATAGGTGTGGCCATCTACGTCCTGATCTGGGTTCAAGCCATCGGCGGATGCTTGCTTCACAGAAAAGAGAAGCGACGCACAAGACTTCACATTCCTGTCCGGGCAATGCTTCACCACTGGTTCGGCCGGGCTATTGCTCTTCTGGGCATCGTCCAGATCGCGCTCGGCCTGACCCTGTATGGGTCACCACTATACCTTTTCGTCCTCTACACCTTATATGTGTTTGCATTGCTCGTTTTGTACTTTATCCTAGAGTGGTTGGCGGAGCGTAGAAGAGCGCAGTATGATACTGGTGGCAGCTATTACAGTGATGAAATTGTCTCTAGGCCCCCTCGACACCAACACTCTGGCCTAGGAAAACTCGCAGTAGCCGGCGCGGCTGGGGCTGGGCTGGCCGCACTGTTCAAGAGGCGATCTTCCCGCCACCGGCCACATCCGAGCGACACTGGTACCGAAGAAAGCTCGACTTCATACTACACCGACGAAAAAGTGTCTGATCCTCGTCGCCATGATACAGGCATCGGACACCGGCTTCTTCAAGTCGCCGCAATAGGAGGCGCAGTGGCTGCGGCCAAAAAGTTATTCGGTCGCAAGGATCGTGATGACGATGATTCTGATGTTGGCCCCTATAGACCTCCACGGCCAGCTCTTGGGGGCAATCAGTCCGTCACCACGGACTCAATGTCACGGGTTGAAGAGGGTCGACCGCTAGGACGCCCTGTTACTCCTGTCGGAGCAAGCCCTGGATATGTTCGACCTACTCACCCCCTGGCCCAACCTCCATTGACCCCAGGCTCGGGAAGACGTCATTCGGACTCCTCCCTGTCGTATACCGACTCTTTTGCCTCAGCGTCGCCGTCACGACAAGATCGACGAACGCACACATTTAGAGATGCGCTGGCTGCAGGAGGGGCGGTATTCGCAGTGCGACAATTGTTCAAGCGAAAGCCGCGAAGGGACGACCGGCGGGTTGAGCAGGAAAGAATTTCTCGAATGAACGGAGCCCACGGCTACACTGGCGACGGGATTACGCCGCCCCGAAGAGTTCGACATAATCGGATGGGAAGTCAGTCTGCGTCGGACCTGACTAGCGATCTGGAAAGCCGACCAGGTGCAAGCGGGGCCTTGCCCGTGGCCGGCGCCGGTGCTGCGGCGGCGAGTGCGCTTGCTGATCGGGACAGGATCAGACCGGTAGGCACTGATCCTATGATTCACACCCCCGGCCATCCCAGTGCCATGCCTGCTGATGTACCTCCTATTCCGCCTCCACATCTGGACTCATCTGGTAGTGAGCTCTACACGACAGCGTCTGGCCGCCAAAGACACAGGCATCACCTCGGAGAAGAAGCAGCAGCAGGCATGGCAGGGGTTGCTGCTGGAGCCGCAGCCGCAGATCTGTCACGCAGACGGCACAGTGGCAGGCACACAGACTCCGTGGAATCACCTCCCGTGAGCCTGAACGTCAAGATGCACAGCGACGGGCGTCACGTAACGTTGAGACGGTTGACGGAAGAAGAGGCTGTAGCCCAGCGTGAAGCTCGAAGAAAACAACGTGCAGCTTCTGCAGGGAGAAGACGTCGAAATTCCAGCTTCAGCAGTAGCGATGGTGACGGTCTAGGAGCTGCATCGAGTGGCGATCGGCGTTGGAGACGCACAGAAGCCAGGGAGGCTGAACAAGCTGCGCATAATGAAGCCGCCGCCGCCGCAACCTCTGCATCAATGTATCCCGAGCATCTGGCCCCTCCAGTTCCCGGCACAGTTCCCATGTATCCGACCCCGCCGCCCCCAGGGACGCAAGGAGTCGATCCTCAAACAGGACAGGCCTACCATGTACCAGCACCTCCGCCGATACCAGGGTCCATGAGTAATCTGGGACCAGGAGGAAGTGCTATCACATCACCTACAACCGAGACCAGCGGTGCCACCGAATATGCCAACAACCGTCGCCGCAGACGAGCAGAGAGAGCTCAGGCTCGGTTGGCGAGAGAGGGCAAGACGGGGAACACTGTCAATTTTACCTGACCTAGATCTACAAAAGGCGTTCCATGTGCTGGACTACTCGCAACAGTTGGAACCCCTGGGGAATGCTGCAGAATTTTACCGTGGGTTTTGGAGGCGTTATTGTATCCTCATTGCATATAGGCGGTGTTGAGCAGGCGCATGCAGTATATGGGAGGCGATTTCGCATAATTCATTACGACGATATGAGGTGAGAATGGGTGATGGGAAGCTACTGGATATATCCTGGCCTGTCCGGGAGCACCTTGTGTACGAAGCGAGCAAGATCGAGTTGAACAATAGAAAGGCTGCGGCGATTTGTACATTATGTAATATCGTGGACGGTGAAGTCTGGAGTCCTTTCTTAGCCTTTGGTCGGTAGTATTTCTGTTGAGCTATCATGTCATCGAGATAGTGAACTGTATGCTTGCACAACTCGGGCCACAGACTGGCCAGGGATTCGAGACTCGGTCATGAATATTGTATGATTGTATGATTACGAAGCCGAGTGCTCGTAGCTAGTACTCGGGCAGTCAGTGACCCGGGACCAACAAGACCGGAGTGGATGGCTGGCTATGACTTCCAGTGCGGAGTGTTATACCGCAAATAGCTAACTATGTACGGAGTACTTACAATCGTACACTGCGCATCGCAATGACCTCCAGTTGCATCAGTGGCTGGATCTGCGTTTCCGCTGCTTGCAACCCTCCCGGGCCAAGCGAGGGGCTCCTGGCGAGCCTAAAGAGCCTTGACCGGTTGCAGGTCCGGGGCGCGTCAAGCGAACCACGAGCCGTTCGCTTGGGGGAGGCACAAGGCTGGCAATCGCTGGGAGCGGCACTGATGGCGCCGGAGCCACCCATGGATCAAGACCCTAAGCTAGCGCCCAAGAGAGTCGAGGCACCGGATCCCTAGGGCCTTGGAGGGCAAATAATAGGCTTACGGCAGCAGCAAAATCAGGTATCGCAGGACCGAGCAGGTTCCATGTCGTGGCCAAACCTCGTCGTCGGTGCCTCTTCTCTCCTCATCTGCTGCGCATCGACCCCAGCCTCCCACCACGCAACCAAGCTTCCCTCTTCTCACCCCCCTTCTTCCTCATATCTACTCCGGACATCCTGACGTCTCCTCCTCCTTCATTTCTCCTCGGCGCTTTCGCAGTCTGTCTTTATCCTTCTCTTCCGGTACACTTTTGCCTCCGCCAGACTCCTTTCCGTCGGCGCTTGGCCACTCTGGACCAGCTGCTTAACTAAACAACACAACAATCAGACTCTGAACCTTTCTCCGTGGTTCGTTCGATTTCGAAGCTTCGCCTCTCGGCCATTTCGACTTTCTACACTTGATGGCATAGTCATTTCCATACGTCGTCTGATCTTTGATCTATTACGATACCAACACCCCGAGGTCACCATGATGCAACCAGCGACACCAGAATCGCAAGACGTCGACATGCAACTTGCTTCAGACTCCGACCAGACCTACCCGGAACCACCACCTCGTCTTGCCGCCCGCTTTTGCCGGAAGACGAGCGCTCGCCGGAAGTCCTCTGCCAATTCCTCCCGTCGAAGCTCCCTCTCCTCGATTCACTCTCACACCTCGAACCGGTCCAGTCATGGCGGACCCGCGAGCACCCACGTCGCACAGCACCTCCGGCGTGCCTCGATCATTGAGAGTCGAAAGGCACGTCTGGCGGATAGAGCTGCTCACGCAGAACAGGTCAGGTTGAGGGCCGCCGCTGCCAAAGCCGCGCGAGGTGTCTCGTACAGCGAGGAGAGAGCCTTGGCTGCGCAGGCGGCACGGGAGAAGCTCCTCGCTGAAATCACGGCAAGGTGTGAAGAGGAGGTCCGACGTGCAAAGAAGATTGCCGAAGAGACGAAGGAGAGAAAGGCAGCAGAGCTGGCCAGACTCAAGGAGGACATGGCCGAGAAATTTGCAGAGGCGGCCCGACGAAAATCCATGTACCAGCAGGGTATGCGAAGACCAAGGACGACTTCGCTGGCAGCTGTCGAGGAAAAGAAGGTCTCGCCCATCGCATTGACACAATCAAGTCGAGCATATGCTGCAAAGGTGATCCAGCGAACTTGGCGATCCTACCGCGGTCGCAAGATCATTGCCGACTTCTCTGCCATGGAATTGGACTTGATTCGCGCTCAGTCACTTTCTTTCGAGGATTTGACGAGGCTCCTCTCGACAGACAAGACCACCACCGTCACCTCGCGGCTGCTGAAGCACTTGGACGTGCTGGAAGACGGCCAGGAGACCACCGGCCCCGTCCGTATCTTCTTGAGTGCGTATCTGATCTTGTCACACCCGATGCAAGCATTCAGCCACGGTGGGAGCCAGCCTCAAGAGCAAGAACTGATGGCCAAGGCGAGTACTTTGGTCGAAGCCTTCGAATCACACATGAAAATCAGACCGCCAAAGTCGCGACGAGACACGGCAGCCTCCACGAGAGAAGCCTTGTGTTTCGCCTTTAATGATTTCTCTGCCACTTTTGACGCTTGGAAGAACCAAGACCTTGGTGTTCTCGTCGACGTCATGGTCAACTCTTTCGTCAATCTCGATCTCATCCTGCAGGCGACCAAGAACGACCACGAAGGACATGTCGCCGAGGATTATCTGGATGCCGTCCGCCAAGAGCAAGTGAAACTGCTGGCCAGGCTGAAGAGACTTGCTGGACCGGAAGAAGCTCTATCGAGAGTCAGACTGGCCGTACGAAAAGCCCGAAAGCAACGAGCCGCCGAACAGCGGCAGACAGCCGTGCGACAGGTCCCACGAGCATCAACACCGGCCAACAGTGGTCCCTCGTCTGTTAATGGAGCACCAATTACACCCCCAGCGACGCCACAACCATATCATCGCCACAGGGAGTCTAAGAGTTCCACTTTTGCCAACAACCTTGGTCAAATCATGACGGTCTTGCCTTCGAACCGTGAGATTGCTCACGAGATCTTGATCAACGGCAGCTTCGAGGTGCAGCAACGCCCTTGGACCGAGGCTCGAAAGGACCTGATGAGCTCGCTCCGCTCCAACATGCGGAGTAGCATGCAAGACGGGAATAGCGACGCGGCGGCCACTTGGACCCATGCCATGGCCATCCTCATTCGTGAGAAATTGATGAACCTCGTCAGTCAACGACATCCTCTTTACGATCGATTTGATGGATTTTTAGACCCGGCATTGATCAATCAGCAATGCAGGAATGGAATGTTCTCCTACACTGCATTTTTTGACACCATTTCTGGCTTGATTGCACAAATTTGTTCGCCAGGACGTGATGAAATCGTCCAGGCTTTCACGAACGACACGACCAGCGATACGATTGACCGTCTTTTCGACCTGATCAACATCATTGATTTGATGACCTTGGATCACATCAATTTTCAATTCAGACTGGCGTCCCAGTCTGTTTTGGAGCATGGGCACGAGCACGAAGTGGCGTCTTTTGAGAAAGAGCTTGAAGATGATGTCCATCGTCTCGACCGAACCAGGCAATGGTGGTCCAATTCAAAGGGTATGGTCGGTGTGAATGCAAGTGGTGGTGCCGTGTACGCAAGAGGTTTGACCGACCTAGTCTTGCGCAACACCCATCTGTGCTTCCAGGACGTGCCAGAGACTCTGCAACTGGACTACATCCGTCTGCTCAAGTGGAGGGCGCGCGCTTTCCAAGTGGTGGCAACCTCGTCGATTTTGCTCACGACCAAGATTCGACTGAGGCGCAACAGGGAGTCACTGTGGACAAAGGATGCCGAACGGTTGATGTCCCTAGACTTGTTGAATGTGGACGCCAATCGCGTCGTGTCTCTGGTTGAATCATCGCACATGATGCCGGACAGTATCAAGGAAGGTCTGTCCAATTTCGTCGGCCGTGTTTTACCACCGGCGGCCGATGCCGCCAAGAATGCCGATTCGGCGGAGCTTGACCGACAGGATGCTATCCACAGTCAGTCGACGTACCGGCCCTCTGAGGATGAGCATAGCCTCGGTGGAGATGTGTTTACAGAACAGATCGCCAGCTTCCTGCTCAAGTCACTTCGTGAACATGTCTTTGCCAGGCTTTCCGCCAACGGAACCCAGGAAAGAGTCCGAACCACGACGGGTGCGGCAGAGGTCCTGGCCAGGGCCGGCATGCCTGAATTTCTCGAGGAGGTCAACCGTCTGGTTGACGCTTTGGATCGAATTCGGGCGGTCGATCTCAAAGCGCACGGGAGATGGTATGACCAGATTGCCGGAGAGTTGTCTGTATGATTCTTGGGTGATCGTGGAGAGGCGCTTAAGCATGCGAGAGAAGTAAAGTTTGAAAACGAGCATATTGCATTTGTTCATTTTCGGCGTTTTTCCGACGGTCGGAAGAGAGAGGATGTTGATAACCTACCTATCTAGGTAAACAGGAGAAGGGGAATTTTTGGTCGTTTTGCATTGACATGACATTGACCTTTTTGTTTCTATAGCCTCACTGTCTGGGTCGATCGCTTGGGTCCACGGTGTTTTTTTGTTGTTTGTGTAAGAAAGAATACGAATTTACGGCTTTACGGGGAGCAATGAGTGCCTGCTGCTCACCACGGACGGGGGTATCTACCTAGGTACGGAGTAGTTCGAGCAACTCTCTACGAATTTTATCAAGTATAACAAACCCACCACAACAAGAGTAGAGTTTTTGGTTTCTATTTTTCCATTCCCGCTTCGCCTCGTCGAGTATGGAGTAGGTAGTAGTTCGATGAGAGTATACAGTATGGCGGAGGAAGGCAGTGAATGGTTTTTCTCATTCAAAATTGATGCGATGCCGTGTCAACATGAGACAAAGTTGAATCTGGTTTGAAACCTACGGAGTGCCGTTTTCTAACGGAGTATTTTTTTTTCACTTGACTTACGGAGTACTGTAGACGAGATGGGATGCCCATTCGTCGGAGAAGATCTTGTTGACACCTAAGTACCTGGTACCTACTGGACGGAGTATGTATGTGCAGTAAGAGTATTGTATTCGGAGACTTCGTGTTTATTTAATTTTATACTCCATACGGATAGTTAGATGGTGATCCGGTTCCGTCCGCTCACTCCGTATGAATACGAGGCATGGATCGTTGAAATACTGGTAACTACTGAGATACTGACTTCTTCACGATACCTGGGTCAGGCTTGGGTCCGTACCTGGGTAGGTGGTTAAAGCTACGACTATCAAACGAGGTACGGTTCACACACTCCCGGCTGTGGTTCGCCTTGGGCCGAATAGGTCCTTGATGATCACATACAGAACTCACGGGAAACGAAAAACTAGCGTCTACTTCCACAGCAGGTAGTCCATACGGCAGTATGTAATATTATACAGAGTATGTATATCCCTTACCTACGGATGCTTCGTAATCCGCCACTGCAAGTTTGTAACCACATAGATCTACCTTTGGATATCAAGTCCCTCCTATCGCCCTCTGGTTCTTGCTTCTAAGCAGACCCACCACATGGACTCTCCCAAGTCAAGCATAAAGAAAAATAGGGATGCACGGAGCAACAAAAAGAAAAAAGAGAAGAAAAAAAAGGCACTCCTCCGGGTGGGCTCGAACCACCAACCTCCTGATATATGCTTATATTAACAGTCAGACGCGCTAGCCAATTGCGCCACAGAGGAAGAAGGATGGAAGAGGAAGTTCTATGAATTTCTTGCTCCAATTGTTGGGAGAGATTGTGCCCCAATAAAATATGAATATTACCTAAAGATAAAATTGTGAGTCAAGTGGAGATCTCTGCGGAAAAACTTACCCCCCGGATCCTTTCTGTCAGCCAAATCATTCTTCACAGGCTTGGCACCACATCTGACTGCCTTGGGAGGAGGTAAAATCTTGGAACATGGGGATATAATTTTTAATACTGAGCGTCCAGGTAACTATTTGTAGACTCTCTGCAAAAAGGAATGACTCGTCACTCAGCATGTCTCTAGAAACCCTTCGAGATATCATCTCGAGTGAAATGAATTCAAACCCTTGTTGGTAGGTATGTTGCTGTCCAAAGAGGGTGTTCAAACATTGCCTATTCAGCCACACTGCTCGAGGCGAGATACATGGCTTTCTTGCCCTTCACACTCCAGCATGATGCCATTTCCTCCGCCTCCGTCTCCAAGATGACTGAGAAAAATTGGTGCTTGTGTGGCATGCGACTCGGATTGCCAGCAGACTGAATTGGATCGTGTTGCCTGAGCGCGATGCGCTTAGAGAAGCGGACAAAGTCCAGGTAAAGGTGATTCGAGCACATCCTTGGATGTTCAGTCTCGACTTGGTTTTTTGAGCTGGGCTTTTCGGGTGTTGTGGTACATACTGAGGCGTGCCAGGACAAAAGTGTGGCCCCATATTACCACTAATGTTATGGATTTGCCCTAGTTAGAATCGCCAGTTCCGAAGCTTATGAGATGATGTGCTACTCGTCATGCAGCAGGACATTGAGAATTCGGTATTAAATTGCTTGCACGACAAGAGCAGCAGTCGCCGTCTATCATGTGCTTTTGTACCTAGGCGTCAAATCTATGATGCCGTGAAAGAACGGCACCCTTGGTATGGATATGTCATATTTCCTTCCAACATCTCCTCGAAGTCGATGATTGTTATCCAATTAGAGACTCAATAGTATTCAATTTGGCTGTCCTGCAGACAGATATGTATCTGATCTACAGACGTTTGGCAGCTGAGTGGTCGAAACTGGATGACAGACAGTTGGAACAACGCGACAGCACTCTCGGCCTCGGGCGGAATGATCCCAGCCTAGCTAAGATATGCGACAATCTTGAGGGCTCGCATCAGAAGTTGACAAGGCTGTACAGGTTTGATCTGGACAGGGCTGGTCCATGGTTCGTTGGTGTTGTCTCTCAGTCCGTGTGGACTGGATTCTACTCGGAGCTGTTGGTTGCACGATTACCATCACTTTCGCTGCTGAGTCGGTCAAAAAGCTTCTCTAACATTTCCTGTTTCTCAAACTCGACTCTTTGAGCCCAGAAAAAAGATTCCCCGTTTGACGAGACGGTTTTGATCCGGAAAGCAAGGCGACTTAAGCGAGCTGGGCTTGAGTCGAAGCATGTATGTTCGTGTCGGGTACCGGGAGGCGATATTTCAGCTTTCACGAAGACGGCGCTCTTCTCGCTAACCGGAAATGAAACAATGATGCTAACATTCCAGCCAGCTAGAGAAATATAAGGGGTTCGTTTCCCTGTGACCGGATAAAATGATCGTGTACCGGTAAGGAGTCCGGTGGCAGTCTCTTCTCTCTTTCTTGCCCAGGTGTTGTTGCCTCCGACAGAGGCGAGGGTTTGGCTGAGCCCGACTCCGACAGGGTTTGGCATCCAATGTCTCGTTTTCGAACCGTCCTCAAGTAGTGGTAATATTTCAGCTGTATCGCCTTCAATGGGATCATAGCTCTCCGAGTCAAGCTCAGTCTCAATATGAGGCTGGACAGCATTGCCGTCGATCAGAGTCGATTCAATCTCGAGGGGTTTAGAAGAATGGGGGAGGTGAGGCTGCACGCGATTCTCCCCGAGCATGATGCTTAATTTCTTTTCGAAAAGCTGTCTAATAGCGCTCGCAATTTCCTCGGGGATTGTTCGTGGTTTCGGCTTTTTCGATCGCTTCGCCTTGACTTCAAAAACCTTACGGTCGACATCGGTGTAGTGTTTTGGAATCAATACCATGAGCATAAAACATGCTTCGATTAGTGATTTTGTTGGGGAGAGATCTTGAAGTTCCCTGACGTCCTCGGCTGTCTGAAAACCTTTACGGTGGAGCCACTCCACTATATGGTGATCAAGTGTGTTCAGACTCACAGAATCCAAATCGTTTGCAGCATATGCTCGAAGAATCATTGTATGAGCACCTTAACGTTCAAACATGTTCCACTTTTGCCCTTTGACACCACTCAGATAGCCAGCCATGCGCAGAGTATGTGTAAAACGTTGACAGGCCCTGAAATTCCCTTGGAAGAATAAGAGTTTCTGGATCTGGAATAATTAAGAAAACTCTTTGGACTCCATTGCCACGTGTCTGCACCCGAGCCTTGATCTTGAATGATCTCAGGGTTAGCTCGAATTCTGCTGAAGCAAAGGGTTGTCTTGGAAGGTGGATTCCTCGGCGACTCCTTCTGCAACAAGAACGAAATGAGCACGACTGCCATTCAAGAGTTCGAAAGAGAACATTTTGAATGCCTCTGCCTCATCATTGCCTTTCGAAGGCAGATTTTCTTGGGCAAAACTTGATCGGTGGCGAAGATTGAGTGGCCAAATCAGTACTTGTCCGTCAGTCAATCCCATCTCCTCAAAGGTGAGAGGTAAAAAGCTGTCTGGAGAGCCAGGCTGATCGTATTTCGGTGGTATCAAGGCTTGATTCAGGACCATCGCCAACGGGCTCTCTACACTCCCAACTGGGGTGTAGAGCTTCTCAAGTGGTGATATTTATATATATATATATATATTTAGTTGCGTCCGTAGTTGATCAAGCCCTGTCGTGCTGCCGGGTTTATGGTATGAGGACAAGAAGGAGCCACTTCAAAGGTCAGCGAAAATAGCAACCGTAGTTGCGAGAGAAAGAGAGGTACAGATACGCAACGCAGAACCTCGAAGGAGATTTATAGGCAGTGATGTTGGGTGACAAGGGTGGGCAGTGAAGGAGATTTAGAGGCAGTGATATTGGGTGACAAGGGTGAGCAGTGAAGGAGATTTAACCCTGAATACTCTTGAAGACACTATCCGTTTCTGTGGTCAATCGCCATTGATTCTGGCCGTCGATTTCAGCTTTCCATCCGCTGGAGAAGAGGATGGTACCGAAAGTGATGGACAGGAAGAGGTGGAGGCGATACAAGACCAGATGGAGGAACTGAGAGAAGAAAAGAAAGCGTTGGAGGATGCGTTTGAGAAGGCGCGGAAGAAGACAAAGACTGCCACTAGATAAGTTCTATGACTAGATCCAGTTGTTTCTAACGGATGTGTGGGAACAAAGGTTGGGTGGCAGGGTATCTCTTACTTTGTCATTCCTTTGTAATGTTGCATTCCACGTACTCATATCAACAAGGTCCTGCATTGTCTATCAGCGGACGTTTTCACCAAGGACGCAGCCCACTTTATCCCTTCTCTGGCGCTTTGATCTCTTGAGAGAATAAACCCATTCTTTTCATACATGTAGCTTAGCGTTTAGCCAGCTGTAACCGCAGCTCTGACTCTGAATTCGCTCGTTCTTTCCCATGCGTTCAGCTCGCGAGTCAAATTGTTTTGAGTCTGCTCAAGCTCACCAATCTTTGCCGTGAAACTCACGTCTGATTTAAGGAACTCTGTCTGCTTTTTAACATACTGAGTCAACACACGAAAGCATAACATGCCATGGTAGCACCTTCATCTACCTTCGGCTTGCTAGAAAGGAATATGGTGTTGGAGGCCTTATGCTGCATGTACGAACCGAAGATGGTATCCGGAGTTTTCGGGGCCCGCAAACATCATCTTCTCGGCGATCGAATAGCGGTGTTGTATCTTTGGCGATATTGGCGTCCTCGCCATAAAACTTTCCTTTTATAGAACCTACCATTGGCCTTAACCGGCCCTTCCCTTTGGAAATCATGGGGACCCGGATATTTCTTCATATCCAGCTCGATGGCCCAGGCTAACGAGCTCACTACTGAACGACACTGCGCCTTAAGATCTTTCCGGTGGGGCCGCTAGAAGACAAAATCTGGAAATGGCACCGAATGCAGCTCTTTTCGAAATCGAAGATGGTACAAAGAACTATCTATAGGGGGCGGGGTCTCGTCAATCTTCTCCAAGATATAGTAGTCTTCGAGGGCGCCATCGGCCAGGGCAATTATCAGTAGACACAGGACCGGTTTCGCGAACAGCAGCTGCATATCCTCGTACATGCTATACTACAGTCTGATAGGGATTTGATGTCAGTAGGAAACCTATTTACAGTGCTGTGCGCGGAGAAAGAGATGTTTTAGGACGACCAACCTCTTGTGTGGCTTGTTAGGAGATTCCTTCGTGTCCCGCATGGCTCGGACAGCCTATTCCGCCTCTCCTTGCTCGTTCTTGAAGACGACGAAGACGACATCCTGTATGCGAATCGTAAGGACACTCCCATCCCGGATTAGATCGTATCATGTTCTTACCCCGTACAATAAATCTCGGCTCGAGCCACGGCGCAGATGGGTCCAGCTCTAGTGAGAGCCCGAAACGGTCTACCCAAGATGTTATGATGTAGAGTCGCTTCGACGTCGTTGGGACGAACGCGGCCGCGCCAGAGGCTAGAGCCGAAACGGAAGCGTCAGAGAGCGGGAAGTGGGGGAAGAGGGCGTCGGAGAGAGCGAGGGAGAGGCGAAGGCGAGCAGAAGAGAGCGGACGGGGACCGAGGAGATCAAATAGTCGCTAGCGCGGGAGCAGAGCGGCGACGGATACTGACGAGTCAGCGGAAAGGTCGAGGAAAAGTGCAGATCGGGGAATCTATATCTATATCTATATCTATATATCTACATACATATACACACACTCGCTCTCTATTTGCCTCTGAAAGATGCAGACTCCTTACCAAACGTGATTTCGTTTGCCAATATCGAAAAACAAAACATGAATACCATACTCGTTGTTGGATGTGGTATCACAGGTTCCGTTGTGGGAACCATGTTGGCCAAGAAAGGATATAAAGTGATGATTGTCGAGAGAGTAGCCAAAATAGAAGATGTCGGTGGTGCTTTGGCAATTTGGCCGAATGGGTATGTATCTACCTACTCGTATGAATCATGGCCATCGGCCATCATGATTTCCCTTTTGCATGTTGAAATAGTAACCTGTACCCCTGCCCTTTTTTTGCTTTTCCTGTGGTCTTCCAGCTGACATGATCAAATGTGTACTCAACGGTAGGTGGAAAGTTTTGGACACAATTGGACAGGCAAAGATCGATAACCCATGGCGACACGGGGTCGAGTATAATTCCAAGGGAGAGCAATTGGTCGATTGGGATCAGTCATATTTCAAGAAAAAGTATGGTTTCCCATCGAGTGCGCTACGAAGGTCGGAGCTGCATTCGCGACTGAAACAAAATGCTATCGACCATGGAGTCGAGGTACTCGAAGGTTGGAAGTTGAGTGATATTCAAGAAGTTGACAGTGGTGTCGTTGCGGTATCTGAAGATGGGAGAGAGGTTCAGGCCAAGTTTGTCATCGGCTGTGACGGACTTCATTCTGCGACGAGGAAGTGGGTTCTCGCAAAAAAGGGCATTTCAGAGCCACAACCCGATTTTACGGGGTTGGTCACGGTGAGTAGAGTATTCTTTTATACGGCATCAACAAGACCAAAAAGAATGCGCTGACTCTTTTTTTGCTAGATTGTTGGATTCAGCCCTACTCCCGCGTCGATAGAGTCGAGTACCGTGCTCGGCGTGTACGGAGACGAAAAGTACTTTGTCACCTACAAGGTAGATGAGAAGTCGTGGTTGTGGGGCATCATTGAACCCGGGGAGCCCGAAAGAGAGTCTTGGAGGGATATTGACGACCTCGAGGCGCAAAAGGAGAAGCTGTTGAGTGAGATGGTTGACTGGCCTGAGATCACGAAAGGGTTGGTTGGGTCGACGATGAACCTGGTGAGGTTTGGCTTGTACGATCGTCCTGAATTGCCGCCGGAGCATTGGTATCATGGCAGATGTGTTCTGGTCGGAGATGCGGCACATCCAACCAGGTATGGATTCTTGAGACCGCGTGTGAATTTGAGCTTACCTTTATGCAAGTCCACATTTAGGTCAGGGGGCGAACCAGTCGCTCGAGGATTGCTGGCATCTGGCTCAGCTGTTGCCAGATGCAGACAGTCAGTGTGACATTTCGGAATTGAAGGATGCTTTTCAGAAATATGCCGAGAAGAGACAGCCGAGAACAGCGGAGTTGGTCAAGGCTGCGAGACAGGGAGGGAAGATACGAGTGGTCCATGGAGAAGAAGCGTGTAGAAAGAGGGATGGGATGGTCAAAAGGATGTATGCCGACGAGGAAGCCATGGCTGTGAGAGTACACAATCTTTACAAGGAGCCATTTGAGATGTCATAGAGAGAGGATGGTATCTCGAGATAAGTCAGGTAGGTTAACGAGGGGGTAGTGCTTCGTATTCGTAAATACCTATTGGAAGCTCTATCTCAATCACGTGAAACGAATCGTTATCTTGGCTGCGGTTGCATCGTCATTGGCAGCTGGCAATATCGAGGTGCATGGGCAGCTGCAGCTTCTTTTAGACCAGATTCCCGCAAACCCATTTGGATCTTTTGGCGCCGATTCAACTCGTCAAGATCCTCCCCAAGCTACTCGTAGGCTCGACCTGCATTATCGTTGTTTAGCCGATTCGTTGTTTTTCCATTGAATTTCTTGTGCACAGCTGTCCGATACTCAGCACAGCAATACCGTCTGCCTTTGCTAACCCTCGACCACCCTCCCACACGCCGCCAGTCATGGCTCACTCAGATCACCGTATGGCTAGTGTAAAGCCGAGATTGACATACAACACAATCAGCGGTGTCAATGGACCCCTGGTCGTTCTTGACAATGTATGTCTTCAGACCACGACGGGCGCCTTCAACGTGCGGTTTACTGATGAGTGTCGGTCTAGGTCAAATTCCCTAGATACAACGAGATTGTCAGTCTGACACTACCCGATGGCTCGTCGAGGTCTGGTCAAGTTCTGGAAGCAAGAGGTGTGTAGGACCAATGCGCAGGCATCACGAGGAACGGGAAAGATTGACATTTGGGAATAGGAAACAGAGCCGTTGTGCAAGTGTTTGAAGGAACAACTGGTATCGACGTGAAGAAGGTATACAACTACGCTCAGACACTCGTAAAATGTGCTTATACATTCGCAGACAAAAGTCGAATTCACAGGCCACAGCTTGAAGATCGGTGTCTCAGAAGACATGCTTGGTCGAATCTTTGACGGTTCTGGAAGAGCTATAGACAAGGGTCCTAAAGTGCTGGCGGAGGATTATCTTGATATCAACGGCAGTCCCATCAATCCATATTCACGGGTATGCTGGTCACATTGCTGGTGGTGGTGCTGTCCAGGATACTGACTCGGCTAAAGGTTTATCCCGAAGAAATGATTTCCACAGGTATCTCGGCCATTGACACGATGAACTCGGTCGCTCGAGGACAGAAGATTCCCATCTTCTCTGCAGCTGGTCTGCCTCACAACGAAATTGCAGCTCAGATTTGTCGGCAGGCTGGTCTGGTGCACCAACCCAACAAGGGTGTCCACGATGGCCACGAGGAGAACTTTTCGATTGTCTTTGCCGCTATGGGTGTCAACATGGAAACCGCACGTTTCTTCACCCGAGACTTTGAAGAGAACGGCTCAATGGAGCGTGTCACACTGTTTTTGAACTTGGCCAACGATCCTACCATTGAACGTATCATCACACCTCGACTTGCCCTGACAACCGCAGAATACTACGCCTATCAACTCGAAAAGCACGTGTTGGTCATCCTCACAGATCTCTCGGCCTACTGCGATGCTCTCCGAGAAGTGTCTGCTGCACGAGAAGAAGTTCCTGGTCGACGTGGTTACCCCGGTTACATGTATACTGACTTGTCCACCATCTACGAGCGAGCCGGTCGTGTCGAAGGTCGAAATGGATCCATCACACAAATCCCCATTCTGACCATGCCTAACGACGATATTACCCACCCTATCCCTGACCTGACTGGTTACATCACGGAGGGCCAGATCTTCGTCGATCGACAACTGTACAACAAGGGTATCTACCCACCCATCAACGTCCTGCCGTCGTTGTCTCGATTGATGAAGTCTGCCATTGGTGAAGGATTGACCAGAAAAGACCACGGTGACGTGTCGAACCAACTGTACGCCAAATATGCCATTGGTCGAGATGCTGCTGCGATGAAAGCTGTCGTTGGTGACGAAGCACTGAGTTCCGAAGATAAGTTGTCGCTGGAGTTCCTCGAAAAGTTCGAGAAGCAATTCATTTCACAAAGCCCGTACGACAAGCGATCGATCTTTGACAGTCTGGATCTTGGCTGGAATTTGCTTCGTATTTTCCCCAAGGAACTGCTCAACCGTGTCAACCCGAAGATTTTGGACGAGTTCTACGCGAGAAAGAGCCACGGCAAGGAGAGGAGGGCTAAAAAGGACACCAGAGATAACGAGGATGGTGGAAAACAAGTCAACGGCGAGCCAAACCTGCTCGATGATTAGAGTAATTACTTCTGTCGTTCGGAGTAGAGGTATCTGTTATGTTATCGAAGAGGTTGAGAAGTGGCTATACCTCTCTGTCTGAAAGAGGTCTGTCTCCCTCCGCGGTCCGTATATCCAAACATATGCACTACTGGAGCAGCCTTGATCAACAACCATTTTTCAGCGCCAGAACTTCAATATTTGCCATCGTTTTCGCCAATGCAGGAGATGGTACGTACTCCTTACTACGGGAACATAAAGATTTCCTTTCCCTTCTCATCTGATCTGAAACATCGTTCAAGTTTCATCGATGGAAATATATGTTCGGGGGCTCTACTAGATGTCTACAAGTTAGAAGACCAAGACTTTTGTTTTCTTTGCGCCCATTGCCATTACTACTATTACGGTCGTGTCCGAGAAGATTAATGCTTTCCAACTCGTATGGACTATGGAGTGTTCCATTGGGTTTCTCGTATTGTTACTGATCCGAGACGTCATGTTCAAAACACCTTTTGGCTACTCCGTGTACAATGTTATTTGAAAAGTGTTTTTGTGTGGGCAGAGACAGGACGCCTTTTTTTTCAACTCTCCACGGCCTTTGTCACCACTCCGACCAACATCCTGTCACCCACCGTGATGATGTAGTACTCGACCCTCGTGGCACCGACCTCCACCCTGAACACTCTGACTTTTGAACTCTTGCCGGCCTGTTCCACACGGACGATGATGTCCTTGTACTCGCCTCGCGGGTCGAATTCGGACGTGCTCAACTCTTCGACCGATCCGGAAGACGCGGCGCCGTGGGTTTTGCGTTGCAGACACTTTTGGAACTGTTGGGCGGTCGGGAGGGCCGAGTCTGCGTAGTCAAACACCACGGGTTCAAAGGGTGAGTCGGTGTCTGACGTGTAGGTCGTGTCGGGGAGTGATCGCAGGGATGCAGGCAGAGCGGATTCGGAGGCTGTCGATGTGGAAGGGTCGAACTGAGTACGTCGTTCCGAGGTCGAAGAAGCCTGTTCGTGCGTTTTACCCTGTGACTGCGATTGAGGAGAGGCGTTGGCCTTTTCCAGAAATGAAGTGTAGCTGGCGTCGTCGGACATGGTGGGCGAGGTGGTCCGGTAAGGTCTCCGAGTCGTGACGGAAACTGACGGTGAGGCGCGGATTGAATTTGTGCGAGTCAGAAGGGGTCTTCGGGTTGAGAGGGTTTGGCTGGTGGTGGTGGTGTTTGTGGAATGAAGGCGCGCAGTCAGGTTTGGATGGACAGTGCAGCTTCGTAAATGTAGCACTTTTGGCATTCGTTTGGTGACCGGTACCGAGTAGATTGTGGTAGGACTCGTGTCGTGATCGACAAAGTACTTGATACTCTGTCACTCCTAAGGTCTTGGAAAAAGAAAGCTTGGAGAGCGTATTTGTGACGATTTCATTCTGGTGATATATGACGTCGATGGGCTTCAAAGATGCGCACTTCAATCACGCTAATGTCAATTGGGACTGACGCAGCCTCGCAAGCCCCGAACAGAGAGGGACAGTCAGCCTCACCACACCATCCACTTCGCATCCTTGTCACTCCCCTCCAGCAGTCTCAAGTTGTACGGAAAAGGAGGACAAGGTTCTGTCTAGCTGACACACTGTACAATTTGTACTTTGCAAGCCAACTCTTTTATCTGTTCATTGTACGGATATCTTCACGCTGTATACATTGGAGGTGGGGTCTTTGGACCATCGTCCTCGTCGCTCTCATCATACTCTTCCACCCAGGCTTCAAGACCTTCTCGCATCCCACCAGACCTGGTCGCGGCATACTCTCGCCACGGGATGCCCACCGAATCACATCCCCATACATCATCCTCCTCCACTCCTGCGCTCAACAGTCGCCTCTCGAGGTTGTCTTCAGATCGTGGCACAACACTGACAGGCACCCATCGAAGGGCAACCCTGTGCTTCTTCCCCGCATATCTGACGCGAAAAATGACCTCGAAGCTGTGCGATTGAGCGATATTGTAAGTTGAAAAGTCTGCAACCAATAGCTCTGTGGGAACCGACAGGTCTGCCATGTCGCCAAGGTTGACGGAGAACGCTGACGTATTTGTCCTTGTGTCTGTTTCCGCCAAAGTGGTAGTAGGTGAAGCGAGGCTGGAGACAGGCATCGTCGCCGATCCTTTTCGCATGAAGATTCGTTTGCTTGATGAGCTGGTGTGACATCCTGCTCTCGCTTGAGTAAGCCGGATCAGGGACAGCTTGAAGAAGAGTTCGATAGACTCCAAAGATCGTTCCATCACAGCTGATGCCGGTCCTGAGCTCTGTACTGCCGATGATGGTTGTATTGAGCAAGAGACAGGGATGTAAAGTGGTGACTTCCCCCCGGAGTCTATCCTCTGAGGTAACAAGACCGAAAAGCAAAGTTCTGTTTCACACCCAGCGGACACTCCCAGGGCCTTTGCTGGAAGAAGGGTGATCCGACGAAGCGCAGTGTGGATGTGAGCTCCTGTAGAAGCACAACGCATTCTGCGACGATGGATGACGTACGGCCAGTCACCTTCGGCCCGAGGGGTCATATCCAGGCTCTGGATGGGTATGTTTCGTGACGCCTGGACCTTCGTGCTCGTCCCTTTTGCGCCATTGATTTCAGCAGGTCGTTGAACGAGGGTCGCTTCGAGAAAGTAGTGCACACTGCAGAGGAACCTGCCCGTATGCACCATGCTCGGTGGCAGAGGGTGAGGTCGCTTGTCCACGACCAGGTCGCCCCTCCATGGGACCGTCGAATTGAACAAGTCCTTTGACCCGGATGGCAAGATTCGTGGAGCTGCAAATAACGGAACCCGAAATGCAAATGGCCACGCGTACGCCCCCTTGCGCTGGACACATCCTCCTCCGCTGTAGAGATTCTGGTGGCGACTGAAGAGGTAGCCTTTGGAAAGGTAATCTGCCCGCGATGCCGCCAGGTCGCCATAGTTTTGCTTCAGAAAGACCTTTGTCAGGCCTTTGAAGTCAATTTCCAGAGACTCAATGATTTGGTCCTCGTGTATCCTGAGTTTGACCACGCCCAGAACCACCGAGCCAGGTGTTATTGGCTTCCTTTCATCGTGAGTAAGGCAGATGGAAAGTGCCATGGAGATTCTGGTGACGATGAATGCTTCGAACTTTGCTTTTCGATGCCGGTTATGTGGTCCAAGAAGCCCCGAAGGAGGCGACAAGGCAGAGCATATATGCATGGAAGCGGCTGGATGAGGAGAACCTCACTTGTTGGTGTGCTGGCTGTTGTAAGAGGTCAATGACCTTGCGGCAGGTGACCAGGGGTGGTGGAGCGGGTGTTCTTCAGCGGGTGATCAGCTTCTCCGCCCGGTTCAGGCGGGATCTCAAGAGACCCTGGGGTAGTCCCTCCATGGCGAAATCCTACCTAGGTAGTGGCAGGTACTTCATGTCCGGACAAATCCTCCCCTATCGTGACCTGCTACGGGCAAAACCAAAGGAAACAAAACTTCACTGATGAGGCAAAATTCCCTGGTATAATTGCTAACAATTCCATGATTCTTGTGGGCCGTGCGCGTCCAAGGCTGGGAAGTAGCCTCGTCGACTGGTGAGCAGTAGACATGGTAGTAGTAGTAAGGGTACACAATTACGATCCATACGAGGCCGGGGTGAATACTTCCGCGCCGGAGTACGGCAGAGACGGACAGTCAACAGCTCCCTCTGTTCCGGTCATACGACTTGACTCTTATCAAATCCTGGATGTGGAAGTCTTCAGGGAGTCACCGAGTCGCTGTCTGCTGGTCCATTCCTGTCTCGCCGGTTGGAAGGCTGCTTATGCCACTCTGAACGGGCATGCAGTATGCATTGATGCAAATACAACACTCCACATCCGACAGACAACCGGGTCAGACGGGTGGTTTAGGTGGCTCTGACTGACACTCCAGGCTCTGAGCTCCTGGATTTATCCTTTGCCATCCCCTTCATTCCTTACCGCACGCTTGGTCCCGGCGTTCAAGATCCTGAGCGAGTCAAGAAGGGATTGTATGCCGTATTCACGAATTGTGCTGACCCTGCAAGCGAATATCGAACGTCAGTCTGTGACAATGGGAAGAAACGCTCAAAGGAAGCACGAACGGAGTGTGCAACCCAGCGGAAACATTCATTGCTCTAAACATTCCACATGGTCTAGGGAGCATTGGGAAGTGAGACTTACACATGATCGGCTCCGAGACTTCATACGGCATGCCCTGGAACATGAGGTTGAATGAGTCTTGACTCGGCACGATCAGATCCATACTGGAGGGAATAGCAGGATCGAAGAAATTGGATGGATCTGCCACGGTGTCGGACCCGCCCTCGACCATCGGTGTGAGCATGAGCTCCATCTCCGAACAATCTGTTGATCTCCCTGAAATACGCAGACATCGCCAGTAAGTACGGCTCTCTTGACTCCGAAAGATTATAGGTAAGGGACCAACCTTGAGACATCATCCTCGTCTTCCTGAGTCTCTGCATCATGTCACTCGCCAATCTCGCAGCGTTGGAGTTGGGGCTAAGGGCCTCAAAGACCTTCAGGCAAACGTCGGCGTCTTCATCAACAGCCGTCCAATCAATTTCTTTGAACGGTTCTTTATCCGTGTCCGGATCTGCACACATGGGGGCGACTAGGAGGATCGAACTCGCGCAAAGGAGACAAGAGATCATCTGCCACCAGGGAAACCCATACACAAGGCTCTTTTTGTCCTCGAGGTTGTGGAGTAGCTTTGCAGTATGTTGCGCAGACATGACGCAAGTTCGTTTTGACAAAGTGATCCTCCTACCCTCTGTTTGGTAGAACGCGGAAGAAGTTGGACATGACCCCGGTATCTTGCTGGGGGCCAGGAAAGGTCGATGGATCAGCGCTTGTAAATTGTAGAACTTCATGGCAAGCATGTTCCGCTGTTGATGGTGTCACTTGATAGTCTTCAACAGCGGGATTAAGGAAGGGGTCACATACCTGTCGCTTATAGACTGTTGACTTTTCAAAGGTATGCGAGAGATCAAACCGGAGATTCCGTGGTAGGTTCGACCGCCACTGCAACAGCTCGGGGTTCAAGCGGTCGATGGTCGACAAAGTCGAAGCGGCATCATCACTTTTCCTAGGGCCATAAAGGTTGTTGAAGACTTTACCGATGATCTCCGAGAATGCTATCATGGCGATAAAGTAATCACCAGCCCAGTACTGACCGTGGCTATCGCCCTGACTCGTGACGTCCACCAAATCGGTGTCAGATTGCCGCGAGGGTAGCCTTACGTTGAAGTTACCGTCACAGATGGCGGGCGGACGTCCCAATTGCATTGCCACGAGACGATCGAGGATGAAGATGGAGTACCAAACTCGTCGACGTTGCTCTCGAGGCGCCGCCAAACTGCGACCAAGGTCCGGACAACGCTCATCTTCGACGTGGAGGCCGATACTCTGAGCGATACGAACGGCAAGTCCCAATGTTGTCCAACAGCGATCCGTCTGACAAGTAGCCAGAAGATAAAAACATTGTGCCAGGAGAGCACAAACGAAATCAACAGTGTGCTTAGAGGTGTACTTTTGGGCAATGGCCGTCGCATGCTCGAAATATCGCTGATGTTGGAGAGACATTTCAGGACCATCAACGTCTTGGTCTTCGGGCTCAGCAATGCCCTCGTAGCAAGCGCCGATAGCGAAAATGGTCACTAACGACATAATCAGCCCAAAATACTGGCGGAAACCTCTCGAGGCCTGAATACACAAGCAGGGTCGAGAATTGCATTTCGGGTGACACATTCGTGGTAGTGCCGCGCGAGGCATGGGATACTGTCTGAGGTATCTACTTACATAACATCGATAACCAGGGCCCGGAAATCCTCCCCAAAGATTCCTGTTGCCAGAATGACTCGTACGTCTCTCTGAAGTCTGGCTCCGAGATGAAAGGATAAGCATTATGGATGGTCGAGAAATATATGTTGACGAACTTGTCGGCAGTTGTCCTGCGTGGGAAATGATGACCCTGGTTCTGTGACGAGGCTTGATGTCGTCTGCACTCTTGTTCGTAACTTTCGACTCTTGCATCGGAGGTCTCTGCTGTCACATCCTGTCCCAACTCATGGTGTTGGCAAAAGGCAGATTCGACTGCATGGAAGAAGTGGATGTCACTGGCTTCACCCAAAAATCGCTGCGAAAGGAGAGAGGGATCATGTTCAGCCCCCAGCTTCTCTGCGGGTGCCGCTATTTTTGGCGCACCGTTTCCAGACAGTTCTGTCAAAGAGTCCGGGAACTGGATAGATGCAAGACGGACATCGATAATTTTCCGATCATCTGGCGAGAGGGCCGGTCGGAGGTCTTTGACGAGATCGTTATACGCGACGATTGCATCTCTCAACATCTGGGTCTCCATTGAAAGTGATTCGAGACCGACACGGTTTGTGGCGTTGAATTCCTTTCGGCGACCGCCTTCGTTCCAGGTACAGGCGTAACCATAGCCATCGCAACGGCCACAGGTAGGCTGGACTCCGTCACACTAGGTAGGCAACATGTCAGCTTTCTTCCGGGTTGGTTCCAGAGAGATCGTGCACTCACTTTGGCCTTAAGGCTGCGGCAGCTGTCGCATGCACGAGTAACACGCCGACGCTTCAACGGTGGTGCATTCGTCATGCTGTCGGATCTCAAGGATGATAACGGATGCTGGATACGACGGGTTGTAAGGATTTTTGATATTTAACAAGTATATAAGAAGTTTGGCTTTGATGCACTGAGAGGCTGATACAAGCCGGGCGTTCCACCTTAGCCGCCTGATCCGGGGAATGTATTTCCTGGCACGGAGGGAGTATGGGGGTATGAGATGTAAAGTACCGTTCTCCGCACCGGCCACGAGAATAAATGCCGCAGAAGATCAGTGACGTCCGTGTGACTGAGTTCATCGAGGTATCGCTCAGATGTTGTAGGATATTGCAGTTGAAGGTCAATTCGCTACCGTCGTCAGTGAACTCAGCCACAACGATGCGAACCGATCGAAACATGAGGCAACGCTTCCGTTCCTCAAATCAACGGTCTCAGGCACGAAGGCGTTCCCCGTGCCTCCGGGGATTGGAGACCGACCTTCCTCACCGAATGACACCGCTCTTTGTCAGCCGCCATATGCCATGATTCGGCGTGTTGACTGGGTGGGAAAGGAAATCCAAAGGGGCGGCTATGATCAACCAGGGAGCAGCGACCAGTAGCGCTGTGCGGAGAAGTACAAGACTTGTTCTCTTGATACTCGTGCTGGTGCCCTATCTCTTATCTCGAAGACCCTCACCTGCCTGTTTCGGTTGAGTCCTTCCTTGGCCCTTCATACTGTTGCACGCACAACAGATGCGCATCTCCGTTGGTGTCGGCATACGACCGGCCAGAGCGTCTTTGAAGCCTCGAAACTGTATAAAAGGCGAGTGAAAGTCCTGGGGACCACAGATCATCACAAAGGTCTTCTTCTCCCTCTTCGCAGAAACACCGGACGATCCCCTGAATCACCTCAGCCTTGTTACGAAACTCACCATGACAATCCCTGCATTGTTCAAAGGCCCTCGCCTCTGTTGGCTTACCTTACTGTTCAATGCCCTCACCGCTGCCATCCCAGCTGACCTACATGCGCGACAGGAATATGGCATGGTGGGCGATGGTTTTGACGCTGCTACCACAACTCTGGGCAACTACTACAACTACTGGGTTAAGCTCCCCAATGGTACATTCGACTTGACACGCAGTGACAGAGCCGCAGTGACTTCTCCAAAAGTGCTGCCCATGGTTGATGCATCTATCAAGATTGAGCCAAATCGCTCTGCATTGGTCATTATCGACATGCAAAACTTCTTCCTCCATCCGGACTTGTCTCCCAAGGCGACCAAGGGCCGTGGAGCGGTCGATCCCACTGTCAACATGATCAAAGGCTTTCGCAAGCACGGCATGAAGGTTCTCTGGGTCAATTGGGGCCTGACGGAGTACGATCTGCTGACTATTCCACCTGCGTTCAAGGCTGGCTTCAGCAACAACGGTTCGGACTTGGCGAATGAGACCTTCGGCAGCGACATGGGCACCATCCATGAGAATGGGACGACGATCCACGTTGGCCGGAAATTGATGCGGGGAGCATGGAATGCTGAGCCCTATGGTGTTTTGGGCGCGATGAAGAACGAAGGGATCGCCGCTGGCACAGATTTGTGGTTCAACAAAAATCGACTATCAGGGCTTTGGGGTCCTCAGACCCCCTTGGGATTGTGGTTGCAAGAGAATGAGATGTCGACTCTCTTCTTCGGCGGTGTCAACGCTGACCAATGTGTCTGGTCAACACTCGTGGATGCGTATTTCAAAGGTGAGCCATTGTAACAACGGCGAGAAAATAGCACTCGACTAACAATTGCTTTCCAAGGGTATGATGTGATTTATGTCGACGATATCAGCCAGTCAACCAGTCCTCCCTTCGCACAGGAGATGACCAGATACAATGCGCAAGGTTATGGTAAGTTCGCTTCCTTCTCAGTCAAGACGAGGACTGACTTTCGATTTAGGGTTTCTGGGGAATTCCACCGATATCCTGAAGGCTCTGGGGTGATTCAGAAGATGTCAAGGAGTGTTTGAATATCGACCAGTTGGCCGACAAGCCTCTGCGAGAATCTTGGCTTGTAGAATTGCAAGAGTGTTAGAGAGCTTCTCAGTATGGTAGGTCATAGTCTCCTGGGATCCGGTAGTCGAGACATTCCTTCTTGTCAATATCCTCGTCCGTCCAACCAGCTGCTTGTAGAATTCTTCGAATAAGTGGATTCTTCTTCTGTCCATAATCAACCCCATCGATGCTTGAGTAGGCAAGGTGAACTTTGAGTCGGCCATACTCCGCTCTTAGTGCTTCATGCTGTGGCATTCTGAGGGTATCGCGGAGAGCCCGGTGACAACGCGCTATCATTCTGCCGTCAGAATCCTGCTGGTTGATTATGTAGACGCTCTGTTCTAGTGCCTCATTGCGGCTATGAGGCTTCATGCTGATTCTGCCTTTGATGCCACCATCTCCCCAACATTTGTAGTGTTCTTCAGGGGATGGCTCATGTATGAGAGCTTCCTTCGCTTTGGCAGCGTTCTCGGCATCAGGTACTTCGATGATAATGTCGATGTTGGGTTTTGCGGCAAGTCCAGGCACTGCCGTACTACCGACGTGTTCGATGGCAGTGTATCTCACCCCTGAAGTAGATAGATAACCCTCCAGCTTCTGCAATATCTCCTGAAACTTTGACGGCCATGAGGGGTCGTGTTCTACCACTGTGACTGTGGGCAAAGGTGCTGTGCCTGCAGCCACCGGAGGCAGTTCGCTGCTTTGACCAGGGACGAAAGGGCTGAGATATTGGCTGCCGGTTTCGTGCCGCATTCTACGAGAACATACGCGGTTGAGAGGAGACTTTTCTTGAAAATACCAGATTGGTTTCTTACAATCTCTGAAATGCTCTCAAATTCACAAGGCGGCATGAAAATGATGGATATGTGTTAAATAGCAATGAGTGATGACGCGTTTGTGGGCAATCGATTTGACCGCTTACTCCCAAGTTTGCCAAGCCATGCCGGAAAGATAATGTGCTCAGTGGTAGAGCAAAACTGAGGCGCTTTTGGAGTGAGGCCAGCCTGTACAACCTCACTTGTCCTTTTTTGATCTTACGCTGTCTTGTAAGACCAGGGGGGGATGACTGGAGACCATGGTGTCTCAAGAGTTCAGACTTGAACTTGTCGACTTTAAAGATGAGTCGATGAGCACTGTGACACCTTTGTAGAGATTGGGATGGAAAAAGCGTGGAATACAAAGATAAATAGCGACGGGCTGGGCTGTTTCAATCCCTGAGACCTGACATATCGGAGCCTTGCCGGAGAAATGATTGTCCGCTCCGAACCACTGCCAAGTTTTGAGAGGCTTCAATTGAAATCGGTGACCACAGCATCATGTCGTGCCTCTCAACACAAGACCTTGTATCTCAGTCGTCGTCGTTCGTGGTCTCCTTCTTCTCTAATGCTTAAGTAGCGATTGTTCTTTAGCGTTCACAACCTCTTGCACACCCAGATATGCACTGGCTCCTTTTATCCGTTCTTTCACGAGTGCATCAGTAGCCACTCTTCTCGCCTACTTCATCGCTCTCTTTCTTTTCATCATCTTCATTCGATCATGCCTCATGCATCAGAAGAAACATGGTCAGATAGCGAGTCTGAGGCCGACGACGTCCTCGAGACGCCCTTACGGAGCTATGCCTACCAGATCGAGATGTTCGAACAAAGCCTTCAGGGTAACATTATTGCCGTCGTAGGAACTTTTCGACACTTCCATTCTTCTCAATCTAACACATATATAGATGGGCACCGGAACCGGGAAGACTCAAGTGTAAGTTTCCCATTTGGTAGTAGTTATGAACAACCTTTCTGGCGTTCCGCAGTTCTGCCTTCTTACCAGTGTTTGCATTGCGTTGACCCGATCATCTAACATAGGGCTAAACTGCGGATCGAGGCTGAACTTGAACGCCCCACCGGTAAAGTCTGTGCTATATCGTGCCTGCGTTGACAACGTATCTTGAACGCTGATCTCTCTTGCAGCGCGTTTGGTTCACAGCGCCGAGCGTTGTTTTGGCCTATCAACAACACCTTTTCCTTTCAAAACAGCTCCCTGCATTCAACTTCCGGTTGATTACGGGTATGGACAATGCAGATCACTGGAAAACAAATGACATATGGAACAAGGTGCTCTTCAAGATAGATGTCGTCGTCTCAACGCCTCAAATACTTCTTGATGCTCTCGATTACGGCTTCGTGTCCCTCAAAGAGATATCGTTGCTTGTCATTGATGAAGCACACCATTGTGTAGGTGATTCTCCCTTGAAACGAGTCATGGAACGTCATTATCATGGCTCGCTCGATAGCCTACCGCACATCCTCGGACTCTCTGCCAGTCCCATCACGAAGCGAAATGTGTCTGAAATGAGCACACTTGAGACGAGCCTCAAAGCCAAGTGCAAGATGCCAACGCAACAAGTAGAAGAATATACGTCTCTCATCAGAATGCCAGAGCTTGAAACGATTATGTTCGCAGAGAGTCTGCTTGGAGCCTCGGAGTGGATGATTCTCCTTCAGAAAACCGTCTCAGTATTATCGTTGGATAGTGACCCTTTCTATCAATACATAATAGGCAAGACAGACCCGAGCTCCCAGGAAAAACTGAAAAAGATGCTTGGACGGAATGCTACCCCTGCCATTACTGAGCTTCGAGCGTTTGCCAGATCATGTGGAGCTATACATGTAAGTCTTGGAAGCTGGGCCTGCGATGTCTACCTTTCAAGTTGCGTACGAAGAGTCCTTAAGTCGGCATCCGCAGAGAAGAGCCTCAATGCTGGGGAAACTTCGTTGACCAGCACAGCTCAGTTTTTTAGTTCAGTACTCCAGCCGGTTAGCGAGGTCATTGGCTTGAGGGATTCAGGTGCACTGATGGAAGGCTGCCTTTCACCCAAAGTTGAGGCACTACTCAATTATCTAGCAAAAGAATATCGCCCAACACTCCGTGCCCTAGTCTTTGTTGAAAAACGCGCCACGGCCTGGGCTCTGACCGAAGTTATCACCCGGCATCCCAGAATGCAAATGTATCAGGCTTTCTCTTTTGTTGGTGTCTCGAGCCCGGGACACCAAGGACCGTTTGATTTCACCGAACTTCCTGTACAAACCAAGAGTCTGGAAAGATTTCGACGCGGTGAGCTCAATCTTTGTATTGCGACTTCTGTGCTTGAGGAAGGTAGGTTTCCGTAATCTCCTTGGAAGGCTCTAGGCTATTCCTCTGACTTGGATTGACTAGGTATCGATGTTCCTGCGATGAATCTTGTGATTTGCTTTGATGAACGCAAAAATCTTCGCAGCTATGTGCAGAGTAGAGGACGTGCGCGCGCTGCAAAGTCAAAGTTTGTCGTCTTTCGCCCTCTTGAGGAAACAGACATCAAGATGAAGAGTTGGGATAAATTAGAGCAGGCCATGAAGCAGGAATGTGAAGATTCTGCCGATGCTTTGGCTGAACTCCAAGCCGCTGAAATGCGACAGGAGTCTAGCAGCGATATATTCCGTGTCGCTTCAACAGGGTCAGTGCTCTTCTGTGACCCGAATGTCTTGTTCCAATATGCTCACTCAATCCTTCAGTGCTACATTGACATATGACAATGCTCAACCGAGATTGCAACACTTTTGCGCGAAACTACCCCAAAAAGAGGGCATGGCGGTACCAGAATTGGCGTACTGTATCGAGGGCGAGATTGGCGGTCCCTTGTCGGCCAAAGTCTATCTCCCCAGTTCCCTTGCACCAGAGCTACAGGTATTCCAATCCGAGTCGACCTGGTATACTCAGAGAATGGCGAAGAGGGATGCTGCGTACCAGGCGTATCTTGCTTTGTACCGAGCTGGACTCGTTACTGAGCATTTACTACCCTTGGAGAGATCAAACAATGGCAACAAAGCAAGGAAATATAAGACCAAGTCTGGTGCAGTATCAGACGGCCTATGTGCTGTGGAAGCTCAGTGGGATCCCTGGTCTCGAGTTACAGAACAGTGGCTGTCATCCACCGAAATGTTTGCGCATCGACTCCATATCCAGGACGAGACCGACGCATACCCACGAATGTTCATCCTCTTGCCCACAAAGCTTGGCTCGATATCTTTTCCTCTCTACATATCTGCAAACAAAATCACGCAGGCGTCGATCAACGAAGGGGAGCCTGTGTCTGGAATTCCAATTGCACTTGCGCAGGAAATTACCTTCTCCCTGTTGACGAGCGTCTTAGAACGACGACTCCGGGACGTCACGAAAGAACAACTTCCACTTTTGATTGTCCCAGATATTGGGTCTTACTCTCTTCGAGACTGGCACAGTGAAAATTCACTCAGCACGCCTTTGCTTGAACTTCTCGTGAAGGGCGGCGGACTGGCGAGTGAGAGGTATCTCATCCGAGACCGCAGCCGCTTGACACCACTGGTTCTTGTGGCCCAGGGAGCAACATCATTGACCATGGGGGCGAAGGCTGAACCTGAATCATTGACCGTCACAGCATCAACGATTACGAGAAAGCTGGAGTACCTATCACCACCATCGCCCACGAACTTGACAAAACCAATTCAACAGAGGACGTTATTGGTCAAAGATTGTGTGGTCATGAGTTTGCCACCAGGATACGGCGAAATGATGCTGTTTGCACCTTCCATCACCCATATGGTTGAGACTGCTTTGCGGTCATCTGAGGCGTGCAGAGGCCCTCTGTCTGGTCTTCAATTTACAAACATCGATCTGGTTTCGGAAGCACTCACTCTGCCTGCTGCCTCTGCGAGAAATTACCAGCGCCTAGAATTTCTGGGTGATGATCTCTTGAAACTCCACGCCAGTCTACAATTATATGTCGATAATCCTACGCACCCGGAGAGCTTACTGACCACCGCCCGCGGCCGTCTTGTCAGTAACGGCCGCCTCCTGCGCACCACTCGCAAACTGGGTTTGGATCGGTACATGACGCAGCGAGCATTCTCCTCGGCGCAGTGGAAAGCTGGAGTCAACCCATCGAACAATCAAACGACCATTTCGTCCAAGACAAAACTGTCGAGAAAGACCCTGGCTGACATCATCGAGGCTCTCATCGGCGCCGCCCATTGCGATGGCGTTCCGACTGGCACGTCCGAGGCGAAAGTCGTCGGTGCTCTCCGGCTGTTCCTGAGCGAGGTGCAATGGCGTCCGGTATCCGAGAATCTGGCACGTCTGGAGATCAAAGAGGATGACCCGTCGTCGCTGTCCTCCGGCCTCGATAATACCCTGGACCATTTTCGATTACTGACCGGATACAAATTCACTCACCCCTCGTTGCTATTCGAGGCCTTGACGCAATCGTCACTCCGACCGGGTGTCTTGTCCTACGAGCGTCTCGAGTTCTTGGGTGATGCCATCCTCGACCACATCGTCAAGACCAAGCTCTACGACAGTCCCCTAAGACTGGACCCCGAAGCCATGACGGTCCGTCGACATGCCTTGGTGAGCCATGTGACTCTTGCTTTTTTCGCCCTGGAGGCATCGCACGAGCGTCGAACTGTCGAGGTTCACACCGACGTACGAACGCACGAGACCACCGCGCGGGAAGTCTCCGAAATTTACTATCTGCCAGACTACATTCGACGGATTAGTCGGGACGCTGACCAACGAGAGTTCACCTTGAAGGCGTTCGAGGAAGGGCGAGAGAGTATCTTGGTCAGCCTCTTCGGGGTTGGTGGCCGCAGACACTTCCCCTGGAGCGAATTGAGTCACCTGCGAGCGCCAAAGTCGTATTCCGACGTCGTCGAGTCCGTCCTGGCAGCGGTCTTCATCGACTCCAAGGGTGATCTGACCCGTTGTGAATCCGTGCTCGACAGATTGGGGTTCATGGGCCTGTTGGATCGATTCGCGCAGGAGCCGGACCTCGACGTCATGCACCCGGAAGAGAGATTGTCCAAGGTCAAGCTCGGATGTGATCTGGTCGTGGGCGAGACTCGTTCCGGATGGCGGTGCAAGGTAACGTTTGGTCACGATGAGCGGGTCATCGCGTTTGCACGCAAGGCGAGCTGTCGTGACGAAGCCCGATGTCGTGCGGCAGAAAAAGCGGTCCGGGTGATTTTGACGGAGAAGGAGAAGGGGGGAGAAGTGAGCAACACCACTGAAGACGAGCGTCTGCGGGAAAACCATGACAACGAGGCCGACCGCCAGGCGGACGGCAACCCACACGAACCCGGAGAAACGGACGGTGACACGACAGAGACTGATAGCAATGACGATTCCGACGCTGACGTGACGGACGACTATGAAATTTACGAAGATGATGACTACGACTACGAATTTTGATGCCACCTCCTCAAAAACGTCATGAGGGAAATGATGATACTATGACACGACGTGGATGGAGGAAACGCATCATGAGACAATCTCAGGATAGGGATGAGGGGAAAATTAGCACAAGGGAGTCAGTGAGACCTTCCAGGATAAGAGAAGCAGATCTTCCAGGATAAGGGAAAGTCGGACAGAGTAGACAAATTCAACTAATTCAAAAAAAAGTCGAGTCGAACGAAACGTCTTGCATCGGTTACAGGCCGACTCGTGCGTTGGCCGACTGTGTAAGTATTGTGATTTTTATACCATCGTCCTAGTATTGAATTAACTCGCTGCTGTGAGCAATAAACATAGGAGGTATTCTCAGATGAATACAAAGTAAGTATTCGTGCCATCAAATCAGAAAGGGCCAAAAGGTCTGCGGTCTGGAGCCCCTACTTTTTCTTCCAGTGCACTTCTGACTCTTGACTTTACAATACAAAACAATCCGTAGCAATTCCATTTCTTCAAAACGCCGCGCTCATGATGACCAATATCGTAACATATCTCGCCAGGACCCTCGACACTGGTACCCGTAGTAAGTCCCGTGGAGAACAACCTTGGGTCCTTTTCTTCGCACGATTCGACTCTCTAGCCCCCACGGCCAGAAGGCCCGCTCAAAAGTCCATGCCGACGAGGTAACCTTCAAAGATACGCATAAACTTTGCCACGAACGCCTCGAGGTGGAAAATCACTTTACTGCCCAGACGTATGCGGTGCTCGTAGAAACTGGCCCACCTCACGACCTCGGGCTTCAGGCTGTCGTCGACTTCGGGGAGATTCACGAGTTTCCAACACAGGGTCTTGATCACCATCGTGGCCGGGATGCAGTGGGTGAGGAGGTCGTAGAGTTTGGCGCGGACCGCCAGGATCATGGCCGGCGTGCGTTCCTTGACCATGTCCCGGGCGACCTGCTCGATCAGGACCTCCCAGTCCGGCGGGGGGATGGGGGTCTTGTCGCTGGGTTCGGGGTGTTGGGCGTAGACGGCCTCGAACATCAGCAGGGCCCTCCGCAGGTTCCGGCCCGACTCGCGGGCGATGCGTTCGTTCAGCGCCGGCACCGCCTTCCAGTTTTCTCTCCTGGCCGCCTTCGTCAGGGCGTCGACGATCTCGGGCTCCGTGGGCGCGGCGACGCGGACGAGCAGCGTCCTCGACCGGATGGGCGCGATGATGCCGGCCGTGCTGTTGGCCACGAGGATCAGCCGGACGTTGGCGCTGTACTTCTCCATCGTGCGGCGCAGGGCGGCCTGCGCGTCGCGGCTGAGCCCGTCGGCTTCGTTGATGACCACGACCTTGAACCGTTGCCTCGCGGCCAGGTCGACCTGTTGCGTCTGCGCCACCTCTTTCAGCAGTTCTTGGATCACCACCCGGTCGTACGTCCCCACGTCGCTCGGCGTGATCTCGAGGTGGTACACGGACGAGACGATGTTGAATTCGAGTTTCCGGTTCGACGAGGTCGTGAACATGCGCGCGTCGATCTTGATCTTTTCCACCCCGCCGCCGTACAGGGCCCGGAGGGTCGCGAGGATACGGGTCTTTTTACCCGCGCCCGAGGGTCCATAGAAGAGGAGATGAGGGAAATCAGCTGAAGATGCCTGGAAAGAAAATATCAAAACATGTCAGTCAGTGTCGACTGCGAAAATCTGCGACAAAAGGCGTAGGGTTGGGTGTTTGATGAAGTTCATTATGGGCTTCATACCAGTGATGATAGTCGCTCTGAAAGGTCTTTGTGGTATGTGAGAGCTTCCAGAGATCGAGGTCGTAATTTATCGACGAGTAGAGCCATGACTGAGATTGTTGATTGTTCGATTCGATGCAGAATGATGGTTGTTGGAAGGTTGACTGCGAATGTTAGAATACCATGTAGTAGAAATCTCGGAAAGAGACGCGTCGCGTTGCTGCGGGCGTGTAAAGTGCTTTTCAGCTGGAGTGACGTTTTACTCGTATCGTACGGAGTACTCGTATTACATTGGGTCTCTAGCACATTGACTCCGTATATCCACCTACAATACAAAAACCAACTTCAGCAACATAGAGTCATCTATTTGTATATTTGTATATCACATGTCCTTCATTATCAGTTTTGTACAAGTTCTAGTGTCCTGTCTCCTTTCTTTTTCTGCAAATGCCAGCATAGTTCTGACCTGCTTGGAGTGGTTCCGCATCACCACTGGTAAATGAACAATGTCCAACCCCTTTATCTGCTGCCAGAGTCTCTGGTATTACTCCCCATTTCACAGGTTTCATGGACGCATCACTATCCCAGTCCGGTGCATGGCACGCCGCCGAAATGGCGGCACTACAGCTACCCACCAGAGGTATCGTAGGGTCATATTTGAGGAAGAATCCGAGACCGGATGAGACGGTCATTATCAGGGCTCCGGCAACGAGACTGACTATCATTGCCAGTGGAGAGAAGCCACAGGTGCCGACGGCCACCGGGTCCACGATCGATCCATCTGGAGCGTACTCTTTGACGACGACCAGGAAGATGGCCTGGGAAATGAGCCAGTGTAGCAGACCCGACAGGATCATCAAGGGGATGGCGACCTTGTAAGGTAGCTGCAAAAAATGCGTACTTCGTTGTGGCCCCTTGGGCTTGGACACCCGTAGAGTCTTCCGTTCTGTGGCGAAATCACTCCATTCCGATGCCAAAAACATGCTGGTGAGAAGGCCGTTGAGGTTGAGGTACAAGAATGAAAAGATTGTTTGAGGCAGGTTGGCCACCAAGATCGAGCCGAGGATTTTTTTAGATGGGCTCCCTCTGTTTTCGAGGCCCCATCCGTTGATGATGGCAGCAGGGTTCACTTTGCCGAAGCCAATATCCGACACTGTAAAGCCATTGCTGTTGACCGATGAGACGGCAAGGGATAGGAGGGCGCCGACGACAATGAGACTGATTCCGATGAAACCCATAGTCATCCCCCACCGGAGCCCACTGGCAGCTTTGAACCACCTTGTAACCCGGATGCGTGCGATTTTTGGTTGAGAGGCCCTCATCTTGTGGAGATTCCAGTCTTGTTTCATGCGCGCCAATTGAACGACTTCCTGTTTCGTAAGGAGACATCTGCCTTCTGTCGTGCGGTCCGGCTCGTTCAAAAAGGATTCCACGGCGTCGCCCATGGTGATCAACGGAGTGTCCTTGAGACGATATGCGACGAAGAGCATGCCCGCCATTTTGATGGCGTTCGCCACGAGTACAACGGCCACGATGGGTATGTTTCCATTGTAGCTGCACTTCTCACTGACTCGCTCACTGTAACAGTATTGCACCTCATTGCCGTACGGATGCCATCGATCTCCGAGGTCGATTATCTTTGAAAAATACTTTTCGCATGGCAGGTTGTTACCATTGCGCTGAGGCACTAGGATTTTGTTTCCAATGTCCGGGTCCGAGGCGCAGATCCTACAAAAGATTCGGGGTCAGTAAAACATGTTCACTGGGACCTGAAAATGGGTGGCAGGGGGGATGTGATATCTCACTTACCAGTAGTATGGAGAGGAAGGGCTATACAGATAGTTTGTGTAGTCCAGCAGGTTATAGTTGACCGTGTCGTTCTTTGTGACAAAGACCAGGTTCCGTCTATCGGTGATAAAATCCGTCGCATAAGCTCTTATGCAGTCTGCGAGGTCTAAGCGTTCATAGAGCTCTGGTACCTTGAGATCAGCCTGGACCTGATCTATACTCACCCCATCAAGCAGACCATATTGTCTGATTCCGTCTGATGCTGTCGTGTTCCAGGAAGAACCGTCTACGAAATCCTGTTTGACGAAAAGTATGTCGTAGTCGTTACTCGCGAGAGATTTGTAGAGTGCAGAATTGTATCTTTTGTCTCGAAAGTCAACAAGAGAACTCAAACAGGGACCTGCATCAGCACATGTTGATTAAAAAAATGTACTTACAGCAAATGTAAAGGGACCGATGATAAGCCCAAGGTCCACCACAGAGCGGATTTGTGAATGGGTACTTTGAACAGGTTGCGAGTGCTGGGGACTCCAATATCGAGCCATTTCCCTTTGGAATGCTCCGTATCAATGTCTTTTCTGGTCGGAGCACACAGGCACTGCATGCAATAATTCGAACCTCCGAGCAGCAGAGTACTGAGTGCGTTGATTGCGAGGTGAACCCACAAATCCATGCTCTCGACTTTGCTGCAGCTCCCGCTGAAGATCTCGACAAGGCCTGAGCTTCCCTTGTGAGTGGCCAGCCATATCAGAATGACAAAGTTGATCAACAAGGAAATACCCGCGAAGAGGGCGGCCAAGAGAGCTCCCGTCCTCCAGCCATGAAGGCGAGAGTGGCTGCCCGAGAACAGATTCCACTTCCACCGGCTATCGTAGGTCGAATGAATGCGAATCGGGTCGGTCGAAGGGTCGAGAAGCGGTGCTTGGTCTCTGATGGTATTGGAGAATCCAGATTTGAAGCTTGAAGCCTTGCTATCCGCCGGCGACGACAGCTCGAAGAAGCCTGGCTCGAGAGCTGGATCGGTGTTGGCCCGCTGATACGTTCCTCGAGGCCGGATTATGTCCATCTGAAAGTAAGAGACCGAGATGGACGGCTCGAATTCAATTGAAATGAAGCAAAACTTGTCCGAACTTCGTATATGACGGATTGGGGCACCACATTGTCCACATTTGAGAAGGGTCTACTTCGTAGGCTGCAGAGATTTTAACCCTCTACTAGACTTGTGATCTCGAAAAGTCCAGAAAGGTGGAATTGCAAATGTTGAGCTTTCATGGGTGGCAGGTTAGGTGAGAATAACCCTGAGTATGATCCGTCGTCACGTTTCGCACACCTTCGTTCTTATGAAGGGTATTATCAATGAAGAAGATTTGTGCGCTGATGGCGCTTTGTAAACCTGGGATGATCCGAGCAGTCTCACTACTCTGGAAACCGCGAATCTTTGCTCCACTGACACAACGCAAGTTTCACAGGACCCGGGAAGAGGGTGGAGTAGGAAACGCTGTACGGAGTACATACTCCTTACTCCGTATTCCGCACTTCATTTGTGAAGGTCCTGGTTAGTTCTGTCTAGGCCAAAGTGTAATGGGCCTAGTTTGACGATCCGGTTGTTGACGAGCCTCATTGCCTATCAAACTCTCGCCTAAGGGTGGATTGAGATGATCCAATTTCGATAGGGGCATGCGGCAACCAACCGGAGTCGACAAGGCTATAACCATTGGCGTAGCTGGCCGCTATCCAGGTACAAAGTGACGATTATTGGTGACGCACTTCATCAGAAATAAATGTATCGACAGGGAACGATGCTGTGTTGTATCAGGCAGACACGGAGGCCTCTCACCTTGAGTGTACGGAGTATAGTAATAGTCCGTACTGCATCTGGCAATGACAATGCCATTTACAGCAATGGGGAGGCCTGAATTGTCCAAGTGACGATATCTCACAGTTGACAAGACGTTGTGAGACGAGCATCTCTGGGCGCTTTGATTGTCACGAGAGGATTGTCACAAAGAGACCTGTCTACCTAACAAGCCAAAGAGTCAATTAACTGTCTTTATTACTTTGTCTGAGTGCAGCAATCAATAGGAAAGTGACTGATTCGCTTATCTTTAGAGCCATCAGGGGATGGATGCCTATAAGCTCCCCGGGACAATACCTTAAGCTTCGCCGAATTTAGGTGACTCGCACCCTTGTGATTAGGCACTACAGAGTAACCTTCCCAGGTACATACAGGGGGTCGTATGTCACCAATAGCTTTACCCGGCATGTCCCCGGACTTGCATTTACCTGGTGAAAGATATCACAAGTCTTTGCCGCCACCCCTACTCCGTACCTCTACCATTTACAAACGGTGTGAAACGCTTCTCATTTCCACCGACCAGGGATATGACGGTCTTTTGCCAAAAATTGCAGAAGCGGTGTAAGGATGTCCTGCAGTTTCAGACAATCGAGTATCGCCATGTTCACCGCCGACCTACGATTCACAAGTGTTTGACAATATGCATCAATCGTCCAGGATAGAGATAACAAGATCTTCACTACCACACCTTCTGCGCCCACAGGCTCCCTCGAGGTCAATCCATAATATCTATTGCATTTCAGCCTGATTCGACTCCAATATTGACTACAGCGCGACAGATCATCGGAACCCATTTCCATCATTAGGAACATGTCGATGAACAACACCTCTTCTTCTTCTTCCTCCTCATGCAACAATTTTCAATCGACCCGTCTGAATGGTGGTGGTCATGTTGACTTGGCCTGTTCTCAATCTACATCTGCAGTGCAAGAAGTCTCTGGGCAAGGACAACAACCTCAACAACCTCAACAACCTCAACCACCACCACCACCAAAACGAAAAAACAATCCATCGATTCGACCTCTACCTGCAGATAAAGCTTCGAATGACCGTGGGACGCGGTATCCTATCGGACTGCGTGCACAGGCTCTCACTCTTCACTCCATTGGTTTTCACGCTCATGACGTCTCTCGCATATCCGGAATTCCAATACGCACTGTCTACGGTATTGTGAAAAAGGCCAGGGAACGAGGATACGATCCGCGGGTTGATCCCCGAATCCTCGATTATTATGTCATTGACGGATTCAAGGCCGGCAGACCAAAGAAGAACAAGGGGGCTGATGAAAGCGATTCCTCTAGAACTGTGTCTACACAGCCCTGCGAGGATGTAGAGCCACATACAGATCAAATGATTTGATACCTGTGATATTACCACGACGCAATATGTTATTCATATTGCGATCTATGCTTAATTTCGGTGGTGATGGCGACATGTACATGAGGTGTTGCATTTGGTGTAAGCGACATGTTAGCAACGGTGGGTACTCGCTGTGCCGTGCGACGTGCCCTGTCGAAGGACTCGGGTCGAAAACAACATAGATGCATGAATGAATTTAAGAATCACGGAAAACAAGTCCTTGGGTTCAAGACATCATTTGGCATGAAAGCAAACTACATGTGGTATCAACACTCCCTTTCCCCGGCTGTGTGTTGAGTTGTAACACGTAATGTAGGATATGTATCCACGTATTCAGTTCGGCCAGAACTAGACTAGACTGTGTACTCCCTTCGATACCGTTGCTTGCTTTTCTTAGGTATTGTCCATTTTCTGCGACTGGCAGAAAGGTTGAGCTCCTGAACAAGTCTCTCCGTCGCCAGATGCATTCCTTGTGCCTCTGTCAAATTGACTGCTGCTCTTGCTGCTGCCTTGCTTGCTTCCATCTCCTGTATTTCCTGCAAAACCCGTGGAGAGTTCCGTATTGCTCGTCGAGCAGGGATCATGTGATTTTGTCGAAGATCCATCATTCCACGACACCACATCTGATAATTGGCAAGAAGGGACATGGCTTCGTCATAGAGCTCGTTGATTCGATCCTCGATGTCGTGGCCAACATTACATGGATATACATATTTCAGAAAGGGATGGTAGACATGGTCATGAAAGAGCTGTGCCCAACCTTCGACGAGGTTTCGTTCCGTTTGACATGGCAGTGCAGTGTGCCTGGGAACAGTCAGTCGCAACTGACGGTCAAGACAAGATCACTCACTGAACGATCAGCTGAACCTTTTGTCGATAGTTCGTCCATAGGTCTTGTTCTGTTGGGTTTACCTGGAAGGGGGCCAATCCACGAACAAAAGCAATGCTGTTGACCTGCTCTTCAACATTGAGGTTGACCTGTTGAAGCTGCTCAAGTAATGCCTCGCTGTGAAGAAGTATTTCTTGGTTATCTAGCCCATCGGGAATCTCGAAATGTTGATCAGTACTGGACGGGAACAGATGGCTGAGGTTATCCACCAGTTTTGTAAGATTGCTGAAGCCATTTCGGCAGCTATCTGGTAAATTTGCTCTTCGAACACTGTCAAGGAAGTCCAGTATGGCGTCTCCATCATGACAATCACTGAGATGGGATCCTCGATGCGATGGGGTCGTACAGGGCGTGGATTCAGCTTCCGCAGACAGTTGCGAGGTGTCGCCGTCAGTATCATTTGAACAGGGTGAGGAGAACTGTGAACAGGCGACGAGTGGCTCCTCGTTGATCTCGAATTTGATCTCAGGATATCTTTCGTAAAGCGATGAAAGCTCAGACTCTGAAATAGTCACACGGTTATCCATCTCCGAGGTTTTGGATCTGTCTTTCTTTTTGACCGTTTTCGAGTATCGTACTGAATAAAGCACCAGCAGTGGCAAACTCAGGTATGAGGACACGCAAGGAAGGAAGGGGCTGAAGCATTGTGAAAGACAGAAGGAAATTTACCATGTAGATGCTTGTGTGAGAAGGCAGGCGCAACCATATTCACATTCCATAATTGCACAGGAATCGAGACGAAATTTGATGGAGAGGAAGTATAATGAAATACAGGTGATAGTCCACATTTATCAAAGAAATCTCATGTATTTACCAAGTACAATCCAGTACCGGTCATGTGAACTGACCAGCAGTTTGGGATGGAATTTGGCTTTGCAGACTGCCACTAGGTCAAAGGTATAACACCGATGAGTCTAATCAGCAGAAAGCACTCGTTCTTCGCGCACTGACTGATTGGCACCTCACTGAAACAGATGTGACAACTCAAAGTTGGGCGATCAAAGGAAACGGTATGCATGGATAGGTATGCGTAAAATGATTGGATGAATATCAATCCTCGAGAGTGCATGTACAAAATCAGATGCCGCGAAATGACCAAGCCTGCTCTTGCATTCCTTCGAGCGCAGAGCTATAGGCAGAGCCAGTATTGAATGCTCCCGGCATCGAGTTCACTGTTCTAGCCGAGTCACTCGAGCTCTGTACTTTCGCTTGTGTTGATAAAAGTGCCCCAGAATCTCTTCTCGGATAGTCTGAGTTCGGTATTTCATCATGATGCGAAACCTCATCTTCCAGAGGCCCATCTGCTCCCTTCTCCTCGAACGGCGAATCTTGAGATTCATTAGCAGGTGGCTGATAACGCCAATCGGGAGGAGGTTTGAGATCATCATCATCTCCTGACAAATGAGTATCGACGATATTGTTACCAATGTGCTGAAGCGATCGGCGAATGATCGTTTGAACTCCTTGGTAAAACAACCAAGTGGCAGAGACGATGCCCATGACAATCACAATCCAGCTGACATTCATTGCACGATCGCGACCTGTCGTTGCTCTTCCAGCAACCCTGGTTGAGACAAAGCCGTTGTGACGCAAGCTCCACCACTGGAACGGGTTGAGTATCATGGTTCTAAGAAAACTCATGACACCCATTGAGACGAATCCCTTGGTGAAATGTAACAGCCATCCAGACATGGTCTCGTCAAAGTCGTTGACTGCGACTTCTTGCCAGAGTTCCTCTTCTCCCAGGATCGTCTCATATGGGTCGGCGTAGAAGTTCAGGATTGGATCAGCCACGAAACCGAGTAGAAACATGGCGACCAGCATCACCGAGACCGTCAGGACACCCGAGACAATCTTGCTCTCCAAGTATTTTTGAACGGTCAGTCTTTTGAAATTGAATCGATATCCGCATTGATGACATTTCCAGAGGGAGTCTGAGCGACGAACCTCGACTCTCGACCGCCGCAGACAGAGCTCGTGGATATATCGCATGCCACCTCTGCAATGACATGGCTTGATGAGCCGGCCATACTCGTCATCGTTTTTGTACTCGACAATGGGACGTTGTAAGCGAGCAGGGACGCCGGGAGGATAGAGAGTAACGACCGGATACACGTCTTCGAGGCACAATCTGCATGTTCGAGGTGGATAGGTCCAGGTCTGGGATGGTCTCGTGCTGCTGTCTTGGGCACCGTCAACTGTTGGCTCTTTTGTAGATTCCATCTTTTGTCTGGTTCGTAAATAGATTGTTAAGGTTAGCACTATTCCGATCCACCACAAATTCTTCCGACCCAAGATGTGGTCATGATCAAAGAACAACTTGTTGAAAGACAGCAAACAAAGGGGGACAGAGGATGCTGAAATTAAGTGCTCATAGTTTTATGCATAATCGTCTGCCTGCACAAGGACAAAGGGGAAGACGCCGAGGAAGTACTTGGAAGCTCGGCGTCGGCCATTGAGGAGAAAATGCCAGATATTATGATATCGAGTTGCTGGTGGGAAATTCAAGTTGAAAGGTGCCTGTGCTGGCGGATGACCAATAAGGCAAGTTTGCCGACCACTAGTCCCATGCGGACTTGCATACTAGTAGGTACTCTAGGTGATTGCGTAGAGAGTTGTGCCTACAGAACAAGACAACGCGGTCTTTGAATTTGCTCACTCCAAGTAATCTGCGCACGCCTTCTTTTGCTCTCTTGTCTGGTGAAAGTCGCATAGTACTCAAGAACTGAAGCCTTTGGATCTCCCGCTATTCGTCAGTTTTCGCCAGCATGGCGGACAGATACTCCTTCTCCCTCACTACTTTCTCGCCCAGGTATGTTTACCGGTCCATTGCTGCTCAATCTGCGGTCTAACACCTTTCAGTGGCAAGCTCGTACAAATAGGTACACCAATTCGATCCTCTATCGTCTTGACTTGAAGCTCACCCGTATCTCCCAGAATATGCCCTCAATGCGGTCAATCAAGGTGTTACCTCGTTAGGGATTAAAGGTATCACAACCCTCCCCCAGCTCAAAAGTCTAGCGGCAATACTGATGGCACGGATAGCCACGAATGGCATAGTCCTTGCAACCGAGAAGAAGTCATCATCTCCTCTCATCGACGCTCCCTCGTTATCCAAGATCTCTCTCATCACCCCGAACATCGGCATGGTCTACAGCGGCATGGGTCCAGACTACAGAGTATTGGTCGACAAAGCTAGAAAAGTATCCCACACCAACTACAAACGCATCTACAATGAATACCCTCCCACGCGGATATTGGTTCAAGACGTGGCCCGAGTGATGCAAGAAGCTACACAGTCAGGCGGTGTGAGACCATACGGTGTGAGCTTGCTGGTGGCAGGTTGGGATGACGGTATTGAGCCGGAGACGAAAGCAGCCAAAGAAGGAGAGACGGAAGCCGAAGCAAAACTCGCCAGCAGAAAGACAGGTGGTATTTTGAAGGGTGGACCGAGTCTGTACCAAGTCGACCCCAGCGGCAGTTACTTCCCGTGGAAGGCTACAGCCATCGGCAAGAGTGCAACAAGTGCAAAGACGTTTTTGGAGAAGAGATACAACGACTCTTTGGAGCTCGAGGTGGGCATTTGAAATGCGATTATAGGAAAGTGCTGAAAGCTGACAAAATCTCTTAGGACGCCATCCACATTGCACTTCTGACCCTCAAGGAAACCATTGAAGGAGAAATGAACGGCGACACGGTGGAAATCGGTATTGTCGGTGAACCTGCTGATCATTTGCTTGGATTCGAAGGCGTCGAAGGAGCAGTGGGACCGCGATTCCGCAAACTCTCAAAGGACGAGATTGAAGATTACCTGACGAACCTGTAATATGTGGGTCAGAGAGCCTTTCGAGTATCTTATCTTGATCGTTCAAGTCTTGTAAACTACGAATGCCGAATTTCGTATTCCTGGGCTTACGGTCTGCATGGCTAACGGCGCATTTGGGAAAGGGAGGGTGAAGCTAGTGAAATAGGGAAAACAAGACAAGGCGCGAAAGATATTGTGAGCAGAAATCAGGAGACATTGTTCCACTGACTGTACGTACGGCTCTTAAGCCCTTCGAAACCTTGATGCCGACAAGTTCATATGGCCATGCTCTGACTTTCCCACTGGCTTGCAAACGCGCTGAACTCCCAACCGCCGACACCCCGGTGGCAAGACTCATGTCCTTGAGATGGTCCCAGGGATATACACTTGATCAAATTTGAGATTCGTGTCACACAAATCCACCTTCAAAAGCCCCAATGTCCCATATCGTTTTTACTTCTCATCCTCGCCAGCCTTTCTGCTCCTTACCAGGCTCCCTGCTCCTCACCAGCAAGCGCGTTCGTTTCTCTTGGTTTTGGATTCTCTCAGTCGTCTCTTGCCAGCAGCAGTCTTGGTCTTCTTCGCACGCTGGTTGACATCCATTGTCTTCCTTGAAACTTCTCTCTAACGGTGCTTCTCGGCCGAAAGTTGTTTCAAAACCTCTCATTGCAAGTCTTCCTGCTTGACGTCCTCTTGCTTGATGTCTTCTTGCTAGAGGCCGTTCTGCTTTGCTTCTTCTTCTGCTGCTGCTGCTGCTGATATACCAGTCAATTTTCCATTTCGAGCACGCCATTGTATCGTATGAGAAAGGATCGTACGAACCTTTGGCCGCCTCGGCGGCTGCGGCAGCCTCTTTCCTCGCTGCCGCCTTCAATCAGCAATTTGTCTTATTCTGCATGCATGAATGCTGTAAGATACCCTTCCCGTTCGCCCTTGGCCTCTTTTTCTTCGCCTGAAGAGCTAATTCAGTCTTTTGATGCTGAAAGCGAGAACTCTATGATACTTAGTCTCCTTCTCTCCTTTCTTACTGCCTCCCACTCCGCGGTCGTCCGCTTGACACGCGGGCCCGTCCACTCTGCCTTGGTCGGCTTCCTGACTTCTTCGGCGGTGGCAGCTGCGGTAGCCTCTTTTGTCCGCCAATGATGCACCGTCAGTAAATTGGGTACTTCGTATACAGACATGAATGGATCCTGTATGTTACCTTCTGCCCCGACTTTGCGGCGGCTCCTCCCCCACCTCGCCATCCTTGCCTGCAAACATCATCATCAGTCTTTACTAGGTGTCAGGAATGAGAGTGTCAGTTGATAATTATTACCTTGTTCTTCTCCTTCTTTACCTCAATCTTCTGCTCCTTGGTAGTCTCCTCGGGGTTGTCAGTGGTGTCAGTGGTGGCAGCAGCCGTAGCACCAGCGAGTCGAGATGGGGAAATTGTGGAAATTGGGACTCAGGAAAGAAAGATTCAACACTGACGAGGAAGCGATAAGCCGATGAACGAATGTATACTCAGGATATGTATGAATACTGCAAGTACTCCGTAGTGCCAAGCATTAAACCTTATTCGGTTGATAAAGACATCATCCGTACACACGACACACATCACGGGCACCAGGGTGATAACGCAATCATAATTTCATTGTGGCTGAGAATAATGTTATTGAAAGTTCTGTACAATTGAAACGCAACCAGTCCCTGATGTAAAAGGGGAGACTTTTCCCTTGTTCGAGTATCTTCCTGAACCCTGGTTTGCCATACAACAGCCGGCTTGCGGCTGCTAAGGATAATTTTGCAATAGGAAAACAGTAATGGATAACAATCCTACGCTGCAGTCTCCTGCTTAGGGGTGGCTGAGGGAGGGGGTGCAGCGACTTGAGGACTGCTCGTGGCTACAGTACCTGCTCGCTTGTCATCTTCGCTGTTGTTGTCGTAGTCTTCATCGACATCAACTTTTCGAGCAGCTTGTTCAACATTCTCTGGACGATCTTCTTTGGAGCCTTCTAAAAAGGTCTGCATCGAAGGTATCTGCTGCTGCTGCGGCTGTGGCTGCGGTTGCGCGGGGAGTTGAGGCTGAGGCGCAAGACTGTAGGGATGATGGGCAGCTTCAGACGGGTGGTAGTTCTCGTTGGCACGTCGTTCGTTCTCACGACGCACCTCAGAGGAGCTGCGTCGAAAATGATCTTTCGGCGAGGGGAGTCTTCCAGGAGGACTGTTTCGCCGGCTAGGATCGTCCAGGCGAGCACGAGTCTCGTCATTGGCAATCTTCTTCGAAGGGCCTTCAGGCTCCCAATCTCTCGACCGCTTCATGGCTGAAGATGGTCGGTCCTCTCTGGGTGGTTCTGCGGCTGGGAGAGGCGGTGCAACCGACGGCACGCCGTTGGCAATGCTGGGAAAGGGTCCAGATTGGAAGGGTTGTGGTCGGAAACCAGAGCCCGGTGATGGCGGCCGCTCATCCCGGATAGGTCTCAGCTCGCTAGGAGGGCTGAAAGGTCGTCCGTACGGAGGGAGTGTGTTGTTGGGTGTAGCGCCATTGGCGGGAGGGAGAGGAGCACCGTTCATAGTAGGGGAAGGGCGCACGCCAGCCCCGAAACCAGGACCTCGATCTTGCAGAGAAATCTGTGGCAAAGTTTGAGGGCCAGGTGGATACATTCCAGGTTGCATCTTAGGCGACGGGGATTGAGCTTTCCTTGAGGGAGTCTGACGGGCAGAATCGTAAGGACGAGGTTCACTGCGTGGGCTGGGAGCACGTGGAGGTGGAGCTCTCATTGTGTCACGGTTGTCGTACCCATTTGCCTGTGGCGGGGGCTGTTGAATACCTGCAATGCCTCTTGTCCAGTCATGAACTCTGGCAGGATCAACAGGTGGTGCTTGTGATTGCTGGTTCGAAGATGCAGGTCCACCCCATTGAGGTCCTGGGGGAACGCCAACACCGTTTTGATATGCCTGTGGGTGAACATCCTGGGGAACCGGGGCGTTCTGCTGGTTAGGTCCAGTGGGCTGTCCGCTTCTGAGCAAAGCAAGGCGCGCTTTGATGTGAGTGTTGGTTGGGTCAAGCTCGGCAGCACGAGCGTATGCATCAAGGGCATCAGAGGTTTGATTGTTGCACGATTCGTACTATGTGAATTGTCAGAAACAAGTTTCCGCAGAGATTGTAGTTCGAACTCACCAGCGTTCCCAAGTCGTACCAGACTTCCGAAATATAAGGGTTCAAGCGAATTGCACGGGAGTATGCATCAAGGGCATCACGATATTGGTTAATCTGGTAATACAACACGCCGATGGAGCACCAGAAGGTAGGGTTGCGGCCATCACGGTAGACTGCCTGTTGGTAAGCCTCATAAGCTTTGGGAAATTTCTGTTGAGCCATGTAGCAACGTCCCAGTAGATACCAACTCTGCGCGTCTTGATTGTCTATTCTATGTCAGTAAGGAATTGTGGGAAACATTGGGTGCCACGAACCAGAGCTGACCGATTGCTCGAGATATTCGATTGCTTGATCTTGACTGGCGTAACTGTTGCTCTGTTGGTGATGCAACCATCCGAGCTGTTGTAACACTTTGGCATGTTTTGGATCTCTCTCAAGTACTCGTCGGTAGGCGGCCTTGGCAGCTTCGAACTGCGGTGAGGGTCAGATCGTGTCAAAGAAATGGAAAAGTAGGCAACACAAACATCTTTTTGTTGCTCATAGACGTGACCAATCTGGAACCAGATGTCTTCCTCATTTAGTGGTCGTGGAGGATCGTTGACAATGTATTTGAAACACTGCACTTTGGTCAGCCGACTTCATCGCAAAGGGCTGATAGGCACTAACCTCGAGACTTTGCTGGAATTTTTGTTGCTGTTTGTAAATTATTCCAAGTCTGAAATAGATTTCGTTTGCCTTTTCGAAGTCTGGTTGCATTCTCATAACCTGTGAGAAGGCTTCCTCGGCATGCTCGAGAGAGCCGTAGCGGTCATAGAGAATACCAATGCCGTACCATAATTTTGGTTCCTGAAAATGATTAGATTTCACATCGGGAGCAAAGAAGTCGCAGCAACAAACCTTGGGATCAGGAAGATAGTATAGTGCTTGTTGATATGCGGTGTACGCTTCTTGCAGGTTGTCCATCATCAAGTAGCAGTGACCTGTATGTGATGAGTTGCTGGAAAAATCTTTTGGAGATAGTCAATCAATGGCTTACCTAGATTGCCCCACGCCTCGCCATTGGCATTCTCGACTTTGAGAATGTTCCTCAAATACTCCATGGCCTCTGGGTATTTCTCCTTGGTACGAAGGATACATGAGATAGCATTGAGTGTCTGTGGTGACCATTGGTTGTGTCGCAAAGCTTGCTCGTAGGCAAATAGTGCTTCGTCATGATTACCGAGCAGTTCATTCAGTGAACCTGGAACGTGTCAGTCAAGACTCGAGGCACTACAAAGCGTTTTGGCTCACCAATCCTCTGCCAGGTTGACTCGTTGAGCTGAGAGAGTAGTCGTTGTCGTTGCATGTGAGCATCGACGGGTGCGGCTCCGTTATACTGGCCCAAATGAGGTGGTTGGAGACCCAGCACGCCTGGTGGCGAGGGATGAGGGACCAAGGCCATAGTGACCACTGCCAATGGGCTTCAATATTTGTAGAGATGACTCAAACCACGTTGTGTAGGGCTTTAAGGTGTGAGCAGTGGCTGAACAAGCTGGAAAAGATGGCGCAATTGAAATCCGCAGCCAGCTAGGCCCCTCCTCTTTCAATCGATACAATCGAAGGGTTGGGTGGATTGCAGAGAAAGATTGTAGTCTTAATTCGACAAAGCTAGCGATGTGAAGTCATGCCAAACTTGCTGAGGATCGAGACTCGGCTGACGCCTCGAAGGACGGCAATGTGGGTAAGAGGGAGAGAAAGAGTAAGGTAGGAGAGGAAGGGTGTACAAAGAGTCTCAAACACGACAACCGCAATGCGAGCGACACGATTAGCCGATGGCGTCGCAGGATGGAAAGCGTGGTGTTTCCTCTCTCGCAAAGGACGGACGGGTGACGGAAGAGGGAAAATGAGGATGATTGAGGGAATGGGCTCAAGATGGGAACAAGCAGCGGTACCACTAGCGTCCATAACCCTAAGATCTGAGCCATGCTTGTTGGAATCACAGATGACGGGACGGCGACTGCACCTAGCAGGCAGTGGGGGCACGGAGCACAGAGCACGCTCCTCTCGTCTCGTACTTCTCCTTGCTCCTTTGGCGAGGTGGCCTGGAAGAGGAGGCGCTAGGCGGCAAAAGCCCACCAAGCCTCAAGGGGTCCCATAGGGACGCCTATCAGCCCAACGAGTGGCTAGACCTGACAGCCTGGTGATGGGCGCCCAGTGGAGCCTAAGAAGCCTGGAGGAACGAAGAAAACTGGGGTGTGGGCCGGGTGGTTCCCTTTGATTGACACTTTGGCTACGCCCGGCTTGCAAGAAGAAGACTTTCCAAGCCTCCCCTGGGCTGGTCGACCGCCCCATTCCAGACACTGCGACTGGGCCTGTGCTGCATTATTGGACGTTCTTGCAGGGGACACGATACCTGACAGCCGCCTCGAGCATCAAGTGAACCTGAAGATGCACCACGGAAAAGCAAGCGCTCACACTTGCCTTTTCCCGTCATTGTTGCCATCACCCACAGATTTGGTAGCAGCCGCAATGGTATGAATTTACGTGCGACTGGGGAGGCCCTGAAGCGATGCTACCCTCGTACGAGTACGAACATCACCACCGCTCTGAGAACAGACATGATGGGCACAGGCAATCATTCTCCGTCTGCGTCCGGGATCATCTTGGAAACGACGAGTCCAAACGCAATCAACTCACGCTAGCTAATCGCTGTCGCCGCCGACCTCCTCACAAAAAAAAGGGCCGAAGCTGCGGAGGCGTGAGAGGCTGACTGGGCTGGCGCCTTTCCCAGAGGCTAAAGGCACAAGGGACCCAGAGGCCAGGGCCCCTGGCGGAGCGTTTCCCTGTCGATTACCGTATTGGACGAGCCACGACATGACGAACAGACGAACAAACTAAGTGGGCCGTTCCTTTTGCCGTGCTGTTGGCGTTTGGCATGCTTGTCACCACCACCCGTGGCCTGCTTCATTTCATCACTCTCCGTACATATCCTTTTGCTCCATTTTTCCCTCGGAGCTTCTCTCCTCGCTTCGCTGCCGGCCTCCTCCATGTCAATCACACAAACACGACCTCCTGACCTATTTTTCTCCACACCTCTCCCAAAGGCTAGTTTTCGCCTAACAAGCCTAGCAGATTTCTTCCTCCACGAGTCTGATGAGCCTACTGCCAATCTTGTCTTGTTTCGACAGCCTGGCTTCCGGCTGAAAGGCCACTACTACTGCAAGAAAACAACGCAGGAGAAGATGAGACACCCAACCTACCATCCACTCTCTTGACCCTCCAAAGCACGCCGCGTTCAGCCTCGGTTTGAAGTCTGACCATATCATCTCAGCTCAAGGTGCGCTACTGAAGAATGAAAAGTACGGACTATACAGAGGACATGATACCTTGGCTGCGGTTTGCGTCTTGCAGCAACACAAAAGTTATGAAACGTGCTTCAGGAACGCCCATTGATCACGATCTTAGGCTGGGTTTTCTTTCCGTGGCTATTTCGGTACAGTAACAAAGGCGACTTGTTTGGGGATGGTGGCGGCGCCAGATAAACCCAGACGAGGTGGTGCCGCTAGTTGAACCCTGGTCACTTTTTGGGCTTTCGCGTGTTCGGACAATAATGTGGCTGCTGGTGGGCATCATGCTGCTGACTTCCGTATTAAAACGTCCAAGGCTCGTGTTGGCTGAGGATCCACCTGTCCAGCCATCATTCCCTCCCCTGTACTGTACAAGAGCTGCTGTTGTGACATTTTGTTGACAAAGGTCGCCGTGGCACTAATCTTGTGCTATGGTTCGTCTATCCGTCTTGCCGTGGGAAGATCTCACTGAACGGTACTTGACTCTTCCTGACACCACTGTCAACTCCGCCAATCTATCCCCCTTGGGTTTGCCTGACCGCTGGTTCGCTCGACCTCCAACAGATCGACCTTTAGCGCCCGGACAGGAGAATGATCAGCCCCTCAGCTATTAGATATTATCGTGACGATATTCGTGAGCGCATTGAAGATCCCAGGCATCTATGCTGATGGTGAAAATGCTATCACCGACCATGGGATTTTGTTGAAAAGCGTTTCCCGCCACAACAAACAGGAATAGTCAAGTCTCGCTGCACGAGACCAAATGACACAAACGTCAAACCCCTGTACCACTCGCGCGGAGTGCACTACATACCTAAGCAACAAGCCGTCAGACTTAGTATGACCGCATCTTGACGTTGGTAGCACAGGAAAAAAACGTCAAGAAACAGACTCTGCCGACCCTGCATCACCATCAACTGTCTGATGGAGTTGATTTCCCCATGGTGTCATTGACACGAGCTGCTGATGATTTCGCTTCCGAATGCGCTAGTAGTGATTTTATCTCGGAAAGTAACCTTGCATGAATCTTCTGTAGCAGCGATGGTCATCGCCAATATGCGTGATAAGTTAGAGGCGAGATGCAGCGGACAACTGCAGCTGAATTGTTAGCGTCATCCGGATTTTCTGAAGCATTTGTTACACATGGACAAAGCTGAACGACTGCATATCGATAACTACCCAAACACAACTTTCGGGCAGCACAGCATCATGACCGATTCCAGCCATGTGGTACGACAGCGTTTCTAAAACGATGCCTCTGTTCTCATGCAATTCGATTGGTCTGAATCTCTTGTGGGCAATTCGTCCCTGCAAAGCCAGGTTTATCCCATCCCTGCGGTACTCTCGCTCACAGCAGTGTCATCACCACATCTTCGTGGAACATGCCACATTTGAACTGTATACGTGGACTTTTTCCGTTTGAAAGCTCACTGTCTCGGACGAGTTGTTTCCGAATTTATGCCATCTTGCAAATGATTTTTAGGTAAGACGGTGGGCGTGTCTCGAGTACGACGGTTTGCTACTTTGTAGGTCTACACTTTTCATTTACGTGCCAATGTCTCACAACAGAATCCTTCAGTATGGGAGTGAGGGGGCGATGCGAATACTATGGGTGTGCTACCGAAGTGCTAACCGAAACAAAATTGACTTGCGATATGGTTGAGCGGGGATACCTGGTGTTATTGTAACAGACTGAGGAAGCTGAATTCATACTCGTAGTTGAAAAGAGTTCTCTTATGGAACTTGTCGATCTTCATTGGAAATTTATTTTTGTTCTCTGAATGCAGCTCTGGTATTGCCAACCTCGGCCAGAGAATCTCAGCATTCTCGGCGCCAACCGTGTAAGGAATGCTATAGTCTTGGTATGGTGTTTGTATTTTATCCCGGCTCTACCGGAAATCATACAAGCTTTTCTGACAACCTGCAGGGGCGTATATTCTGTGTCATCCGGAGAAATTCGCGTCTATTCAGCGTTCGTTTGCGAGCCGGAACTCGAGTGACCTGTCTTACTCGCTCTCAGAGCAAGGCTTTACGGTATGAGCTCAGCTTCCTAATCAATAAGATCTCGACCTTCATCATGAGTATAGCTTCTGTCTGGTCAATCAGAGGCTATACCGCAGGAGGCGCATTACCGTCCAAGTGTCTGTACTCGCACTCCGGACGAGTTATGCGTCAAGGGTGACGAATTCCGGGCTTTGTAAAGTTGTTTCTCTTGGCAATTTCACAACATTGACCTTGGCCATCCACCGCCAATGTTTGGGGAGAATTGACAAGGCTGTTGGCATATCCGGGTGCGCTTTTGATTTGCCCGGACTCAATTGTGTTTTGTTTTATGGGCCACATCAGGCTTGTGATATTCTTGGGCACAATATGATCATCATGATCGCAGCTGATCATGTGCCGCGTGCCCGATACAAAACCCTTGTTCTAGTTGATATTTAGACAGTGAAAGGGGAAAAGAGTCGTGGGTGTCTAGCCTTATGAAACAGACGAGTAATTCCTCAATGGCCCTGTTTCTGACAAGCCAAGTCGAGATGATCAGGGATGCTGGGAATTGTAGCCGCACTAGCCAAGGGGTACGGATACCTGTACGCTGTGCTGTAATCCGTGCTCATCCTCGTCGTAGAGGAACCACTGAGCACTGCGAGAGATGTTGTAGGGGAGTTACGTACCACCTAAGCCGTGGCCAAGGTCGCTGGTTGGGCAGAAATCCGCAATACCTGGTGGCCCGCCGCCGCCCAAGCTGCCGCATCTCCCATGCCCAGATCTGCGACATTCTTGGCATTCTTCACGCCTTCCCCTTCACATTGAGGCTTTGCGACAAAACGCCCAACCATCTCGTTGACCAGAGTCCCGTGTGAAGAGCAAACCACAACATGCCCGTCGCAATGCCCGGCGATCCGCATGCGAACGATGCCTCATTCACAGGTAAGGAACATGCTTCCCGCCTCTGTAACACTTGCAAATGGCTTGGTTACAAGGCCAAGCGAACGCCCAGAATCAGCCAAGATACCAAGAAGGCGCTTGACAAGCAGACAAGACTCTGTCGTGATCCTGATGCTTCTGGCTTCTGGTCTTGCCTCTCATAATCATGTTGCTATATCATTGTTTGTTCCCCATGTCACTTCGAACTCGACCTCGTCCTGCCACAGCTGCTCCGGGAGTCGTCGTCGTCGCCGCTGCTGCTGCTACTACTGCCATCCCAGACCGCGAACCCCTCCCGCCCCGGTTATGAGAACGACCGTCATCTCCGCCGTTGACCACAACTCCTCGGGGTTGGTTGTGCAAAGGCTGTAAATATCATGGCCTCGTCGGCCGGCCGTCCACCGCCTATGAGCCATGTTGCCGCATACTATGAAAGCCGCAGGGCCGTCCCGCCTCCAAATTTGAACAGCAGCAACACCAACAATTACCCCCACAACTACTCCCCTACCATATCCCACCCGCGACCAGCACATCTCAATCCAAACACGTCGAGTCCGACCGTCCCCTACCGGACCGAACCCAAAAGACTCGGAGGCTCGGTCTCGAGCCGTGAATCTGGCTCCTCGACCGCCTCCGAAGTCGATCAATACCTACAAAAGAAATCATACCAGTACAGCCCACAGTTAGAACGTGGTAGAGGGTTATGTCCGGGAAAAGAGTCGGCCAGACAGTCATACCAAACATCGCACAATGGGTTGAGTCTCCATCGAGGTAGCCACATCCAGTCCGAGATGATGGAAGATAATTCGACCATCTTCCGGTACATACAACCCGAAGCCGAAGAGGAAGAGGTTGAGAATGACCATGCTCTCTGGATACTGGTACGTTTTGCGGTGTTCTGCCATCACAGGGACAAGACTAACCATGTCGTTATAGATGTGGCTCTCATTCCTCGACCCATTCCACTGCATGATCAGTGCCATATATTCGATCTTTGCTGTGTTCATTATAATATTACTCCTCCCCTTACGACTTTGCCGGCAAGAATGCTCACCGTCCGTCACGCTCGTACGCATGATCGGTCCCATCTTCCGAAACCATTTACAAATGATCTACGCCAAATCTTTGGAACACGCACATACGTTTGAGTTTAGCCCGGCATGTCTGGTGCTAATCCACGTCATCTCACCTCTAATAAGCTTGGGCAACGCCGTCGCCGCTTGGATCGTCGCAGTGTTTTGGTTGTTTGCAATCATAATGGGCAACCCAGACGGGACGGAGAAGAGGGATGACGGTCGGGCCACAGTCCTCATGTTACGGGACTGGTGGGAGAAATGCCTTTTGTATGCGGTACGGAAATGACGTCTATATTCTTGTGCAAGTCGGTTCTTGCTAGCGTTGTCTTGCTTTGGCTCACGAAGGAATGAATACTTTTTTTCTCTCCATGTCCATATCCCTTCCAGCTTCATTCTCTCTCACACTGACGCGGTTTCGGGTTGACTGGTCAGGGCTTGGAGCCTGTAACAATTCCAGTCTTTGCATATCTACGGAGTATGGAACGCAGGTCACCGTAACCTGAGATTGGATAAAGGTCGTCGGTACGCAAGTACCATTAGCATTTGCATAAAGCAGATTAAACCCTGGAGGGGTCTCCGGTATCTACTGTTCCTTCTTGTAGAGGTCCGTTGAAGTCGAATTCCGGCTCGACTCGGAGCGACAATGATGAACGCATACCATTCCGGTGCAACCGTGATCAATGTCTGTCGTTTTTTAATTCCGCCAGGTACCCTGCAGGGGCAGCGCACGAGACCTTTTCCCCGTAAGCACAGTAGATCAACAGTCACGTTTGAGCTCGGGGGTCCTTCCTGCCACCCTTGGTCACAGCGTACGCGTGTAGATGGGTACCTGAGAGAGTGTAAACCCCCGGACCCCCGGATGCGTCTCTGTTGGGTTGAAGAGGACGGAGGCGCTTCCTGGACGCTCCTGACTTCCTACGGAGCGACTCGGTTCTGGGCCCGCGTACTCAGGTTTCAAAAAAAGAGGACAGCCACAGCAAAGATCGAATATATGGCACTGATCATGCAGTGGAATGGGTCGAGGAATGAGAGCCACATCTATAACGACATGGTTAGTCTTGTCCCTGTGATGGCAGAACACCGCAAAACGTACCAGTATCAATGTACGAATGTAGCTCTGTGGGCGGGTTGGGAGAGACTTGTTGGTATCACTTTGAAATCCGGAATTAAGAAGGGGTACGATTTGCTGGCATCACTCGGACACCACCAAGACAGTCATCGAGCGTGAAAATGGTGGGGAAAGGACCAAACAAAGACTCCGGGTCGATTCAAGGAGCTCGAAATGGCCGGAATGATCAACCGACAAGTGATATATCAAGGTGCTCATTCATCTATGGAGGGAGGCAATATGTGAGTGAAAAACAAAGCCAGGCCGAAGGGATTTTCCTCCAGAGCAATGCCATGTTACTGGCATGTCAACGCCATCTCGCACTGTCTGACTGTTTCCGACAGAAGTGCCCCCCGAGTCCAACCAAAAGCCATCCAAGTTTGTGGTGGGTGATTGAAGACACGTTCATACTCAGCCGGGATTGTATATTTTCCTTCATAGCTGCACTGTCGGGCCACCACTGCATTTTCCATCGGGGGCAGAAGTCTCCGTTGGTATTTGATACAATTTTTGTATGTTCATCCGAGATTAGATCCGCAGACTCGGTCCGGGAACACACCAAACGTCTTTTCCACATCGGCATCACTTCCATCGTCAGCATCATAGAGGGATTCATCTCACGAGAGGGCGGAAGGCGATGGCGACATCGTTCGGTTTCCATACTCCACGGACTTGTGTGTAGGGATACTCACCCTGCTGCTTTTCTGCAGAGAGAATCAGAGATATATATAAATATATACTCCGCATACACCCCGAACTGTCGTCCTTTAGGGCTCTTTCGCTAACTTATTAAATACCCCGCCGCTTTGCTCCTGCGCTAACTACTCTTTAATCGAATCGCTCCCTTGTCAACCTCATTCCTCTCTTTTTAGCTCCCCTTCTACTCTGTTCTGCTCCCCTTGGCCGCCGCTCTGCCACTACCGCCCTCCTTCTCCCTTATGTACCAGTGAGGGTCCGCTTTGGCTCTGGTCTCGTACACGCCTACGTTGCTTACACTCAGCCTTGTGGTAACTTTACCTCTGCGACGAGTTTTAGCATGTTTGGCTAGCGTGATTGGTTTGTTTGGCTGACATGCTATGCTGGCATGCTTAGGTGAGCTGTTGGGCGCGCATCGGTGGGTTCAAGTCAAGTAACGCAAAAGCCTGCCGAGCCTAGGAAGCTTCACATTAGCATAGTGAAGGAAACTTTACTTACTAACTCGCCACTCCCACTCCTATTGTACTCGAACTAGGATTTTACTTAATTCCCGTGGTTAAACAGGAGCACCCAGGGATCGCCAAGATACTATCGCCTGTTTAACTCGGTAACCTAGATATTACGGCTTCAAAAATTAAATATTAAGTAAGTTATCGGAACCGAATCAAGAAGTTTCATTAACCTACATGTTCCTCCTAGAACGGAGAATTTTCAACATTTGAACCAACATTTCACAAACCTAAGTGACACCGAGTCGAAGTCTATCAAGTTGTCTTCGTTTGCAAGCCAAACAAAAATCAGTTCCAATCCTTGTTACCGAAGACAAGCCGTGGCACTCCCCACACCCCCTGCACGACCAAACGATGCTGCTGGCTTGGAACTCGGCATCTCCATGTTGCCTGCAAGGTTACCTCATGTGAAAGAATGACTCATTTGCTGAGGTAAAAGGTATAAAAGAACTCGAATATGAACCTAGCCCAAAAAAAGAGGTCAGCCTCCAGTCTGTCTGGGCTTGTCATCATTGCCCCTTGGCTCAGAGATCCTTCGATGCCTTCATTGACTGATTGGGGATCGAACCCACCAATACTTGTTTCGTTGAAGGATGATGAACCCAGCTCTTAAGTGACACCTTGTGTCGACTGGTATTTCTGACTTCAGATACGGGTATTAACCTAGCCAGAAAAAAAAGAGGTCAGCCTCCGGTCTATCGGGACTTGTCATCATTGCCCCTTGGCTCAGAGATCCTTCGATGCCTTCATTGACTGAGTGGGGATCGAACCCACCAATACTTGTTTCGTTGAAGGATGATGAACCCAGCTCTTGAGTGGCACCTTGTGTCAACTGGTATTTCTGACTTCAACTGATCTTTAGGGAGACAACAAAAGTCGACGGATGGGTGGCATATCTTGGGAAAAGTGAGGCTAGGGATTGTTGACTGAAGCGCCCTTTAGCATGAGAACTGCACTAGTGACTAGTGGTACTGACCTATCTTAGGTGCTTAAATGTTCGTGATCATGTACGATGAAGCACGAGCCGAGAACTGGAAGGTAACGTGAACACCGATTTGAGATATGGAGTAGCACGGTGAAGAAAGGAGAATGGGAATAAAACATGGAACAATAGACAACGATGCGAAGGGCGTTGGAAATTTCTGGCGCGGGTGGTGCATAAAGAGATGAAGGAAGAGCAGAGAACGAAGAGACCAGTAAATTAAAGAGCGGCCAGAGTTGGTTCTACGGCAGGATCACAAGAAGGAAGGCGAGGGATGGATTTCATTTCCCAGCGCGTTAATGAAAGAAGGAACAGCATCAGAGTCGGCCAGTTACGAGGGATATAAGGGACACCTCCTCTCGACTCTATCGCACCCGCCTACCACAATTTCCTTGCCCGTGAGCATAAGACAGCAATTCCTTGTACGAAAGCAGGAGGAGCAACTACATGACAACAAATCGCGAAAGCATCGAAACCTCTAAGCCCGAGCCGGCGAGACAAGACACGCCGACTACGAGCGCAGCAGCAGCTCATCGGTATTTTGGGTTATTTTTTGGCGATAGGAAATATCATTGTCAAGAGGTGAGGGAAACGCAAGAAGGTGGCCTCATGCATACAAGACTTGCGACGGTGAGGAGCAATATCATTACGAAGATGCATATACTACCGTGTCTGATGCTTTTACCATCTTCAAAAACAACCGAAGTCGTATTTTGTGAGTTTTTGTACATATATATAATAGAGCAATAGGATGTGTATGCTCATCAACAATCAATCGATTCTCACCTCGAAGAAGTGCATTCTCGACCGATATCAATCTCGAACTTCGTTGTCAGCCCATCAACAGAAGTCGATCGTGACCTAAATAAGTATGTTCCCATACCTTCGAAAACGCGAGTAATGAACATGTCGCTTGCTTCTTATCAACATCAGTCTATCACCAGAAGCTGCCCATTCCGGGTCTTTTGTACCTCTCTTCTTCTTGTATGACTTCCTGTGTGATCTCACCTACAAGTAGAGCGAAAGGGAGTTCGGCAATGTGAATATTAGTCGTGTTCTGATATCGACGGAAGAAGCCGCACTCTCAACCAGCGTCGAACTCTCACTATGGGACGAATCCCGGCCCTGGTTTTGTTGCCCGGTCATGGATTCTGCAAGTCCTACCATGGAAAGGGTGACAGAATTGTCTGATCTTTCGATCATATCGTGGCTTCTGGGATTGGGCAGCTGACCAGGATGATTTTGCGTTCTCGCTCGGAGGTTGGAATTGGCTTGTAACGAGTATCGGGCTTTTTCGCCCTCTCCCTCTGTCACCACCTCCTCCACCACTTCTCCTTCCTCTAACTCTTCCCACTCCTCCTCTTTATCCTCATCTTCAACTTCAACGATGAAGGTGAAAAAGTCGAACATCCGTGAGAGTGAGAAGCAAAATATATATACCACAGACACATGAGCTGATCAACTTGAACCATTGCCACCAGCTTCAATTTGTACTCAATGTCAATGCATTTGCTTCAATAAACTGAATACTTTGTGCACTGTAGTTTACTGCAATGAGTACTCCACCTAGCTTGTCTTAGATTCTCTCAAACAAGCATCCTGACAATTTCACACCCGTAAAGGCACAAGTAGCCCAGAGCTACCAACTCTTGGTCGTCACTCAAAGGGATCATCGTAAATCTTACCTGCACCATTGTGATCATCATACAGGGTTCGCTATCCCTTTCCCACTTCCCAGATATTCCACCATGGAATCTGTGTTAATGCCGTTGCGCACATGTTCTGAACCACCTCGGAATGGTAACAAAAAAGGCATGAGATAGTTTGCGGTGTAAGCTGAGAAGTCATGTCCGCATGTGCTCGGATGTGTAAGCTGCTGTCGTTGAATTTGAGTCGTTCAACCCGAAATGTCAGGTGTCTGGTTAAGCAAATTAGTAATGCGCTTCCAAGGAAAGACAGGCCTGAAAACCGCCGTACTGTGTGGCGGCAAAGTATCGGGCTAATCATTTTTTCACCAGATGCTAGTCGAGTCCTCCGTACTATACTACAGGTGTAACATATGGCACGAGTCGACAATTTGTTTGCTGTCACTGGATGATTCACGCGGTTGATAGGGTAGCTGCCAGAGTCGTTTGGGTAACTTCGTCGTTACCTGCCATATCTCTGCTTTTGAAGTGAACTCAGTGCTGTGGTTGCTGTTATTGTTCATTAGTTTTTGATTGTGTCAGCGATCATTTCAACCGGCTCAAACGCTCACTTGCCTCACTCTGACGATGAGGCACTCATCAATCCCAATTCTGGAACTGATGTTGCCGGGAGCTGGCAGTGCTTCTCCTACTCAGTGACGAGGAGCGCACTTCCTACAGCTGCGGACGCGGAGCCCTGAATACTGAAGATCATATGTCGTGGGATATATGATGATGGCAGACCCATATGTAGCACCAAGGGAAAGCCTTTCATGAAGTGAAGAGTGGAGTGCCTACACGAGCACGCTCCTCATTCTGGTCGTGAAGGTGTTCGAATTAGATTTCAAGACCTTCTGTCTTCCCAAACCGCCCGGAAGTACTATCCGCTCAGAAGTCAGAAGGAAAGGCATGCTGAGAGTCCCGCATCGTAGAGCCACGGGAACGGAGAACTTGAAATGAGTCGTTCGGCATTTGTGACCAAATTGTCTGTTTGTGTCGGAATGAGTTTGACGCCACACCCGGACCAATGACAACCAACTCAAGGATCCTGAAGTTAGGCAATGGAAGGAGTATGGTGGCATCAAGAAGACAAAGCTGCTGAAAAGAATTAGTAATGCCTCGTCGAGATCTCATCCTGGCCATCTGGCAGAGTCAGGGATATTGTTGGCAGTAAGGGTCTCAAATCAATGGATCTCATGGAGTTACCTAGCAACCTCCACGAAAGTGTGAAGGGATCTTGTCTGCCACACCAGCATCTTTTATCTTCATCACCTTTACCGTCATCAAGATTGGCGGCGTCTTGCTTGAAACCCTCTGGCGTGACCTCGTCTTGATTGTGATATTCCCAAGACATGTTCGCTCATTGTGGCCTGACAGTTGAGGTCTTGTGTGACCCGTCTTCGGATCATCTTATTTCGAGTCTTCCTTCTCCATACCTTTTCGCTTGAAGCTGTCAAGCTTGGGACCTTATTGCTTGGCCTCTTCTGCTGCTGAATTTCTAGTAAGTCGTAGTTCCCTACCAAATACATTATACTCTCGTATGACATCGTCCTACCTTTAGAAGCTTCGGTCTCCCTTTGGGCTAAGATACCTACCTAAATTAGCAATTGCGTATTCTGGAGTATTGAAAATTGCAGATGTACTACTTTGTTTTGCAGCCGTCTGGTTTACCTTGACGGTCCTAGAGCGTCGTCAGTTGAATTGATCTTAACACTCAAGTGCTGGAGTTTGGTTTCGACAACGTTTGGTTGAGACCTGTACCGGTCGACCAATGATCCACGAGAAGCACTTATTCTTTAGCAACTGATGCTCCTTGGATGTATCTGTACCGTGAACGATGCAAGCGTTACGAGTGCACGGGCTACCACCACTCACTCATTGTATTTATCGTTTGATCCTGGAGTTCTTTACCCTTAACAATAGGTATCTGCATTCATTGATAAGAGGGAATGATGTTAGAACAATGAGTACCGAGAGAAGGATGAACTCGCCGTACGCCCTCAGCCCACTGGACTGCAACTACAGTAGAGTAACTGTGCCGAAGGTCGTCATAGTCTTACCTAAGCAACTTGCCACTTTTACAGGGTTTACCAGGGGAGTGGATCAAAGTGGAAACATCTCTTATGATTGGTTCATTCTCAGAGTTAGTGGATTAGTCGCTCTGGAAATCTTGGCGCCCTTAAGTGCACACGAAACTTCTCAATTTTGCTATCTCAGAGATTTTCTTAGTATACCACAGCTTCAATCGACCACAAACAGCCATGTAAGTCATCTAACATCACTATAGACTTGATCTAACCGCTTTAGGAGCCACCGCAAGTTTGAAGCGCCTCGTCATGGTGAGTTTTCCGCGAAAATGGCGATTTTCTACGTTCAAAAATCGTCAAAAACGATTAAATTTGACATGAAGGCTGATGATTGAACAGGGTCTTTGGCCTACCTCCCCCGCAAACGGGCCGCTCGCCATCGAGGAAAGGTCAAGAGCTTCCCTAAGGATGATCCCAAAAAGCCCGTTCACTTGACCGCCGCCATGGGTTACAAAGCCGGCATGACCACCATCGTCCGCGACCTCGATCGACCAGGCGCAAAGATGCACAAGAAGGAGGTCGTTGAAGCCGTCACTGTTATTGAGACACCACCAGTATGTCGACGGCGAGGGCGAACAGACAAGGCGCATACTAATACATTGGGCAGATGATCGTCGTCGGTCTCGTCGGTTACATCGAGACTCCCCGCGGTCTCCGATCGCTCACCACCGTTTGGGCCGAGCATCTCAGCGACGAAGTGCGACGCAGATTCTACAAGAACTGGTACCGATCGAAGAAGAAGGCCTTCACCAAGTACGCCAAACTACACTCCGAGAACAAGGGTTCCTCAATCACCCGTGAGCTCGAGCGCATGAAGAAGTACTGCACAGTCATCCGTGTCCTCGCGCACACCCAGATCCGCTCGACCCCCCTCAAGCAGAAGAAGGCACACTTGATGGAGATCCAGGTCAACGGAGGAAGCATCGCAGACAAGATCGAGTTCGGTCACGGTCTGTTCGAGAAGCCAGTCGAGATCGACACCATCTTCGAGCAGGACGAGATGATCGATGCCATCGCGGTCACCAAGGGTCACGGTTTCCAGGGCGTCACCAGCAGATGGGGTACCAAGAAGCTTCCCAGAAAGACACACAAGGGTCTCAGAAAGGTCGCCTGTATCGGTGCATGGCATCCTTCCCACGTCCAGTGGACCGTTGCTCGCGCCGGTCAGATGGGTTACCACCACCGTACCTCTGTCAACCACAAGGTCTACCGTGTCGGAAAGGGCAAGGACGAGAAGAACGCTGCCACAGAATTTGACGTTGTCAACAAGCAGATCACACCGTACGTCTTAATTTTTCATCTCATTTTTTTGTGTGCGTCAAATACTAACATATTCATACAGAATGGGTGGTTTCGTCCACTACGGTGAGGTCAAGAACGATTTCGTCCTGCTCAAGGGTGCCGTCCCCGGTGTCAAGAAGCGAGTCATCACTCTCCGAAAGTCCATGTTCCCTCACACCTCCCGCAAGGCTCTCGAGAAGGTCGACCTCAAGTGGATCGACACCTCGTCCAAATTCGGTCACGGTGCTTACCAGACTCCTCAGGAGAAGAGACAATTCTTGGGCACGCTCAAGAAGGATCTCGTTGCTTCTTCGTAAGCTGCCAGACTTGAGGGGCGCTCTCATAAGGAGCAAGCTCAGTGATGTTTTTCATGCTCGGTGCAGGTTTGAATGATTCAAAAAAAGAAATACCGCGTGCTCTGTTGCGATGTCATTTCTCAATACAGAGAATAGACTATGGTGCAATAGCAATGTCACAATGAAAATCAATTTCAATGACTAAACTCTCAAGTATCGACGTCGATCGACGTCGTTGATTTTTATGACTGCTTTGCCAGCTTGAGAAAAAGCAGCGTAGCTGCCGTACCTAACCAAGATTTACCTACAGTGATGACATCGTATATTTTTTATAAGTCATCATACAACCTCCCATCGTACTCGTAAAGCCTACAGAACCAGAGCCTGTGCATCGAGACCTGTAAACATTTCAAACCATGATCCGCCTTGTCTAGGTGACGCCCACAGGTCCTCCAGTGCCGATCGGATCGACTTGACAGCATTGAACTTGAGATTGCCATATACGACGTCCAACTTTCGTACGATTGCCTGTTTATTCGTGTCGAGAAAAGCGTGCGCACCAGACACCAAGAGTGGGAAAAGCGCACAGTTCAAAGCCTTTGATTGCGACGGCATTCCCATGATGCAGTCGAGGCAGGCTTGTGCATGCTGTTGAACAACGTAGTGATTCGCCGGCAATCCGCAGACGGCGCGGTAGAGATACAGGTTTGCGCTGTGCTGGAAAGCGCGCAACAAGGCCGAAGAGGGCACCATGTCCGGGTCAAGAGGTTTCTGGTCCTCCTCCTCCTCTTCTTCTTTGTGGTCCGTCAGCTCGACTGGACTGATTGAAGCGTAGCCTGGCCGTAGATCGGCTTCGAACTCCTTGATGCGTTGGACGGAAAATTCCTGCTTGCCGAGTGACACGAGATCGTGATAACTCGCCAAATCGGACATCTTTTGAAATATCGATGCAAACGATTCCATGCCCGGAGGTGTCTTCTCCCACCACACTGCGTTCATGTCCATCATTTCCCAAGTCTTGGATGGGAACGAAGGTGGAGTGCCGTGTAGCAAAGAGTTCGTCAAATCTGTAGTGGCGAATTCGCTCAGTAGCACTGGAAAATGTTAGCGATATGGCGGACAAAATCAAGGTCGTTGCGAGAGAAAAGCAAGGCACGATATGCAGACAGACAGAACTCACTTTTGATAGAGGTCTCTCCATCAGACATAATTGCTGAAAGACCTCCCAAAGAATTGATTATCGCTCTTGCGCCGGCATGATGACTCAACGTCGAAGAATCAGGATGGTTGCATTCCACGAACCCGTCGGAAAAGTACATCAGCAGCACCGCGACGAGGACAGTTGATAGCGGCATGCCCTTGCTGTCTGCTGCATCTGCAAGTTGTTTTCGTACAGTGGTGATACAGTGGAGGCGCTTGTTGTAGACGTTCTCCTTGCTATTCCGTCCATCGAACAACACGCGATGCGAGTCGGCCATGACACACGTCGCCAGCAATACCGACCTGTCCGCCATGGCGAGCGCGATAGGGGGCGGGCATGGATGAGCCGATGTCGAGAACAATGGCCAGACTCGCGAGCGGAAATAGTCAATGGCGCGTCGTTCGTTGATGGCCAGGTTGTATCCGCTGCTGCCGGGCAATGAATGATGGTACAAGCAGAGTTGATTTCCTACGGGAGAGCCTTTCCTTGGCCGGGCATCCCATTTGATCAGGATTTTGTCATAGCTGCATTTCGTCCCGGCGACAATGCATTTGCTGCAGGCAGGCTTCTCAAGACTGCATTTCACTCTGCGTTGTTTACAGGACCAGCATGAGCCCTCGACTGTGCGTATCCTCTTTGGTGGCATGAGTGGCGCCGACGGCTTTGGTCACATTGACCGGTTCGTAGTCGGAGTCACAGATGTGCTGCACATGTCAGCGACAATTGGGAATGATAACTGCTGACAGTGTCATGAGGCTTGAGGCTACATGCGACCGAAGTTGTGGTAGGATGAGTACAAGGTCTACATAGAGGACGAAGTACAGAGAGTATGATAACCGAGAAAACTTGCCAAGCCGGTTGAGGGGAAATGGCCCTAGACTTAGCCATTTTAGGAATAGATTACTAGGTACAAAGAGGCGAGGATGTTGTGTCTTCCATAATCTCACAGCATTGATTACTGGGGAAACTCTCATAGTAGTAGGATCGGACTGGATGGATTACAATTCTGTCGATGTAAATGTCATGGTCCTCAGTTACCTCGTTTATTCCGGCTCTCTTCTGTACTGTACTGTACTGTACCCGGTCGCGCCTAACTAGTCACTATGCCCATGATCTCGGAAGAGGTTGGATACTGGAAGGAGTGACTTTGCGGTTAGACCACGAGTCTCATTGCTGACAGAAATTCCAAAAACATAATATGTGAGGCATCATTGTACTTCTGAGAGAGGAATACCCTGTACTGATTGCGCCAAGACGTGTTGTGTGAATGCGACAGACTGAATCTTGCAAGGCCGTGTTTGACCGTATACTACGGTGAAACACAGTGTTCATTCCCGTGGCTCAGGGTACGCTCAATCTTGCACGATCTTCTTACTCCTACTCATCACACCGCAACTATCTGCCTTTATTATCATATAGTAGAGCTGGAATGAAGAGGTCCTTCTTGCTTATGCTCGATTCCTTGTGTCTGACAGAGCAACATCACGTGGAACTTCTGCAGCTAGAGGTGTATCAGCGCAGTCGCCTTGCATTTCACCAGAGGATGATTGCGGCGCTACAGGCTGATATCCTTCACACAAACTCGCCAGACTGATGTTCTCAGAGAGCCGATCAAATTGATCCTCAGGCTTCATCATTGGCCAGACTGTGCAGATTCCAAGTGATGCCATAAATAGTGGCCAAGTTGGTAGCGCTGGTGTAAGCGCCCGGCATTCGGCGCCATGGAGTGACGACCAACCATGCGACTTCTCACTCTTTCCCCCTCAGTTCTTCCACCAACCATTCCCTGTATCCTCCAACATCCTGTGAACACCTCTCGAGACTATCGAACGAGCATCGATGCCACCTCCCGGCTCTTCTCGACGGGTTGCAGCTGGACCGGCCCGATAATTGGCTCGAGATGTCTCTTCAGTTTCTCGGCTATGGCCATTGATGCATCCCATGCCTTTATCCACCGCCGTCTGGTCCAATTGTGGACAACTGACAACGTACCGATGCTCAATCCGTGAATGTGGTCGTGACATGGCTGTGCCGCTGAGCAATCTTCCCTCCAGGTTTCAACGGAGCGCCAATGTTGTCGTTCACGGCGCTTCCAAGGGGAGTCTTCTGTTCTACTCCTCATCTTCTTACCCGTCGATATTTCCCATGAACAAACACTCTTCCTGATTGACACCTCATCGTCGCTGGAGTTGCTGGTCGCTACCGGTTGTCTCTACTTTCGCTCCTTACCTTCGTCGTTTTTCTGCGTCCGACCGTTGATCGGCGACGCTCTAACAAGTTTTTTAATTACCATTACCACCTCGCTACACGCTATCGGGCTGGCCCTCGATGAACACTTGACGCTAACACCAGCTATCAAACCAAACTAATATCTTATGAAGGCTGGCCCTCCGAAAGCATGAGCGTTTTACCATCAACAACTTACCAATCCCCGCCTCGGCTGGCCCGTGGACGACAGCTTAATACTATTGTCGAAGAAAAGGAAGATGGAAGTCAAGGGGTCAAAAGTGATAGCGAAGGAGATGGAAGTGATTCAACCGTCATCGGTCGTCCTGCGGCCTGGAACTCCCAGCTCTTCACTGTTGCTCCTCGGAAGAGCTCTCTCGCCACGACCACATACGCCGCTTCCCCGGTCTCCTCCTGTGAACCATCTCCAGCCAGTAGCGCTAGCGATGGATTCCCACGCAACTCAGTAAGAACTTCTTACTCCGATAGCGAAGCTGGCACGGTATTCAGTGATGATTGTCCATCTCTTGCCAGCGACCCCACGACATTCGCCTCTGAATCTAGCAGGAGCAGTTGTGCGAGCAACAGGTCAAGTCGAAACAGATATCCCGCTTTGATCATTCCTCGCGATTCCTGGGGTACGGTGGACAGTAGTCCGATCAAAGAAATAGCCTATGGCATGTCACCGGCCACGAAAATTCGCCTCTCGCCAACAACACTGTCAGCACTTCCAAGATCCGTGCCTGCCGCAAATGCACCACCTTCTTTGGGCGACAGCAATAGTACCGCATCCGAGTCGCCCTGCGTTCAAGGCACAAGCGCTCCGGTGACTCCTGACATGAAGCAGCTTGAAGTTGCACAAGGTTCGAACTGGGGTGGTGTCTCACCAAGTGCGGCACCTCCAGTCGAGGCACAGCATCTCGAGATTGCACTCGACGATGGCCACAGTGTAATCTTGTCGCCAGCAGAGGCCCACTCCAACCACTCGTTTTCCAATATACTCTCTCCTACAGCGACAACAGCCTGGACTGACATGGTGGTCAGCTTCCCTCAAGTGCCTGGTGCCACGCCACAGGACATGTCACCCTTGATGCCCACCATTGATGAGTTGAAGACATTCGAGGAAGTCAAACCACGATCCAACGGGTCGGACCCGGGTGTCCGTCTGCCTCCGGATGCTCTGCAGATTCTTCGGCGTTTGGCGGGTGACAGGAGCGTGGACAACCTCTCAACCTCGTCAGGTTCAGGCTCGGGCTCGGGCTCGTCAAAGAGGACCGGGAGACGTCAGGAAATGCGTGAGCTGTTGGACCCTCACCTTATAAACAGACCACGCAGCGCGGATGGGGAGACTCCGATATCCGACTACAGCTTTACGCAACTCAGTATCCCGTCTCCTGGAGGATTTTTCTCGTCCTTGCAGAGTGGATCTCGTCATACTTGGTACCTAAATAGGTCCAGAGGTCCAAGTATGCCAAATACTGCCACCGCCGAAACGTTCTACAATCGACCTTGGGAAAATACAAGCTCAAGTAACGTGGTAGAAACTGTTCTCGCTGTCGATGACACGAACTTGACCGAAGGTCCACCCACCGCACGACAGGCACTTTTTGATCTTGATACTAGCACTAGACAAAAAGCAAAAAGTCAACAGACTGAAGACGACGATCTCTACGGTCCTGGCGATGATACCAAACCACCATCACCAGTCCCAAGGAAGGTCAGCTTCGAGTATGACGAGAAATACTTTGACGAGCTCAAACACAATGCAAGCCGTAACCTAGACCTTACGGGTTCATGGCTTGCTGCTCAAACCGGGTATTTATCCGCAATACTCGATTCAGACCCAAATGTCAATCAGGACGAGAAGGAGGTTGACGAACAAGATAAGGCCAAGACTGACCTCGCGGCGACGACACGTCGTCGTACAGTAATGTTCTCGGACGATGTCAACACCGAAACAGCTGTGGTTGCTAAGAAACAAGCAGAACTAGACACGAAGGAAGTAGTGTTTTTGAACGCTTTCCGCTACATGCTCAGCAATCGCAAACGACGTGATGCGTTCATTCATGCCAGTTCGCGGCTCGAAGCGATACAAGCGTTCCGTGTGGCTTTGCCAGAGCAACACGTCACGAATTTGTTGGGCCAACATATTCTCCTGGAGCACAAAAGACCAAAGTATGCGGGACCGTTCAGCCAGAACCCTCGAGCTACAGGCATATTTGAGCAGACGTCTGAGCAGATGGCCTTCAAATTTGCCGAGCGCGAACAACTTGCCCTTGCATCCATTGAACCATCCAATTGGCAGATTGATGCCTTGAGGACCATGTACGGCGGACGTCTCCTGGCCTCTGAAGCGGCATGTCAACGACTCAGGATGAAGTCTACCATCCCACTTGATGATCCCATGTGCGTCGGCAGTAGGCGGATTCGCATTCTCGACATTGGTGGTACATCGTGTGCATCTTGGGCATGGAATGCGGCGCTTCAATGGCCAAATGTCAAGATCTACACAGTCATCACCAAGGAGCAATCTCAAGCGCAGAGACCACCAGGAAAACCAAAACCTGAAGCACCCAAGAACCACCGGACTGTTTCGGTACCCCATCTTTGGCAGTTACCTTTCCGCAGTGGTCATTTTGATGTGATCTCGGCAAGATCACTCCACGTTCTGCTGAAACATAACCCCGTGCCAGGCGTCCCTGAGATTGACGAATGGGATCTGGCACTGCGCGAATGTCACCGAGTGTTGAAGCCAGGCGGGTTTATTGACTACATGATCATGGACTCGACAATCGCTCACGCCGGACCTCGAGGTGATGCCATGTCTGTCGAATTTGGCTTCGAATTGCACCGCCGAGGGTATGAGCGTGAAGCGGCCCGAAGTTGGTTACGCCGACTGAAAAAGGAAGGCTTCACAGGAGTCAAGAGGGCGTGGGTGTTTATGCCCATGGGACGGAAACCTCCGAAAGAAGTCGAAGAGAGTGCCCACGGTTACATGGGCGGATGGCACTCGTGGCGTCAAGGGGCCAAACCTTTTGTTCCGGCACCGCGACCGATCAGCGAGGTCTCAACCATCAGCAAGATCGTCAAGCAGTACATGGACGTGGAAGCCGTCCAAGGACCGGTCGGGAGTACAGAAGACGTGGCGGACTTGACTGGACTGCTCGGTGCCAGGATGTGGGAAGAGTGGCTGGTCAAGGTCCGAGCCGAGTCTGGCAGGGAACAGGCACGTTGGCTCGAGGGTGTCGACGAGATGATCGAAGAAGGTAAGGAACTTGGGTCAGGTTGGAAAGTCCTGATCGGTTGGGCGAGGAAGCCGAAGCCTCCAAAGGGGAAGGGGAAGGCCGAACGTGCCGAGATCACGGTGGCGGTGGAGGATCTAGAAGAATTGAGTCCAACTTCTGAAGAGTGCACAGAGATGGGGATGATTCCAATGTTCATTCAAGAGTGATGATGTGATACGAATCTTGATTACGAGGTCTGTTGTTGTTGTTGTTGTTGTTGTTGTTGTAGCAGCATGGCGAAACGGGAGTTTATTCAGACTTGGACTGGATGAGTGGGTGGGTAGGTACGGAGTACATGGGTCGGTTTTGGGAACCGGTAATGGATGAAACACATTGTAGATGGGGGACATACATTCACTTTTTTTCCTTTTTGGTTATTTTCCTTTTTAATCTTTGTTGATCAGTCAGTACATAGGTAGGATCTGGAGTCAGTGGTGATGGTGCAAGACAGACAGAAATAACAGTATGTAGGTAGTTCAGTGTTTTGGCATGACAATGGCGTTTTCGAGTAGTTTTGGTATGGAGTCAAGTACCTGTGGGTGGTACCATGGTTTTTACCTGTATTACCTCGTTCTCGTACCTACCTTAAGTGCCTGCAGGGTCCTATAAAAGTGTTAAATACTTTCAAGGTGGGTGCTTAATTCCAATGCGCAATGTCAACCGATCCTCCCCCAATGAACGACTCTGGGGGATCAAATTGAGCCTACCAGGACTCGAAGTAAGTTGGGGTGCTTTTGCTTGATGAATTTGGAACGGGAAATTCCCTTTCAAATCCGTTTACAAGTGACGAAGTCGTCACAGTTGTGAGAGAGATTGTTGTTTCGGACCTCAACAGTTCAGGCCATGGGTGACAAGATGTACTCGTGCGCGCATAATTTCCCAGTTGCAGGGAAAACGAGAAGGTCAGTTGGTACCAAGGGAGACGTTGAGGGTCGTTAATACTTTCTCTCTCGGATATCCAAATTCTGATGTATTTTTTTTGGTTTCCCCACGCCCGACTAGTACGAGTACGAGTACATACGGGTACGGGGAGTATTTGGGCTCCATCCCCCATGTCATGCCTAATTTACGGGCTACTGGCAGTCCGGTACAGGCACACCGAGCCACCGACAGTACCCCTCCAAGCACATGTTCTGGAGATGCTAGATCGTCACGTCAGTGGTCCCGCTCCTTTTTGTTCTCTTCTCAGCCCCATATCAAATCTGGAAAACGGCTCCCCCCGGTATCTATGGCTTTCATGCACCTTTCTCGCGTAAACATTTCAATGATGAATACGTAGCGCCGAGGGACAACTCTACCTAGGTTTTGGGAAGATGAAATAGACACACAAAAAGTTACCTTTTGATCCTGTTCACCATTTCGAACTCTCTTATCCCAGCCAATATCTGAATCAACCTTGCGGTGTCGACGGACTCTTCTCCTTGCGAAACGCACGAGCACCACCCTATACATACGTCAAACCTCAGCCGACTCTGCCGCTTCCCAGCATCTCCCTGCCTTCGATTGAGGTCCGCGGCCGACAAGGGCGGAGGTGCAAGACTCGAACAACTCTGAAGAGTGGAGAGCTGCTCAAGAGGAAAGAAGAAAAAAAAAGCCATGACCACACCACGATGCTTCATCGTTCGACACGGCGAGACTGAATGGTCATTATCCGGTAAACATACCGGAACGACTGACATCCCATTGACGAAAAACGGGGAGAAACGAGTCCGAGCTACTGGTAGAGCTTTGGTGGGAGATGATAGATTGATTGTTCCTAGACAATTGGTACACATGTATGTCTTTTGTTCTCCAACCCTTTCCTTCCCCACGACACATCACTGACAATCTTCTTCAGCTACGTCTCACCACGTCATCGCGCTCAAAGGACACTCGAATTACTCGACCTGGGTTGTCACGATCCTTATCCATGGCAAACAACAACAACAACAACCTCTGAGAAGTCTTCCGGTTCCGACCTTCACACGTCCTCTTCACAAAACAAGACCGACGCCCGTGTGACAATCGACCCAAGAATCGCCGAATGGGATTACGGAGAGTACGAAGGTGTAACGTCCCCTGAAATCCGAAAGATACGGGCGGAAAAGGGTCTGGGAAGTTGGGACATTTGGAGAGATGGTTGCCCGGGTGGTGAGAGTCCCGAGGATATCATACGTCGAGTGGACGGTTTGATCGCCGAGATTCGTTCAAAGTACCACTCCCCGGTGATCGGGAAACCAAAGGACCAGAATCTGACGGGGGACGTCATGGTCGTGGGACACGGTCACATCCTACGCGCTTTCGCCATCCGGTGGATAGGTAGACCACTCACGGAAACCAGTCTGATCATGGAAGCAGGAGGGGTGGGGACTCTGAGTTACGAACATCACAGCATCGACGAACCGGCCATCTTGTTGGGCGGTGGCTTTGTCGTGGGGGAAGAACCGAAAGACAAGTAAACATCCGAAATCATCATGAACAACAATAAACTTTACTGTAGAGACCGACTTCAATAGAAAAACGAGGACTTGTTCACAGCGCGCACACGCTCTATGCCAGTCTGTGTGTGTTTACATCTAACATGCGACAAGACGATAAACAAAACCATTTTGACATCATTCTTCATTGTCTATCTGATGCTTGTCATGTCAAAAAAGACATGACATTGCTGTCTTGACAAGTACATCGTTGTCGCTCACCAGCCCGACCGCAGCCGCACCACCCACCCACCCAAACCAGCACCAACCGCACACCCGGCACAACCGATGCGACTGACGTCCGTATGGTGGTTTTCAAAGCCAAAAGTCATGCGGTTCACCGGGTGCCGGCTGGCGGGACATCGGGGGTGGGTCCGGTGGGCGATCCGGAGCATCCACAATCGGCACATGGACGTACTCGTCAGGGATGTCTGGCGAGTTGGGGTGCATAAAGTACCTGTCCCAGCTGCTGAAGCCGGCGGGAACTGGGTCGTCCACGTCAGGTGCCCTCATGTTGTCAGGGAGTGGCTCGGTGCGGGGCTCGGCAACGTCACTGGGGCCAAAGGGGTCCGAGAGAGGTACAGACCGGACTATGGCGGGCGAGCCAGAGCTGGATTGATAGAGAGGAGAAGGAGGTGGTGGAGGATCAGCGTCGGCGGCAGACGGCCGATTTGGAGTTGTGCACACTCGGTCTTGTTGAACAGGGACACTGGTAGGGTAAGATGGTCCAGGAAGATTCAGAGGACTGATGGCTGAAGGCGCTGGGATCGTGGGATTACTCGGCGCGGTATCGTGTGGTGGGTAGCTTCGAGCGGCAGCAGGCTCTTCTTCATTTTGGCCGTCCCAACGTCCAGTTCCGGATGCTTGCTGGCTATTCCTGTCTGATGCCTCACCACCTTGTTGCCAGTTGTTGTTTTGTTGTTCTGCTGCATTACTTGTATTTCCGCTTCCCCAGCCTTGATCGGCTGCAGCAGCAGCAGTAATATTGGTAGTACCTGTTGGCTTTGCACCTGAACTAGAAGCTTGGACAGAAGGACGTCGAAATGCTGGAAGGTAGTATGTTGGAAATGGATGTTGAGGTGGAGCAATCGGAACTTGTTCAAAGGGAGCTGGCACGGCAGGAGCAGGAACTGGTTTTGGCGGTGGTTGATCTGGAATATCTCCTCCCAAAGCACCCTTTGCTCGAAGAACTAGCTCAATCAATTCATCCTTGCTCTTACCCTCGAGAGCATTCCTGTCCGTGTCAGGACTCGGATCCAAGCTGACAACAATACCAGTTTCAGCCTTGATCTGCTCCTTGTGACGATATTTGAAGATGAACCTGGCATAGGGATCCTGAAGAGTGTCTAGATACTTTGCGGGATGTAAGCTCTTCTTGTTGTAAATGTAACCGCGACCAGGTTGGACTTGCTTGGTGACACCTTTGGCTTGTGCAACGGATTGAGGTACATCATATCGTGGCTCTTCTTCTGCAATGGGTGGAACATCGACGTCTCTGTGGAACTTTGCAGCTTGATAAAGGCCATATGGGCCATACCATGCTGTCTTTCCTGATGCATTACTTGTAGACTGTGGCACATTCTGGTTGTTCGAGGTTGTATTCTGACCTTGAGACCAGTTTTGATTAGACTTGTTGCTTTTGTTGTCATCACTGGTGCTGTTGTTGTTGACTGTATCCCAGCCTTGATCAGTAGCATTACCGGAGTTGTTGTTGTTGTTTGTATCCCAGCTTTGATCAGTAGTATTACCGGAGTTGTTGTTGTTGT